AGAAAAGCAGCAGAAGAGGGCAGACCTCGAACCAATGTCGGATTGAATAAATGGCACAGCCTGGAGAATGGTTGAGAACGGGGCGAGTCAGTACGACCAGTGGGAGACGGGAACGAGGGGAGAAGCAAGAATGTGGTGGTGGTGGTGGTGGTGGTGGTCAGGAAGTCATTCAAAGTAGTTGGACATGAACGCAGACGAGTCCGGTTTTTGTCTGGACGTTGGGTTGGCCGAACGAATAAACAATAACCTCGTGAGGGGGCCCGACTCGAGGAGTCCAACGGCTTGGTGGATCGGGCTAGATGATGAGTGCATTTCATGGCGTCGTACATATCGACCTTCGACTTTATAGTTACTATGGTTACTCGATGTGTACAAACTCCCAATACGAGAATCAAATTGTACATACTTCCCTCCTAAACTCTCTCCTCTCGACCTATTCCTCCACATTCATCAACACTTTCCTTCGAACCCTGACCTTTGCATTACCATCATCATCATCATAACAGACTAAATCCCCTCTATAGTCGACAGTGCATTGCATACCCACTCTCTCATCTCCAATTCGTCTCGCGTTACACACAAGGGCCCCGATTCAGGCCGCGACACTCGAGATCCCAACCCAACCCAACCGAGCCGATCAAGCTCGCAGCACAAATCCCCAAAAAATTAACTTAGTGCTCAACTAACATTGACCCCCTTCCTTCTTGCCTCACCGCAGCGAAAAGGAAAAAAAAAATTACCAACTGGGGGAATGTCAAAACCAACAAACCACCTATAGGATAGAAACCACTCGAAATCCCGCGATGCGCGCGGTGAACGTGCCCGTGATGAAGTGTAAAAAGTAAGGCGGATAGATTATAGCGTGTATACTCCCTACGAGTAACGCACGTTAACTATACAAATACCAAACCGCGGTCCAGGCTTACCTTCACGCCTTGAATCTAGCAAGGGCTGTTGGTGAGCTACCTCGCCTCGGCGGGGTCACATTTCGCTGGCACTCTCCCGACGTGTGTCGAGTCTTCATTCGCGGGACATACCTAACTCCAGCACAGTCCACACCGTGTACTGTACCTATAAGAAAAAAGGGGCAATCAAGCAGGAGTCCTGCATGGCACTGGCATTGGCACTACGCCTTTCCTTTCTCTCACACACCTCCACAGACGAGTCGCGAGTCGCGACACCCCTCCACAAAACCTCCGCGCGATCGAGGGGGAGGGGGGGTAGCCAGTGAGCGGGAGGGGTGTGAGCGTGGAACCGGGCCTGGACACGGGGTTCGTGGGCACTTTTTCTGGAAGGTTATCACAGGATTTGCAGGTCACGGCCCTTGGATTTGTTAGATTATTACTCATATCGTCATGGGGTTCGAGAACTTGGGACTGGCTACGGAGAATTTGGGCGTGTGAGACAGGGTCCGATCGGCGGGTCAGCAATGAGGTCTCTTCCCCCGGGGGGGTTGGATGTTTCTTCGAAGTGCTCTTTGATGATGTACTAGCTGAGTGACCTAGGATATCCGCTCTTCTAGAAAATGGAATGGTATGTGATCGGTGGGAATGCGGGACGTCATCGATGGCATCGATGGCTCTGCAGTATTTCCTGGAGACGCCAGTGCAGGATACCGTATCTGGAGCTGGTGGAGACTGGCGGTCCGATCCGGTTCCGACCGTGATGTTGAACTGGGTGAACTACCACTTGAGAGAGCACAGATCTGATACCATAGTAGTCAACGCCAGTTCGAAGAGGCTGTCTAGGGACTTCGAAGTTTCGATACTCGCTCTGACAGGAGTACGTATCACACGAACGGTAGCAGGAGTAGTCAACCGTATCCTACCACATGATATCGCTGTAGAACCTCGTAGGGCTTACTCAAATTCTCGAACAAGATACCTCCCCATTTCCATAATGGGTTGGTTTACAGTAGTTCAATAGTCCAGTAGTTCTCGGTCGCGAGAACGCACCACGGACCAGTGAACCCTGATGACGGAGCTGCACACACTCCTGCAGAATCTTCGTAACTAGGTTTTGCCATCCCTCTCTTGCTTGTCCATCGTCATTCCGATCTGATAACCCGGAATCCGAGTCTTCAGTGCATGCACTCCTGTCGAACGTAACATGACGACACCGGTCCGATCGTCAAGTGCACGGACACGAGACCTGGTGGGGATATTCGTCAAATGCTCTTCTCCGACCAAGGTGTTCATTCGTGAAGGCTCTTAGCCATTCGTTATGTCTAGGATGTCAAGTACCACGGTTGGATGCGGTATCCAGACAGGCACGCGCGATCCAAGTTTCGCATCCTTGACCGCTACTTTGTGATCTGAGATCTTGAATCTAAAGATCTGGAACTGGCTTGTGCCACCACCTTGCCAAGCAGAACTTGTCTAGGTCGTTGACCATGAACAGGGCCTATATATATTCCTCTGCGTTATGCAAGAGACCGTCCAACGAAAATCGTATATATGAAGGGGGGAAAAAAAATAAGAAAGAAAACCCTAACGAGCCCAGTCCCAAACTGGGGCTTCTAGCCCGCGCCCCAATAACAAACCCAGATTGGAGAATTGCACTTGGTAACCAGAGAAGCGGAGATTGATATATCAGGTGGCCGAAATCATGCACACCTTGGTCAAATTAGTCCCGATATGCAACGTTAAACCTGCGCATAGAGGGGCTGCGGGAGCTCCTCGCCCGGCTTGATCAGCTCCTCCGCACGACAGGTCGGATGCGTAACGAGTCCAGCTCGACTGCCCGGAGCGGGCGCCCGGAAACCCACATACGCCTCTCGGCGAGCAGGTTCGCCCACGGTAACGGACCAGGTATGCAGGCCATAATAGGAGGCGATGGAGTGGACCAGCCAGCGACTACACGTAGACGAGCTGGTCAGTTCTGGGGAATCTACGACAAAACACGAAGACATGCTCCACGGCGGAAGAAAACTTACCCAAAACCCGCAGCCCGGTCATCGACCAAACTCTCAAACACCATCTTCTCTCCATTCCGCTCATGATGCAAGTTCATCTCCTCCCGCATCTGCTGCAATCGCTGCTGCCGCTCCGGCGCATCATGCATTTGACCGTTCCGACCAACGAAGACAATCTCATCCTCCGAGTCCTCACCCTCAGTCTCCGGTGCATCCGCGAGACCCTCACTAGCAAGGAAGACCTGCTTATCAGCCCACTGACGGATGAAAAGACGGATGTCATCTTCCAAATCCTGTAGCATACCGCGCGCGGCGCGCGCATGCTTCAGCTTCAGACGCAGGTCCTTGGGGACGCGGTGCTTTGCGGGAGTCTGCGCATTCTTGCGGGCGGAGTGGTGGTCGGCCATCTTTGCGTAGTGAACGTCCCAGAGCGGTGCAAGGTAGTAGGGCATCGGGTCGTGGCGAGGATATGTAGGCTGGATAGACCAGTCATGCGGGGAGGGGGGCTCGGCCCACGGGTTGTGTAGCAGACGGTCTTGGGGGAGGTCAGCTTTCCTTTCGTACTTCCAGTAGAGATCTAATCCTCGTGTCCATGTTCAAAATCCGTTGTATGACACTACCAGTGATGATGGCATAGGTCATGGGGTCATGGATTTCCAGGTCATGGGGTTCCGGGGGGCCGTGATCGAGATCAACTCGTGGGCTTCCGGGGACATAAGGCATGCATACCATTTTCCCAGCGCTGTCGCCGCCGACTTCCATCCTTGCCCTTGAGCAGAGCCTCGCGCCGCTTTGAGCTATCCCGACTGAGGGGTTCGCGCCGCCGGAAGCTGACCGTCGGAAGGCGAGACTCGCCTGAGGCGACGATTTTGACTTGCGACGAAGGGGCCGGAGTCTGGTCATCGATAGGGATGGTAAGGGACACGGTAGTACCACACAGGCTGGAGCGCGATGGTGTGGAAGCCGAGTCTGCTCTGGTGGTGGTGGGCTCGGAGAGGGTCAATTCCTGCAATGAAGCCGCGGCCTGCTCGGTCCACGCGGAGATTGCGAGGGTCTGCTGTGGCGATAGACTGCCCTGTGAGGCCTCGGGCCGAAGGCTGGGATGTATAGCCATGTTTGAGCTCGTCAGGGGTGGTATGAATAAGTCTGTATAATCAATGCAAAGGGGGGAAATGGGATATGAACAAGGATAGAGGGGAGGAGGGGGGGGAATAAGAGGATCGGATCCTGGAGTACAAAGGACGAGGGAAGATAACGAGATAAAGGCGCGTCTTCCCTACACGGGGCACACGCAGCGCGCTGATTCGCGGGAAGTGGGCTAGGGCCGTGACTCAGTCGATGACTGTCCGTGACTGTCCGTGACGAGGAAGCCCTTGCCCTGGTTTCCGGTTTGGGTAGTATTCGATCTGGTCTTGGCAGGTGGAAACTTGGTCAGGGAAAGAGTCTGGCTGGTATCATTGTCTGTCGTTGGAAGAAGCCTGAAATTGTCTTTGTAGTACCACGGTTTTTATGGCTCTGCTCGTCAAGACTCAACCTGGTAGAGGAAGGCAGATAGGGCGATAGGAACAATGCGAGGCGTATCTCCGACCGTGAGTCACGGGCTTCCGAGCAGCCGTACAAGTGGAGTGAATCCACTCTCCAGTCCCCGCGCAAAAGGCGATCCGATCCCCCAGTTGCCTGGTTGCCGAGGATAAGGCAATTGCACCATTTCACGATGAGCAGGCCTTCTTCGTCCAGTATCATTAAGTGATTCGATAGAATAGACCTAGAAATTAGATGATATCAGCATCCAACTAGTCCTAGAGTAAATCAAAAGGAATCAACCATCGCAAGGCGCAGCCATCGTCAAGTGTAACTTACCGGGAGTTAGCGCGGGGGGCCCAAAGGGGCTTGGCAGGAATCGATAGTCCTGCAAAATGCCAAGGGCGCGTGATACCTCCAGCTTGACACCCTCGACTCTTCGGCCCCCAATCACTCTCCACTGGTACCTGACGAGGCTGAGTCGGACCTACAAAACCTGCCCTGCTTCCTCAGAGTCCTTTTGAGTTCTTCTTCAATTATTTCCACTTATCATTATCTCACAATTATGAAGTTCATAACCCCGTTGGCGCTGAGCGCGACCGCCCTCGCGGCGGTCATTCCCCAACAGGCACCCCTCGGCCCGTCCATCGTCCAGAACTCTCAGCAGACCAAATGGTTGATTGAATTGGCTCCTTACCAAACACGATGGGTTACTGAAGAGGAGAAGTGGGCGCTGAAATTGGTGAGTCTGAAGACTAGCAGAGCTCTTTCATCGAGAGAGGACTGCTTGTTTGCTGCCTGGAGAGCGTATCGGCTGACCAATGCAACCCTCTAGGATGGCGTCAACTTCATCGATGTCACCGACGAGTTCCAATCCGGCTCATACGGTGCCCTCCATACTACGCGCATTGTCCGCTACCCCGGTGAAATGCATTATGAGGAAGAGATCAGCCCGTTAGCTGCCGACCTGTCCAAGGCCAATATGAAGAAGAACCTAGAATACTTTACCTCTTTCCACACCCGGTACTACAAGTCCGAATACGGCGTTAAATCTGCCGAGTGGCTCTACACTCAAGTCAACGCAGTCGTCAGCGAGTCTGGTGCGACCGAGTACGGCGCCTCCGTGGAGCGTTTCTCTCACCCGTGGGGCCAATTCAGTATCATCGCCCGCATCCCGGGCCAGACCAACAACACGGTCGTGCTGGGTGCGCACCAGGATAGCATTAACTTATTTTTGCCGTCCATTCTGGCCGCCCCGGGCGCTGATGATGACGGCAGTGGAACTGTGACTATTCTTGAAACGCTTCGGGCTCTGCTGCAGTCCGAGACGATTGTCAAGGGTGAGGCAACGAACACCATCGAGTTCCACTGGTACTCCGCGGAGGAGGGCGGCCTGCTCGGCTCCCAGGCCGTTTACTCCAAGTATAAGAAGGACCTGCGTGAGGTCAAGGCTATGCTGCAGCAGGATATGACCGGTTATGTGCAGGGCACCCTCGACGCTGGCCAGAAGGAGTCCGTCGGCGTGATTGTCGATTACGTGGACCAGGGTCTTACTGCCTTTATTAAGCAGGTCATCACCACCGTGAGTATCTTCAATCTGATCCTTTGCTTTCAGTTCCTTGGTTACTAATCCACTCTCTGCAGTACTGCGATGTCCCCTACGTCGAGACCAAGTGCGGCTACGCCTGCTCCGACCACGCCTCCGCCAGCCGCTTTGGCTACCCATCCGCCTTCGTCATCGAGTCTCAATTCGAGAACTCGGACAAGAAGATTCACAGCACGGATGATCTGATCAAGTACCTCAGCTTCGACCACATGCTGCAGCACGCAAAGATGAGCTTGGCTTTTGCCTATGAATTGGCCTTTGCTCCCTTCTAATTACGTTCTGTGATGACCTGACGTTTGTTCTACTTTGCTTTGGGTGGTTTTTCTTTTCGGGTTGGGCGTTGTGTGAGATATACCTTTGGGGCATTCACTTATGATATAAGCGAGGGATTTCAATGCGTAGTCCTGGCTGCATGTGTAATTGCGCCGGCTTTCAGTGGGATTGGACCCTGTTGATAGATAGTACAATTGATTCTCTCCGCTTCGATTCTTACGTATTACATTTGGTCCCTGTAGCTGACTCCAAACTTGCAATGCAAACCATTAAGTCAACAGAATACATTGGCCCAAAAACACACCTTCAATTCCCAGGCCCTCGAGAACACGGGGCTTACTACCCAGCTACCACAACGGCCCTTTCCAGCTCGAAGTTACAACAACACACCGATTGTATCAGTAGATACTGTAGATTTCATACCTCGGAGCTATGGTAGCATCCTCAAACCCCCCACGAGGTCTAGCTGAGGAAAATATGGGTCTATATGGGGACATCCCACTCCAGAGCGCGGGGGCGTACCACTTCTACCGCGGGCACGCGCGAATCAGCGGCCGCAAGACGACCGAGGGGTAAAGGTGGGAACTACCACCCGGATACAACATAGGATAACTGACTGTGCCGATCGCTACGAGTGCATGTTACGGTACAGGTGCCGGACCCCTTGCATCCACATTATAAATTAGGAGAGTTGCGCTGCTCAATTCTCGCTTGAGTGATTCTTTTCAAAATCCAGGCCAGATCAGAGCGTTTTCCACCTAACGATTGACAATCACCTCTACAGCACCCGGTCAACCTCGAACTTCAAAAATTCCACAATGGCGGATCCAAAGGTCGGCGATAAGATCGCAGATATCGACACTCCATCCATGATCGTTGATCTCGATCTTATGGAGGGGAACATTAAGAAGCTTATGGATAAGCTATTGCCGACTGGTCTCGACATTCGTCCACACTTGAAGACGACCAAAAGCGCTATCCTTGCCAAGAAACTCGCCAAAGCCGGTGCTAAGGGAGGATGCGTTACGAAGGTCAGCGAGGCAGAGGTCATTGCTGCTGCTGGCTTTGACGATCTACACATTACCTGTCCTATTGTCGGACCCGCCAAGGTGAAGAGGCTGGTGGAATTGTTTCGAAAGTACCGACAAGTCCGTATCGTGGTTGATTCCGAGGTCGGTGCTTCGGCTATCAATGATGCCCTGGAAAAGTCGGGTATCGAGGAGCCTATTCTCACGCTGATTGACCTGGACGTTGGTCTTCATCGTACGGGTGTTAAACCTGGACAGCCGGCGATGGATTTGGTCAGGTTCGTTGGGGGATTGAAACATCTGAAGATCATCGGTGTGCAGGGCTATGAGGGTCATCTTCAACATCTACACGACTTCAACGACCGAAAGACTCAATGCCTCGAGTCTATGCGTATCCTCACTACTACCGCTGAATCCTTCCGCCAGGCCGGCTTCAACATTGAAGTCGTTACCACCGGTGGAACTGGTACGGCCGAGTTCTGTGCTTCCGTCACGGGAGTCACTGAACTCCAGCCCGGCTCGTTTATCTTTATGGATACCGATTACCGCAACGCCGTCGGCACATTCTACTCCAACAGTTTGACGATACTGTCGACCGTTGTCAGCAAGCAGGGTCCTCGGGCAGTAACCATTGATGCCGGGCTAAAGTCCTTGACAACGGATAGCGGTATGGCAGAGTGCAGTGATTCGCGATACAAGTATAATGAGTTTGGTGATGAGCAGGGCTCGCTGAAGTGGGAGGAGGGTACACCGGATCTGGCAGTGGGGGATCGTGTTGAGATTATTCCAAGTCATATTGATCCGACGATCAATCTGCATGATGTCTATTATGCTTATCGTGGAGGAGTCATCGAGGAGATTTGGCCGGTTGATTCGAGGGGTAAGGTGCAATGAGTTTGTTGGCAGGGTGTATGAAGTTCATATCTAGCGGAGATCTGGCAAAGGCAGCAAGAATGGCCCTGTGTCCAGCTAGCGGCAGGCGGCAGTTTCCCAAAACGGAAAAGTAGACAAACAAACCTCTGGTAACTACCAGCGATTGTCGAGAGGATTCCGGCGTCGTAATAAATTTCAGCTCCATTATCCCACTTCTCTCGTCATAACAAACCTCCCTCCTGATCTTGATCAACCTTCCCTTTACAATGTTCCCTTTGCACCCTTTCCTTCGCACTCTTCCATTTGCAACGTTCGCTTCACCGTGGAAATGAGCCTTGTTTGTACACAAGTACCTACTGAACAAAGAAAAAAAGCGGACATGGTATCTCCTCCTTCTCCTGGTCATCCATCATCAAAGCAAGTCAAGCGAGACCACGAGGCAACGATGGATACAACTGCGAAAAAGTGAGTTCCCCCCTACATATTCCTTTCCCATCTCACACAACGTTGCTCACACATACTCAGCCTTCACCTTGGTGATGAGTACAGCGACCTGACAATCATATGTGGAGACACGGAGTTTAAAGCACATAAACTGGTTGTCTGCTCTCAGTCAGCATATTTTCAAAGAGCCTTCTACGGCAGCTTCAAGGTAATCTTTTCATCTCTATTTTTTTTTAACTGGCACTGGAGTCTACAACTTGATACTAAGTGATGATGGGGTGATGTTAGGAAGCCTACGAGCCAATCCGGTTTCCCGACAAAGAACCAGAGCTAATGGAGAAATTCCTGGAGTATCTCTACACTGGTGATTACACCCTCGAAAAAGAAGTCCCAGGCAACGACACTGAAGGTCGATCCGCTGTGGGCGGCACGAACCCTGGTCATCATTTGGAACCAAGCAGTTCGAATGACATGGAAAGCATCCAGCCATCATCCACTCCCTCTGAGCCGGTTGTTCAGGTGGATAGATCTTCGTTCATATCATATGGTACACTGATTCAACAAGATATGTCTGCTTCAAGCATCCCTATGTCGCAGGAAGGCGAGAACAACCCAAGGACCAGCGAAAGTTCGGTGACTTCCGTCCTAAACAACCCACCCTACTTCCATGCCCGAATGTACGCAGAGGGCGATTACTTCTTAGTCGAAAAGCTCAAAACCAGAGCTCAAGAGTACTTCGCCCCTGCTTTCCAACGCAGTCTTGAAAAGCAAAACCTGCGGAAGGAAGCACTCGAGCAAACGGTGGAAGAGGTTTATTCGAACCGAACCCGCTATGACGAACTGAGAAGTCTCACGGGGCCCCTCATCGTGAAAATGCTGCGAGTGTTTAGTGCCGAGCACAAGCCGTTTCTTCGCGATGTGATGAGGTCTACTCCGGATTTCAAGTTCGACTTGGGTATGGCTTTCCTCGACAACGAGCCGCTCTTGTCTTCCAGATCGATGACCAAAACACGCAATCAATCGGACAGGCCTTACCAAATGGAAGGCCTGGTGTCATTGTTGATAGGCTGGTTCCAGTTAACCGGGACCCGACCCTCCGAGACTCGAGGGTCTGAAAGCACCCGGTGTCATGCAGGAAGCTCTAGTGACGAGGATAGTGTTTAGCTGAAGTGGCAGTGAATGCAGTGCTTCTACGAATATGTATGCATCGGTGTGTAAATACTGTATTAAGTTGAACACTAGCTGGCATGCTATAGTGTAGGCACATTGGTTAGGTATCCTCCGTATATTAACCTGACTAGCCATTTTGTCTCCTGCTTCTCTTAAAGACATCTTTGACGTGACAACAAAGATTCCTAACTGGCTGTCTAGGGGCTGACAAAGCGAACTCATATCAGCTCATTATGCGAATGCCAACGAACCTAATGCAAAAAACTTCGTTCTCTCCCTCACTTCCTTTCGAATTCACCTTGAGCAATCTCCCGCTCCGGAACCCATTCACTTTCTTCCCATCAAAGCCTTGATCGATTTCTACCTTCTTCAATCAACACATTCACCTGACACTTGACAAAACCGATCAGTTCAGTCTTTCCTGGCCCTCGAAAATGTCGAAGAGAAAGCGTGAAGAAGACACGCCCGAATACGAAAGCTTTCCTTTGATACCATCGGTGACGCCCAGCCAAGATTCGCAGTGCGAGAATGATGCCGTGCATCAAATCGCAGAACGGTCAGTGTAGATGAATTTCGAAATCCGATGCTTTACACTCTATGAATGCTGATCTTTCTTCAGTGCGTTACTCAGCGCACAATTCAGTGACATGACATTGCTTTGCAGAGATGGGGTTCTCTACGCTCATAAACTGATAGTCTGCCCTCAATCAGAATACTTTGGCAGGGCATGCTCCAGCAGACTCAAGGTCTAACCCCAAATCAATGTTTGAGTTGAAATTGAGTCTATGTAATTTGACTAATGTACGGTGAAACAGGACGCCACCGAGCCATTTCAATTCCTGGATAAAGAGCCAGCGCTGATGAGAAAAGTCTTGGAATACCTCTACACTGGAGATTACACACTTGACTTTCAAGAGTCAACTGGGCACAGCAAAGGGCATCCACCGAGTCAAGGTGGCTCGGCGAAGGGCCAGCCTGACGTGGTGCTTCCCTCGGAATCAAGCATTGAACCAAGCAAGCTCAGGCTGATTGTACATGAGTCGTCTACTACTGTTGCTGGACAGGGACTCGAGATGGGTAAACGCCTTTGTGAGCCCTCGACTGGCTCGACTCAATCGGCTGTCTCTGCCTCGGTCAATCTCGATGCCGGCGAAGGATCAGGCGAGGAAGGGTCTGACCACGACTTTGCAGCCTTCTGCATTGCGAACCCAGCATATTTTCACGTCCGCATGTTTGCCGAAGCCGACTATTTCCTGATTGATGGTCTAAAGCAAACATCGAAACGCTTACTCCGTAGATCTCTCGTGTCGAGCATACAGAAGGAGATCACCATTCACGAGGCAATCGAAGAGCTCTATTCCAACCGTTGCGACTATAGAGAGCTGAAAGAAGTCGCGATCCTCAAGCTTGTGAAAATCTTGAGAGATCCTATGATCAAGAATGACTCACTTGTGTCCTCCAAAATCGGGCAATTTATCCCCGACTTCGCGCTGGATCTGTGTACGGCGCTCATGAAAGTTGCTGACCAGCCTAACGTTCCGAGAACGCGTTGGGCCGGATCAGCGATCCAAAGGTCGTCCTGAAGTCCGTCTGGTTGGACTAGGTAGACGAGAACCCACGAAGCACGAAGCGAGGACTAGGGACTTTTTTTTGGGAATGTGACCACTGACAACATTATTTCAGGCGGAAATCAGGTGAATGCATAGTTTTAGCTGCCCAGTCTATTTCATAAGAATTCTACGTATTTTCGATGCAATTGATCCTGATAGAAATGAGCGCGTCCTCATGCAGAGCATATTAGCTTCTGTCCCGGACATTGTACGCATTCAAGCAAATGCCACTTGAGCCAGAGGCAATTCATTCTTAATGGACAACCCTTAATCTCTGTGCTTGGATGTCAAGAGGTCGTACGCAGAATACATATTCGTATGAATCTGTGGGCCACGGAACTCCCACCTCATCCTATTATACATCAGGCAGCGTGGATTCAAAATCCAACACCGCAGGATGCTTGACACCTCCAACCACCAGCTTACTCCAATCTCTCTCAACCCCTTCTTCCACATCGGGGAAAGGTCCCAGCGGAGTGATGGCCTTGGGGTTGATATCATAGTGGCTCTTCGTGTACTGCAAATGATCAGCTTTTACCCTCCCAGATTCCATGGTAGGTAATAACGTACATTCTCTTTGATATGTTTGAAATCAGTAGACGCCCTTGCAGCCTCGACGTCCCAATAAATCCCCTTCAACCAATTATTAAGCACGGGATAATCATGTCGAATAGTCCCCAAATTACACTTGAAATGCTGCACGTAGACGGTATCAAAACGGATCAAGGTCGCATACAACCGAATATCGAGCTCCGTCATTGTCGAGCCGAGTACAAAGGGTCCACCATGCTGGGCAATGATGCGCTCGAGTTTATTCAGTGCTCCGAAGAGAGGGACGACGTTTTTATCGTATACTTCTTGCGAGGGCGCAAACCCGGCTTTGTAGACGCCGAGGTTGACGTCTGATTGCATCCACGGAGTAATCGTGTCGATTTTGGCCCGAAGATCTGCTGGGTAGAGATCAATTTTTGCAAGTGACGGGGGGAGCAGTTCATTGAAAGCCGTCGGAAGCCAGCGTAGGAGCTCGTCGCTTTCCTATAACGGTTGTCCTCGATTAGCGCGGTGCCTGGCCAGTGTCACTGGAAACACTAGGAAACCATCCAATTACATTGCAAACCGCGGTCGCGGTCTTCTTATCCCATAACAGCGGGACAGAGTATCTTCCCTTGTACTCTGCATCCGCACGGAAATAGACTTTATGCAAATAATCCTCGCCGAAGAGGTGATCGACCGTTGCGCCGGGATATTCGTCATCGGATTTGGGGAAGCACCAGCCCGGCCAACCTTTCTCGTCGCCCTTTGGGTACGGTTTGACGATGCTGATGTCGATAAATTCGGTTAGACCTTTCAGATGGCGGACGAAGTTTGCGCGGTGCGCGAAGGGGCAGAATAGGCCTATGTAGAGGTGGTAGCGGCCCTTTTCGGCGGGGAATTGGGCGCTGGGGATGACGCCATGCCAGCCATCGGTCGTTGCGGGTTTATGGATTTCACTTTGGGTGGACATGTTAGGAACAGCGGACTTGTGTTAGACTGGTATTGTACGGAGGAGTTATGGATTGTCTAATATGGAAGAGTCCTCGAAGGGGATAGAAATGCATAAATAGGCTGGGTACGTAGGAGATGATGGTGTCAAAGGGAGATGATGTGATAAGCGACGGAATCTTTCCGCTCATGAGTATCTTCTCTCCATGCAATTCAACATACCCATGACCTATCGCGAATAATGCTAAGCTTTAACCAGAAGATCAACCTCCCAACTGATTGCGGCTCAATGAAGATCCCCTTCCAAGTCGGAGTCGATCAAAGAGCGACAGCACTTGTACCTGGCGGGGAACCGTTACAACCGCCAATCCTAACAATTTCAGGGGTATAATCTTGGACCAACCAAACTCGCAAGAATCCACGGCTACGGAGTCCTCGTTGAATTAAAACGCCCCCAGCTTCGCCCCAACCTTCGCCCCGGCCATGGCTATGTGCGGCCAGACGGGCAAAGTCCTAATAATCTCCTGAGCGCCCCGAAACCCAAAACACCCACACTAACCCTTCTAGTGCCGCGCACCGACCAATGGCTCAGCCCACTCCTCGCTCGTGCTAACGAGGCTTGATCAGATCATTTATGGACACCGTTTTCCCACATTTCTAGCTCGCCATGGTGTCGCATTGTCGCCCACGGGGCTAAACTTAGCGCACGCGAGTGTCGCTGAGGTTTATGGTACCGACCATTGGAGCGATGAGGGCGGCGCTAGTCTCAGGCAGACAAATTAGTGCCAATTAACGGAGAATCAAAGTCCTTTTACAAACAGAAAGCTTGATCGCGTAGGATTTAAGTTGAGCTTGGCGGAGACCCTGAATTTCTGGAGTTGATCTGCGCTTTTTCTTCAAACCCCCCCCCCTTACGTCGGCGAGTGTCCATCGCCATGTGGCATTCGACGCCCGTACACTGGGTTGTCCATGTTTGCCTCGCATGGCTGGTGCTCCTGTGTACGCTTGCGACAGCCGAGCCCGTGCCCGTTGCTCTAGTTTCCAGGTCAACGGGGTCAAATCTAGGAATTGGAGAGGGCAGTTCTACGCTGCAGAAACGCGACAATGGCACTTTTTTGCTGCGGATTATGCCGTTAGGAGCCTCGATTACCAATGGGTATGGGTCGACAGATCACAATGGGTATCGGAAGGCGTTGCGACAGCAGCTTCGGTATGAAGGATGGCAGGTTAATATGATTGGGAGTTTGAGGAATGGGACAATGCATGATAATGTGAGTTGCATGTCAACAATCTACTGTACGAGCTGATGAAGTCCACTAACCATTTCCATAGCATCACGACGGACATTTCGGGTACAGAATCGACCAATTGGAAGCCAAAGCCCAAGAAACAATCCTCCAAAAACCGAACCTGATTCTAATAAAGTGAGTCCACATCTGCCTCGCCAAGAACCGACATCTAGTTTCGAGTATGGAGTACTGATCAGCGATTCAGCGCCGGGACAAACGACGCCGTCCAAAACCACAAAATATCCACCGCAGGCCTCCGCATGGACACCCTCCTAACAAACCTCTACACCTCCATACCAAACACGACGATCATTCTCTCAACACTCCTCCCTAACAAGAAACACCAAGACCGCGTCGACAAAATCAGCTCTCAATACCGAGACCTAGTTGCCCTGCGCCGACAACAGAATGATCGCATCGTTCTAGCCGAAATGAGCTCCTTCATCACATTGTCCCAGCTCGTTGATGGGACCCACCCGGATGATCAGGGGTATCAGGAGATGGCGGCGGTTTGGTGGGCTGCCGTGAAGGTTGCAGAGGGGGAGGGGTTGATTCAATCTGCGGAGGACACGGGGCTAGATGGGAGGATTAGTGCAACTGTCGAGGCAAAGTTGGACGGTGGGGATAGTATTGCGGATCCTGGGTTGCCGGCTTATACGGCGCCGGCGCAGCCGACTGATGTTAGTATGGGGAGTGTGGTGGGGATTGAGATGAGTGGACTACTTGGAGTGTCATTTGTTGGTAAGTGGTGAAGGTGGCTACCCTATCGGGGCTGATCTGGATACTAATTCGGTTTGCAGTTGCTTTTGGTCTCTCCGTCCTTGCGTGATGATAATTGTCATCATGATAGATCCCTTTGGAGGTATATGAATCGTGCATCTGTATTTAGAGGCGTTGGGGTGTTCTGGAATATGCATCTTGTCACGTAGACGTGGCAATGTACATAAGATAGCTGATACCATTGATAGAGATTTGTTTAAGAGCAACTCGTGCATACTGCTGTGGCTATCCTCCATTACCACACTAAGGAGGGATCATTTTCAAGAGAAAGGTCAAGTAAATGGACGTGGATTCATACAGTCATTTCTACATAACGATCAAAACCGATCAAGAAAAGGACGACCACAGACATCACAAAGCACCGAGAACGCCCGAGCCACGAAATCCAACGAAAGATATGTAACCTACAAAATCCGTACAAAACACCATCTCCAACCATAAAAAATAGGGGTATATGACGCAAAATACAGAACCATTTAACGCCATAGTTTCAATCGGAAGAATGGAGATGATGAAACCTCTCACTGCCACCCTAAGACCGATACTGTCCAGAGGGTGGAAACGGCTGATTTTCCTGTCCCGAATTCGTCTATTTATTCCCAGGCGACGCAAAGGGAATTGGACTGCTAGACGTGAAAACGGGGAGACCTTGCTTGGTTTGTCCAGCGGCCATCGGAGGTGTGTACGTGTTTGCTTGGGGACCCGGGAACTCAGGGGCTTGTGTGAGATTCGGCGTGAATGGTGGTGAAGTGTTCGTCCCGAAGGAAGAGTGTTCCTGGGAAACCGATGCCGGGATGGACGGGACAGAAGGCCACTGCGAGACTGCGGAATCTGAATCTTGCATAGTCACGTCCATCATGCTGGAATCGGCAGAGTCCGGTAGGAAAGAGATGGGTTGCGTCTCGGTCCTTCCCTGTTTCATGGGTTCGAGTCCAGGATGTCGAGGGGGCGAACTGCCCGATGCGACGAGGGGGCGTGTAAGTGATGTTTTTCCACGAGGTGTTCTGGCAGTGGTGGCCTTTCGGGGCGATCTGCCAGGGGACTTGGGAGTCTTAGTCTTGGTCAATCTTGATTTGCGTTCTTCAGCCGCCTTCTTCTCGCGAGCTGCCTGCTCTTCGGGGGGTGGCAGTTTCAGCTTGATCCTTTGAAAGCCAACAGAGATGTTCTCGACCTCATTGGCAGGTGATGTCGGCGTGGCTTCATCTGTAGGGTTTGAGGGCAGATAAGCCGCTGGCACCTTGGGTACTGGAGGTGCTTTTCTGGGACTTGCGGACCGTCTGGGGGTATCCATCCGCCCACTCGTCCTTCTGGCGTCGGAAACCTTCGTGGGTGTAGCCACGACCGCAGGGTCCACAACGAGTTCGCCTTGTGCACTAGTCAAATCGCCCATACTGATGGGCTCAGTTGAGACCGTGCTGGCATTGGAACTTTTCCTGCGGCCTGCATCCACAGACGGAGACACCTCGCCCGACGTATCAGGCAAATCATTCCCATCAATCGTTCTGCGACGGTTCTTGCGCATAGCCTGCTGCCGAGGTGTCGCTCCTCTCGGCGAAAACGGTGCTGGAGACTTTGTTTTTCGCACGCGTAGCAAACGCCTCTCCTCCGGCGGCGGAGGGGGTGGAAGAGTCGCAATTTTGACACCATCCAAGGCTAATTGGCGCTCACGGCGCTGCCGAGATGCCTCTGCATTCAGATCATCGGCTTGACAGCTCATGGTCTGGCGGCTCTCGTCGGGAATGAGAACCTTGGACAGCTCGTACGCTGCCGTCGCCCAGTCAACATCCGGAGGTGGCGGAGTGACACCAGTGTAAGAGCCGAAAGACTTGCGATCCCGACTGGCAGAGAGGACTTTTGCATCGAATGATTTTGTAGAAGCGAGGAAAGTGGGTGGCGTTCTCTCACGCTTGATTTGCGGAGAGGTGAGAGCCTCTAGTTCGGATAGGTGATCCGAAGACCACCACTTGCTCTCATACTCAACTCCAGTGGGAACAGAATCATCCAGGGATGCATTGTAATCAGCCAGTCCGGCAAGGTGGCTAAGGACACCGCTTGTCAAAGCTCGGTCACTATAACCACCTTCCAACACGCTGATCACCCGTCCATCCACACCAAGACCTTCCTCCCGGGACATGCGCACAACATCAGCCGTAAACCGAGCATAGAACTCGGTTGGCACGTTGACTTTGTGGCGCTGCATGCCACTGCCCTCCCATTCACTAGCATCGAAACCAGCCGAAATGAAGATGGCAGCCTTGGGAGCAGGCCGGCCGGGAGTCTGAGCGAGTCGCTGGGATTGAGCACGTAGGAAGTTACGCGCTTTGTTGATCAAGGTAATGTACTTGGTCCGGTACAATTCCCAAAAATCGGCTTCATTCTCCCATGTCTCCAGGTGGACATTCCAGACAGACTGGCCATGCGAACCATCAACGCATACGCTCGCGTTGCGCACTTTGTCCGGTTCACCGCCCTCGCATGGGTAGGAGTTGATATCATGGAGACTGTAGTATCCAATCGCAGTTTTCTTGTATGCTGGCGCATTCTTCGCGGCCATGGATGCCTTGTAGTTGTGGTCCCACACGATATCCTGAGACCCATCACCGTGGTGTAGATCGAAATCCAGGATAGCAGCATGAGTCAGCCCATGGTTGATTGCCGCATAAGAGATTCCAACAAGAACGTTGTTGACCCAGCAAAAGCCAGAAGGAAAATCGGCGGAACAATGGTGACCGGGTGGCCGAATGCAAACAAAGGCCCGCGTAGTCGGACCTTGGTCAAAAACAGCATCGATCCCGTCACATACACCACCCAAAGCACCCTGGAATGCATCAAGTGATTCGGAGCAGAGGTAGAGATCACCAGAGTGGAGTTCTGGCGCATTAACAGCACCCTCGCTGCCCTCGGGGCGCGGGCGAACGAGTTCCTTACCGCCTAGTGCGAGGCGCGACTCTGCAACATCACACATTCCTTTCAGATCGGTCATCCACTGAGCACCATGCACATTTGTAACGGCAAGATCATGAAGTGGCAGTGAGCGTGACGTCTTGCGAATCTGGAAAGGCGGGGGAGGAAGCAGAGATAGATCTAGATCAGGCCGGAGCGCAAACCGTTCTCCCTCATGTCGACGACCCATAGAGACATATGCCGCAGAAATTCCCAGTGCACAGGCACGAATGCGCTCGGGTCTCTCCACGATTGAGGCCAGTGCCGCCTTTGAGGCGCGGGGGCGCGAGAATCGGTGCCCATAGCAGGCATCATGGACAACCACCACTGTGTTGGACTTGAGATCCACGATCTGGTGCAAATCTACTTCTTTGCGAAAGTGTTCTGCAGCCACCGTAGCTGCTGTCGGAGCTTGCGCCTCTGTTGGGGAGAGTGCCAGGCGCGAAGCCATCGCGGGCGAGGTAGAGGATGTTGGCGATGCCGGGTGGTTGGGAGAAGAGCGACGTGCGGAGGCTGGGATCGGAGATGTAGGACCGGTTAATCTCAGTGATGCTGTAGATGGGCGTTTCTGAAGTGTGGGGATCGATTTGCGATGCTCGTCACGTAGAGAGTTGGAGCTGGGGGTCCGTTTTGGTACCGGCACGTTTGCACTGGTGATCGTGGGACCAACAGGTTGGGAAACAGATCGCAAAGATGTAGTAGATGCTCTCTTCTGAAGGACTGGGAGCGTTCTACCGTGCTCGTTACGCGACGTACTTGGGTGAGAGCTGGAGTCGCGTTTCGGGGTCGGCGCGCGGTCAACGGCGATAGCGATGGGGGGATTTGGTTGCAACGCGCCATCGTGAGGAGGTGAACTAGACGGCGATGGAGGTAAAGGAACGGCCGCAGCACTTGCCAGAGTCAAGCGATTCAAAGAGTCCGACAAATCCCATTGAGATGGTGTCGTCGTCGCCATTGTGTTTCGGTCGTTATCATGGACCCGCGGAGGCGGATCACCCTGAGGGGCTTTGGAGGGGTCCATGATGTAGGAGCATAGAACGGCGGGCACTATCGAGTCAAACGCGTTTGTAATAGACGGAAAGATCTGTGAGATCTTAAGGTGTGAGAGTTGTAGGAAGATGGAACACGTCGCTAGATAAAAGGTAGGGGAGGGAAAGTGAAAGGCGCGGGATGAGCATGTGCTTTTAGTCCAACTTTCTCCCTCTTTTCTACAGTGGCTGCCTCTTGGGGCAAGGGGTCAGTCGATCTCTACCATACCAAACACAAGACATTCTTGTACCCGTTCCTCAGCCACTTGTTTCACTTGAATAGTTTTGTTGGCACGGAGTAGTCTGGATGAAAATGGAAATGTTTACGGACTCGAATCCAGTTTCCCGAGTTTACCACGATAAAAGTCCGACAACGCTTATTCGCAAGCCGCCTTTCCTGTTATCTACACAATCTGCGGAGTCCCGATCCACAACGAGCTTTATTCCTTTACAATAATCAACCGAATCATGGTCATCTAAATATCTAATCAAGATTTTTCTATCTATCTTTGAATCTTTTTTCAGAGTCTTCTGTAGATCAAAAAGGTAGAAAGTGCCATGAATCCATAGCCCATAAAAAGCAGAAACAAACCACGCCCATAAAGAGCTCCACTCCTAGTAGCCGTTGCCAAATCCAAAAAAATAACTCAAAATCAGCCTGAACACCAAAGCTGAAAGCATAAACATGAAAAGAAGTCAGCCTCTATGAAAGAGGATTTTACTCAGAGAAGAGGGCGTTCAAAGAGTACGCAGCGCAATCATCTACCGCGATCGCAACCCTCTCCATTGATACCATTGGAACCACCGCCGACCTAGAGAAGCCTTCTCCTCGTAAGAATCCTGAGACCGACGTCGAATCTTCTTCTCCTCCTTTTTAGTTTCCTTCTCAGTCTTGAATCCCCGGGTGGCATGAGAATTGCAGAAGCAATGCATGTGAACGGTTTCAATACTGATGCCGGGACAACTATTGCGACGGTGACCCGAGCAGACGCTGTTACCGGCGTCTTCCTCACAATGGCACCATTCGTAGAGAGTATAGTATTGGCGACACATAGTGGATAATGGAATTGGTGAAAGATATATGCACCGTGTGTTGGGATAGTTTTCTGAGAGGGCTTTGTGCTTTTGCCGGTCTTCAGGAGTAGATGCGTGCTTCCTTTAGGATCCACTTGAGAATCACTAGTAGTGAAGACTGGTGGGGGTGCGGTGGAGAGAGAGAGCTTAGGAATGCGCAATTGAAAGCCGAGAGGATCCGGGACGGTAGGGGACGTGGTCTGCCCGTTGATGAAAGTTTGGAGAGGTCAATTGATCAAATTGACTGTGAATATGACTGGTAGAAAGTGGTTGATGGTGCTTGTGGTGAGAATCTGGGGCAGCGTGGTTCACGAGCGAGTAGATGTGGAGACCAGCGTGGCGGGAGAGTCAAGTAGAGGGTTTCCAATTCAAGGAACTCAATAAGATAGTGACAGAAGAAAGAGAATCAGACCAGCTGAGGGGGAGAGAAGTGGGGGAGTGTAGAAATAGAAGAGAGCCAAAAAAAAAAAGAATTGAGAGACTGGTGGATCGGACACTTTATGTTCTAGATTGAGTGTGCAGAAGAGACGAAGAAAGAGAGAAAGGGAAGAGTGGGTGCCGGGTTTAGTAGAGCATCGGCCTAAAAGTAATAATGAATAAAGAGTGAATTGGGCAATGGACTCATGAAGGAACCATGGTCAATGGTTAGTCTGACGTCAAAGAAGGGAAAAAAAGGGCTGGCGTGTAATACTACGAAGGGAAGAAAAGATATTAATACAAGAATAAATAAGAATAGGCTCCCGGGGCTGTCAAAATTTGTAGTTCGTCTGCTCGAGCTAGTCTGATCCTGCGGACCGCACCGGGAACTTACTCCATCCGTCTGGCGGATCGAGGGGGGAAAGTTACATCTTCTGTCTAGGGAACCAGTCAACCAGTCAAGCAGGTGACAGGGGGTGGTATTGACAGTCTGGGCAAAGGCCGAGAATAGACCGGGGGACTACCTGCTGGCCTAGCTCAAGTCAGGTACCAATCATGAAATACGCCGGGGGCCAGGCCGCGTAGCTTAAGCGAGCGCCTTATAGGGTATGGAGTATGGTACGAATGAATGGTGGCTGATGTGAGGTAACGAAAAAGAAATCTGATGACTATTGTCTTGGCTGAGGCTAAAACACAAATACAATGGAAAGGACAGAACAACACTCCGGTGAAAGAAAAGAAACCAAGACGATTACGACAGACAACGGGCGCTTCGAAGTTGTTAAAATTAGGCCGTAGACGAGCTTGGCTGATTGAGTCGTAAATCCTACGGCATCGAAGAGGGTTCTACAGTCTAGCCCGGACCTAAACGGCGACTATCAGACTAATCTGATCGACAGGCTCCAGAAAAAAGACGAATCAGGGCTGCAAAGACGAGACCAGGGTCTCTATATCCGACGCGGTTGGTTCGTGATTGGCCGGCCCGCTGTCAGGGCTGCCGCCAGGAGCCGGAGTGGGTTGCTGGGCCAGTGTCAGTTGGCGCCGACCAGTTGCAAGGAGTCATTCGAGAGTCATTCGGGGAAAGTGGTGGGATCAGTAATTGGCTGGGAAAACTTGGGTGCTGGTGGATTCACGTCACAACGTCGGCAGTCCTAGCGTCGCATGGACCGAAGAGAGATGATGAGCTGACCAGATGAGATCACGTCGATCCGGACGCAAACGGATCTGAAGAAAACCTGGAGAATCGGGGTTGACCTGTGGCGGGCGGAGAGATGTGGCTGGTGGAATGAAACTGGAATCCCGGGGCTATGTGGCGCAGTTTTTCAGATCAGGTGATCTACTTCTCCGCGGCGATCGCTGCCTCAGGCCGTTATCAGCGGAGTTAGTGCCCGTTTTGCTCACGAAGCTCCATGGATTTCTCCAGTTTGCCTTTCCTCGGCTGCACCAGGAGACCACTTTCCCTTCTACACTTCCAACTCTCCTTCACCACACTATACAATCCATACTATTCCTCCCTCCAACATCTACATCCACAATTCCCCTCTTTGAATTCAGCATTGCCATGACAACCCCATCCACAACTACACAACCCGACATGGCCGCCAGCCCCGCGCGCACCTCAACCCTCCTCGCCAACCTGGCCGCCGTAACAAAAAGCATCGCAACCGCATCAACTCACTCCCCAACACCGACAAAACCAGTCCGCCTCGTCGCCGTCTCTAAACTCAAACCCGCTTCTGACGTCCTCGCCCTGCACAAATCCCCCGCCGCGCAATTCCACTTTGGCGAAAACTACCTGCAAGAACTCCTCGAGAAATCGCGCCTGCTGCCGCCTACTATTAAATGGCATTTCATTGGTGGATTGCAATCGAATAAATGCGTCACGCTAGCACGGGATGTACGCGGGCTTTGGGCCGTCGAGAGCGTGGATACCGAGAAAAAGGCTACGCTATTGGATAAAGGGCGTGGCGAGCGCAAGCCCGATGCTGAGGAATTGGAAGCCGAAGCTCAAGCTGCAGAGACGGATAAAGATGCCGATTCCCGGCTGCGTATCTACGTGCAGGTTAACACCTCTGGCGAGGAGAATAAAGCGGGTGTCGAGCCCGCGGCGGCACCGGCGTTGGCGAGACACATTCGTGAGAAATGTCCCCGGCTTAAATTGCAGGGTGTCATGACTATCGGTGCTATTGCGCGGTCAAAGGCTACTACTACCGAGAACGAGAATGAGGATTTTGTTTGTTTGCGCGAGACGCGGGATCGGATCGTTTCTGAGTTGGGGTTAACCGGGGCGGATGCGGAGTTAGAGTTGAGTATGGGAATGAGTCAGGACTTTGAGGGGGCGATTGCGCTGGGAAGTGATCAGGTTCGTGTCGGGACGACCATTTTTGGAGACAGGCCTCCCAAGTCTGAAGCTAGGGTTATTTGAACCTGTCGCGGGCTTGAGAACGGTGGATTGAGGGTCGTACTGGTGGATTACGAGCCATCATGGTTGCATAATTAAGCGAGAAATATCGCTGCGTCGTCTCTAGAGCATCATGAAATATGTGTCAACCTATGGGAGTGGAAAAGAAAAATGTCTGGATAGATTTACAATACGGTATATCACTCTTCCAGTTGAGGTTATACAAAAGTACATACGAGGCATCCAAATGAACGCTCGCTGATATTTGGCTGGGAAGCTATTCAAAAGATATACATGCATGCCCCCATTCACCATCGCTTACATTATGCACACCCATCCCCCAGCCATCCCTTCCGTCTCGCAATCCTAATCTGCCGATAGAGATCCCTCTAGTCATAAGCATCTCTGGTAGTTCCCTGAGATAGTTTCTGCTCCATCTGTCGCGCCAGTCCCTGCGGCACCCCTTCTTTAGTGGCGCGGATAGTAACTCGGTACATCTATCACGAGGTTAGTATTTATACTCAAACAACACAAGATATGATGTATACATACCGACTTCTCATAGTTGGGCTCCAGTCGCAATAAACAACCCGTCTTGCCCCCTTCAAACTGGAACACGCCGCAACCGACAATGTTCTTCGGGTTCGGATCAACGCCATCCAGTATTTTCCACGCGAATCCTTCCACCATCTGTCGAGTATAAGCCTCGTTGGTCACCTTGTTCTTGCCGCTCAGACCAAAGGTCTTTTGTGCCTCCAGAGGGCCGCCGCCAATCTGGCGCCAACGCTTGAAGAAGTCTTCTGCAGAGAGCGACGATGGCTCCATATATCGGTGCATCAGAACCGGCAGCTGCAGGGTATATGCCTGCAGAGCACCGGCAAGGTAGGAGATACGGATAGTGGGGGCATCCGAGAAGGGACCGTGCGAAGCGCAGAAGATAGTCTGCTGGGTCTGCCCCGCTGCAGGAACGCTGGAATCGGGGAGGTTCTTGGTGTCGATCTTCAGGTTTGGTGCAGCCGGGTTTTCGATGGTCGTTGTCAGGGAGTTGATGGCGTAGGCTGATTTGTTTGAAATGTACATCTTCACGACACCCATGTGACCACGGTACTCTGACCGCAGTCCGACTTGGATCTGGGCATCCTCAAAGAGTACACCCTCGTGCGAAAAGTAGAGTCGGTTGTAGCCAATGTCCCAATCTGGAGTCAAGTGTGCGGCACTGGCGAGGTTAGGAGGAGGGGCCGATGGGCCGCTAAAGTCTAGACCAGCCAGATCACCCGAAGCACTGGCGGCACTAGTGGCGGTAGTTCCTCCTCCATTGGATCTTGTGCGCGTACCGTTGACGATAGTTGTAAACGTGCGCTTGAGGCCAGTGTTCTGTGCCATGAGGACTTCTTGCTTGTCCGCATTGGCGTCCTTACCACCAACAACCCAGGTCTTCTTCTCGCTAGTACCCGCCGTCTTCTGGTGCAGACGAGACAAAAGAATAGAGGTTCTTTCAGAAAAGGGCGGCATTTCATCACAGACTGTTCGAAGAAGGTCGTCCGTGGGGAGTGTTGCCAGCGAGAGATACTCAAATGCCCGCTGCTGCAACTCAGAATCCGGGGAGTGGCTATAGAGGCGGAAGATCTGCAATAGTTGCGGTTTAATCTCAGGGAACAAGTTGACAAACTTGACAAAGGAAGACAAGATCATGGCCCGAGCATTATCGGATCCGGTGAACATCTTAGCCTGTAGGGCGAGGAACTGCTCAATTGGACTTGATCCAGAATTATCAGCGATTAGGTGGCCAAATTCGCCAAGTACATAGCAGCCAATCTTCACCAAGCTCTCATGACAATCGGTCTTGAGATACCCGAGTAGCGTGTGAGCCGCATAAGCCTGCAGCTCTTCATTGTTCGTCACGATCTGAATGACTCGCTGCCAAACTTCCTCGTTGACGTGGTCACCAGCTAGTGACAGCAGCTTCAGGGTCATATCGATGTACCATTGTGCGTCAGTGGCGTACTTCTCTGTCAAAATTGCGACCTTCAGCACCATCTCTTCGCGAATTGCATAGTCGGCGGTCTGCAGATAGCGCAGTAGCTCGTTAACAATCGGGCCCGCATTGGTGGTATCGCACATGCTGTACAGTAGATCCAAACCCTTACGACGGACACTGATATCTCGGTCTCGAAGAGAACCCAGAATTATGTTCTGGTGCTTTTTGATGGGATCGAGTGTTTCTGCTCGAGCAGCGAAATGGGTTAAGGCATCCAAACCCAGATACCGGACGTTGGTCTCGCGAGATTGGATGTATTTGCCCAGACGAGTGGAGATTTGCATCATAAGTGTATGCTCAGAGTCAAGGTGGATGAGGAGGTTGATGGCTTCGAAGAGAATGGCATTTTGAGCATTGTTCTGCTGGACGTTTTTAGGCGTTTCCATGGCGGCCTGCATGATCTGCGCCAAGGACTCTCGGATAATCTCGCGGACATGGCTGTCCTGCGAGGGGGGATAGTATTGCAGTAGGCGTAGTAGCTTGACCTGAATCCATGGGCATGGGACTCGGTAGTAAAGATAGTCGGGTGCGATATCATTATCCACCACGATCCGCTTCAGCCTCTGGGCCGCTTTCACGTAGCTGCCCTTATATTCTTCGGGCATGTCCTGGGCGAGAGCCATAACGAGCGAGGTGACGGATAGGGTGACTCCCATATCAGGGTCGTCCATGATCGAGATAATACGTTCGGCCCATTCATTCCGCACGATTCCTGGGTACTTGCGGTACAGCCGGAGCAATGTGAGGGCGGCCTTTTTCTTGACGAACGCTTTAGAAGTTCTTTAAAAGGTTAGCTTTATCAATTCCTAGATCCAAGGTTATCACCTATAAGACTCACGGTGAGATCAGGAGCCGGTGGACCTCGGTCGCCAATGCTTCTCCGAGTTCCCGACCACCCACATTGGCCACGGCATGGAGCGCCAGACAATTGAACAATTCATTGTTGTCCAACAGATCTTTCCGAATGCTGTTCACGACCAGATGAAGCAGCTCGTGCTCCTCGTGCAAGAACAAAGTCACGGCTAGATAGCCGATTTGCTTCTCGGAGTATTTATTCGAAGAGATGAGATTGACCGCCTCCAAGTGTCCAAAGTCGACATCATAGCCCTGAATGTAGACGTAAAGCAGCTTGCAGACATATTTCTTCTTCTGGTAGCCGTTCAGATTGCCAGCCTTGAACTTTTGCCGGATGTTGGCCAGCTCCTTATTCACACGTTTCTCCTCCAATTCCCGCGCCCGCGCATTGCGCAGGTCTGCGATGAACTGGACAAGTCCTCGCATAGAAGACATGATGTCGGATTTTGTTTATGATGTAAGCCGCAGGCCCTGGGGAAATGCTCGGGCAATTTCACAGCGTACGAGTCGGTATTTTCGGGGGTGGGGTTCGAGGTACAGTGTCGCATGCCACGAGGTCACCTCAGGGGTTCGTGATCGGACTGACCACGTCACACAACCATGTCCCTGTTATATTGTGTCGTCGATGGAGCATTGGCTATCGGGAGTTCGGCGACAGGTCTACCGGATGCGTAGGCCGGAGGAAGGAGAGCTTCGAAACAGGGGGTTGTGCGGGTCGCAGGCTATCTTAGGGGATTGTCAGCAATGACGAGGTGCAAACCTATCGCCTCACACAGCACCGAACAATCATCATACCGGAGCAAGGGATGTCAAATTAAATGGTCTTCAAAATAAAGACCAAGAACTTGGGAAGTCAAGATGAGGGCCACCTCCATATAACACGTCCCGCGTGGTCTTTCACTTGGCTACTTCCGCCGTTGATCGCCGGGGCTCCGCTGTGGCACGGCGGAATAATGATGATGCGATGTGGCGGTACAGTTTTCGAAGTAGATGTCAGACTATGGTTATGCTAGGTTGATTGACGTTGCGTTTGACATTCATGGCCTAGGATTCCTCTTTCATTTAAATTGCCTTAAATGTGCAGGAAATGGCACCCTCCCTGCTGATTCTACCTGTTAAAATTCAACGCATCATGTATGAAGTTCTCCATCTCTCCAAGCAAGCCATTGGCGTGGATCAAATTATATCACCAGCTGATCTCGGATATATTGGGAAGTTCAAAGATCTCTTTTAACCCATCCTACCCCTGAATCCCCACCAATACCATGAAGCGTTCAATATGCCCTACTTGAAGAACGAATTTTGTGCATCAGTTTCGCACATAATCGGGGTGACCAATGCAGCTCGGATATAATATTAACTCAGTAAATAACTTAGTTGAGAGAAAGACCAGAACAAAAAAAAACATACAACAGCCAGGATTCGCATGTGGTCACCCACCATACTACTAACTGGCCGGCGTGTGGCTTAAGTACGGCTGAGCGGACGGGAAGCCCTGTTCTCCACACCCTATGGTCGTATGTACTTGTTTAATGATAGAAAAGATATATAATCTCCATCCATCCTAAATATCATTTCACACTGATTTAGCGTCACACGAAAGTGTGTGTAAGTATCTGCATCTATGATTGAGTGGTCTTTGCCAGTCTTTCCTGGGACACATGCTGGATATTCAACAGTATCCGAGACCCTTTCAAGACCATCTGATCCCGTTTTCCTAGCCTCTCTAGGCTTTGGATACATCATCACAATTTCCACTTCCTATTAAACCAGGGGTCCCACGAGCAGCACGAGGAGTTCAATTGTATTAGTCTCGCCGGCCATACAAAGTAAGGGCTCTCTTCTTCTCTACCGATCGTGGAAAGTGTTGTTCTAGAGTATGCTTAGCTCACTCTCGAGGCCGTCTTTCGTAGTTACTATTTTTTGCTGACTCATGTATCACCTTTGAATATGTTTTTGACTATGGCTACGGTCCAGGGGTTGATATATGATCGGACCGAGTCAAGTAGAAATGAAATTGGTACATTATCTTAAAATACAATCATTATTAAATGCCAGTTAAAGTATGATCAGGACCCGGAGCGTCAGAGCTAGGTCGACGTATACTACAACGGTCGTGCATCGCTGCTTCTTAAAATAACGTGAAGCACCAAGCGTGGTGGATATTTGACGAAAAATTGGGGTGATCATGATGTGGGAACTTTTGCAAAGGAAACATGAGCATAATGGCAGCTTGGGAGGTAAGCCATCAGTGAAGCTCATTCATTTCTTTCCGGGGCAATTTCCAGTAGCGTTCTCTCGCTTTCAATGGAATATTTTGATCTCTAGTTTCTTGTAGCTACCCCAGTGCGGTATATAGAATTCCAATATTTGAGTGATAGCATGATTTTATTTCATGGCACAAAATGGGCCACGTACGAATACTATGGATCAAACTATTTTGTAATAATGCAAAGCAAGCCCGGTATGGCTCCACCGAAACGCCAGCCTTCCCAAACCCAGAAGATAATGCAACTTAAGCCTTAAGCAAACCCCAGAAATGCATGGATCATCAATCAGCAGCGTCAATTAGCAAGGTGATTTATGCGCGGTTGGTGAAGTCCTGCTCCAGAGCAGACTCAACAGCTTCGGCCTTCTCGCAGGTGCAGGAAGCTACAGCATATGTTAGAATGTCTCGTCATTTTGATTCATCGTTCGAAACATACCAGAAGGACGGCTACCACAGGAACAAGTCTCGCCCTGGACGGGCTTGTTCTCGGAGACAGCTCGCTCACAGGTGCACTGACCAGCGGGGCGAGAGCCTAAAGATAATATTAGTATCAAAAACGTTTGATAAGCATCTGGATAATCGGGAAGAGATTCAACTTACGGCAAGAGCAGCGGGGGCCCGAGATCTCGTTCTCAGAGGAAGCCTTATTGCAAGTGCAGTGGAGGGCAGACTCCTTACCGCAGGAGCACTTGGCCTGGGCAGCGCAGACACAGCCTGCACCCTGGGTAGTCTTGCAGCAAGTAGAAGCGACCATTTTGACGGTGTTTGTTGGTAGATTGAGTTGAGATAAAGTGGGTCTTGGTAGATAAGCTTGCAGCTTGATGGTAATGCACGGAAATTGCTGGTGTGAAGCTTGAGAGCACGGAAAAAGGTATTCTTTGAGATTAAAGTAGCAGTGACGATGAAGATGGAATTAAGTAAAAAATAAGTAGGGAAGTAGTGATTTTATACCCGTCTGAATGCGTCACAGCGATGTGGCCTGATTATTATTACCTGTGCGTTGATTGGCTGGTAGATATAGGTCACGTGGAATGGTGGTCATATCTCTCGGCCATTGATTGGCTGAGGTCCCTGGGTGACTCTGTTACTAGGAAATGGACACCTTATGACTGGCTGGTTCCTCATTGATGACCATTCCCCTTCTCTTGATTCGATAGATAACTCAGATCTTGGTCATTATAAGCTCTCGTCCAAGCAGCGTGGAGATAATTGCACAGAGATAATTGCACAGGAGGTGCAGACGTGGAAGGAAGCTCCCAGAAGTTGCTGAGCTTCTACGACCAGGCAGGTTGTAATCAGGGCACGGGAAGTGGGGACAGGAGGCTCGAAGGAAACAGACCGTTCGCAGCCCGAGTATGAATGTAAATTTTCAGGACTTTATAAACCTTTTTCTTAGATCTAGTATCTAGTTATTGCGAATCGGTGAAAGACGTAGCAGTCAGGGAATAAATACTAATTACTTACCGACATGCCTGCGAAACAGTGTCCAGGGAATTTGCTCTCTTCACAAAGTTTTCGGATCATCTCTTAGTCCAAAACGACTATTTCGTGAGTCGTTGATAGCTTCTTTGTGGGCAAATCCCTTACGAGGTATATGCAACCTGAGTCAGGCCCTTCCTACTCATCAACTAGGTGTTTGTATCATGCACGACTATTTACTAATTTTCATCTCTGCATTTAGAGATTCTCTACCCGATCTCTTCTTACTATGTTAGTACCAATATGCCTTCTCTTATTCCCGAGATCTGGTTCCGCCTTGTGGTAGGATTTAGGCTCGGATCCTAGACGAAGACCATCATGCTCGCTTCGGCAACGTGGTCAGTAGAAGTGGCGCTGCTATTTTCGACGTCGATGTGTATGTATTTCAGGAAACCATTGTTTCCAGAGCATATCAACGTAGATTCGCCACCGAGATCTTGGAGATCTATACTTGTCATGTGATGTAGAGCAAGACCTATATATCCAAGCTTGGGCCCAGGCTAGCGAGTGGGCACTCCGAACTTCTTGTCTCACTCTCTTTGAAATTGAAAATTCCACGTGGCACTGCTCGATTCAGGGAACATGCAATCAGTGTCCGATGAGTATAACAATCCATCCAACTGGATCGTTGTTTGGACTGAGCTTCGGGTGCCTATCGGACATGAGTCTGATAAACAACGATGGGCCGAATATTTCCAACCCTTAGTACAGGCTGCGGGCCACAAAAAGTCAAAATGGGCTCGGCTTCGCTTCAGCCCGGAGAAAGTGATTCTAGGCACACGTAAGTCATATCCTTCAGAAGCGATACATAATAGCATTCCGATTGAGGTCAATTTACTGACAAGGCTCCTATATCTAGATTGGTCTAATAGCTTAGCGTGCAGGGAGTTTGAAAGCTCTCCGTCAGCTCAGCTTTTCAGGGAACAGCTTGCGAACGACGGGATTACATTTCTGGCATGTCATGAGTTTCCTGACGATTGGCACCATTGGTTTCAATCGTTATTGCCCAGACGTTTTATCCACATCTTCTGGGTCTACTTTAAAGTCCCAGTAACGGAAGAGCAGAAGCAAAGGGTTAGGAAAAGAGTTGGTATTCGCCCGCCTGCCGTGTTAAACCTCCAACCCAACCAAAGACTGCAACCACGTCTTCCTGTGCCGTTATGGGCTAATCGTACGGAGTACCTACATGGCGAAGAGGTTCAACTACTGCTATGGCCACATATCTGGAGAGATGAGGAGGCAGCGCTTTGGAGGCTCATCAAGTCCAGACACATCAATTCCTTTGGTGAGACGAATGTAGATAGATTTCATGGTTTTCTTCGTGATATCGGCTCGATGGAATTCAAGGAAGACTATTGTCACTTTGAAGAGCTTCCACGCCTATGAGTACGGTCGGAGTTCTCTTGTTTTTGAAATTTCTGCCCTTAAATTCCCAGTCTCGTGTATGTTGTAAGCGAGGGGTTCAACACCTATTATTGTATCGGGTAACTCCGCGGTACAGATTTTTGAATTCTTGTCAACTTGTCAAACATGTCATAGCTTCAGGGAGAAAAATACCGGCACTACTGAAGCTTGGTCACATCGATATTCTGCACGACTTCCTCGTAAAAAATAATTGCGAAGCGGCTATCATCGTCCGTAGACTTGCAAGAGAGGCATTTGACCACGGCATCACGATAGGCCGGACCCATGTGATGTGGCAGTCGCCGTCTTGCTATCTCGATGTAGAGATTTTGCATCGCATGCGGGTTCATCATGACACCTTCCTTGAGTTTCTTGGTCGCATTCTGGTGGATACTCATCGCAGTTTGCCAGAGTCCAATTTCCAGCAGGACCACTCCCAGACTGTAAATGTCATGCATCTTCCGAAAACTGACAGTAGGCGCACCCTGCCGGTCTGGATGTCGATAGAGATTTCTTTCTAAGTTGTTATCGAAGGTGTATTGTGTCTCCGCGGTCTCAGGTCGTGCGAATTCAAAGTCTACGAGAAAGGGATCTGCGTAGAGCGGAGATGACTGGGAAGCTTTGTCTTGGAAAAAGATGATCGACTGGCTCCGAATCGACTTGTGGACCCACCCGTCGACATGAAATGCGGAAATTGCCCTGGTCACGTCTTGCGCTACATGAAACCGTTGAGGCAATGTCAGTCGGGAAGCTGATCCCGCAGCAGAATCCATCAGTGCATGTAACGAAATAGGTTCCACGTCGGCAGCCTGGGAAGGGAAATTAAAAATGAAGGCGTATCGACTTTGTTGCGGTAGATCAATGATGCCGCGGAAGCTCAGAGTACTCAGATTGTCCTTTCCTGCAGACGAGAGAAGACTGGCGAGCTGGTGGACACGATCCACTGTTACCGTATCTGGACGTGCGTCCGCATTATCTTCGCCATATTTCTTAAATTCGACCAATACCCTGTCCGTCTCTTTCTCCAACGAAGATGAAGGCTCGGAAAGACTTGCCATCGTCAGACACTCCCGGTCCAAAAGGGCGTCCAGCGTGGCGTTCTGGAGAAAGAAGTTTGTCTGGTGAACAGCAGGCTCTATAGTCAACTTGCGCAGACGTGCGTGCGGTGCCATACCCAGACGGTTGGAATGTTCGTTGGAGATGAGACTTTCCAAGACTGCCGAGCTATTGTAGCGAGGGTGAAGTGCCAGCATCAAGGGAACCAACTCTTTGATCTTTGACGTCCACTTTTTGAACTCCTGGAGAAACCGTTCAAATTTGCGCCTCTCAAACAGTGCCCATTTCCATGACTCCCAGTTCGCTGTCGATCGTGACGACATGAACCATTCGAAGATGAAGTTCTTCCGTGGGCGGAACTTCAACGCCCCGTTGTTCGGGGCGTCATCCGTGTGGATTTCGAGTGGAAATTCTATAAGTTTGGACGTCGCGGTAGAATTGTGGAGGTAAGGGGAATACGTTTGGTAGTCGTTGTCCTGTGCCATAGCAAGCTTTGCATAATCTCCGCACTGTAGCCGCAGTCTCTCAAGTATCGAGTAAACTTCTTGTAGCCATTGCTAGGGGCATGGACCACCTTTTAGCGATATTGACTTCCCTGTCTTTTCCGTCCTGCCTCTTTCTCGGTTCATACCCTGCTGATAAGGAGGTTTTTACTTACGTTATTCAAAGGGCCTTCTCTCATAATACCATCGTTAGTGATAATCAGCTGCCCAAAGCTTTGCAAATACAAGAGCTCGAGATGAAACTCATGTTCACGCTCCTGTCGCTCACTCTTGCTATTTCGCACTGAGATAATAACGCGATGAATAAATTTTGAGATCAGATAGAGCTCTTTGAAGGTGGTCACCACTGCGAGACTTAGCCCAACTCCTTCCATCACGACTGCCGGGTAACTTGTGGTTGAGGGTATGAACTCCCCAGAATTATTCCACCAGGCCATTAAGTGACCACGGGGCACAAATAGACGGAACGTGGGAAAGCTTGATTGGATTGTCGCCTGGTATCGCTGTCTGTATCGCTGTCTGCAGCGCTTTGACCTTGTCAGCCCAGAGAGGGGTAGGATACTCGATACCCTGGTGAAGTCCAAGAGGCTGATTGCTGTGCTTACTCGCGGGCACAAGTCTCGTCGGTCGTATTCAACCCTTTCCCGCCCTCTTCCTTGAGTAGAGCTAGCAATAGTCCATGAACACCAATTCACCGTGGAAATGTATCCGCGGATCAGTGCCAGATGAATCCTGATCCAACATCGAATGGGCCATCCTCGCCGGCCGGCATTCGCAGCCCCGCGCAGGCACAGGCCTTTTCTAGCCTCAGTCGTCTATTTAGCCACTCCAGCGTCTTTGAGAGTCTGGGGCGAGGAAGCCGCCAAGGTGGAAGGTTCAGCGTAATTGAGGAATTTGCGGCTTTTTCCGACCCTATCATCGTCCTTAGTAACTTGATGGTGACACTAAAAGATAGTAATATCCCTGGTCCCCAGCTCATACGGCTGCAGACAGAGTTCAATCTTGAGCTGGGATGTGGTGCTCAATCAGAAGTATTTGGATTCGATGAATCCGTCCTTGATGAGCATGGTCTCAAGCTTCAGGACCTTTCCGACTCGATGAGAAAGAACATTACCGAAGTTGCCATCAAACGCTTCCGAGTCCATGGAGCAAAGCGACGGCAACCGAGATCCGGCACATCGATAAGCTCGGAGGAGTTTGTGTTTCTCTGCAAAGCCGCACATCAAGAGATCGATGTACTTTGCAAAAGCGCTTTTCGCAAGCACCCAAATATCGTCCGTCTAATCTCATGGGGACTATGTCTGGACACAATGGAGGAGAATGACGAGGAAACACCTCGAATCCCCTTGCTTATCCTTGAGAAGGCTCGATGCTCGCTCACGCAGCTGCTGGCAAGTACGATAACATACAAGGCTGATCTCGGCTTTCAAGACATCTGTGGACTCCTGCTTGATACGGGACATGGGTTGGAGGCCATCCACCAGGAAGGGATTGCGCATGGGGACTTGAAACCTGATAACATTTTGATTTTCGAGTCAGCGGGTCGCTGGTGTGCCAAACTATGTGATTTTGGCCTATCCGCGACAGAAAACTCTGGACACACGTCGTCAAGCGTTGAATATCGAGGGACGCCCGGATGGCGCCCACCGGAATATTATCGCCAGGGCCTGAGATCTTTTTGTTTTCAAGACCATCAGCGGTGTGATATTTTTGTTTTTGGCTTGGTAGTTTGGAGCACGTTTCAGTATGGTGGACGCCATCCGCTTCCACGCGAGGGTGAACCGAGCTGGAATATTTCAATATTGGCCGCACAGCAGCTGGCAAAGCAGGTGGCCATTCCGGCTAGTGAGAAGAGCCGAATAATTCTGACCGTGCAGGGAGCCCTCATCGATGACCCAGAAGCTCGTCAACGGCATCCCTGGAAATACCTGGACGATAAAACTTACAGGCATGTGGGACGACGGGTCAAATTCTGGAGGAACTCAACCATAATTACCCGTCCTTTCCGATATGCAATTCGCAGGACGTTCGGTGGCGCGGTGGAATTGCCCGATGAAGGGCTCGAGGGGTCCGATGAAACGTTTCCGGCAGCTCCAGAAGATGAAGCGCCATCGCGGAGCATCTGCTGTCTGCCTTGCGTGGGCCGACGACGCTCCGCCCGTCCCTCTTCTTCAAGGCTACCACCAATAGCATTTCCCGAGCGGAACTCTCTGTACCTCAAAGAGTTTGAGGAATTTTTCCGGCCATTGGATGTTGAAAGACGTCCGTACGCACTGTTCACTATTCGCCATGGGTATCGGCCCTGTATCAACATCAAGCATCTGCAGAAAATGTACGACGGTCTGCTCGAATCCATCCGTTCAGGAGATGAGCTTCGAGTGTATGCCTTAGCGCGAGTTCGAAGCCGCATTCCAGCATGCTGCTGGAAGCAACTGAAGAGCGGCCGCCCGGCCCATGTCATCGAGCGGTACATCAAAGACACCCACGACTTTTCGACCCTGGCGTGGTTGTGTCATGGAGAAATCGGGGCCAGTGAACTTCGTCTGGAGGCGCACATGAAAGGGGTATTTGCATGCATTTTGGAGCGACCTAGGAACTTCAGCTATTTCGCCATTCGGCGTGAGCAACAACTAAGTGTACAGGGCCGTTCAAGACACTTCATGCTCTTGCTTGAGCATGGCGCACGGATTGAAGCCGTTATCAACTCCGAGGGTGACAGTGTCTTTCTGCAGTTTCTTCGTTTATCGAATGAGTTTTCTCGCAACGGCTATGGAGATCTTTCCATTCCAGATATCTGTGTCAGCTTCAGGCGCATAGCGCGCAAGACATCCATTGCGCCTAACACACGATTCTATATGACGGGAGAGTTGCCGGAGCTGGAGGAGAATACAAAAGGATGTTCAAACACTGCACTCCATGACAGTGTTGTCGCTGAGAACTATATGGCAGTGGAAGCCTTGGTTCGCTCAGGATTCTTCGTCGATGCTCGAAACAAGGATAATAAGACCGCTTTATATCTTGCCCTCAGTCAGCGTGAGGAGCAACAGCGGTCTGCTGGAAAGCAAAAGTACAAGCACAGAGGCCCTTTGGTGGACTCTACGACTCTCTACCGTATCATTGCGCTACTAAGGCAAAATACCACGCAAGCCCTAGATATCGACAGCACATCCTGGACAAGCACGGAGATACCTCTGGGATGGGAGCGAAAGATCATCAGTCCTGTCGGCAATGATCAGGATGGTTCGAACAAGGAGGTTTTCTACGATATTTTATCAAGGTCGCTAACATTTAGTAAGCCTACTTTCTCCCTTTATGAGGACCGTCGCCTTGCACTCGGGGCCCGGAGATTTTCTGCCAGTGGACAAACTTATTACTTGGACCTTTTCCGATTTATCTGCCCGTCTTCGTCCAGCTATGATGCCAATATTCAAACATCCCCCGAAATGGAGATCTATGATGATCGATGGTTCACCAACGAGCTGCACACTCCTGCTATTAGTCGGCACGGTCAGGAGGCCTGCGAGCAGCCTTCGACTTTAGAAGCCGTGAGAGCTCGTCGGCAAAGGATCTCTGGCCGTAGAGCTCTCTCGGCTATTTTCTCTAAGGTGTATGCTTAATGGTTGGCGTGTCAACGGGTTTTGGGTGAGGAGTAACCGATAGCCCGTGGTAGCCCGCCTTCCTAAGGGCATTTTGTGTTGATCCGAACCCCCCCAATGTCTTTACTCGTTATTTGTATATTCTGTAAGGGGACAAACGTCAATGCACAATATAGCAACTACGGTAGTGCTCTTCAGACCGTCTCGCAGAGCGGCTATCCAGAGGTTGTGAAAATACTCTTGGATAAGGGAGCGGACATCCACGCAAAGGGCTGCCTTTACGGCAACGTTCTTCGGTAAATAGACAAATTTCTATCCTTAAAACAGATGATGTTCCGGGGCATATTAAATAGGATGGATATCAATGACGACACAAGACATCCATACCGAGTCCTCAAACTCAATCTCGCCATTGAGTGGTGCCGAAGTATCTCAGAAGCACCGAGAATAGCAAAACTAACGAATTGGTGGCATGATGCCTGCCCGTGTCGTTTTGTGAACTTCCACGCAGATAGAAAGGGCCTAAAAGGGTAAATTCTCAAGTGGTCTATGAAAAGCGAATGCCTAACTAAGCTCAGCTTTCTGATGGTTCTAAATTCACTATCATAGAGGGAATACCTCTATGTAATGAACAAATACTTGTACCATAGGCGATATATGAAACGGGTAACCATGTAGACACTGGAGAGGCTGGATTTTCCAGGCATTACACTACGTGAAGTAGGAAGGTTTATTTGCTGAAAGTGCGATCTCTGCAAGAAATACGTTGCGACCTCAGTATGTATAATCAGCACATCTTGTTGAAGCTTAGCGGAAGAAGTCTGAACAATTCCACTCAAAGAATAAAACTGGTCGAACAGAATCTGTATTGCCCTCTATTTTTTTTTCTTCGCTGTAGATCATTTTCCGGATCTACAGATGATCGCCTTGAGGCTTGAGCACTGATGCCTGATCGACACTCATCCAGTTCCTAGTGCATAGTGGGGCATCTAAGTTTCCCGCCTATCGGCCCGGTAGGGCCCAGGGTCATGGCACCACAATACAAACAGTATGTAACACTAGCTCCAGACTAGAGGATTCGAGTCGAAGGCCAGAAATTAGTATCCACTCGATGAGATCGTAGGTGTGAGAAAAAAATCAATGCTACGGGAGCTTATATTACTTCCTCATGGAGTACAACCTACGTGAAGACAATCTACTTGCAATGGACATATATGTAGCCCATCATACCTCATTCATGCAGCTAATAAAACACGATCATGCATCTAATGCGAGAAAAAATATTGACGACAACGATTAACATTAGACCAGCTTTCGCTAATGCGAGAAGTGAATCAACGCTAAAGTTCAAAAGGGTAAATTGGAGATCCTAAGCCTCCAAAACCAACCCGTATATAAACCACAGAAGAAGCAGAACAGAAGCTAAAAACAGACTTGCTTGCAATCTGAGGTGACCGGCCCGAGGAAGGAGAAAATGCAATAAGAACCCAACGCAATGGTAGATGAAAAGTCAGACAAAAAGGCGGAAGAGAGAAAAGAAATGATAGGTAAACAACAAGGATGAGAGATGAGAAGATAGCAAAATAGAAAATTGGCTGTAGAAGCATTAGGATTAAAACACGCTGTTATACTTGTATGCCGTACCAAACGGCTCAAAAAAAGAGACCCAGTGAACAAGAGACAAAATTCAAAAGAGACAGAAGAGGGAAAAGGAAAGAAGAGTTGGGATACCCAGATCAGCCTGAAGAGAAAACTTCCAGAGTATATTGCTTTTATGTGGTCCTGCCTTATGATGCATTTATTGTTGGATATAGCTCGTGTAGTTGAAGGGGTGATTGCCGAACTTGGTTCGGAGAGACTGGAGGCCTTGCTGATTCTGCGGCACCTGGTCCTGTGAGGCGGAAGTGGACTCGGTCGGGGCAAAGGAGGGAGGGAGGCTTATGGCGGAGGCGTTTGATTGAGCGTAGGGCATGGTACCCATAGGTGCTAAGGGGTTGCCGTACGAGTAGTGTCTATAGTCTTGCGGAGCGGAGACAGGCACAGACTGCAGAGTCGATAGGGGCCTTGCGTGCGATGAGAGCTGGGCGCCCATGCCCAGCGCACTATAGTCTTTTGGAGTGGACATCGCGAGCTGCGACTGATAACCTTGAGATTGCGAGCCTAGATTCAAGGTTAGGTTAGCATGATTGTGCCGGTATGAGGCAGACGGAGGAAACCAACTGATATTGCTTATTTCATATCCCATAGGTGTGCCCTGAGATTCCGTTGGGGACACAGAGCCCTCAAATGGCTGGTGTTGATCATAAGGTGCTACCATTGCACCTGGGTGACGAGGAACCCCGTATTCCATGTGTTGTTGCCGCATATAAGGCAGACCAGAAGGATTTGAGGATGGGGCAAAGCGGTTATGCATTTGCATGCTATGATGGAAGGAATGAGGATGAGACGACGCGTCTGACAAGCTGCTAGACCTGGTAATCGAGTAGTCGTTCCGAATCGTTCTATGCAGATCAGACATGGAAGCAGACGCTGCTGGTCGGCCATACATCATGCCAGAGCTGGGTAGTCCGTCACTCCGCCCAGCAGAAGACAGGTACGTTCCTGCGGTCGACGCAGAACTAAGGGGTGAGACGAGGTAGTCGTCTTCATTTTGTCGCTGGAAACAATCCGTGCGAAGTGCCCTGAGAGACGCAAAATCTGGATTTGGGGCTCCATAAGCATGGGGCGATGCCACTGGCGTCGGACCTGTGGATTTGCTTTCAAATGGCGTACGCAAGACTTTCGTCGTATCGAAGTCGTCCGGCAGTGCTCGCGACTTTAGCATCCTTTCGCGATCATTTGTAGTCAAACGCTTGAGCTTAGCTCTCCTATAGTGAGTAGCCAATTGTCAGAGAATGTGCCGTGGGCCTCTAAAAATACAGTTGAGCGTCCTACCTGTTCTGGAACCACACCTGGACCTGACGTGGCGTCAAGCCGGGAATTTCCCTCGACAAACGCTCTCGATGAGCAGCATCTGGGTGCGCTTGACGGGTGAACTCACTCATCAAGAAGCGAGTTTGATTATGCGTAAGCCTAGAGAATGAAGGTTAATGTTCTGTCCAGCAGGCTGACCTGATTCGATCTGTTTCGACCGTCCTTACCTGAACCTCTTCATCTTTTTCTTCTCCAACGAGGGCGATCGATTGCTTTCATCATCACCAATCATCTCTCCCTTCTCGTCAGAAGGGCTAATCGTCGACTCCTTGTCGTGATCGTCGTTTGCTTCAAGAACCGACTGGGAGGTGCCCATGGGCTCGCCAGAGCGACCGAACCCAACCTGCGGCTGCGACATCGCATGATTCGTATTACCTCCCCCAGGAATTTCCAGCTTCATTCGAGGCAACAAGTCTTCTCTTCCCCCTCCCGATCTTTGGTTGACCGCCTCTCGCGATGGGATTTCTCCCTCACGATACGATCCGGACCCCGCCGTGATCCCCGGGATTGGCACCGGAGTGGGCAAGGCATTTTCAGCCGTAGCACCAGTCCGTTGCATCTCAGCCGACGACGACGTACTCTGAGAAGTAGCCTCTCGATCTCTAGGCAGAATCAACAGCGGGGAGGTTATCCGTGGTGCCGAAGAAACCCACTCTCCGTGACGAGCTACTGCGGATAGGTGCGAAGTGACAGCAGACAGTGGCGAGGCGACTGGCGAGGACAAAGAAGGCACCCAGAGACAAGGGCCACCGATGGACATGGTAAGGTAGTTCAACAGGTCCTCTTCGGCTGGATGGAATCTGGTTCTGGAGTCTCACAGCAAGACAACTCAAGACAAGATAGGATCCAAGCCCACAGTTCTCGATGATATGGCCAGATGAAGAGAACCCAGACACGCCTAAACCACCACGACGCGAAACAAACAAGAGAAGAACAGAAAGGAAAAAAAATAAAGGGACAACAATACTAAAGCGTTCTTTTCCCCGAGATGAGACGACGGTGGGTCTGATCAAAGTGCCGGGGGCGCTTGTGCAACAGGCTCAGGGTTCCTGGTGCAATAAAAGGAATTAAACGGAATAAAGGGTGAAGTCAAATCAAACGTAAAGCCGCTCTTTGAAGGGGGGTATTTAGTCCAGGAGGGACCTCGGAGATCCACGATAGGAGAAACCAAGCTAGAAAGAGAACTAGATGTTGCAGTAGGCGCCAGATCACTGATGACTTGAACGTGGTGACGAACTTGCAGTTGGAGTAGTTGCAGTAGTCAAGTGTGCCAGGCTAACAAGTCGAAAGTCGAAGCGTAGTCAACTAGCCAGCACTCAAACTCTCCGTCTCGAGTAGTAACAGTCGAGGCCCAAGTGGAAGAGGAGTACAACCGCCACACAAGCTCTTTAATCCCTTTAAGGCCCTCTAGGTTGACTTTGTGGGCTTGGATCTTAGATCGTTCTCACCACCTTCTACACCTTATTGCTGATGCTGATCGTTACGCAGCTCGGTAACAGCCAGACACGAGGGCATCCACCCACAATTATGGAGACAGCCCAGTAGTATGTACCTGGGACAACAGTCGGTAACTGGGTCGGGTCACCTGGATCGGCCGGAGATCTCTTGGGACAGATACTAGAACGTTTGGGTAGGGATGGACCGACCACTGGGAGGGGTACGATGAAAGTAAATGGGAGATCGGATGAGACTAGACAAGACCAAACAAGGCCAAGTCATGACGAGGCCAAAGCAGAGGAAAAGGATGTCCTTCCCAAGCGAGGTCACCACGGTGGCTGTGGAAATAGCAAATGCTGCCGGTTGAGCTAGTAAATGGACGTCCGCAACTAACTGCCCCAAAGGGTCCACTAGGGAATTCAAAGTTGGCCACCGAAAAGACGGGATGGGTTCATTGCCAAGTCGAAGTGTACAGTACGAAGACAGCGTATAGATTGCATGATGAAGTTGTAGTCTGTGACCGTTGAATACACCAAATATCAACTACGAAATGTTCAACAGTAGTCTTGCAAAGTATTATCCTAGACATCTACAAGGTACGGAGTACATATTCTTACTTAACGACAATTTCCATCTCCGTTGCTGTACTCTCTCACCTAGTCCCTCTCAGCCAGCTGAAACTAGCCTGTGCCGGGAAAGCATGTACGTAAGATATGTGCCCGGCGATCTCTAACGGTCAACATGATCGTACATAGAAGTGGCGAAACTCTGGAAATCCAAAAATCTGAACGTTGAAAAGTCAAATTTTAAAAAGGACTGGACCCAAAAAGACTAGTGAACGGACCACCCCAAATATCGGATTTCCAAAAACTTTATTATGCGTATGCAAGAAGTTAAGGAGACTGGCCACACCGAAAAGGAGTATAAGAAGAAAGCTTCCCCCCAAATTGCGCCAATCTCCCAAAAATCTGCGTGAGAAGCGAGAAAATTTTGCTGCATGCATGACGAGGCTCACTGAACGTGCTGGGGTGGGCAAGGCATCAGCACACAACCATCGCCTTGGCAATGATCAGCATTGAAGTGATCTATGAAGGCAAAGGATTTCTTCCGGTGGAGTGCATATGGGCATCACCCCGGGTCCGACAACGTAAAACATTCTCTAGTCAAAGTAGAGTATCAGAAGCGAGATACGAATTGCTCATTTCGGATTTCTCCGAGTACAATCAGAAACGGCCTGGAGAATGCCCACAGATCATGCAAAACTGTGATTGTATGTTGAACATCCGAGGAAGGATTTGCAGCCCAGAGATCTCGGTGTTCCACATCTGGGCATCGGGTCCGCGATGCAAGAATGCACGTACCCAACCTTGAAGACTACGCTGTTAGTCAGTATGAGTGGACTTGGGGTTGATTACACTTGGCTCCCGAGCAAAACAAACACGGGGTAGCCACGAAACCCACAATTAGACAGAAAAAAAGAGCAAAGTATGGCGTGCACGAAATACAAGGCTTCTCGTCTGAGTATAACCACGCCCTGTCCAGGACTGGCGTCTAACGATGGAAAGAAAGATGGGTCTGTGGCGAATCGCGGTCCAGCCCGAGCTGAAAAATAACAAGAAAAAACCAACGAATAAAAACAGAAGAAGTAATCAAAGAGCTTGAAGGCACTGTGGGAACCGGAGCCAAAGGACTGGACTTGAATTCATAACAAGCTCTGGAAATCAACACAGCCGGGGGTGACACACTGTGAGCCATGAGACAGGCCTCGGGTATCAGGTACCCACATAGTGGAACTTCCTCTGGTTAAAAAAAAAAAGAAAAAAAATAAAAAAAAAAGAAAAAGAAGCCGAAGAGAAATCCAGGAGCTAAGACTTGAAGACAAAGCGTTTACGGCCCGGAAAGTCAAGGGTCATTCATCAAAAATTCTCCGAGCGTGGAGCGCCTGGCGGATCTCGCGGACCAGTCCCAGTGTGGCCAAAAAGCCAGATATCGAATGCTGCATGGGCCAACTAGTCCGCCAAACCGCCAGTGCCGGAGGACCTTGGTTTTTGGGGTCGGGAGGGTGGGGACCACAGAGGAAGGGAACGTATCAGGGCTGCCAAGAAAGTCCGCGATCCTCTAACTTATGCGCAATTTGCTCTGCGTTGGACCGTTGGTCAACAGTCGGTCACCATGTGGAAGACCTGTCGGGTTTGCTAGCGTGCTAGGCTCCATAAGCGGCCAGCCCAAAGCCGCCGGACCCTCGGGGGCCAACGATCAATATACTTGATCAGCCACTCAGCACGCTGCCCGCCACGAGTCCACAGTATGGAGTGGGTGACCTTTTCACTGTGACGTGCCCGAGGGTGGTGCATTGGAACCGCAGGATTAATGTGGATTCTCGATACCAACGGAGTGGTTGGTCTAGGAATGGGAAATGAAAATTCAAATCAATAGAAAATACTATTAGAGCGAGGGCTGAGATTGAGGCAGGAACAATCCGGATCATCAAACCCCGCGATCCCATCAAAGTACTCCGTAGTCTCCAATCAGATTAGCAAAAGTCCCCGTTAGGATTAGCCGATGAGCCCTGAAACTGGCGACGGGGGGCTAGGGCGGCTGAAAGGACCACCAAATCTACCGAACCATGTGAGCAATGAGACCTTTGAAGGGGAATAAGGATTAACAAAAAAAAGGGAAGGCGAAAAACACAACAAGAAATCTTCTATGAATCAACGAATTATAATGCGGAATAAGTACTGAGAAAAGATGAAGTAGACAGCCCGAAATCGGCCCTAATCAGCGGACGGAAAAATACAATCCGTCAAGAGCCTCCTACGTTGACCAAATCCGCTCTGTACGAAGTACGATAAGCATGATAATATTCACAAGTACTCCGTCCAATTAGCTACAATAATCAATCCGTCGATGTTCTCCCCTGAAGGCTGAAGGAGTGGAACGTCGCAACAAGGCCCGATCGGGAAAATAGTCTAGACCATGGCCACCCGACGGACCATGCGCGATCAAGGGAACAACCCCAACGAGTTGTAGGAAAATCCTAATGAGAACATTGAAGCATGGACCTCATACTTTCGCGTGGCTTGGAAAGCGTTAGCTATGGGGGTTGGGCTTGTAGCGTCTCAAGGGCGATTTGAATTCCCCACGGGAGGAGTAAAGCCAGTGGCTCCTGGAAATCTCCACATGGCGATGTATGAAACAACCCGGGTCACAGGCTGGAAATGAAGCAGTCCTGCCCAGGTGTCCTTGTGATCATTCCAATTTGCGAACACCGAGGTTATGCATCTGTTAGAAATTGTGAAAAATCAGTCAAACTATGGGTCAATTGGCAGTTTTGGGGTAGTGTGGTTCAGGCTTAGCCTTGAATATCTCCGTGCACGGCGCCCACTAAATGCAAAAATGAGAATAGGGGAACAATGATTGAAAAGTGCGCCAAGTCTAACAGTTGAAGAAAAAAGTGGCCCTATGGAGTCACTTTCTGCGCCTTTTGCGCTCTTCCTTCTCGCTACACACGTTCTGTTGGTTGCAGCAACGATCTTTGCTCAACACTGATTTGTGCGGCGATACTGCGGCAAAAGGGCGAAGTGGAGCGGTTATTAGGCCTAAGATGAACAGAGGCATTTGCGACTGCTTTTTGTCCCTTTCTTATGGCACCATACCTTGTTGGTCGCCCTGGCCAAAAATTTGGACTATGGACTCGGATTATCCGAGGAGAGAATGGATTGCATGGAGTACTTCCTATATCCGTGGTGGTTCTATTGGGGGTAAGAAAGGTAGCAATCTCTACTTGGGTGGACCACAGATGGGGGGTTACGGCCGTGCCACACCTCTCAGCCACGGACGATGGCCGTTAATTTATTCTTCTTTCTTCTTTCTTCTAGAAATATTAAATTACTCCATAATGTAGCGACTGAAAAGTGACCCAATATCCCCTTAATTTATATGTATCCTGAAGTTGAAGAAATCCTTGATTCTGGGATCAGCAATATCTTTTTTTTCTCTTCTACATAGTCAAGCAAAGCCCTAATGCTGTGAGAGAACCAATAAGACTAATAGTACGGAGTACAATGACATTCATGGGGTTTTAGTCCCATCCTTGCCCCTTTCTCCATCAATAAACCATGTTCAAACGAGCTCAGTGGGGATGACCCGCGACATACCAGCCTCATTAATATTTAAAAATGTGAATGAAGTAAATACGACGACGGATACGAACGACACAGGACAAGATGGTTCAGAGCCTTGATCGAACGACTTCCAATGCGTGCGTCCAGTGGCGTGTGGATCAGGTCTCCATCTCCAGTCTCCAGGCTCCAGTCTCCAGTCGCCCCCCTAAACCCCATCGAGGGCTAGACTGAGGGGCCCAGGGGCCTTCCGCGTTAAATCCTCTGCCTCGCACGGGTTTCGGACATGGGAGAAAACTCGGAACCGTTAAGCTAAGATCCCGAATCATATCGCGCAGAGCTCATACCTACGGCCGAATGGATGGGCGATCACTGGGACTAATGTTAGTGTCGGGCCTTACGCATGTCCGATCGGTCTGCTCCTTTCGGAGGGCATGACGTGGGCACCGTTACAGCTCTTGACTCGAGGGGCGAGAAACTGGGCATGGGATAATCATTGGAGACTTGGATACGGCTGGGACTGACGAATTGTTTCAAGTGTTGCTCGCTTGAACAGCTTCGTCCCTGCAGGGATTGGTCAGGGGTTAGTTTCTGTGGTTGAAGGTTCAAACGAGGTCGACGAACAAGACATAGATGCGGAGATTGGCAGTCAGGTACTAAGCAGCAGGGCGTCAACTATGGTGCATTAATCTTCCACCGAATCCACTTATTGAAGAGTCCCTCCGTGCTCGATGCTACCGTGAACACCAGGATAGCGGTGCCTGGGCGTATGTATTATTCTAGAACGACCGGTGCGGGGAATCCGATCGCGTTACAATCCACGCGGACTAGTCTATTCGGTGACTAGCCAAGGTAGTTGGTTCATTTACTGCAAGTGCACTCCGTCCAGTGGTATGGATGTATGTGGTTAGCCTAGTAGCTAACAACGCTTGGTCATCATGAAATCGCGTGCAACTTTAATCTCGGCTTCGCGCGCTGCCAAGGCCGCACTGGGGTCTCCTTCATTTCGATCCCTCTGATCATGCACGTCGTCATCGTGGGTAAGGTGACGCAAGCCGATCGCTTGGCTGGGGATACTTTATCCTTTAGCACGTCCTTGCTCCCTTCTTGGTATGTGGAGGTTGTCTGTAGTCCGAATGGACGGAGGAAAAAAAAAGAAAAAAAAAATAAAATAAAAAAAAATAAAATAAAAAGAAGTGGCTGGCGGGTACCAGTGTGCCCCTCCTTTGTACACGTTTCGGCAAAATGGGCCGACGCGGAAAAAAGGCCCTGCAGATCGAATACCTCGACTGGCAGAATGGACAACTTTCCCCCGTAGCGATGTTCCAGATGGAGTCTTGTTTTACTGCTGGTGAACCCCTCAATCCCATTAATTAAGATTGCAGTCAGGACGCTGCATTCTGCTAGAAGAGCTAAGCTAGTGGCTGCTCATTCGGTACGTGATCAGTACTACATGTAGTACGCAGCTACAGTACGCAGAAGTATATACCTCAATGGTACTTGAGAATCTGCCTTGTCTCTTCGAGTAGATAAGGTATAGACGGGGTATATTCTCGAAATATGAAGTATGTCCTCCCACAGTACGGGCCTGTCCCTGACATTCTGTACTTGAGGGACCTATGGAGCCTCTTGCAGACGGCATAAAAAGTCAGCGAGTTCCAATTCTCTGGTGCCGTTTCGGGGCGGGGCGGCTTTTCATCAATTGAAACTCGGTTGACACCCTCGCTTTCCACGGCTCGGATCTCCCAAACATCTTAAATGGGAATTTGTTGCGAGGAAGACCTGCAAAACTAAACAATGGAATTCAGCGGTTCAATTTTATCGATATGCCTGAATCTTGAGCGGCTCTTAGCGACGGAGAGGCTCTTGTTTTTTTCGCATCGCATTACTGAATTATTAATTTCCTGTTTGGAACAATTGTTCGCGTATAGTTCCGGGACACACTTGGCCAGTGCTTTTCTCAAATCGGCGGAGAGCGTAGCGAAGAACGAGGATTACAACCCAAAACGCAACGGAATGATGTTTAACTTCCGCTAGTTAGCTAGTTACTTAGCTCAGCAAAGCTCAGTCAACGAGTTCCTATCAAATAAAGGAGCACGGAGACTATCCTAGGTATGGAGTACATCCAATATCCATAGCTCCCTGCCCGCACTGACATGACTGTGAAGAACGACCCGGTCGCTGCAGCAAAGTCAATTTACGGGGTCTACGCCTCGATGGATGAAAAACTTTCTTTCCTTTCTTCTTCTTGAGCTTCTTTGGTCTCTCCCCGTCTTCAACACCAATGAGTCTCCTTCCATCTCCTGGATAGCGCAGCCCTTGATCTCCACTAGTGGATCTCGCAACTCTCCGACCCGGCGACTGGGAACTATCTAATGCCCATATGTGATCAGTGCGTCCTTTTCTTCGAGAACAATCCAAGCTGCGAACACCCGCCGTATAGCCCGGCTTGCACGGAAGACGGAGGCTGACTGTCTTCCTATGTACTCCTTATGGACTACTACAGTATACCCCATCCAGTCACTGTAGATAGCTTGGCTATGTTTTTCGTACTGGTTGCTACACGAAGACCTTACTCCGGGGTACTTTGTTCCTGAACTCCTGACAAGGAAAATCACCCTAGCCTCGTGACTATGTCTCTCCCCTAAGATAAACATTAACCCTCGGGGCCTTTCTGACCTGCGGGGACAAAAAACTACACTCAAAACAACGGCGAGTCCACTCAATGTCCCGCTAATCTTTGCATGGGTCCTCGAATCCTTTAACGCCGTTGCCATCGAATCTTATTCCTGGTCCTGGCGAGGATGTGAAACATGGCTGGGACGGTGCGAGCGCCCTAACCTTGTCGTCTGATTGCATTTTCGTGCCATGAACATCTATTATACTTTATTTTTGTGCGCACTCCTTTCGATATGATATATGTATTTCTTATCTTTGAGTTCTCTTTCCAGGGGTAGATTGAATTTAACCGAGCTACAAGAAGTTCCTACGGTAGAGACACGAGGGTATTTGACGAAGTCAGGGCAAGACAAACCAAGTGGAGACGGTGAAATTAGGGGGTATACAGTACAACTCCTTTGAAGGGTCAATAATATGGCTAAAGAATGATTCGAGGAAAAATGATTTATTCCTAGATTACGACAGCTACAGGATTTGAGTCATGTTTGATGACTGCATGTCATGCAGGAACCTCTCGTTCAAATGTAATAGAGTTGCCGATCAGTTCGAGGATTTCCCAGTCCCACACGTTGGTAGCGAATACAATACCAGAAGCACCCCATCGCAAACCAACCATTACTGTCAGGGTGAAATCCATGGATGACTACCATGGTTTACCTTGTCCCACAGAGCAACAACGTGGCCTTCCTCCGTTTCGGTAGATCATCGACCCGTGCCAAACATGCCTTCATTGTCTCGCTAGGGCTCCAAATCAGAGACATTCTCCCGGCATTGTGGAATTGTACTCATGCAGGTACAGCCACGCAGAGTTCGCCGGCTTGGCTTCTAATCGACAAAACCACAAATCATCCGTTTAGCCAAGTAGCCTTAATTTCGAGCCTGGGTCTTATGCATTTTGGACCCACGATGTAGGTTGCGCGAAATACTTAGAAGGAAATACCAATCTTTCACCGCGCAATGTTTTCGCAATGAATAAGATCGCCGCAAGGTGTCTTCAGTCGTGTGTGCAAGAGGATCCCATATGCGCAGTTTTCGATGAATCAAGAAAGATCGCTTAGGGTAACATGCGACAAGTGACGCGGACATGCTCGCTAGGCTCCGTACTAAGCATGCGCTATTTGAAGAATGAAACACGAAGGAGTGATCATCGTGCAGGCTGCAAAGACCCCTCTACCTGTTCTCACGATGCGGACGCAAGCCTTGCATTTTCGTCGTGATATTAATGCATAAGAGGCTTGTCCGAGTGACCCGGACAGGTGGATGTAGCTGATCAGGGACTAGCCATGCGCCGAAAAACGATACCCGTTGCAGGTATCGCTCCGCAGCAGCAATAAAGGAGGTGGTCAAAGCAGTGAAGCGTCCAGGCCCAGATCTTGGCGTCTGCAGAATAATCTGCCAGCCTCTCAGGTTGCCGCTGGCTCCTCTGTGAGATTATCCCCAGAAGCCGCGCTAGAGGGCAAAGGGTTTGGCGCATCATTCGTATTCTCTTCGGGGGGCGCAAGTGATCCTGATTCGGGCATTGCTTCTGGTTGGGACTCTTCTTGTTGAGAGTTATCGATGACGTCTTGGCTCTCGTTGGCGACAAGGATGTCCTTGATCTCTTCGTCTTGCGCACCATCGCCACCGAAGGAGGTCAGCTTTGTAGTGGTATCTTGTCCAGCCCCTTCCTCGGGAGGCTGACTAGTGCCCTCAGGGCCTTCAGTGGCCTGAGGGGTCCCCATCGGTGCCTCCGGGCTTTCGAATAGAGCGTTGACGTTTTCCCCATCTTTGAATTTATCGAATCTGGCAAGCTTCGTCTTGACTGACAAGCGGAGGAGGCGCCAGAGCTTGCTTGACTTGGCCTTTTCTGCAATATCCTTGTCGTCCGTGGTCTGAGCAAAACCCAAATCCATCTCGTCGTCCATGATACCCATCATTAGAGATTCTGCGGAGGGCACGGCAACCCTGTCCGATTCTTTCAGCCGCTCGAGGTTGGCCAATGCTTCGCTATCGGACAAGAACTCGAGGTCCAAAGATCCCATCGGGGAAGGACGAAGTCGTTTATTGGCGTAGGCTTTGGTTGCGTGCTCTCGTGCCTGCATGTAATCCAGCACTGACACTGCCGGCCGTTCGATCGGTGGGCATCCCTCAGCCTTCCAGCGCACCCAATTCTTATCCCTCGACAATACGGTATCAACCATGCGAAAGTAGAAATTCCCACCATCGCCCTGGCGCAAGTACCCCTCGATGCTTTTTCTCATATCAGTCGCCCATTTGGCATGCTCTTCATTGAGGACAAAGCTGTACAGGACAGACTTGTTTGTCGCGTCGGCCAATCGAGCCTTGGCGTTTGGCGTGAGAGACAACATGAAATCGATGAGAATGAGAGCCTGTACCAGAACGTGTCGTCTAAAGGCCGTGTCGCTCACTTCAAGATTGAATAGGTCCCTACTGGTGAGGTACTTCGGGTTGAAACTCGTTCCAATTTCAGCATCATCGGTAACACGCTTGCGCTTGTGGGCCTTTCGGGCTTCATCAGACGAGCGCGATCCGCTCTGATTCTTGAGTTCGGTGTTGATATTCTTGAAGGCAGAGAGCGTCGCATCGAGGCCAGCCTTGAAGTCAGCGAATCGCTCTGGGTCAAACATCTTGCTTGGAGCAGAGAAGTAGGCTTGTAAACTCCAAAATGCTGGATAAAGCGCGTCAAGATCAACCTTTTCGTTCTTGTTGTCGCCTTTCCGTCCTCTGACCGTTTTATCTGTCGTAACCACCACCTTTGGAACTTGTGACGATCCCTCAGGCTGCACTGTACCGTCCGGTGGATTCTCAGTGGGAGAATCTCCCTGGTCGCCATCGGCCATGATTGTATCTTCGTCGTTTTGCGTAGATGCCTTGGAGACATCGTCGTAGGTGGTGACATTTTCGGTGTGGAATTCGCCCCGGAGGTTGACAGAACTCTTGTCCCCGAGTGGAAAGCTCTGAAATAAGAAGATGAAGACTCGACCACAGAACACCGTATCTTCAGCACGAGATAGTCGGCGGAGAAGTTCGTTACAAGATCTCAAGATGACGAGACTCTTCTGTTTGAAATGTTTCTAGATAAAGATAAGTCACAGGTCGACTCGGATCGAGCAAGGGGAGACGGAACATACCTTGATATTCCGCTCGCGGCGCGACTCCAAGTAATCAAAGACCTTTCGACAGCCATCGATTGTTTGGCTGTCCAAAAGCTCCTCAATCAGCCAAAATATCAGACCGGGTTCACACTGTTCTGCAAGGAATGTCAGGAAGGCTGCTTGTAAACTCTTGCGTTGGGCGGAGGCGACCAACCGTTGTCGGAAAATATGGAGATGATATCGAGTAGGTTCCAGATGTGAATGAAAGAAGGGTCTTGGATAGAGGTTGATGACTGTGGAGATGAATGAATGATTAGTATTCATGTTGACCATCGGCGAGGGCTTTTAAGTACGGCGAGCTCTCTTACCAAGATGCGATAGAATTTCTCACGAAACGCAATCTCCACAGCGGCAAATTGAGTCTGCAGATTTAGTCCCTTGACAATTTCCTGTTTGTCGGCAGGAACCTGCCAGATTGGCTCGCCCAGGGTCCCCTCGGTCAATGGGGGTTCGATGTGAGAATCGGGCTTGACTTGAGCTGCGCGATCCAGAAGCCGGTCGACAACCTCCTTGTAGAGGCGCACCGCCTCAAGTTCGGTGGCCGCCATATTCAGAGGCGAGAGGAGAGAGAGAGGAACGGCAATTGAGGTTGCAAGGAGCTGGGAGGAGATTAAAGAAATCCAGAAGAAAGCACGGGGTGACGGTTGGTTTGCGGCTCGGCGGAGAGGAGTGCCAAGACTTTGGGAAAAAGCTCCCCCCAGCTGCGGTAACCGGCTTAGTAAGCGGACCAATTCGGGCAGAAACGAACTCTTGCAGGACTATGCTATCTATGTCAAATGGGAGGATATGTCAAGCAACCTCATTCTTCCTTGATTGTTCTGAGACATCGAATTGATTCTCGGAGCAGCTATATGCAGAAATTCATACACAAGAAAAAGTAGCCTTAAAATGAGTGTCCGATCTGTTTCTAGCTGATCTTCTGAGGTATCGAAGCGGTGAGGTAAGCGGTGGCCTTTTTGTATGGCTGACTAAGTTTTTAGCAAGATCTCAATTGACCAGCAGCCCAAGCTTCACTTGAAAGTTCCCGACGTGCGCAAATCCACACCACGCCCTCGACCAAACCCAGTCTTACAGGATTAGGGACAAGTGCTGTGATGGCGCAGAGTCTGGAGTCCCGGCCGACCGTGGTGGATTTCCGCGAGGACAACCCTTGGGTGAAGTTAGCCCAGGCGCACTGGTCGGATGCAAAGAAGGTGCGCAAGATCAAGCCCGAGGTGATCAAACAGCAACTATGGGATCCGCTGGAAGCGGAGGGCTTCGCCAATCGCTCGCTCTTGATATTGGAGAACTTGAATGTGCTGGAAAAGTGCGTTTCTCTCCTAGTATGATTGTTTCGGAATTTCCACAGGGCTAATCAGTCTCGCTTGTAGGTTTCTCTGGCCGGCGTACACCGAAGATGCCTCGAATCATCACGTTCTCTTGATTTCCTTGATCGTTAGCGTCAAGTATCGCGAGCACCTTCCGATATGGGGTGAGTCATTGCGACAATTATTCGGGTTGGAGTCGAGGGTCATTTTGACTGACGAAAGTACGCAGGCATTTTCGCTGATCGCGCGGACGATTTCTCGAGCCTATTCCATCGGATACTATCCATGAGCATTGACCCCTCACTTCCTACACAGTCTCGCATGTCAATTGTTTCATTCATCATCGGTGCCTTCCAATCCCTTGAAAACGTCCTGATCCGGAAAGATTGCGCCCCGCTCGTTTCGATCTCTATATGGCACAATATAGCCAACGATGAGGCCAGGGAGCGCCTAATCTTCAAGTCTCCAACCTTGAAGAAGGCTTGGAGAGCCGCGGGCAAGCGCTATGATGCGGGAGACGATACCACCAAGGCGAGAATGCGGTTTGAGCGGTCATGGCTGTATACCATGCTGCTTGGTTTCTTGCAGAAGCTGAACGGACCCGAGAAGGAGCAAGCAGAGAATTTGCTCTACTGCGAGCGCTTCATGGAATTCCTGGTCGATCTTCTAAGCCAGTTGCCGACTCGGCGGTACGTGAATACGCTGCTGAAGGACTTGAACCTCTTGTCCGTCATTCGCTTATCGCAGCTCTACCGCGTACCCGAAAATGCACTTTTCCGCGATCTTTACAATCTTCTCAAACATTTCGTTTACTTTGCAATTGATGATTATTCTGGCGAAGCGCTTTCCCCTCAGGCAGTCTATGATCTGCACTGCCAGGAGCTGGCACGACTGCAAAGAACTGCGATGAAACTCTTCAAGGAGAAATTGATGATTCTGGCCCTCTCAAATCTGGGCGCAATTGAACAGCGATCCGAGTTGGACGGTCAACTGTCTTCTCTAGATGAGTCAGAGCTCCAGCAGCTTTGCACGCATCTAGGGTTCCGGACGAGCTATCCCAAGTCAGCAAACATCACTCCAGGTCGGCAGCTCTATTTGGAGGCCATCACTTCCTCCTATGAGCGCAAATCCTCTTTCCAAGAAGTGGCCGCTCAGCTAAGCGTCATTCCTACGGAAGACAGCCTTTATGACCCTGCCTTGTTGAGAAGCGAGACCTACGACGGATCGAGACCCCTCGCAATCCCAAAATTAAACCTCCAATATTTGAGCATCGGGGATTTCCTTTGGCGCTCATTCCTTCTTTACCGTTCTGAGGCCTTCTTCCAGGTTCGCAAGGATATGGAATCGGTTGTCAAGCGCATGCAGCCCAAGGCAACCCGCGATGGAAATGTGAAATTCGACGGTTTCTCTCGAATGGCTATTCCGATCTCCAAACCTGCCATCGTTGAAGTTGCTCCGGCTAAGGTTGGCTCTCCCAACCCTGCCTTTGTTCGAGCCGAAATTGCAATCGAGGTTGGACGCCTCGCAGATAACGTTCGCAAAGAATGGGATGCTCTTCGCTCTGATGATGTGATATATCTGCTAGCTGTTCAGACACCCTCTCCCGCACAGGTGGGAATTCTCGATCAAATTCCAGATACTCCATGCATGACCTACCTTCGCACAGCGGAGGTCGTGCAGGTTCTCGATGAGCAGGGCCGTCCATTGCGCCAGCCAGCTGCTGGTCAAACAAATGGATATCATTCTCGCCCGAGAGTACGCAAACTTCTTGTCAATCTGGATGCGGCCGCATTCAAGGCCGATAAAGACCGTCAATTGCATGGAAAGCCTGACATTTACCCTCTAATCAACGTCGTTGCACGAAGGAAGGCTAGAGAGAATAATTTCAAGTCGATTCTTGAAACCATGCAGAAACTAATTGTTTCAGACATTACTCTTCCACATTGGCTCCAGGATGTTTTCCTCGGATACGGAGACCCTGCAGGTGCGCAATATACGCAGCTGCCAAACAAACTCCAGTCTGTGGATTTCCTAGATACCTTCTTGGACTGGTCTCATCTCGTTGAGAGTTTCCCTGGCAGGACGATTGAGCCATCTGGAACCGAAACATCCAGTTTCGGTCCTCCATATGTTCTTGAGTGGGTTGAGAGCGAGCCAAGTGCCCCTCCTACTACTGCCCAGAAGAAGCGCCGCCGAGAGCAAGCCGAGCAGACTGAGCAAAAACCAACCACCATGCGTGTGTCAACATATAAACCTCCTAATCCAGGACCCTACCCTGTTGATGCGCCCAGGCTCAATAAGGTACGCTTTACACCTGCTCAAGTAGAAGCAATTGCATCCGGCACACAGCCAGGTCTCACAGTGATCGTGGGCCCGCCTGGAACCGGCAAAACCGATGTTGCAACCCAAATCATCAACAACATTTACCACAACTTCCCGAATGAGCGCACCCTCCTCATCGCCCACAGCAATCAGGCGCTCAACCAGCTCTTCCAGAAGATTACTGCGCTCGACATCGACGAACGCCACCTGCTTCGTCTAGGTCACGGTGAGGAAGAGCTAGATACCGACTCTAACTATAGCAAGTCTGGCCGGGTTGAGTCATTCCTAGACAACCGTAACCATTATCTATCGGAAGTCATGCGGCTTGCAGCATCGATTCAGGTCGAAGGTGCTCATGGTAACTCCTGCGAGACGGCGGGCTACTTCAACACCGTCCATGTTCAGCCGGCGTGGGCAAAATTCTGGGATCGTGCCCGTTCTGAAGAGGTCTCGAACGAGGACATCATATCCTCCTTCCCCTTCCAGGCGTTTTTCTCAGACACTCCTCAGCCCCTGTTTCGCGAAGGAGTCTCTAAAGAAGCTATTTTGGATGTTGCCTCGGGCTGCCAGAGGCATATTGAGCGAATTTTCTCTGAGCTCGAGGATATTCGGCCTTTTGAAATTCTGCGCCAGCCACGAGACAAAGCTAACTATCTGCTGATCAAGGAAGCCCGAGTCATTGCGATGACCTCTACGCACGCTGCAATGCGCCGACAGGAGATCGCGGATTTGGGCTTTCACTACGACAACGTGGTTATGGAAGAAGCCGCGCAGATCACTGAGATAGAGAGCTTCATCCCTACTGCTCTTCAGAATACGAAGAACGGCGAGCTTCCACTCAAGCGAGTTGTGCTTTGTGGAGACCATTTTCAAAACTCCCCCATCATCCAGAACATTGCGTTCCGTCAATATGCACACTTCGAGCAGAGTCTTTTCCTGCGATTGGCGCGACTAGGCGTTCCGGTCATAACACTTGACAAGCAAGGGCGTTCCAGGCCAGGCATTGCCGATCTTTTCCGGTGGCGCTACCACGGGCTGGGAGACCTCGCAGTTGTGGAGACACAGGAGGAATTCAAGCAGGCAAATGCTGGATTCCAATTTGACTACCAGTTCATCAATGTTCCTGATTATCAGGGTACGGGTGAGCACGAGCCAACACCACATTTCATTCAGAACTTGGGTGAGGCAGAGTATGCTGTGGCGCTTTACCAATACATGCGCCTCCTGGGATACCCGGCCGCGAAGATCTCGATCTTGGCGACGTATGCTGGTCAGACGGCTTTGATTCGCGATGTGTTAAGCCACCGTTGCGCGAAGAATCCCTTGTTCGGAATGCCGAAGATCGTGACGACTGTGGATAGATACCAAGGAGAGCAGAATGACTGTAAGTATAAGACGAACAACGAGAGAATTAGGTTTTATACTAACTATAGCTACCCTAGACGTGATTCTCTCTTTGACCCGCACTCGCACTGTGGGCTACCTTCGTGACGTCCGCCGTCTTACCGTCGCATTATCTCGCGCCCGTCTGGGTCTGTACATTCTTGGTCGTCGTGAAGTCTTCGAGTCGTGCTATGAACTCAAGCCCGCATTCGACCTCCTCCTGCAGCGTCCCGATAAGTTGATGCTTGCCCCGGGTGAGATGTTCCCTACCACTCGAGCGCTGGACGCTCCGGTCGAAGGCACCCCTATGGAAAGTGTTGAGCATCTTGGTCAATATGTCTTTGAGATGACCCAGGCCAAGGTCAAGGCTGTGGGTGATGGTGAAATGGCTGTTGATGGCTCCACAGTAAATGGCGAAGAGCTGCCTCCCGACGAAGACGAGGAGATGCTTGGTGCCGACGAAGATCAGGATGAGGATATTGTATGAACAAGCGTTCTCAAAGATATTGCCCTTGGAAGGCTCGGGGCCCGCAAAATTTTCAACTAAACGTTCTCAATGATATCGTCAGAATTGTGACCCCGACTTCTTGCCTACAGTTCTATACATATCGTAGATCCCACCAGTAGTAGCACCAAGGTGACTCTACTAAGTCAATTATAGGCACAAAGCAGTGCCTCCGCAATATATAGAACAAAAATGTGGAATCTTGCTAGTTTCAGCAATACCGGGCCTTAGTCCGCCTGTGCTCTTGCCCTTTGAGCTCGTTGAAAGATGATAAATTAAGCTCTAGTAACATCAAACATTTTCTTCCACAGTATGTCGAGCATTGTAGACTTCGGACATTATAGAGACACTGAAAAGGCGCCATTGCTACAGGGTCTTGATAATTACATCCAAGGTGTCAACCGAGTTGTAGACAAATCCGCTCGATACCTTCGATTCTCTATTCTGCGAACTTTCTTCTTACTTACTATTTACTGGAGCTTGTTGATTTCCTCTACAATGTTCTGAGGATCCTTCCAAGCAAAGCTCACATACCTATAAGGATAGTTGGTTTCAACAGGGCGCTCGTAGCAAATAGAATAGAACATAGTAACTCACTTTGTGTGGCTTCCTCGAGCAACGACCTCGCCCTTGTCGTTTGTGAATTTGATGTTGGTATAAGCGAGGGTTTTTCCGACTGTGAAACATTAGTAGAAATACAAGGTGAAAAGCCATTGTGAAATCATACACTTGTCGCAGGTTACCTCCTACATTCATGTTAGTGTGTTGTGGCTCGAATGAAAGTGACGTTTGATGAGACCTACCGCCATGATCTTATCACCGACCTTGCCGCCAGAGTTGAGATAAGTAACTGGGTAGGGGCTTTGTAAGCTATTTGCATGCAGACACAGAGGCTCTTGTTCAGCATGAGAACATGGCCAACTTACCATTCAGATCAGTGGACACACCGGTCGCGAACAGCCCACGCGAAGCAACGGCCAAGGAACCTCCAAGGTCAACTAGAGAGACATTAAGTCAGAGACGGCCTTTTTGTTATATAGGGGCCTCGGCGAAGTACCCATGCTTGCGATAGTACCGCCATGAAGGATATTGAGGCGGTTCTGTGAAGAAACTTAATTAGTTTAGAGCCCTCATAATGAATGAATAAATTGGCTAGTTTGAGGTAACTTGAAAGGAAACCGCCTAACTTCTACCATGAATGAGGCCAAGATACTTACTGTGTGTTCCTTTTGGATGTCCAATTCAAAGTTGACGGTGCCGGGTCTGGCCGCTGTGACACGCAGCTAGATGCAGTGATCAGAACAATTCTGGTATAACATACACATGCAAACTCTCTAACAACTCACATTATTCAACAGGCTGCCAGCAAGATATGCGTCAGTTCGATCATGCTTGTGTTTTCTTGAGGGGCTGATATTATAGCTTACCGAGGCTCTAGACCCGAGGTAGCCCGAAAGGACTCCCAGACCTAAGCAGACATTCATGTTAGTAACGGGCCCAAAATAAGATACTCCCATATTCACTCACAGACTTAACGAATCTAAGGGCGGTCATCTTGGTAGAATTACGAGGACTTGAATGTTGAGCAGCAGAAGCCGAAGGTCGGTAGATGGGCAGGGCATCCATCCCGGAAACTGCGCGAAGTGGCCGCTTCGGCTACCGTACTCGGCACCCATTCATCACCCATGACTTCACCGCGGACTTCTCTTTTCCCAGAGCGACAGAGACTCCAGGTCTCTCAGGTCACCACCATGGCGGCATCTACGTCTCGTCCACTCGAGTACCTGGAAGGCCTGCCTGGAATGACCTTCAACAAGTTGTATCAACAGCCATCCACTGCTCTCGCTATCTTTCGGCGAATGCTGCCTGATCTGGGTATCTAGAGCTCCCCACACGTCGATGGGCAGCTTTGAGACTGACTGCGAGAACAGCAAAATGCTTCGTCATGGCACTTCTTTATCTTAAAGATCCCTTGCCTACACAGGATCTTGAGCTTTGGGTCAAAGCGGAGAGTAAGAAGTGAGCACGCAATTTCCTTCTTATCTTTTGTCAAAATCGGCGTCGCTAACATGGGGAACTCAACTGAAAGGCAACGCGATAATGCACTCTCGATTTTGGGCCGGCTTCACATTCTATCTAAAACACTTACCTCTGAGAATGTCAGCGCTTACATGGTCACTAATCCGTTCGCGTCCTCGCTCCGAAAAGCTCTGATGGGCTCGGAAGATTCCCAGTCCTTCGGTGTTTTCTCCCAAGTGCCTGGCGGACACCCTGTATCGATCACCGACCTCGATGAGTATGCGCGACGACAATGGGAAGGTGTGCTTGGCTACATGGTTGGAACCAGTGCTTTTAGCGGACAACGAGATGTGAACCTCAGCAAGGGTGTGAAGCAGCTGCTTCAGGCTGGTCACCTCGTCGAGATTCGCGATCGTCGAGTGGACATTACGAAAGACGGTTTCGGATTCGTGCTTCAGGATGTCAACACACAAGTCTGGCATATTCTGATTCTATACGTCGAGAGCGCCGAGGCCATCGGTATGGATAGCGTGGAGGTTCTCTCATTCTTGTTCCTGCTTAGTAGTTTGGAGCTGGGCCAATCCTACGAGAAGAAATATCTTTCGTCTGTCCAACTTCGGACCCTCGCCGACCTCGCCGACTTTGGCATCGTCTACCAAGAGTCGCCCGAAGCTACCCGTTTCTACCCTACACGACTGGCGACGACACTGACTTCAGACTCGAGTGCCCTTGGTAGTACCGTTGGCAGCTCGCTGACCGGGCCCGCAGGCCAGCCCGGCGCGTCAGGTACAGGCTCGGGGTTCATCGTCATTGAAACAAACTACCGCCTCTACGCGTACACCTCCTCGCCGCTTCAAATTTCTCTCATCTCCCTCTTCACGACCCTCAAGTACCGCTTCCCAAATCTAGTTACCGGCAAAGTCACCCGGCAATCAGTGCGCCGTGCCATCGATATGGGCATTACCGCCGACCAGATCATTTCATACCTACACACCCACGCACATCCCCAACTACGCAAGCACAATGCCGCCCATTCGACCTCCAACACATCGGGCATTCCGCCCTCGGTCCTTCCGCCCACCGTGACGGATCAGATTCGGCTGTGGCAGTTGGAGCGTGACAGACTCCGAGCCACTGCTGGCTTCCTGTTCAAGGACTTCACTACATTGCAGGAGTACCAGGCTCCATGCCAGTATGCCGCTGAGATTGGCGTGTTGGTCTGGAAGTCGGATCGAAAGCGCATGTTCTTCGTGACGCGTCATGAGCAGGTCGCCGCATTTCTCCGGAGCAAGAAATAATCGCTGAGTCATGGGTCACGGGGGGCGTCATGGACGGCATATTGCGTATCCTGCATTCGATCGGTTCGGGGGGTTTGATACAAAAGCATGGTTCATCGTCATTGGGTACACGGCTGGCGTTATGAGAGACCTCGATGGGGGGCATTTAACGAAATCATGATGCTATTCTAGTTGATACCATTTTTTCCTGTCAGATTGTACAATAACAACAATATTTCACCCATTACTTTCCTTTGTTCATATCTGACAAGAATTTTGCTTGTTCTAACCTCAATGACCACGCCATCTCAGGCGCAAAGAGTAGCAGCCAGGGCAATTGTCCCAACGAGCCCTGGATAATCAAAAATTAAAAACATACAACAGCCAGGATTCGCATGTGGTCACCCACCATACTACTAACTGGCCGGCGTGTGGCTTAAGTACGGCTGAGCGGACGGGAAGCCCTGTTCTCCACACCCTATGGTCGTATGTGACTGTAATGGATCTCAACTAGAATATGACCTTGCATCATGACGATGCTAATCCGGCGCACACCTCTTAAATGGCGAACAGTTTGTTCAAGACACCTCTAAATACTGACGGCTGGAAATGATTTATACTCCATAGTTACAAGTTCCTTCCATGTTCTCGACCATGGCTTGGTCCCCTGAGTCGAAGTCACGATGATCGTCAGATCGTCATGGCTCAAAGGACACCATTGAAGGGATGGACGGGCCAAGGAACCCGCATTCTTGGTCTTAGCCTGTGGCTGGGGGCCATCAAGAATGCTCCTTTACCATGAGACTACTGTCCTTGGAGATATAATATGATCGTGATTTTTTGATAGTGCAATTGGGGAATAGTATTCCTGGCCTTCACCATTGGACCAACCCATTTTAAGCTTATACCTAAATCCTATGTTTATCCCCATCACCTGCGAACGTTATTTCCAAACCCCTGAGATCAACACAAAAGGCAGCCCCACTGTGGCTCAACCTGCCAAGGTGATCAAACGAAATGGCCAAACCAAAAAAAACCCCTCCAGCCCCTCTTCAATTGGTAATAATCAGCCCGAGTTTTGGCTCTTGACTCCAAATCGCCCCGCGAAAAGTCAATGCCCTATTTGTTTTTTTTGGACCTTGAACCTGCATGCTTTCCTTTCTTCGTTACATACTTTTCTCCTCGCCAAGGAGTCTTCTCCTCTACGCACCGCCCTAGACTATGTCCTCGTCCAGCGAAGCCAGTCCTGGTAACTGGATCGTTGGCAGTTACACCGGTAATAGTGATGGGGTGCGCATTACCATTGCGACCTTTGTGGGCATCGCATGGTATAATGTGATTGAGCTGATCGTGCTCATCTTCCTCACCTTCAAACGCTATCAAGGCCCCTACTTCTGGAGTATGCTTGTCTCCTCCATAGGTATCCTTCCGTACTCGGTCGGCTACTTGATCAAGTTCTTCGGCCTTACCTCTGCCACATGGGTTCCCGTCACGCTACTGACCGTGGGTTGGTGGACCATGGTTACCGGTCAGTCATTCGTGCTATACTCACGCCTGCACTTGGTCCAAGATAATAAGCGCATTCTGCGCATGGTCAAGGGCATGATTATCATGAATATCTTCCTGCTTCATGTCCCGACTACCGTCCTCACTTTTGCCGCCAACTTTTCTGAATCCCCCGCCTCCGTTGCGGGGTATGATATTATGGAGAAAATCCAACTCACCGGATTCTGCGTCCAGGAGGTCATCATCTCTAGCTTTTACATGTGGAAAACCAACCGCATGTTGCATGATAATTCGGACCCTGGTAGTCGCAAAACTATCTTGCAACTACTTGCTGTCAATGTATCTTGTATCCTGATGGATATCGCGCTGATGGTCATTGAGTTCATGAACTTCTATATCTATCAGACCACTCTGAAAGCGACGCTTTACAGCATTAAGCTGAAACTGGAGATTGCCGTTTTGGGTAAATTGGTTAAAATTGCTCATCAAAATGTTTACGTGTCGCCCTTTAATCCGGGCCATGGCCATTTTCCCTCTTACGTCGATCCTGCCCTTCGCGCTGGTGACTATAGCCATCCGGATTCTATGGAGGCAAGTCGGGCCTCCAAGGGTCGGGAACCTGGGCATGAAGCGATGGAGTTTGATGATGATGTTCGATGAGCCCGTAACGGATGTGTTGTTTCCCCAAACTCTTCGTCCTGGATTCTGCTATACCACCCCTTCGGAACAGATGGTATACTACCTCCTGCCCTCACTTTGATCATCTCATCCTCCTTCACACGTCGTGACCGAGCCGCACGCCCATTAATTGTGCTCGGAGAATGAATGTCTACTGTTTCAAAGACACATCGTGGGGGTGTGACAGATTCTCAGAAGGGAACAAAGATAGAGTATCTGGGGGTTAGTACACCTTGGGATTGCATACTATCTCGGATCGTCGCAGCGACGTGAGCTTAGAAAGCCGAGTTAGAGTTGTTTACGGTGCATAGCGATTACGATATTATGACCATTTAGATATTAGCGGAAAATATATAAGTTCCTGGTTTGCCAAGCGGCTGACACTTGAGTAACCTTACACACAAACCCCCTCTTTCTACCTCAAGTTCATTCGCCTTTTATGTACACCCAACGGAACCATCCATTATGCCCTCATACATTAGAGATCCCAATCATCGTCATCAGGCAATTCAGGGATGTATCCGCCGCAAGTCGGAATTTCCGTTGTATAAATGGCCGATATCTCAGTCGACAGAGACCAGCCATTAACCTCTTTCAGCTCTCGCAGATCATGCACTAGATCATCCCCCAAATCACCCATCGGTGCCCGCAGCCCCTGCACCAGGTCCCACGTCCACGTATCCTGCCTCCACGGATGCAAAATATGAAATGGCAACCTTTGCGCATGCCACACATCAAGAAGAACATCCGCACTCTGCATTCCATTCCTAAGTGCTTCTGCGACCCTCTCGCCATGAATTGAAGGATCTGGATCCGATTTGAGCGAGCACCACTCATGGGCAAAAGTTCCATATCGAGACCACAATACTCTAAAATAGAAGTATTCCGGCGCGGTCTCCGAACTGTTAACAACAATGTCGTAGAGCATATTCATTCGTAGCCCTCCAAAAGCCTGTACTGGAACCTCCCAACGGTGCAAGTCTACCATATCTGACACTGCGATGCCGCGCTCCACCCACCCCAGCGTTAGGATGGGTGGTTGCTGGACAAGCATTCGGCGCCAGCTCGCTTCTGGGCGTAGATGAGTCTCGCTGCTTTCTAGGAAATCTTGCATGTCCCCGGCGCCGAAGGAGATGCTACATGACTTGTGATCATCGGCCGGAAACCAGTAGGGGAATTTGGATTTTAGGAGTGGATTTTGTTGGCGGGGTGTAGTTGTCGGTGCTGGTTGGAAGAATAGGGTCTGTTGGAGTTGGGGGGATTCTTGGATGCAGTTGGCCCATTGGCAGCTGACTCGTTGGGCGAGGAGGAGGGTTTGAATGTCCACGAGAGAGAGGATGGCTTCTAGGAGCTCGGTCGGAAAGGATTGGAGGTTCATTCTTTGTCTTGGCAATTCGAGGTGGGCTAGGATTCTGCAAGCACTCCAGTGTGTTGTTATTATAGATGGAGATCAATTATGCAGTGACGAGAAGCGGCTTCTTCCGTCAGCCGTAGTGTGCCCCTTTTGCTCCTCGTGCCTGGTTAGCGGGGTTGAACGCCGTGGGTCGAAGCCGCCCCCGCATTTTTCGATCCCTGAATTCTGTCAAGATGAAGCCCTGTCGCTTACTTGGGTTTCAGGCTGGCGTTGTTGTATACAGTACGGAGTACACCTTTCATCATTGCTATCAGATTACCACACGTTACAACATCCAGACTGGCATGGCTGCATGCTATCATTTCCTCCGGCGGCATATGGCTTGCAGATCTTGGCCCTGTGGAGCTACCTTATCTAGGAATCGACCGATTTGATTCCACTGAGCGGTCCTGGAATGAAGCAGAGGAAGACCAGTTCCGTCGTGAGCTTCGAAAATTCGGTAGTGGTCGGTACGACCCAAAATCGCCTAATGATCTCTGGGTTGGTGGAGAGTGCAGAAATATTAGTGAAATCGAGCCGGGCTTCTCAATAGACCGCAAGGTGGCATTCCCTGCGGAGGGGGGTGTATGGGTTCTTGGTAGAAACGAGGAGACTGGAAGGTATCCGTGTGGAATAGTTGGTGTCTACAATGAATTGAAAATGGAGAAGCGCTCGATGGGTTTGGAAAGACTGGGAGCGTTCTACCGTCAAGACTTGGCCAAAAGCCCTCCACTCGATGACCTCAAGAAAAAATCACGAGATCTTGCTGGCAATCAAGACCTTTGAATACGATAATGAACTGCAACTGGCTCAAAGGAAAATTGCTTCAGATTTCAGTTTCTTATTATGTATCAGATCAAGATGCCTTTGTCGGCAACGAAGTGATTTGGCTTTAGACTTGGCAGTAAACAACCACTTTCCCGTGGCAGAATACAGCGCTCGATGAACTTGGACATTGAGACTTGTCATCAGCTAGCGTATCATAGGTGAGATAACTCATTTACTATGGGCTGTGCAGAATTGTTCTACAATAGTAGGACTCTGGCCAGGAAATGATGCGCCAAGGAGACCGTAATTTCTGGGAGAGAAAAGAAGTGGGAGGAGTGGTCACACCCGCTTCAAGGAACATGTCAGAGTTACCAAGACCCCATCAATCTTGGCTGACCAAAGTTGGTGATTCATCCGTGCATAGCCAAGCTTAGCGGTATGCAAATATGACTCGGGCGAGCAAGCAGCCGAACTTATCAAACGACTATCTGGGAGAAAACCGGTCTTTGTGCCATAATAATAGATGCCCACCAGCGTCTGCCTTGCATGTGTGTGTGACCTATAAACAGGTTCGTCGAGCAAATCAGCGACAGCTACTGGCAAATTGGAGCTTCGGCAGTGGGAGCACCAACACCACCCAACAAACCCTAGCTCTTCCGGACGGTGCCGCGATTCACCTAAGTGGATCAGCCCTGTTTCCAAGCCAATAGAAGTGCAATATGAACCCCTATTCCCCCACTTCGCATCCAAATCCCCATATGGTGCCGAACTTCATGAAAATTCCCTGGGAGTTGCGTCGTTCATGTGCTGCCGGATTCTACATACGAACCAATAGTAGCAGCCTCATGGCGCAAGACCATCCACTCTTTCCTCAAAGTTCCAAGCAACTGCTAAGAACACGAGTTGATCTATTGGAGCTAACATTTCTAGGTTGATTTCCGCGTTTCCCCCACTGACCAACTAAAAGCCCCTCTGGCTTGCCCAGGAATTGAGGAATCCTTGGCTAGTAGGGAGTAGAAAAATATTTTACGTATATGCCCTCCCCCCTTCCCGGAGTCCTAGTCACCCAGTATGCAGAAACCACGACTATTGTTCTGGCTTACTCCTAGGAGGGCCATACTTATAAGTATACTTCTGGTTGTACTGCAAATATCATATTTCCTATATCGGAGTAATCTTTTTCCTTGGCAAGGTATTGACGATCCCCGCGGAGCCTACCAAGCCTGGAATACTTTTCTAATGATCGTCAGGAACAGCCGGGGCAGTTCTTCGACATGATATCGTCCACCAACTTGTCGGCCTGACCAACTCTTACGCCTCGAAATCTACAAATGCCAGCGTCGGCCTTGTTCTCGCGTCTATTCATACCGATGACTTGAGATGGCTGCTGGACTTTTGTACGGAAAGGTAACGTGGTTTTTTCAGCTATTGAAACCCCGGAGGCTTACGCCCCCATGTTTAGCGGCAGTGTACCATTCGTTTATACCACCGAGCGATCTCCCGAGTTTGACCTCTTAGTTCCTCTCACGCAGCGTGGCCGTGAGGCTTCCGCCTATCTTTCCTACGTGATTGACTTCTATGATCATCTCCCGCAATACTCCATCTTCGTCCACGCATTCCCGGAGCAGTGGCACAATGACCTTTTTGGACCCTACACACTGAACACTTTGAGAAATCTCCGACACGCGGCAATCGATGCCTATGGATATGTGAACCTTCGATGCCAGCACAATCCAGGATGCCCAACAAGCATATACCCGCTCACTCCCAGCCAGGCCGACATTGACAGTCACGATATTCGCGCTCATTTCGCGGACGCCTATCAGCAAATTTTCAACGTTACCTTGGATAAAGTTCCCGGCGCCATAGGCAATGTCTGTTGTGGACAATTCGCTGTTAGTAAGGACAGAATTCAGGCACGACCCAAGGAGGACTATGAACGGATCTTAGATTGGGCTGCGACAACTGAACTAACAAATGATTTTGGTGTTGGTTGGGTCCTGGAAAAGCTGTGGCATATTATATTTGGCATGGATGCAGTCTAGTAAGTCTGACCTTTTCTGCGGGTGTCTTTCGGTCATTATCCCGTGAAATTCTATTGACCACATCCCTGACAGCTGCCCTCGGTTCGAACAATGTCGCTGCGATGTTTACGGTTGGTGTGGACCTCTGCCATCAGGAGAGTCACTGCAAGCAGTAACCAACTCCGGTGCTCTAGATGGTTCTCCTACGTAGAAAATGAAAAGATCAAAAATCGAAGACCATGTTTAAAATGCTGATTTAGATATCCCGGTCTCCTAGCTCTTTATCCCGGAACCCTTCAATAAAGACTGCAATTTATCATTCTATTCAAACCCCACTTCATCTATGCGGAGGAGATGCAGCAAGATGTTTGTTTCCAAGGTTTAATAGGAGCGGTCAATGGGGAGGACATTGGGTTTGTCTTCCCAGACTTGGCTGTCCATTAATAAAACATCGCATGGTCGGAAGCTTGAGGGCCCAATGTCGTTTGTATCCTGTTCGTTGATTCAAGTTATATTCTTCCCAGACAAATACTGGAAAGTTGATATCTGGGGCATTCCAGCGTTGTAAAACACCTCTCCATTGTCACCATGATCGTAAGACGTCCCAGATGTCAATATGCGCGATTCGGTCCGTTGGTCCAGGAATAGCCTTGTCAAAGACTTGATGTTGCCACCGGTGATAGTTTGCTCAGGGTCCTCCGACGCAACTTATTTCGCCATGTCAGCTGCGCATACGTCTTGCGAATTCGGCTCCAAAACATTGGCCAGATTGTAACATTGTCTGTAGACCAATCCATCTACGGTAGGGTTGTAAATGAGGTCACCGACGAGTGTGTTAAACGACCAATTCTCTTACACAAGCACAACGACATTCTTGATGTTTCTCATGCCCGAGGCCAAGGTCGACAAGGCCGAGACCAAGTATGGTGTATGGAAGAGAATGTCGCATCACTGAGGGGTGCGTTCTACTTGATTCTTTGCTTTGAGAGTCGCACCGTTATTTATCAATTGCCCACAATGTCATCCAGCATGCCAGGATCAGACCCGGATAAATTTCGCATCGTGGAGTGCATGCCGACATCTCCACATAAATATCGCGTCGATCTACTGAGAGCGCCCCAATCTTCTAGATGTCTGTCGATTACTCTCATGATGAAGGGATCACCTCATAAGCTGATGCGGGAGATTGTATTTAACCAATACTTAATTAGCCGGCACTGGCATCGAATACTTGTTATCATTGGTGCATGATTCTCCTCCGATGAAACCAGCACCAGAAGGTTATCCAAGGGCTCGGTAGATGCCTCCCCGATGACAACCTGTCGGCCTTAACGATAGAGAGATGTTCTATATTGGATCAAACCTGAAGCTATCGTGGAGACATTTATTGAAAATTCCTGAAATTATCTCATTCGTTCACCCTAAGTTCCTTCCCTTCGACTAACTCGGTAAAGAAGAGGCCGAAAACAAACCAAATTCTCCCCCGCATGTCTGAGCGCGATCGGCAGCGGGGAAATTTTGGCTCTCTGAGACCCGAGCAACGCCGAATTACTTTGTTTGTGTCCAATTTAAAAACCAATGAGCTCCCTCTCAAAGAATTGCGTTTATTTTCAATAGAAAGAGGAGAAAAAGCAAGGTGCAGCCCGTCATCAACAACCAATTGAGAACATCTATTGTGTCAGATGATGCAGAAGGTTCTTTGCCTGTGCTTGCTGCTAATAGGCACCTCATATGCAGCAATAACATGTAACCGAAGATCCCAGATTATCAAATCACTGAATGTTCGAAGAAATGCCAGCTCAAGTTCAACGCCATTGCAGGTTGGCAATGGGAACTTTGCATTTGGGGCTGATGTCACCGGTCTCCAAACCTTCGCCCCTTTCGCCATCATGTCCACCTGGGGTTGGCATAACTTCAGCTTACCAACTACGGCACGGCAGACTTTGCCTGATGGTAAGAGACAACTTACTTCATAGCTGCTTTGAAAGCACTAACATTATGCAGACTTCACAGGACTTGACTGGTGGACCCATGGAAAACTTGTTAACTATGACATGCCCAATCCGGCTGAGAACGACATCTCGAATTGGCTGATCAAGAACCCTCAACGTCTCAATTTGGCAAGGACCGGATTCACTTTCAGTGATGCCAATGTCACTGAGGCAAATCTTCAACAAAAGACTCAGGAATTAGACTTGTGGTCAGGCAAGATCAGTTCATCCTTCGTCTACAACGGTAGCTCTGTTGCCGTTGAGACAGTTGCAGATCCAGCCTCTGATACCGTCGCAATCAGCGTGGAATCGAAACTCTTCCAAGATGGTATGGGGATATTTTTTGATTTCCCGTACTCTGATCTCAACAAATTCGACGCCCCATTCGTGGGGGTTTGGAATGCGACATCCAATCATTCCACAAAATTGACCACAATCGACTCCCACTCTACTGAGATCAAGCACACGTTGGATGAGAATAGCTACTATGTGACGATCAACTGGGAGACCCCAGGTGCCATGTCCGGTCCAACTGATGGAACGCATCGCTACCACTTCCACTCGAAGAGCAGCCGTGTGCGCATGACTATTAGCTTTTCTCTCGAAGCAAGCAAGAAGAGCAAAGAGCTCAAATTCATAGACGTGAAGACCTCCTCTGCGTCTTGGTGGAAATCCTACTGGTGCAAAGGGGCATTCATTGATCTGTCAGCAGCAGCAGCATTCAATACCAGCGCCGCTGAGCTACAACGACGTACAATCCTCTCGCAGTACCTCGTTGCCGTGAATGAGGCGTCATCAAACCCGCCCCAGGAGTCCGGCCTGGTTAACAATGGCTGGTATGGCAAATTTCATCTCGAGATGAGTTTGTGGCACCTGGCTCAGTTCGCCCGCTGGAATCACTTCGACCTGTTGGAGCGTAGCATCCCTTCAATCTATGAGCGGCTTCTCCCTTCAGGCATCGCACGTGCGAAAGGTCAGGGATATAATGGAGCACGATGGGGGAAGATGACTGATCCAACTGGCCGATCTGCTCCTGGTGAGATCAACGCCCTCCTTATTTGGCAACAGCCGCACCCGATGTATTTTGCCGAACTTGAGTATCGAGCCGATCCAGGTCGCACAACACTGGCTAAGTGGGACGCTATTCTGACCGAGTCTGCAAATTTCATGGCTTCGTTTGCCTGGTGGAACAGCACGACTGCTGTTTATGATCTTGGACCGCCCATGTATCCTGTCTCCGAGAATACTTCTCCCAATGTAACCGTCAACCCGACTTTTGAGCTGGCATATTGGCGCTTTGGACTGGATATCGCAGTTCACTGGAAACAACGCCAGGGCCAGACAGCCCCGAAATTGTGGACTCGGGTTCTTGAGAACCTGGCGCCACTTCCAATTGTTGACGGCGCTTATGCCGTGTACGAAGGCATCCCGAACATGTGGACTAGCAACGACACGACGAACGATCATCCAGCAATGACTGGCATCTACGGCCTTTTGCCGCCGCCATCAACCGGTCCGCCAATAAATTTGACCATCGTGCAGAATACAGCAGAGAAGGTCAAGAAGCTGTGGGCACTAGAGGATTCATACGGCTGGGATTTCTCCATGTTAGCCTTGAACTCTTTACGTCTGGGTAACATTGACCAGGCAATCGCATATTTAATTGACCCGATATTTCAGTTTGACGATGCTGGATATCCCGAGGGAGGTAGTCGAGTTCCGACACCGTACATGCCAGATGCCGCTTCTCTGCTGCTCGCGATGGCCATGATGGCTGGAGGCTGGGACGAAGCCGAAGGAGCGCACTTTCCACCGGACTGGCCAGTAGAAGTTGACGGGTTTAGTCCTGCAATGTGATTTATCGAACCAGTCATTTGGCGGTGTCGATCTAGCAATAGATTTCCGTGATACACCAACGGCCTCTCTCATCCTGACAAATAATTCGAGGGCTGTTGGCTGATAAGAAATCGTGATACAGTTAGCCGAAATGAAATCGAGATCTCCCCGAAAGTTTTACAGAATGGATGTTTCCATTTCTCCCGTGCTCCCAATTTAGCGGCAAACGCCTCGCGCTGCAGGAGAATTCCGTGTCTTCAGCTGTGGGATCACGCGTTTGCATTCCCCCCGCCTCACGCATGCAATTTAAACCTCTCTCCTTTCCGGACCATGTCTTCTCCTTACATGCCTCTCACAAGCCTTGAACTCGACAATTGAGAATCTAAGTCACAGGTAAGCTTAGGTAACCAAAGGGTTAACGCACGAGAGATTTCCCTATGCCTAATCCGATACTGTCCCACAGAGTAATCAGGCTCCGGACGCCCCAACGACATGTGGGGAAGCCTACCGATCACACGGACTTGCGCTTGAATATTGATCATCGACTTTGAATTGTTGATATTATTCGATCTCACCATCATGGTCTATACCATGATTATCTACACCGACGGTGGTTGTAGAGGCAATGGACAACCGTGGGCAACAGGAGCCGCCGCCGCCGTTTTCAAGACAAAATACGGAAAATACCGTGCCTGGACTAGAACCTTGCCTTCAAATCCTACACCTACAAATCAGCGCGCCGAAATTACAGCTATCATCGTGGCGCTAGAGCAAGCCCTGGAGAAGTACAATTCGCTAGAGACTCGTCCATGGCTAGATCTCCGGATCTATTCAGATTCTAGATACGCGGTTGAGTGTATGAAAAATTGGATCTACAAGTGGACCAGGAACGGGTGGGTCAATGCTGCAGGTAACACTGTTGCGAATCGAGATCTTCTGGAGGAGGCTTTCGATCTTGACGATAGATTGCGAAAGGAGGGAGACATCGAGTACATCTGGATTCCGAGGGAGGAGAACAAGGTTGCTGATGGATGCTGCAACCGACTATTGGATAGCTAATGAGACACGAGGAATCCATCAACTCCGGCCTGCCTTGCTTTTGTTCTGTTCGCTCGCGTATTATTTGTTCCATTTCAATTATGGGAAATTTTTCAGTCGTTTCGTCACTCAAGGCCGGTCGAATACACCAAGCACTGCTTACATTTGGAGTAATGTGGACACTAAGACACGATTTATTTCTCAAAAATGATACATCGGATTTGAAAAGTTATATTGAAACCAATCGTAATCCCGGCATCCAAATAATGCCAAAATCTCTCATAGATCAATGGAGCTCAGAAATCGTTAAAGAAAAGATTCAGCATCAGTGTACCGTCATCATACCAATACCCACTTCTCACATAGCCGTTGTAGAAACATCGGGGGATCTGGCCGTTATTGGTAGTAGCAGTCGTATCGACTTCCCCGTTGCCATTCAGATAGCAATCAATCAACGACACATAATATGCCTGTTTCGAGATTAGTATGACTGGTAATCAGGCTCTAATGGCTTGCGCTCTGGATTCTCACCTTGATGTCAAAGCCATATGTATTAGTCAGTTTAGTGTATACACCTGTGTCCATTTTGTTGTTTGCTTGATAGGGTTGCTGCCAGGCATCGGAAACACACTGGATTTATGTGAGTGAAGGTTCAGAGAATGTAAGGTGGAGATCATACAGTCTTAGGATCGCTGTCGCCGCAGTTGTGAGAATCACTGGGGCGTGTGAGGTAGAAGCAACGATACTCGCCGCTCTTAGCTTCGAGCCAGTAGGCTCCGGTCATGGTGCAGTCTCCTTCCTTGGTACCCTCCTCGCCCACAAGGACATACCATGCTGTCTTCATGGCAGCGTCGACAAGTTTTTTCTCCTGCCTCATCATTAGCATACCCAAATTGCAGAGGAAACAGGGTAAACATACGACGTTATCAGCAAAGGTCGAGTAGGCTGCGATAAAGGAGGAATTATCCTTGTTCTCATCAAGGAGAATAGTGTTGTCGGCAAAGAATCGAGAAGTACCATGCTCGAGGGTCGTGTAAGTGTAGATGGGAAGAGTAGTAGAGTCACCTCCACCAGTTGCATTGGTCAATATGCTAGCAATATAGTTGCCTGCGGCACCAACGATGTTCCTCAAAGTGTTTTCCACAGATGTCGTATCAACTGCATCCGATCCTCCCTTAGTGAGAGACACATCCGTGAGACCTGCAGCTGCAAACCCGATCATGCCACGGAGAGGCTTGCCTAGATCAATTCCAGTTGCAATTCCACCGGCCATGCTGAATGCAGCAGAGATCCATTTTGCCCATTCTTGGTCCGGTGAGACGGTGGAGAAGTCCTTGCTAATCTGGTCGATGGACAGGCCATCCAGCCATCCGGTCCAAAGCAACTGTGCACGGACAGCGTTTATCTTGCTGTGTAGGATACCAACAGAGCGCAGTGTCCAATATCCCATCACAGACGAGTAGTCGGAGCACATATCGTCGGGGTTACAGTCCCCTCCAATATCACCACAGCCAGTTAGAGGGGAGGTACCCTCGTTGGGAAAAATGACCTTCCAGAGGCTGTTGACCCAATCCTTTTCGCCATTCGGCAATGAGTCAAACATGATGTCCAACCAGTCAATGGCGCCGGTGGAGTCCAGGATAGCCTGGACTCCATCAGTAGTTGAAGTATCACCTGCCGTGCATTTCGACGAGGCGGATGTCGTGGTTGAAGCAGCCGCTCTTTTCTCGAGGGCAGCCGGGCTGCCACGAAGATCGTTGTCGTGTGGGAGTGCGACAGCAGTTGCTACTAGCGCAACTGTGGTAAAGAAATTGATTCTCATCGTGATGATCGATGAGATAAGTAGGAGTAGAGACAGCGAGATAATTCAGAATATGTTTTGCGTCTACCGCTTGCATCTGTGAAAAACTCGGAAATATCCAGCGGTATTTATACAGATGAACCCTACACATCTTCTTTAATCCTTCAACTATTATCAATATCGTTGTAGGTCAATGACGCCCAAGGGGCTCAGACGTTGATCCTTCTCTCCACCCCTGTCAGCTTACCGATCGTCCCTTCCTTATTTGAGTAGGGTGATTGGTTCTGGAGGTCCAGCTCGGAACGACTAACTCGTTATTCTTCCAATCTATCATCCCGTGATTTTCTTTCAGTGCTTTGACTTCTCCATAAAAAGAATTCGCGGCAATCTTTGCGATGCTAAATGGATGCTTTGGGATGTTAATCTATGGTTGTTATCGTGTCTAGTTTCCACCCCCGAACGTTAACCAAAGATTTTCTAGATCAAATCCCATTAAATACACTACAAGGAGATAATTATCAATCGACTTGTATATTTTTGAGTTTATTATTCTCTGTCGGCTCATGATAGATGACCTACCCGGCGTAGGAGCGGGCGTGTCAAGCCTCAACTACAAAGAGCTCGGATAACACGCCTCAGAGCAAGGGGCGGCGCAGGGAAGTATACCACAGATTCAAGAAGACCAGTAATATTTAGTGTATGGAGCACGTTCAGGTCAAAAATATTCAGCAAGTCTTGAAGGAATCAATGCAAGATCGACGAAGAAGCCTAAGGCTTTGAGCCCCCAAACTCTGAAGACTAGCCGCGCGGGGGCGGTTAGCTCCTGATCCAATCGACTTTGCACGAGCGGACCAAAATAAGATACACAGAACTCTGACCGCGTGGAAACTGGTAGTTTGATCTTGCTTAGGATAGCTGAATCCTTCAATCTTCAATCTATGTCATCCTGATGTACAATTTTGAGAATGCCGGGGCGCGGGCATCGGCTGTAATCCATGGCAGGCAAGCCTTGTGTCCGGAACCAATTTTACATCTAGACATAATTTTCAGCCCCACCGATATTTTCAATCTCGACGCCGAGCGGCTTCTCCATCCAGTCAGTATTAAGAGTGCGGTGGTGGCCAGGTTGGACCGGGTGACCTCTAGACTCGAAGACACCTCCGGTGATGCCGCCCTTCTCGAAAAGATGGTCGACATCTTCCAATTCGAGTCCTTTGGTCTCAGGGAAGAAGAAATACACCATAGGGATCTATTTTGGTAAGTCTTGAGCATAGTAGAGATGTAACTGTATTTTGAAAACTTACCCATGCAAAACAGAAGCAAGCAAAAATAATGAAGGTTCTCCACTCAATGTTGTGAATCGCCGTGGGTGTGATTTGCACAACGATGACTACCACAATCAGCATGGTTCTCAGTAGGCATAGGGGTCAGCGCAAGACATACAGACACACATCCAGTTGACAAAGCCAGCAAAGGCCTGACCTCGAGCGCGAATACGGGTAGTTGTGATTTCGCTTGGGTAAAACCTACAATCCCAGTTAGTGGACTAGCTCAGAAGATTGCACAATTGTGGACTTACCATGGCACAGGTAGATAACCAATGCCCAGAAAGAGCTGGAAGATAAACACGAAAACAGTTGCAGCGTATGCGCATGGCTTAGTGCCCACGGATAGGAGGGCGGCTGCCATGACAAAGCACACACAGAGACCAGCCGCGGAGATCATGAGAGATGATCGACGACCCAACCGATCCATGCTCCAGAGAGGAATGATTGATCCCACCAGATACGCAAGCGAGGTGCATCCTCCGAGAATCAAGGACAGGTTACGAGACAGCTTCATAGCATTCTGGTAGACGATGGGCGCATAGTAGTTGATCATGTTGGATCCTAAAAGGGTCAGGCATACATCATAGTATGGATATTTTCATAGCTCTCTTACCCGTAAATTGTTGCTGGATATTCACTAGACCCGCAAGGATCATGCGTCGCAAATTCTGCATCTTGCCACCCTGGAGAAGCTCTCTATATCTGAATGGCCCACCAGCAGATTCGATATTGATGGCAGTCTCTATCTGCCGGCGCAGCAGAACGACTTCAGGAGACGATTCATCGGCCGGCTGTTCAAGTTGAAGACGAGCCAGAATGGAAGCGGCTTCGTCACTGCGATCTTGTTCGCAGAGCCAGCGAGGTGTGTCTGGTAGTGCAGTCATTTGCAATACGAGACAGACAGCGAAGAAAGCCTGAAAGCTAATGGGGAATCGCCATTGTACGGGCGAGTCGACGAAACTCAGTCCATAATCCAGCCAGTATGCGATACAGAGTCCGACGATAGTCACTGTGCCCTGTGCCGAGAGAAGTCTACCACGACGTTCAGGTCGGGCCATCTCTAGTAGAGGGGATCAGCCACTGCCCCCAACAGCTTTTTTACTGCATTCACCCATCAGCATCTCACTTACCACTTTGATATGTGGGAACGGTACTGCTGTTGATGCCGTTACCGAAACCAGTCACGATTCTTCCAACCAGGAATTGTGCCCTGCCGTATGAGGTCGCAAGGATTATCGTCCCGATGACCATAATAGCTCCACCTGCCATAATCATCTTCTTCCGACCGACCTTGTGGCCCACCACAAAAGCCAGAAGGCAGCCGACTGCGCAGCCAATATCGTAGATGGATGTCACTGCCAACATAGGGTCAGGCTAAAATATAACGTCGATTCATACTGATCATGACTTACAAATTCCTTGCATGTTCTCGTCTGGGTGGCCAAATTGCTTTCCGAACTGGTTATCTGCTCCTACTAGTCCGCTCATAACGCCCTGGTCATAGCCAAGAAGAAGGAAGGCTTGGCAGCTTGCAGCTTCATACAAACAATGTTAGCCAAAGGAGTCTCCCAGGGGGCGCGCTGTAGGAAAATCACCTGTCACAGCCCAATGTAGCCATTTTCCACTCAGTTGACCCATATTTACTGTTGCTGCTGTTCGTCCATCTCAATCCAGAGCACGATAATGGGCCAGCCCGTAGAATCTGGGGCCCTCTAAGAATTTATTTACCCATTCGAGCAATTTCTCATACTGGTGATCTCGCGTTGACATTCCCCCGACACCAGTCTCTTTCGGTAAAATCGGGGGAGCTCAGTCCGGGGTGATCGGCGGATTGTTACGGTCGTTCCAGTCGGCGATGGTGCAACCGAGACCAAATAGGCAAAATCTGGGGATTTTCGGTGGACCCATTTCATCACCGGAATGGTTCCCCGCACGGCATTGCACGCCACGGCCGATACGACCGGCTGTGGCGGGTTTCCGGCTCTCCCTGGGGACGCCAACGAGAAACTAGTCACGGGCAAATCAGAAGAAGCATTTTAGCTTGTAGATTTGGAAACGCCACTGGCCTTGTCTTCACTGACCCTGAATGTCCAAAAGTCAACCATGGCTACGGAGATAATATTCGCTTAGTTCAGGTTTCCCTGGGTTCCATTTCTACGCCCTGGGGTCAGAAAGCTGGCTTAAGCAAGGTGAGTATGCCTTCAAGCCTCTACCGGGAACCTTTGCCGCATGCTTTTCTCCTGCCTAGTCGAGTCAAAAAGAATTCGATGGATCTTTAGTTCAATCAAATGTTAAGCGCACGGACTGTCACGTGGAAAGTCTTGCTCTGAATATGGCAATAGAGCCAACACGGTATTACGCATTCCAATAGAACACAGGATATATTTGTAGCCCGGCATCATTTGTTAGCATCAATTAAATGTTCCACATGCCTGCCCAATAAAAATTCGAAGCGAAGCCGGTAGTCCAGGTTTCTTAGAATTTGCGGCGGCTCTTGGCTGATTTAAAGCCGTCCCGAAGGCCCCATGGGGCTGACACTGCCAAAAGGGTGCTTCATGAATGTAATTGCATTGCTCTGGGGTGGCAGATCAAAACAAATGAGGCTCGTTCAACGTAATCCAACTTGGCATGTCACGTTTGACACATACAATCACTTCCCGATTAGGAAACTCATCCTCAGAACACTATATAACTACTTTTTTCTCCCTCCTTTCCCTTCCCTCTCTTCTTTCACTATGATATCCACTCCTATCCGCATAACTCATTGCCCCAGTATGCCAAAAATTGCGCTATATCACCTTTTCTCTAGTTTTGATTTTGAATTCTCACCCACCACAATGCTTTACTCGTCATGATGGAGGCTCTGTGTCTCGGAGATATCTGTTCATTTACAAGCAAAAAATTCGTCTATGATCGGACTCTCATGTCTTGCTCTTCCCATCGCGTGTCGAATATCCATCAGGCTTTGACAACGCAATCCTGGTCCGTCCCTACCAGGAGTGGATGCGCCTCCCTCCATCGAGTCCAAATTGTCGCCGAATTAGTCTACAGATTTGTGCGATGATGAACAACTAAAAACATGTTCAAAATCCATCCCCTTTCAGATGGATATACCTCTAAGCCACTCAAAGAATAGAAAAATCAGTCCTCCTCTCCGATCTCTACATATCCCACTAACTCCTTCAGCTCAGTCAGTACACGCAGGAAATCTGCGTCGTTTGGACTGCTGAACTTGACCAGATCTGAGTGGTTGCGATTCAGAGGATGTGTATTGACGTGACCCGCACCCCAAACTTCACCATCTGTAGCAGAACCGCGATCGACGAGCATCTTCTTCGGTTTACCTGTCATCTTCCACTGTCCATCTGCATTCTATCACACTGTGAGCAAAAAGTCACAATACAAATGTCAAAGAAATGGTTCAGTACCTTTTCCGGCGAGAAAGAAGGCTCCATCTCGTAAAAGTATATGATCTTCGGCTTTTTCCCTTCGAAATCCGATTTGAACCTCCGGCTGAGGTCTTGTAATGTTGGTGACTCATACATGATGGACTTGACAAGGAATTCGTTGGGTTGGCCTCGGATCATCCCTTCCAAAACTTCGACATGCATGCCGTGGCTGGGTACGCCGAAGAAGAGAGCACCCTGGAGGTTGCTGATAAAGGTCCCGGGCTCTGGGTTCTTCTTTTCCTGTAACAGTGCCTGTTCGATGGCTTAGCTGTGGCCTAATCAGACTTTTGCAGTACCGATAATTACCTCTTTCACGGTCAGTCCTCCAAGACTGTGAGCGATGAAGTACGAAGGAACGGCGAAGGCCGTTCCAAGGTGAGATGATGTAGAACTTAAAACCGACTGGGCCCGACGCTTTGTGACACTTCGCATCTCATCCCGTAGAAGCTTACCCAAATCTTCCAATGTTTGTGAAGACTCGTTCCCATCAAGCCGTGTTTTGGACCCATAGGTCATCAACCTAGCGTTCCGAAGACGGTCTCGGAGGCCATCTAGCACCCACATAAAAGACTGAGATACACCCTTGTATTTGAAAGATCCCCAAGCATGGCCTCCAAGACCAGCAATGGCGCATATACTGGACCCACTATTAGCGTGGGGTCTCTTGTTCCGAGGACCATGGGCGAAGTACTTACTCGATCGTGTGAGGTACATCCGGAGATGGAGAGTAAAGAATGGTTACTCCACGGAAATGGGTATCGACGGTGATGTGTAAATCGTCATCGTCAGAGGTGGGCCCGAAGTCCCATTCATCCTTCCCAGGGGTCGACAAGCATGCTGGTTGAGGCCTCCAAGCTACCACTGCCACCTTATCACCTGTCTGGCTTGTGGCCAGAGCTTTGACGCGCCCCACGACGGTCGGCTCAATACCAAGTTTTCGACCGAGATATGTAAGTAAATCGGGGACGGCATACTCAAGCCTAATTCCTCGCACTCGATAGTCCAAGTCCTTGGTAACCTGTGGTGAAGGTGGATTCTCAAGCAAAGGAGCGGATTCAGTATTATGACCATGAGCACCATTAGATCCGCCATGCAAGATTCCTGGTAGCAAAGCGTCGTCCAAATTCAGTGGATCTAAGTTATTGTTGAGAGATTGCCTCCTGGGTGGTACCTGAGGGTGAGGATTAGGCTCAGAGACAACTACAGTCGACGGTGATCTGGGGCCTTCTGAATTTTCGCGCGAAATTGAAATGGGTTGGCCAGAGGATGGCTCTGTCTCACGAGTTTCCGAGAAGAAACCCTCCAACGCTTCCTGGAACAATTTTCCATCTATGAACATTCATTAGCACACGGAAACTCTCCAGCGAGGCATTATCAATAGCAAGGTTTGATCTTACCCTCGAGAGAGGAGAATTCAAATCGTAGGTGGCTAAGGGAAAGTAAAAATTGAGTGTTTTGTATTGGCAGATCATCTTCAGCAAAGGTGTCTGTAATTTCCTGCCGTGAGTCTCTTCTTGTAATTGCTTGTTCTGTATCAGGTGGTGAGTGACGAAGCAAGTCACTAAAACGCCTCAAAAGACCGGTCTTGCCCGTTGAGTTCCGTTTTTTCTTAGGTTTCTGAGAAGCAAAGTCAACGCGAATCTTCATTCCCGCATCACTTGTGTGGATTGAATTAGCAAGAAGCCGCAGAGGGACCTCGATGTGATAGTATGGTTTGCTTTTTTGGACCAAGAAGGAGATTGATTGATTTCGGCCGTCGAGATCAGACCATAACTTCAATGGCTGAGCGGTACTTTCTGAGCCCCTTTCAGAAGTAATGTCCTCGACATGGAACGTATGCATCAAAACCTTGCCTCGGAGTGCACATTGAAAAGCAATTGCATCAAACTTGGATTCAAAGCTATATGACGGTTTGCGTCCTTTGTGTCGCCACAACTCGGCACCATCAACTTCCTCGACATTGCAGGCTTCATAGAGGCGAATTTGAGGCGCCCGAAAACGCTCGTGCTTAGTATAGGGGTGGATCTCACTGATCGGAGGAACTGTGTCAATTCATAAGCGTTGCATTCTTGAACATGCGCAGGAAGAAAGCTTTTCTCACGATGCTGTACAAATCCCCATTCCTTATCAATTCTGGTACTGACTATGCACCGGTTTCCCAGGTAAGTGACAATGTCCACTGAATGGAGGAACTCCTCCTCTTCGAGAGAATGAGGTTGTCTAGGCGAGGTGGTAGGTTAGACTATGCTCAGGTTTGTTTAGAAACGCCCGCTCTTACAGAGTTGCCAAGGACCCATCATTTTCATGAGTATAAACACGTCGTCTCAGGTATGGAGAGGGTTTCTGGGTACGGTAACTGGACTGTCGTTGTTTCAAGGTTTGTTGTGAATACTCGCGCAGCGTTTTTCTATCGCTGAGCTTGAAGTCTCTTGAGAACATCAATTGCGATCCTTGGAAAGGTAATTCGTGGTCTCGAAATCTCGCAACTACAAGAATCCACAGCTTCTCACAGTGAACTGAGCTCAATGGGGGCGCCCTTATTCTCTTGAGAGCCTCGCGGAGCTCGATGAGGTGTCGGAAAAGAGGCCACGTATTTTTCTCGACGGGTGTGAGGGCCGATGGTAGGGTGACTTCATATTGAGGAGCAGTTTCCGTGCTTATCACTTGAGGCATGCGATGCATGTCAGATTGTCGAAGGACAACGAGAAACAGATTTCTTTAATTCGAGCATACATCAGTTACTGTTTCAGAGTGACTGCAAGTAGAACCAAGTTGACCAAGGTAACAGACTTACACAATGATATCATCGAGTTTTGCATTCATGATATGCAGCTGCATATCAAGACGCCTCTCAAGCAGGTCCAGATCGGAGAGGTTGTAGACATAGCAGGCATTTTCGTGCAGCAAGTTCGTCTGAGGCAATGTATCTTGGAGACAGAATGCTGGATTGTGGTGGAGAAAGTCATTGCATTCGTCCCAGGTTTGTTGATATTCATGGTACGACTCGAGAGTCGTGTGCTGATGCCGTAGGACTCTGCGAAAACACCTGAAGGCTCGGTAGAAGGCATGGAAACGCTGTGCAATCCCTTGGATGCTTCCTGGGGGCAGCGCGGCAAGTGGACCTGCTTCAGCACAGGCAACCCAAAGCTGTGACATGGTGGAAATAGCAAAGATCGGAGCATTTTGGGGAAGAAATTGATATTAATAACGTCTACCCCGAGGTCCCTTTTTCGTCGCTATGTGCACGTCCCAATCATATTCGTGATGGAAAGAGGCTCTTAAGATTGACAGAGCACGTTCCTCAATGCTTAGCGTTGAGTGGTCGAATATTCTGATGAATTGTGATGCGCTCGTAGCGCTAGTGGCGTTAGGCACGGACATTAGTTCAATCAGCTCCCCGTGGTCCGCATGATACCTCGTGTCCGTCAAAAGTATAACATCGCAGATGTTCAGTTGCCCGACATGTTTTGATGATATGCGCAGAGCCCCTGAGATATCTGTCTGGCTATGGCGACAGCTCATCCGATCGACGATGAAAGAACCGTATCAACGTGGCAGAGGATAAACAATCGGCTACCCTTTCCTTTTGGTGACCATCCGTGGTGGATCGACGGAACTACCCGAGCTCCCGACGAGAAGGACGAGAATCCACGGCTTTGGCGGGAAGGGGTGATTAACATCTTTGATCATAATGGTTTTGACTTTCAGGTCTTCATCGTCGCAGCGTCGGGCTTTTTGACAGACTCCTTCTCACTCTTTGCGACCAACGTGATATTGCCCCTGTTGGCATTCTTGTATTGGCCAGATCGAAATGACAGACTGCCCGAGCTCTATATCAATGTCGCGACCTTGGCTGGATCCGTTGTTGGGCAGCTACTCTTCGGCTGGTTGACTGATAGACTAGGACGAAGAAAGCTGTATGGTCTTGAGCTTGTGCTGGTCATATTTGCGACGCTAGGAATGTCTCAGGCGTCAAATGGCATGTACAACAACATGGACATACTGAGTTGGATGATATTCTATCGCTTCTTTCTTGGGATGGGAATTGGGGCTGAGTATCCCCTCAGCGCGGTGATCACTGCGGAGTTTGCCAGCACCAAGTATCGGGCGAGAATGATGGCTGCTGTTTTTCTGATGCAGCCGTTGGGGCAAGTTCTTGCAGCTGCAATCGGATGGGGAGTCTTGACAGGTTTGATGCAATCGCGCGGCCTGCAGGATCTCCCTGACCGTGGAACTGGATTTGATCAGCTCCCAGTGGATCAACAGCATCAAATACTGTCAACATTAGATAGTGTTTGGCGCTGGGTTGTTGGCGTGGGTTGTATCCCCGCGTTGCTTGCCATTCTCTGGAGATTCTCCATTCCAGAGTCACCGCGTTATACCATGGATGTTTCTAATGACCCCAAACAAGCCCTTGTGGCTACCAAGCGTCAGTTTCGACGCACTGCCCGAATTCTGGAGTCGATCAATGTGTCCTCCGACGAGGCCGACACTCTTGCTCCTTCAAATCCTCGGAGTTTGCCGACTTCTCCCGCACTTGCTGCTTCTCCTGATCCAGCAGGGGACAGCGAATCAACCTTTTGGGATTTCTTCTTTGTGGAGGGCAACATCAGATACCTTGCAGCAACTGCTATATGCTGGTTCCTACTTGACTTTTGCTTCTATGGCCTTGGAATCAATTCTCCCCGACCACTTGCAGCTCTGTGGGCCTCTGAAATTCCAACCGTTACAATAACCTCTGTTCTCCCGGCTGCAACTACTTCCATGACAATTCCCTTTACCCATGCAGTGACGCTCAATGGAAACATCTACAATGTGACGACTTCAATCATTGCAAATATACCCCCTCCAACAACCACAGTCACCAGTCTAGTGGCAGCCACTGACCCCAGTCTCCATATTCCCGACTATCAAAACATCTGGGATCCGACAAACAATATGTTCAAGGAGTTATCTCACAACGCAAAATTCTATATCCTCACCATATCTATCACCTCCTTGATTGGTAGTGGAGTACTGATATGGATCATTGACTACATTCCGCGCAAAACTTGGTTGGTCTCGTCATTTCTACTACTGAGTATCTGGTTCGCCGTACTAGGAGGAGTTTTGGTGGCGACCGAGTTTACCAATGGCCATGTAGCCAATGTGGTTCTATACGCTTTCTGTCAATTTTTGTTCAATCTGGGTGAGTTCATTGCTCCGAATGTGCTCATCTTCCTCTACTAACGCTCTGAAATCTCAAGGTCCAAATACTTTGACTTATATTGTTAGCCCCTCCACATCCTAGCTATAGTACAGCATTGACACTAATTCCCCCTAGATCCCCGCAGAGATATTTCCCACCCGGTTTCGTGCTACATGCCACGGTATTTCAGCTGCCTGTGGAAAGCTTGGCGCCATCGTCATTCTCATCCTCACAGAGAAGACAGTCTTGAACGCTAATCCTCGAGCATTGGACAAACTTCTTGGCGCTTTTTCAGTCCCGCTTGCTGCCGGGGCGTTCTTTGCCTGGATATGGATTCCAGAGCTGCAAACACCCCCAACTGGCGATGCACGCGCGCTTCGTCTACCCCGACTGCCCAACAAAAGTCTGGAATGGCTAGCAAAAGGATGGAAGTTTGCTAATGGCACTGATCAAACTCAGGATCCGCGCACTCGCCTTCCTAAGGGTGAGAATCAAAGGTTAGGATTTTCCAACAAGCTTCATGATACATGGATTTTCCTCCGATACAGAGGGAGGAGAAGGATTTTGGGTACAACGGGCGCCTCGGCTGGAAGAGAAGGGACATCTGTTGATCCTATACGGATGGAGAATATTTCCGCTGCAACACCGACACAAGATAGCCTCGAAATGTATTCTTAATCGCGGGTAGATGACCCCTAGTCTAACGAGGTACATGGATAGTGGGTTCGTTCGAGCATAATCGCCGTATGCGCTCCCCTTAAACACTGTTCCGGCTGTTCTGCCTATCAAGTCTCCTTTTCCGTACAATCTTCAAGTTCTCCTTGGCCCGCAGGACGTGATATACTGTTAGGAACCCCCAAACCAAGCTCACCAGTACAACACTTGCAATGACTCCAATCAAGCTGGCAGCGGTGAAACCGACCGAGGCATTCTGGAACTTTCCACTCTCACGTAGTGAGTCGGTTCCCAAACCAACCTGCATTGATCCCGCTACGATGGTGACAAAACCGAATACGGAGAATAGCCAGGCAAAGTTTCGCTCCAAGAAGGCTTTCGTCCAGAGAGGCTCCGACATAAAGCCTCGAATAAAGTTTTGGCCGGAGAACATACCGGGCGCGAAGCGATAAATGAGATTCAAGCGAGAAAGGCGCAGCTCTCCGAAATGATAGCGCTTTGAGACGGTATCGAGAGTTTCCGGGTCAATGTTCGTGAGTAAATCCGTGACAAATAAAGCCCACGCTTCCCAGGTGATGGATGATGGAACAAGCTGAACATCTTGAGCAATAGAAAGGTCGGACTTGGTACATATCAGCCAGCAGTATGATAAGAGAAAACCGCATGCAGATTGATTTAATGATCGATCTTGAATTAGGAAACTCCCTTTTCGTGTCCAAAAGTCATGAGAGAGAAGATATTCGGGTAGAGGCTTGATAAATATCCGAGTAGCATTCCAGACAAGGTGCTCGTTAGGATTTTCCGTGATGACAATGGTCCGGCCTAAGAGGATTTGGCGATGGATTGGACGAGCTGCTTTAGGGAGCCCAGCTAGCCAAAGATGCGGATATACTTTATCAAGAGCAGGGGTTCGAAGGTCTTGATCTAGAATGATCGATATACAACGTTGAGGATTGAACCCGCTGCTTGCATGAAAAGGTGGAAAACTGGGTGGTATTTCTTGCAATTCATGAGTCTTTCCAAACGGTGGATTGAAAAGAATCTATTTTCATGTCAGGTACCAGGGATCCTATGGGCATGACAGACTTGACTTACAGGCTTTTCCGCGGAGTCCTTGCTGTCCTCTGTGCTTTCCGTTCCCTTTAGAGGGAAGTTGCCTTCCATCCTGCTATTATATTATTCTGCGTCAGAATCGGGAATAGACAGCCTTGGTTCACTGTCGACACAGCATCCCCGGTTGAATTCACCTGTTCTCGACCTCTTCTTTGTAGCCCAACGGTCATGTAATATCATCGGTAGCCCCTGATCAACGTTTAACCCGGGTGAGAATATTTGCATAATGCAGCTGAAGGCAAACAGGGCCAAATCTTCCGAAGGACTGATTTGACCTGCGGGCACTGGAGTCTTCGAGCGTGGCAATAAGCTAGGCAATAGTGGACTTGCCTCGCCACGTTGGACATGAATTCCCAAAGTAAGCAGCCCAAGGCGGCTAGAACAAATCTCTTTTTTTCCTAATTTGCCGCCGACGGAGAAAATAAATGAGTTGCGCCCGAGAAGGCGTAGTGCCGCTGTTACTTTGAAGCTCGACGGAATTAAGCATACACAACCAGGGTCGCCTCTGTTAGGAACAAGGGTTATGAATACAAAAATTCCGGTTTCAATTGGTTCTACCTGGTCCAGCCCTGTATACACTAAATAGCAATGTAAATCCTTCGATGAGTGGTTGTTGGGACTTCAGACGGTCGTCTCGGCGGGAGCAGTTCTCGCAGCTCGCAAAGCCTCCGCAACGAGGTCCCTCTCCTCCTGTCCGCTGGAATCTCCAAAGACCTCGTCAAGCTCTTCCAAAGTCTTACCACCCGTCTCCGGGACCAAAAAGTATGCCCATACACCAGCCAGGAAACACATCACAGCGAAGAATATGTACGTGCCATAAGTGATGCTCTCCATCATACTTGGAACCGAGATACCAATGATAAAGTCACAAAGCCAGATGACACAAGTTGAGAGAGCCACACCTTTTGATCGAGTTGCGGTGGAGTAAACTTCACTAGGAAGAGCCCATCCGAGTGGCGAGTACGAGACACCGTATGTGAGGATGAACAGGAACGCCATCGCCACGCAGGCCCAGCCTGCACTCTGGTGAGATTGCCAGTCCTTTTCGTACAGCGCAGATAGGATCGCAATGATGGTATACGTCACAGCCGTTCCAAATCCACCAAATATCGCCAAGGGCCGACGGCCGACTTTTTCGATGATGAGGAAGCATACAATTGCCGCGACCATCTGAAGGATATTGAATACACCCGACATGATCAACGCCATTTCATTCGTTTGTCCCAACTGTCGGTCATGATTAGCGTGGATCACATTGCTCTTGTCAAGTAAACCTGACTCACCGAGGTAAACAAAGTAGGCGCGTAGTAGATGAACGCGTTAATTCCAGAGAATTGTTGGAAAAAGGCGACGCCGACTCCAACAGCTGTGCGTCTCCACAACTTCCGCTTGAAAAGATCCGCCCACAGCGCGACCTCAAGCTTGATGCCGCCAACGCCCGGGTGTCGCTTCTGTTGAGCGAGTTTCTGGAAGTTGACTTCGGCCATGATACCGTGGAACTCTGCTTGCACTCTCTCATCGTGGGTTGGCAATCCCCGTAGTTTCTCGAGACTTTTTAGACAATCATCCGAGCGATTCACAAGGGCAAGCCAGCGAGGAGAATAGGGGAAGAAGTGGATGCCTATGCCCAGAAGAGTCGCAGTAACCATTTGCAGTCCAAATGGCAATCGGAACGCGCCTTCTCCTGCAATGCTTCTGCATCCAAAGGTAATCCAAAATGCTATCACCACGCCAGAGGTGATGGAAATAGATTCGAGAACTAGCAGCGTTCCACGGATATTTGGAGGCGAGATCTCTGAGATGTAAAGAGGTGCGCCCTGTTTCCACGAATGTCATTAGCTATTGCTGTCAGTGTTGTTGAGAGGAGGGCATGTTTTACCATTGCCAACGTTCCAACGCCTATCCCTCCGATAAACCTTCCGGCAACCAATGCTGCATAGTTCGGTGCTGCCGTTTGGATAATTGCGCCAATATCAAAGATGATCACCACTGCGGTCAATGCCCATTTTCGAGAGTATCGGTCTGCCGTGTATGGCATGAAGATACAGCCCAGGAAGGCACCTAACAACAGCATTGCTGTCATAAATTCTTTCCCAAAGGAAGTCTCTGTGAATGGATACGTCGTATGAAACTGATCCATCACATTGATGAGTGAAATAACGCCCATGTCGTATCCCATTGAGAACCCGCCCAGGGATGCAAGAACAGCCGCGCCGGAGACATAGGGGGAGCTGATGAGACCTGCGATGCCACCAGGGCCATAGGAAACGTGTTGAAGAAAGCTGGGCTCGGCGTAAATGGTCTCGTCGTGTTCTGTCTCTGCCTTGCCCGTGTGCAGTGGCTTGGTGGCGAGAGACTCGACCTGCTTATCGGTAGCCATGATTGATTGACCCCGACAAGGACTTAGTTAGATAGGCAGCTGGATGAGTAGCTGGCCTGGAGTGAATACAGGATGGAATGCTGGTCTGGAGTGAATATAATCTTACCATGCCTCTTTTATAGTCTCTTTACCTGCTTGCCCTACCTTGCATTAGCCTTCGTCATTCGCGAATAGGGTCCCCCCATTTTGCTGGTGCGTTTGCGGGGTAGTCTGGGGAAGTCTGGCCCGGGGAGACCCACACCCCAGACTTTAGGGTTTTCTCGCCGAGGACTTCCCCAACAGATGCCGTTGATTGCTCTTTGGGAAACGGGGAAGTTGCCCCGTAGAGATAAAATCACAAAATACCTCGACCATGAAACTCTCAATTGCATCGGAGTCGGGCCGCTCTTGATAAGCCGGTCTCTGTTCAGTTGCCGATATCCTATAAGAATTCAATATGAGATCTACCTATCATATCTGGAGTTCTCACAACCATCACGTATTAGATGGTCCTGATTACACTTTATCGGCTTCAACGGCTAATGCAAAAGGCCCGAATCTAAGGATCATTACTCTGCAGGGTAAGAATCTCTGAGCGACTGTCGCCACGTCCAGCCCGAAACTCAGTCTTGGTCTTTGCAGGTTGTCTTGATTGTAAGCCATGTCAAACACAGCGGGTGTGTGAAGCGCCGGCGCATTCCCATTTAAGTCGGCATTGGAATTTTGCCCCGAGAGGCAAAGTGAGTTTGTGAGTTCTGGCCGCCTTGACGTCATCACGGGATTAAGGTCCAACCTAGTATCCTACGATTCAGAATGCCAAGCCTTATATTCCGCAAGATTGCTAGAAAGTTACTGATTGGCGGTTGAGGAGACGTGGATTATTTACTTCTTTTATTCTTGCGGCTTCATCTCAGCGCGCCCGACCGCGACACGGGTGTTTGCTCGTGAATGTCATCTGAAAGATGAGAATAGTTCTCTGGTGCAATATGGATGTTTACTGAGGGGCTAAGTGCATCATAAGACTTTCGCTGCTCCTTATTTTAATATCAATTCTGTGCAAAGTAATGGAAGAGCGAGCAATCGACGCCAAAGTGCTTTATCCCTTAGACTGAGGATTATCACGTGATTCTGGACCCGGTATAATGCACGTGACACAAGTGAATGTGGCGATGCAGGTGCCTAACCATACATTGTAACACAAGCTAAATGAATGAACATGAAGTCTAATGGACTACATATGCATCTGTTCTGATACTCTAAGACTCCAAATTCCTTGGGACTGTCAAAAAGCACCATGTCCCTGGAAAACACACCTTCCGACTATACTTCCTCGACATCGGTGGAAGTAGGGACCAACAACGCCAAAAGGTTACAAACCGTTTTTCGAGTAGCCCTACAGTCCAATAAGCAGAGCTCCGGGTTCCATCCTCGAAGGTCACACAAGAAATCACGAGCCGGCTGCCTCACTTGTAAAAAGCGAAGAGTTAAGGTACGTCCAATACGAGATGTCATATTGGCCGGAGGCACTAAAGTCATTCAGTGTGACGAGCAAAAGCCAGAATGTTCGAGTTGTGAGAAAAGGGATCTTAGATGTTGCTATCCATCGGAAGAAGCTCTTCAAATGGATGCACATTCCTCGAGCGGGAGGTCATCCAAAGAGCGCTCGAGTTCAACTTTGTTCTCCCTCACGCTTGACAATATCACCAGAGACATTCAGGAGGCCTTGAATTTGGGTGTTGCATCCAAGTCAGGTGCATTATGGAATCGAAATACCACTCTACCCATGAGCACAGTGGCATTCCACAATTTTGTGAGACGTTCAACGGAGACCATAGCCAGCCCTGCCATTCGGAATGTTATGAGAACCGATATGATTCAGGTTTCCTTTACAGTAAGTCAGATCTACTTACCCGTCAGTAATTTTAGCAACTCCCCTCTGGTAACAAAAATTACAGAGCCCGCATTTGATGTACACAATCCTCGCAGTTGGCATGCTACATCTGAATCGCGCCTCGCCTAGCAAAGAGCGATCTGTCGCAGAATCATATTTCTGGCAACATGCTCTTCAAAATTACCAAAAGGCTCTATCCTCAAATGTCCGCAAGGACAATGTCGATGCCCTTTTATCCAGTTGCATGCTTATGAGCGTCATGACCGTCTGCCCTGAAAATTTCCAGCCAACAGATTCATGGGTTCTCACCAACAAGCCAGAGGCCATGAATTGGCTTTGCCTCCAAAGCGGATTCCGGTGTATCTTAACACTCGCCTCGCAATATATCCCTTCCAGTATCTGGGGCACGGCATTCGCAGGAATCGGCAAAGAAGAAGACAAGATCTTTGACAATATCCAGCAAGGCCGTGAAGGCCTTGATCCGGATCTAGCGGATCTTTGCGGGATCGACGACTGGACAACGGATAAAACCAGCATTTACTACAGTCCACTTCGCATTCTCACTTCACTTTTGAAATTGGAGCGAGACGCTCTAAACTCTGGACATTGTACCTCATTCATGGGCCGGTTAGATTGTGACTTTGTCAATCTCTTGAGGGAGAAAGATCCGCCCGCTCTAATTATTCTGGCGCACTGGATGGGCCTTATGTGTTGTCTGTCGCAGTGGCAGCCATGGATTGAGGGAAGGATTAGGGGAGAGTGCATTGCAATATGCATGTTTCTGGAGCATAGTACTAACCCCCTGGTTATACGACTTTTACGATTCCCCGCGGATTCATGTGGATATAAGCTCCATTATAATGATTCATGAGCATCTGGTAATACAATCTGAAATTAGACATTCTCATTGTCATCCACGCTTGAAGTATTTTGGGTATCGGACGTATACAACGCTATCAGAATTCACGCCAAAGGAGATGGCTGAAGGTCGTTAAAAATGCCATTGAACCAGATATCAAAGTCAACCTCGTCCTGATTCCAAGAGAACTGCATCTCATTGGTATCCACGCTCCGAAAGTCGTCTGGGCTATTACCAGGCAACTTGCCAAACGCCATATCGTCATCTGGGTTGAGAATCACTCTGCTCAACGTTGAATAGTTGGCAAAAATCCGATTAAAGTCAATATGGGCGCCACGTTTCCTTTCTCTAGCTCCAAAATGGGCCTCTTCAGCAATCAAAATTGCGTCTATTAGAGCGACTCCACGCTGGGCGAGCAAATCATGATTTCGTAAAGCGAGGCGCTCACGTGCAGAAAGAACAGCCTCTCTGTACATCTCTAATTTCCCATCAGAGGGGTTTTCCACAGTAGCATTCACCTCGAAGCATAGAATGACGGCAGCGGTAATAGCAAATGCAGTGTGTGTCCAGATTGACAGGTCCTCCTCCTTGGCAATTGTTTCATGTTCGCGCAGGATTGTCATCGCAGCTGCAATACAGGTACGTCTTGAATGGCCGTAGTTTGGATCGTGGAATGAGCGGAAGAGAAATGGTCGGTGTATCATGATAATCTTTTCTGCCGCCGTAATAGCCAGGCTTCGACGGACAATGCTAAGCCACGGAATCTTTGACTCTTTGGCCTTATCGGATCGCAAAAGGAAAGATGGAATACCTTTGACAACGGCTCTCATCTTCTGATCCACGTGAAGTATATGTTCATATTGTTCGCGACGAGACTTGCGCTTGCTCATGGGGCCCAGGCCGTCCACTAGATCCGGCATCAGAGCGGCTAGCTCGACGAGCACACGCACATAAGTACTGATGGTAGGTATATTGGTGGGCAACTCGCTGAGATTCTGCTCATCCGCATTCAGAGGGCGGCCGGTGGAATAATGTAGGGGAGAAATGCTATAAGTGTCGGTAAAAGGTATAGCAAAATGGTCCTGGATGATCATTTGACACCATACTCGCCGTCCGACTTCTCGCTCCACCCGTTCTTCCCATTGATCTCGGGTCTGTGTCAACGAAGACGGATGATCTTTGATTTTGTGAAGTCCTAAACACTCCGCGATTCGAACGGCAGCATTGAACATCGTTGCGTTCAGTTGACTGAGACCCAGGTTGTGCGCAACCTCCGTCGATATGACGATGGCTTGGACGGAGCAGATGGAAAGGTTATTTAGGAAATGCGCATGATACAATGTTTGAACCATGGCTGAAAAAAGTTGCTGTGCAGTTTGCATGCTATCAAGGTCAACTTCAAGCAGGCTTTTCAGCTTTCTGCTATTTTGAATTGAGTTGACCGTGCAACTCAGGACAGAGAGGTAGAGTGCAACCCAGAGCGGATTGTCACATCTTCCTGTGCTCCAGAACAAATCACATTGTTCTAGGAATGTCTCGCCATGGAAGCAATTGTGATGCCAGGTCAAATGGCCAATATGAAATTTGATGAGCTTTTGGGCGTCGTTTGACATGGGCACGAATACTAAGGACTCTAAAGCAGATCCATGTATTTGGAAAGACCCGCTATTCATCGATAGCATCTCCGGATTATCTCGACGGTATTGGCAGGCGCATCGCCTGTGGGGGAAACATCCTGCAGAATTTCGACCCCAAGCAAGATGCTCTATTGCCGTAAGAATAGGTGGATCTGTATTCTCCGTCGGGGCTTCGGCCAGTCGACGTAGTGCCTGCCTTTCGTCAAACTGGTCCGGTTGCTTGATATCCTCTTGCAGCAACTCCGCGGGACTCTCATCGGTCGGCGACGTTGATATCCCGGTCTGTAGCTGGGATATTCTTTCTTTTAATCTATGAGCAACATGAGGCAGCTTTTGTGCAGAGCCGGAATCCAGCTCCGCCAATATGGAGCCTAAGAATTGAATCTCAGATGCATGTTGTACGGTATTCCGCCGGAGTCGCACAGTCTCCACCGAGCACTCTAGATTGAGGCGTCGACATCTAGAACAAGGGATTTGCTTGTCGCACTTTCTTTTCCGCTTGGTGCATTCTAGGCCACGTCAGTGTCATGTACATAACTCCACTTGGGACGGGAATGGATGATCTACCTCGACACGCGAGGGGCCGCCGCTGCGAGACGCGGAGTGGGCCAGCGGCATCGGCTGACCCGGTCATGGCATTAGTGGAGTGGATGTTGTTTTTCGAGAATGAGAAAACAGTCGCGTTTCGATGAAGAGCCCCCTTTTCTGCTCCTCGCGGTTGTCGATATCGCGTGCAAGAGGAAGTCCCCTTTGCGGATGAGTGTGGCCACTCGACCGCCCCCGCGATGCCAATCAGCCAATCAGAAGCCAGCGATACCGGTGGTCGGACTTTATCGAGCGCTGGCTGATTCGTCCTTGTCCGTTCTTGTGCTGACATCGAAAGAGACATGTCTCTGCTTCGATAAGTTATCAAAAGTAATTTGGAGGGACCGATCAATTGGTGTAAGCATTTTTCTCCGTTATTTTCCTCAATCTCCTCTGTGCATCACGAAAATAAGCCATTTGTCTCCTCTAAAGTCCGGCCGGCAGTCTCGGGGAGCAGAAACCAGCCCATCCGAGCCCAAAAAACGTTTATTGTCGAGAAGAACCAAAAGATTCCTTTTGGTTGAAGGGTGTCCCCGAGCAACATGGATGGAAGAGCCTTTCATTGTTGCGTTAGTAGAAGGATTCTCCGTCACAAGGGCTAAACAAACCTTTGACAAGCCATACTGGTTGGCATAGTGAAAGCACATCAAAAGACTCGATCCGGTGGCGCGCACATGCAGGGGGAAAATCTCCGCATTGATGAGATATTGAATCGAGTTCCAGCCGATTGCCCAGCCGATTCCAACAAAATACATGAAAGCAATCGCCACAATTGCGGCGCGATTGGTCGATAGAGACTCGCCATCGGACGATGACTTGACAGTGAGGAAGATTGCTATATACAGCATGGCAACCAGCTGAATTAGAAGACCAGACAACAATGATCTTTTTCGCCCTAGGTGGTCAATTGTCATAATAGCACAGAGCAGTGATGCAAGAAATTCCAGGGCGCCGAATATTGCCGTGACAAAGAGCTTCTGTGACTGGCCTGCCAATCCCAGCAACGAGAACAGCTCGGGCGCATACGCTTTGGGTAATGAGCAACATCATCGGAATACCGAGCTTTTAGGGAAATACACACTAGTCATGGAATTGGCACCAGACCACTGACTGAGAAGCTGCTCGGAGATGACAAACAGCAGTCTTTTCTGGTTGGTTCTCTCTGCCAACAACTCCTTCAGCGAAACGATCTAAGACTTGTACATGCTAGTTTCCTGGCAAGAATTCAGCTGGCCTTGAATACTCTCGATCTCAATGGAGACCTCGTCATGGTCGTCAGGGATACCCCACAGCCTCCCTAGAGCTCGCCTAGCTGGGCCTAATTTTCCGGCTTTGCACAAACTTCGAGGACTATCTTCACACAAGAACGAAGATAGACCCAACCCCCAGCCACGATTATCATTTCTACCTCTTGATATTTCAGATAGCCCGAAACAAAGCGCCGCTCATGTTAGTGGAAAAGTGAAGCATCGTAATGAGGAATACGCGCTTCTGAATTCCTTCATCGTGGGAACGAAATGGGGTGGGAAAGTCGAACATTGTCCCGAATACTATCAAGTCGTATGGACTTCTACAACTCGCTAGAAAGGCTCCAAATGGCTTTGTTAATAGTCTTCGCAGGGCGACGAACATTTCTACCTTGCAGCAACGTGGACAGCGTAATGATTAACACATTATTGGACAAGAGAATGGGGACTTGGGGGCCGTACTCCACTTAGCCTCGTAGGCCTGGGGAGAACAAGCTTTCTTGAGGTACTTTGGTTTGCACATGGGTATTTCAGCTAGCAGACTCGGATCCAACATAGTTGGGCACAAGGCTTGCCGATTGATTATGGATAAAATTGGTGGTTATTCTACTGCCTGGGATTTGGCGGGTCACAAGTGCCAGATCCACATGTGCCGTGAATTAGGGAGTACACATCGGTTTTTTTGTGCTAGATAAATTGAATAATCGCCTTCAGGTCCAGCGCTCATAACTCCATTGCATTTTTCAAGAGTTTCGTTGGCAATTGAGGCGACTAAAATAAGTCATGTGCGGACTCGCGCAATATAGACTCGCTTAGTCTAAGATGCGACAAATTTGATCGTACAGAACGCTCAATGATCTATAGCATACAGTATCACGCCTTGCAATGCATTATCAAAAAAGAAATTTGGCTCTTAAATCGCCGCGCTGGCCTGTTCCTTCGCAGCCTTGGCCCTCCGCTCCTTCCGTTCGCTGAAACGATCGCCAAAAAGGTCTAGATGCGGTCGCATCAGGATGGTATATTTGACAAATTCCTCCATACAATCCACCAGCCGATCACGATTCCCACTTGGTTTGAGTCTCTGATCTCCCGGCTGGCCTTCATCTGGAAAGTGGGTGTAGGCCTGGGGGATGGAGGATTGGTTGGGAATGGTAAACATGCGCATCCAGCGGCCGAGGATGCGCAAAGAGTTGACGGCATTGAATGATTGGGATCCACCGCAGACTTGAGCGATTGCAAGGGTCCGGCCTTGAGTTGGGCGGACACTGCCCGTGCTCAAGGGAATCCAGTCAATCTGGTTTTTGAAAACTGCGGTCTGGGCCATGACGAAGCACTCGTTAATGTATGATATTGAAATTCAGGGTAGGGGTACTAACCAGGTTTCCATGCTGTTCGGGGGAAACCCAGAGATGCCCATCACTCCAAGCACTGAGTTCTCTGAGCTCCTGGACTTTAGCATGGTTTTGATCCCTGTCATTCTTGACCGGAAGACCCTCGGGATCGAAGACGCGCACGTCACAGCCAAGACGGAAAAGGATTCGTGAAGCTTCAAAGGCTACAAGGCGAGAATATGACCTGGACCGAAGACTTCCATAGAGTACAAGAACCTTCAACCTTTGGTTGGTGAGTCGGAGGTTATTTTCAGCCAGTTGAAGTGTCGTAGTCAACTCAAGGCTCTCCACCCAGTCCTCAGCGGAATCTTCGGAAAGAATAAACGGCCGATACTTCTCGCGAACCTCAGCATTATCCTCTTTAGAATTCAACGCGAGAGTCTGCAGGCTAGGCTGTTGTCGTGCATCACTCGTGCCATCGAGCTGAACTGCAGTCACCGTTGATTGTTGAGGAAGAGCGTGAACGGCCATTCTCGAAAAGCCGCGTTGAGTGAATGATGGTCTTGAGAGGAAAACTTGTCTCGATGATAACCCCAAGAAAGGTCTGGGGCATGTGAGCGTTAATCTATGGGCAAGCCGCATATCTATAGTGACAAAGAGAATGGAAACGACCCTCGCCATCTTATTTTGTGCAAGGCATAAGCCGACAGCTTGTCATTGGCGGACGATGATTGGCTGGTGAGTATTGAAATACCTGCCGTATCGATAATACGGATGTCGCGATATCAGGCCGAGTCGGGCGTCTGCAGTGGCACCGCAACAGTCTGAGCCCACCCGAAGTATCTTTATTGACCGCCTCCTTATTAAGGATATACCGCTACAGAAATACGATCTATGAATGGTGGAGTTCCTCTTTGCCGGCAGAATTATTCAAGCGATACTTTGAATGATCTCAGACTTTTGCGGCGCCACTAAATCGTGGCTTTGTACTGAAATAATGTGTCATGCGGTTACAAGCTCCCCTTATCATGACCACCGTAGCAAGCCTTAACATATTGAAAGCCACTTTCTTGTGAGTAATCCCAAGACTTGGGTCTACAATATTCTGCAGCATTCTATGACCACTTGGCTTTAAATCTGCGATCTCGTTTGCACTGGAAAAATATGAAGAAGAAGGCCAACAATGCAATTACGGAAAATGAAAGCGGCTCCGCCACATTGACTCGCGTCCGCGACAATCAGCGGCGATCGCGTGCCCGGCGCAAAGAGTACATTCAGCACCTCGAGCAACGGCTACGGTCATTCGAAAGTCTTGGAGTGGCTGCATCGCAAGAAATTCAGCAAGCGGGGAGAAAGGTTGCGAAAGAAAATGCTCTGCTCCGATCACTGCTAGTGCTTCGTGGCGTGACTCAGAATGAGATTGAAGTCTTTCTCAAGTCTCACGCAGATGTTGCTCATGGAGAAACGCTCAAATCAGCGCCAGCAACAAGTTGTCCAGTAACGCCACAGATCGAGCCGCCTGTGGTTCTTGGCGTTTCACAAGGAAAATCCGACAGACCATTAAACGTTTCGCCGCGGAGAGAGGCTGTCGATGGACAAAATGTCTCGACCTATAGCCAATCTTTACAAGTTCATACGCACGCCAATCGGCAGGAACTGGAAACGGATGGAGCGTCAACAAACTTGCCGGTTGACATACCAGGGAATAAGCCTGCATTTGACCAATTCAACGGAGATCATCAAGAGAAAGGTCACTTTACATCATGCGAGAGTGCAGCCAGAATCATCGCCGGCTTGCGAGGCTATAGCGATAGCCATGACTTACGATCAGAGCTAGGCTGCGGCGGAGAAGCGGATTGTATGGTCAAGAATCTGAATCTCTTTGAGATGTTTGATAAATAACAGTTTATTCGCCTAACGAGTTCAACCAATATATAATATCCCCTCGTGTTCACGAAGGTAGGGTCTGCCACGGTAGATTGACAACAGCGAATCGTCGATGGGTGGCGGGGTTTAATCTCATACCATTACTACCGCTTCTGTCCCTGAGCAAGGTAACAATCATGTCAATCAGCTGGCATCAACGTGCCAAAGTCTTGAATCTGGTTTCGGTAAACCAAATTTTGTAGGCTGTAGGGTAGTGAGATACATGCCTCTAGACTGAATGGTGAGGCGACCGGAACTGTGCACAAACTATTGACAAATAGTTTCTGCCAAGTCATGACACAATCCAGAGAGCGATTCTCATTATTCACCGTTTATACTCTGGCGGGGAAAACTCCGCTCACAGAGAAGATTCCCCGGAATCTGGGCTTTCGATCCCGTTGATCAACTGCCGTAGTCATTCACCCGGGCTGCAGGCCGCAGGTCTCGTTTAATGTCCCGGTGCCCTGCTATTGGATGGTTTTCCATGCGAAGCTTTGACGTAACAACTATGAGATTCACCGGGTCGAGCCTATTTTGTGTGGTCACTGATACTGACTCACTGCCCAACTTGATCGCACGACCAGGAGCAACCCCACTCCGTCCAGTCCAGTCGGTGAAGAATGGATCTTGCCAACTGGTTCCAGACGGAGTACCCAGTAGCCCCCATAACCATCGCTAAGCATTGTAAACTGGAATCTTGTTATCGTCGGGAAAGAACAACGATCGGGGGAACGCGGGGAATGATCACGACATCATTCCTCTTAGGGCAGTCCCACGCGTCCAGCACAAGCCAGCTTGTCAAGTTTGTTCACTCATATACGCAAGAGCTCACCGTTCTTCTAGAACGCCTTCTTGGTTCCTGGAGTCTCAGGGCGATCACTCCGGGAGTCTAGGCCAATCAGAAGCCCGATTCCATCACCGGCTAGAGCCGGTCGGACATGATTGGTCTTGACCGCCGACGAGGGGTCGCGATCTATAAAAATCACCACAAAAGGCAGACGGCCTTGATATGCGCTTGTTGGGCGATAAGATGGTTTTGCATTACATGATATCGGGTGCGAAACTATATCTGTGGGGTTCATCTTGTTCATATAGTCTTCCCTCTTCCCAACCTTCTTCGCCAACATTTTCCCCCATTCTTTTGGAACCTCCTTCCCTCGGTCCCCCCCTTCACCGGCCAGCAGAATAGGGCTTCTGTGCCTGAACTGATCCACAGTACTCCGTAAGTGATTTCCATGCTCCAGGGGCCGGCTTTGTTTGCCCCGCGTCGAAATTACTTTATCTAATCAGGGCCGTGTTCCATTTCCAGATTCCAATCGATCCCGGGAGGGGGAGACACTTTCCTATTTCTACAACCCGCATTCACCTGCATTCACCTGCTTTTTGATTACCTCTATACTTTATATTCAACTTCTACTTGCCCATCCGGCCTCGCCAATAGAGCCTGACAGTCGTTGTCGGCTTGATTTGAGCATTGCATTATGAATCACAATATGAAAGACCAGGCCCTGCCACTGGGCATCCACCGAACGGGAAGTCGACTTGGAGAACTTCTCGTGGCCGACACTCTGGTTGCGGCAGGTTCATCGGCGCTCATCACCCCGGCGGTGATGATCTTTGACAGGTGTGTCTCCGTCTCGAGGTAATTCTCCACAAGGGAAGATGGTCATACTAACAAGATCCCAGACTCGTCGTTGAAAAGTCCTTCTACAACCAGCCCATGTTCCCGGCATTCCGTCGACACTTGTGGTTCTCGATTACACAGCCAGCGACCTTTTTAACATCTCGACCCGCCCTATTGGTCTGGTCTCTCTATACTGCCACCTTTGCAACCGCCAATATCTCCGAGACCCTGCTGAGCAAGGTCTATCCCAAGATCGACCATGCGATTGCGGGCATGACCACCTTTGCCGCCACGTTCGTGGTCAACTCCTCCGTCGGAATTTGGAAAGACGTGAAATTCGCCCAACTCTTCGGCCATAAGAATAATGCCCCTCCTCCTCCTCCTCCATCATCATCAATGATGGCACCATCACCACCAACTCCCTCCCAATCACCATCCACATCTGCATCTGCATCTACACCAGCGTCAGCATCAGCATCAGCATCAACCTCAGCATCTCCTTCCACTACCACGCCAAAAGGCGACACCTCCCTCCCCAAAACCGCCCGTTCAATCGGCCGCACTCGCATCCCCCTCGCCACGTACTCCGCCTTCCTCCTCCGCGACGGCCTCACCATCTTCGGCTCCTTCAGCCTCCCCGCCATGCTCTCCACCGCCATCCCAGACTCCATCGCCTCCCAAGAATATCTCAAAATCCTCATTGCCCAACTCGCCATCCCAGCCTCCATCCAACTCATCAGCACACCCATCCACCTCTTCGGTCTAGATCTATACAACCGGCCCCAGTCAATGCCGACCAAAGAGCGCATGAGCCGGATCAGCCGTGACTGGATCGGCGCATCGCTGCTCCGCATGTGCCGTATCATTCCCGCCTTTGGAATCGGCGGGTTCTTGAATACGGAGGGCCGACTTTACTTGCATGACCAGTTGGATGAGAGGCGGATCCCGGCGTGAGTGCGGAGAACTACGGGTTTAAAGTAAAAAAAAGCCACTCCTTTTGCATATAACATCAGAGAGAGAGAAACATCACATATAGCCATTTGTTCCTGGATTTTTAAATATATAGATCAATATACCCCCTTTTTCTTTATCCTTGTTTTACCAGTTTCTACTACTTTGTCCATTCTCCCTTTTTTTTTGCAGCGTGTTGCATGGCATTGGGGCAATGGTGGGGTGGACACTGGAAACTACTTTTTCTTATCGGTTCGCTTATCGTGTCGAGGAAACTCCACATCCCGCGGCGTGCCCGGCCCGGAGCCCGCTTGTAACCGGACAGCGGTAGGGTTGTCCGTCCTGCTGGTGGGTGGCCGAAGAAGTCAGGGATCTCGTGGGTTTTGTCGTTGGGAAGTTTTTTATTGGCTTGACATAGGGCTTAGGTCTTTCCCCCGCGTTTTCACGTCGCGGATCCGGAACCCGGTCAAACCGCCAAAGGGTAGCCGGCTGGCCGCCGCCGATGTCAGGCCGGAGCGGGGTGTGAAGAAGTGTTCTCTTTGGAGTACAAGGCATGGACTGGAGTATACAATTCCGAAATTATTGATAAAATGTACGTAGTACGTAGAGATTCTATTGGGGGTTCTAAGTTATTTCTTGGGTATGATTCTAGTTTCGGAACCTTGGACCTCAGGTCGATCGTGCATGGTTACCCTGACCATCCTTGGCCAGGTCGATTGGGATGAGCATATGCGGAGGGACCATGACCTCTTCGATCATTGCAACACGTCATGCGTAGGCAGACTGTTCTGTTTCTTTGGACGCTCACTGCCCTACGTGAAAGGCAGCATCTGCTTGATAGTCAAATCTTGATTCAAGCCGCACTCTTACCCCTTGGTGAGAGTTGACAGCCTATCTAGTAGGCGTGACAAGTGAGCCAACATCTTGTCATGATGGGGATTTACATGAGTTAGACTTGAAATCGAGGTGTTTTGATTGTATTCATCCCATTGTGCATTTTCCTTTTCGTCTGAGATGAGTCACTGTCGCAATTGGTGTAGACCGTCGCGATACGAAGCTTCCGTTGATCAAGAGTACACCACAACATCAACCGCCCCATGCTCAATAGGCCCTACTAGCGAAGAACACTTTCAAACATCCGGTCGAGAAGTTGCATGCAAAATTAAAGAGACCAATTCTTCATCAGCGGTCTCCGGTACGCAAGCCTTCTGAATCAATGAGTCAGGTAACCCGAAATACCATCAAAATTCTTAGCGGTCGGCTTGGTGGAGAGCCCTTACAAGGTTCAAAGTGCGTTCACTGGGCAATCGTCATCACCATGTAGACGGCCACACCATACTCTCTCTAGTTTAGATTCTGTTGGCTAATAAAGAACTAGAGAGTTTAGTTCGAAATTGGTCTACTTCTCGCCCGACAAGCTCCCCAGATAGCGTTTTCCGCCAAGTACTAACTAGGATGAATGAGTACATCCAAGATTGAGTCATCGCGATCTTGAAGCCATTACCCAACCAACTTAAAAAAGCTCTGAACTTCCCTCGCCATTAACAATCGATCAGTACCGAGACAAGGAAAAATTCACAAGATGTCCCTCCCCCGAGAACCCCGCTCCTGGCAAAAACCAGGCTTCCTCGTATCCACCGATAAAACCCTCCTCTCCATCCCATCAATAAACCACGCCTTTGGCCTCGACATGATCTACTGGACTCAACCCGTCCCCGACGCCATCCTTCAAACGATCATCGACAATTCCTTCTGTTTTGGTCTGTACAAAATCATATCTACCACCGATCAAATCAGCACCGACTCCGCCGATGCATCACGACAGCAGCTACAACAACCCTTCCAAGCCAAGGACCTGATACAAATTGGCTTCGCGCGGGTTGTGGGCGACATGGTTACTTTTGCATATTACACGGATCTCTACGTTTTGCCCGAATATCAGGGCGTGGGCGTGGGCGGGTGGATGATTGATTGTTTGGCAGAACTGTTGGACGAGATGCCTTATTTGCGGTGGGCGATGTTGCGAACTTCGATGGAGAAGAGTCGGGATGCGTACGTGAAGAGGCTTGGGATGGCGGTTTTGCCGTCTGGAGATATTAAGGATGGACCCGTTATGATGGGCAGGAAGGGGAAGGTTGGGGGCCCGTAGATTTGACGGAGATGTAGCACGGATTCGATTTGTACTGCCGGATTCGAAATCAGATTCCATCTGTTCTCACTTGGATATTACACGTATCGTCTATACACTGTGAGCTTGGTGCCCCTTCATACCACTCTCATTCACACCCTATAGGTGATCTACTATACCGCTACGTAAGGATGTCTCATCCCCAGATTTGCTAAAATCATATGCAATATATAGCGCCGAGACTTACCCCCTCAAGGCTACAGTTCATTTGTGATATAATACAAGCTAGGGCACTGACCAAGTCTTAACAAGCCGAAGCAGCTGTATATAGTGAACAAACGATCAAAATATTCGCAAAATAGCTATTCGAAAGCATCTATGCCCCTAAAATTCGTATTAGTCGGAGACGAAGCGTAATAACACTAATGCTAGAAGCACTCTGCGATTACTTACTCGAAGAACCTAACCTCTACCCCGAGAGAACATGTGCCGGTGTGGGAGGAAAAAGATCTACTTGCTCCAATACTCATCAGACTTAAATCTAGTAGAAGATCTCTTTGCCGAGCCGAAAGGTTCTATACGATGTAATTAGAGCTTCTATACAAGAGATCCTAATCGGGAGTTCACGTCCTTTCTAGAATGGTTTGTTGGTCAGGTTGGGGTTAAAAAGGGAAGTGCTAGGGGCCATTTTCGGCACTGACAGTGGCGTTGCATTAGTATTTACACTGTATAGTACTTCCCACCCACACCGCTCTTTTCCTACCGCCTACCCTATTCGACCACCCCTTTGTTGACGCTGACAGGCTATATCCCCCTATTTCCCTTCTACACACATTACTGACAATATGGCGCGTGGTCCTGAACTAGACGTCTATACGCGTGAGCGTATCTGCGAGCTGAAATTCACGAATAACTGGGTTGCCCGACGCATTAAGAAATATCGCTTTCCAGATATTCCACTGTCAACAATCCACTACCCTCTTCGAATGGAATCGAAGCGACGAAACAGCGCTAGTTTATATCGTTCTGGCTAACTACGCAAGCTTACCGAAGAGGACCGAGATCATGTGTATGATGCTATTTAGTCGAATCCCTCTATTATACGCGAGGATCTGCTAAGTGTGGTTAATTGTAAGGTCCACGCGACGTCGATCTGGCGATTAATGTATTAAATGGGTCTTCGGAAATGGCGGAAGATGGAGCGACCTTACCTTACGCCTATCCACGCTGCGAAGCGTCTTTAGTGGGCCCTTACCTATCGCTACTTTACACCGGAGGATTGGAAAAGGGTTTTCTGGTTAGACGAGACCACGATTAAGCGTGGATGCGGCGCACGAAAGGAATGGAGCTTCGTTCCTCCTTGGAAATAGCTTTAATAGCGGTAAGATGGCGTCTAGATGACTCTTTCGAAGGGGAAATAGATTAAATAGATGTTTTGGGCCTGTTTCGCTGGCTCGCCACGTAAGACTGGCCTTATTCCGCTATACGGCGATCTAAATACGGATAAAAAGGGTATCACTGAGGAGGTTATTCACGATCTTTACTAAAGAATACTCCCTACCTTATTGGATAACGAGGATGTAATATTTCAACACGATAACGCGCCTATATATACTGCTAGAATTATCTAGGCCTTACTTACCTAGCTAAATATTACTGTGATGGATTAGCTACCTTATTCGCCTGATCTTAATCTAATTAAGAACCTCTAGGCGCTTCTTAAGGCTGATATCCTAAGGATTCGACCTGATCTACGCGAGATGCCTAATAACGAAGCTACACTAGTGGAATTAGTGGAAACAGCCTAATATGCGTGGGAAAATCTGACTATTCGTTATTTTATTAACCTCGCAGAGACGATGCCACGCCGTGTAGAGGAGGTTATTAAGTACGAAGGCTGGCACACTAGTTATTAAGGGTTTTTGTATGTAAATTGATGTTTTGGAATTTCTCCGGCAGAAAAATAGTGGGCCCCTTAGCATGCCAAGGTACTATGGTGCAAAAAATAATGCAATATGACTGTAGATCTAAGCATTCAAGATTCACACTATTGACTTTCCCCTAATAATATATAAGATCCATAGAACGATGGACCCTGCATTCAGAGCGCATAGGCACCCTCTTACAGAGGACTATTACCCACTAGCGCAAAGTCAAGTGGGGCATATTGCATACTCCAAATAGACAAGTCTTTAATCATGTGGAGATACGAGAGAGAAGTCCAATGATCGTCATACTCCGTACTAAACTTTGCTAAGCTATGTAAGAAAGTAGATTGTAAGAAAGCAGGTAGCCTTCTCAATAGAGAAGATGCAGGTGGAGATCGGTATACTAGGTAAGCTAATCAACTTTTGATAAGTAGGAGCTCTTTCCCCTTAATACTTTATATTTACCATTTCCTCTCGCATTCGAACGAAAACGACTATCTTACTCACTTGCTATTCTGAGTTAGTTGACGCTTTCATTGACTCCTAGGAAACGCTCTCTGCTAACGTCGGTTTAGACTATGCGTTATTTGTCGATTCTTGTATTGATGTTCGGCCTTACTCATGCTCGGCTGTGCCTCCAGGTGAGTATTTGCCTTCGAGTGTATAGTATAATTATTGCGACCTAGAACTGACTGTGAAGGCTGCTTTTTGTGATAATAATGGGAATTTCTACCCCGATGGGTGTGCCTTCATTGACGCAATGAAGAAAGACCCTAATTTATACCAGGTTTCCTGTGAGTCATGACCACAGATCATAAGAATTTATCTAATTGAAAAAAGGTCCAGAGAATCCCGGCGAGATAACAGACTGTGAGTGACTATCTCTTGAAACGAATTATACTACAAAAGGGGTAAGGGGGCTAATGGGGCTGTTGAAATCAATCAGGACGGAAATGAGAATGCTCGCTCTCATCTCAAGTTACTGAGCTCATCCTAACCTGTCAGTGGGACTATTTATTCCGAAAGATTTGGTAGGATGGCATCTATGTTAGGAACGGAGCAGCCCAGATAATTTACATGTGTCTCGGTGTAGACTTTGCCCATTCCTATCAGGTTTCCCTACATCCTTAATGCAATACAGAGACTTTCATGACTACAGGCTTTTGAATCTATGTTGCTCGGTATTTTTCCATTTTCTCTCCGGTACTTTACTTCTACATTAGGTATTGGCAGAACTTAGTATCTGAGGCGATTGTCCCTTTTACTACACGTAGGCCAAACACATAAGCTGACTTACAAGCGCCTAGGTTACTATAGCAAATTAGGTGAACGGCAAATAGTCCGCGGATTACAGTATTCGAACGCCAATTCAGATCCCAAAAAGAAGTACCCACTGAAATTATCATAGAGCGACGTCCTGCTTCGTTATCTATCATAATAGATAAGTTAGTTCCAAGTCAAATCAAGCCAGGTCGCCAGGGCAATGACCCCTTCCCCTTAGGGGCTCCTACAGTACCCGGAACATTCTGTACATAGGAAGCCTTGAAATCTAACACAGCACAAGACGCGATACTGCCATGCATCGGCCGTTCCAACGTAACCTAATACCGGTTTTAGCGGGCCGAGAAACAAAGTCAGTGTGTTAAAAGGGATAATTGATTTTCGAAATTGACTGTATTCTGCTGTCATGTGTCGAGACTCGAGAGGGTTCATCGTGATACAGTCCAAGGGGCTGTTTCGACTTCATAGTGATTCGCGTCAATGTGAAACACTGTTCGAAACGAATGCGAGTAAGCGCTGAGGGCACTTAAGTGGGGGTTTAAACGAAGTGGTATCACATCAGACTGCTGAGAGATGTTAAAATTATGGCTAAGCGCTTGGAGTTGGAGTCAGACCTCACTACGGAGTACAACCTGGGCAACATGTTAGAGCCGCAAGTGGGGGCCGTTGCAGTAGTGAAGCGCCTGGCCAATGGCGGACTGGCTGTGTCCATAGGCACCGAGTCGTGATTGTTGACTCCCCGCTGACAGGCACTCCCTTCAATACCAATACAAATAACAAGCACGAACCCTAATAGAACTACTTCCTACACACGCTTCTATTTTCTTCTTTCTCCATTCTATCACAATGGCATCCTCACATATCCCTGACTCCTTCCTCCAAGACCCCCCGCCCAACGCAACCATCCACCCCCTCGACTTTACAAAAACCACGCCCCCAATCCCCGCCTACAAAAACCACTTTGCCGCCGTCATCGACAATTTCATGACCCCGGCGGAATGCAGCACACTCCTCCGTCTAGCCGGTGAATCCTCCCACCCGCCAACATCCACCTCGTCGTCCAACCCCGCCGAACCAACCTGGCAACGCGCCCTCGTCAACGCCGGCTCGGGAACCCAAGTAGCCTCCTCCAGCCGCAAAAGCGGCCGCTACATCTGGGACTCTCCCGAACTCGGATCCCGACTCTTCGCCCGTCTCACCCCCTTCCTGACATCCTTCGGACTGCACCGAATCGAGAACCAGCCGCTGATTACCGGGCTGGGTCCCGCGAAGCGCGGCGAGGTCTTCGCGGTGGCCGGGCTCAATGAGCGGATCCGGTTTTTGAGATACGAGGGGGGTGATTATTTTCGGCCGCATTGGGATGGATGTTATACGGATGACGGCCAGGGAAGCGGGGTGAGTCGGCGGAGTCTTTTGACGGTGCATTTGTATTTGAATGGGGAAGGGGAACAGGATTGGGGGGTTTTGGGACCGGAGGTGGAGCGGGCGAGTAGGGGGATGTATCTGTTTGAGGGGGAGGATGGGTTGGTGGATTTGAAAGAGGTTGGTGAAGCGGATGGGATGGGTGAGGATCAACGTGATGGTGATGGTGATGGTGATGGTGATGGTGATGGTGATGGTGATGGTGATGGACCTGATCGGGCGCAAGAGACCTTACTTGGTGGTGCCACCTCATTTGGAGATGACTATCGCATGAGAGATTCGGTGCGAGTCTTTCCCAAGACGGGGTCCTTGTTGATCTTTCAACAGAGGAATCTGATGCATAGTGGAGACGACGTATTTCGGGGTGTCAAGTATACGGTCCGGACGGATGTGATGTATACCCTTGAGAAACGGGAATAGAGAACAGAGGGGGAGAGAGGAGAGAAATGTCCGAGTTCCGTTACCTCCATCGTGCCCGCTGTCATGAATTCCCCCCGATGATGAGCGAGCTTTCGGTGTCGGGCTCAACTCAATAATCAGACCTGAATCCCACCCAAAAAATAACAAGATCAATCTTGCGTTATCTAATCTCGGCCCCCACGGAGGGCCAAAAGGCCGAGCTCGTAAGCCGACGAGGTGTGACCCCACCTTAGGTAAGACCCTCGGCGCTTACGAAGTACATTCCTCAACGTCATCACCACCTCTACCGCTGCCGTCGATAACCTTCTATATATACTCCCTCCGTAGACTATATCTCTGATCTATTCACCCAAAAAGCATTCAAACGGATTCCCAACCACTCTACAAAAGTCTATCATCCCATCCACATCAAGCATATCCACCCAATTGACAATCCACTCCTCCTACCACTACAATGCCAACCCACAACCTCGCCTTTACATCCCTCATCAATCCCCCCAACACACCCAACCCTCTCACCGTCTCCCAAATCTGGAAGGGCCTTCTCCTCAAATGCCGCTCCGCTGAGACCTTCGTGCCCGCCGCAATCCAACACACCACCGTCCTCAGTGACACCATCGACCCGGCCACGGGTAACCCGGTCATCGTCCGCGAGGTCCTCTTCCGCGAGTCGCAGAAACTCGTCAAGGAGGTCGTCACCGCGTTCGAGCCTTGTCGGGTGGAGTTTGAACAGCCGGACGGGAGTCGGGTCAGTAACGTCGTGAGCGTGGGGGCACAGGGGGAATTGTACATGACCTATATCTTTGAGTGGAGACATCCCGAGTTGGAAGGGGAGACCGCGGAGCAGAGGGAGCGGGTTTTGGAAAAAGAAAAGGCGATGAGCAAGTCCGCCGTCGAGGGGACTATCACGGTTCTGAGGAGGCTTGCTGAGGAGGGGAAGATCTAAGGGGTTGTTTGGTTATAGGATGAGCTCATATCAAGTACTGTAATAAAATATTGAGCTGTTTTGTAACTCTCTAAACACATCCTCGCTTTTACACTGCCGGCACGGCAATCACACCCTCCGACACCCTCACGGCCGACCCCGTCAACTCCACCTCGCCAATCTTGCCTTCCCCGTCCACCTTGACGTTCACCCCAATATCACTCCTCCTGCCCATCTCCACTCCCTGCACGAAGTGATACCGATACTCGCCCCCGGCCTGTCCCTCGGTCAACGCCAGATACGCCGCCAGTCCACTCGCCGAACTACCCGTCGCCGGGTCCTCGATTCCACTAAGCATCATCCTTGTGCGGATCACCTTCTGGCCCGTCACCTCGTCATCCACATCCCGCACATAAAAGTACACGCAGATCAACCCGGATTGCCAGCCGTCATCAAGATAGTCGGCTACCGGGATGAGCTCGCCATTCGAAGCCCGGCCAACGGCCGCCAGAGCCTCAAGGGTGGGCAGCTCAATAAAAGTCTGACTCATGCCATTGACGATCGAGAAGAGGGGGAACCCAGCGCCCTCGGCCGCGAAATACGGCTTCAGCGTCGGATGCAGCGCCAGCATGTCCGGGAGTGGGTAGCGCTTTGCATGGATACGCGTGTTATGCGCGATCTTGGCCGCGACGGTCCCGCTCGCCCCGTCTTGGATGCTGATCGGGATTTCGCCCGATTTGGTAATCAGGCTGGTGACGGGGCTGTTCGTGTCGGCGGATTGACACAGGAACCAGTTCGCGGCGCCGATGGTCGGGTGGCCCGCAAAGGGAATTTCGCATTCGATGGTGAAGATGTCGATGGTGCGTTGTGTGGGGTCGGTGACGGGGTGGACGAAGATGGTTTCGGAGAGATTGAATTCTAGGGTGATGAGGTGCTTTTGGCGTTGCGTGAGTTGGTGGGTTGGGTCTGCGGGGAGGAAGACCACGGCGAGCGGGTTGCCGCTGAAGGGTTTGGTGGTGAAGACGTCGAGGGTGACGAATTTGAGAGACATTTTTGCGTGGGAAGAATAATGAAGACTTGTTATTGGAATTGTAGGAATTGACGGAAAGATATAGTTAAGTTACTTCTCGCTATTGACTCATTGCCGGTGGGTCTCTTCTGCAGGTGCCGGAGCTCCCGCTTAAACTCGGAACTTTGAGCTCCACCAAGACTTCATCTGAACTCTACGGAGGCGGAGTATAACTACTTTTGCAGAACGGGATCGTTATGGCACTACAAACTCCTCCGCATGTCCTCTCTCTTTCCCCCACTGCTTCATCCCTTCCATCAACGCCCTCGTAAATCCCTCGTGATACCTCAGCCCATTCTCCGGCCACGCCAACCGTCCAGCCCTCCAAACCGCCCAATTCTCCGCCATCACCCCCTCCGGCGCACGCAAGAGTCCCGTCGCAACGTCCACAATCTCCGGTCGTTCCTTGCACCAGTAAAACACCGTCGCCCCGCATGTCCCACAGAACGTCCGGACCACGTCCTCCGTAGATTGGTACGCCGTAGACGATCCAACGAGAAGATCCAAAGGCACGGCGGGCGAGATGTGGTCGATTGGAACGAATATCCAGCCGATCACGTTCGTCCCCGTGGCCAGACGGCAGTCGTCGCAGACGTCAAGACTGGCCAGCCAGCGGGTTCTATCAATCGGCGAGAGCCAGGTCTTACCGGCGTCGCTATTGATGAAGGATTCCCGGGGTCGGGAGATGTGAAAGGATACACCACCGCAATGACACTGGGCAAGTAATTTGTCCTCTGCGTTAGCATCGCCATCGCCATCACCATTGTCATCACGCGACTCTTTCTTTTCAGGAACGGCAACGGGCGCAGTCGTTATCGCCGCACCGGCATTCCCTTGCTCCGAAGCAGCATCGGCCAAGTCCACATCCCACATCCCCAACTTCACCCCCTCAATCTCCCCAAAAACCGCAGACAGACCCCCATCCCCCGTAGACGCCGGACACATATGGCTCTTGAACCGCCAAACGCCCTCGTCCCCGCGATTCGCATCGTACACCGCCGTGGAAATCGTCCACGACACCTCCCCCGTCAACGAACTATCCCCAATATGGCAGCCACACGTCTTGCAGAACCATTTCCGGGACTGGAAGCTCTGATGTGTGTACGAGGTGAGGTTATCTTTGCTGGAAGGGGCGACGAAGTCGAGGTCCACGCCGTCCGGGAGCGGGCTGTGGAAACAGCAGGGAGCGCCGTGGACGTAGCGGCAGATTGTACAGTGGCAGAGGTGGATATTGAGGGGGAGGGCGGTGGTCGGCACGGTGATTGTGAATTGGGTGTTTTGGCAGTGGCAGGATGCTTTGAGGGTTTTAGTTTTTGTGGACATGATTGTTGATAGAGAAAGCTGTGGTTTTTGTTTGAGAGGAGAGAGAGATTGGATTGAGGGAAATCAGTAGTGAGGGAGAGGGACTTGTCGTATTCTTGAATCTCGGGTGAACCCAAACTCGTATCCTGTGATCCCGCAGAGCTCGTATTCAAGAGTCATACGTGCGGGACTGAATGTCCTGGATAAGGTTGATGGTAGATTGGGTGGAGATCTCTCATTCGTCACTTCGGGGCTCTAGCTATATCTATCTTAGTCGGATTGGTTGATCTTGACCCCGCAAATGAGTTTGCCCCGACTCTGGTCTATACTTGTTTTCTTGTTTTGCATGAGAATTGATTATTAATCGAAGGGATGGAACATGGAGATCAAGGTTTCTTTGATGTAGTTGCAGGGGATGGGTGCATGATGATATACTCGATGGTTAGCTGGGCTGGGCTGGGCTGGGCTTGAACAAGCTTTGAGATCAGTTTACTAGACAATCCACTTTTTGACTCGATCATGAGATATGTGCGGGGTAAACAAAGATCAAGACTGTTATAAACACTTTCTTGGTATCTCCACGTTTTCAGGCTTTTCGATAGACCTGTGCTAGGGGCACTTGTCATTACTGATACGTCACGTTTCGACAAGATGGCAGCATGAGTGCGCTACAAAAGTAGCCCTCGAGAACTGATTGGTAAATTCAGATATCATCCGACGATGCTCGAAACGGGCAGTCCATTAATCAATATGTAACATTCGAGAAAAAATGTACTCAATCACCACGTATGCATACATGATCCAAATGCCCCGAACTAGGTATCCTCCATTCCCGACATTGTCACAATGCCTCCCAATGCAAAACGCCTCATAAAGTCATCATAAAACATAATGTCCGCCGACTACTCCAATCCTCTTTCACTCAGAATCACTTTCAATCACGAACCCGCCTCGCATGCGCCGACTAGAAGACGCGACAAGCATCTCTTCTTCCTCGTCACTGTCAACGGCTGCCTCGGCAGCGACGGGCTTCGATAGACGGTCCCGATCTCGACTAAAGACTAGATCGTCGTCGAAATCCATTTCATCTTCGGTGGACGTAAGTGGCGTGTCTTCGTCTTGGGCTCCATGGCTGGTAGACACTTCCTGCTGAGAGCGAGGGGATAAATCATCCGGATCGGCCATCAGGATATCATCGTCCTCGTCACCGCCACTGCCCGTAGAGCCTGATCCGCGACGGCGGCGCTTTGGCTCGGCGGCCGTTGTGTCGCTTTTGCGCTTGCGCACACTTGCTTTTTTACCTTTACCATTGCTCTCGGACTGTGCTAGCTCGGTGTCACCCATGAGAATGGCTTTCTCGACATTGCGCGCTTGTTCCTTGCGGCGTTCTTCTTCGAGGCGGAAGAATTCCCGGTCTGCCTCTTCGTCGGTCTCGTCATCGCTAGCGTGAATGAATAGATCACTTTTAATCTTTCTTTGGCGAGCCAACGAATTCGCAAGACGCGCCTGGCGACGTTCCTCTAGGATGGCATCATCTAGGGGCTCTTTTTCAGTATCTTCGCTATTACGCGACTTCTTCTTGCGCTTCTTCTTGAGTTCATCCAAAGCGTTGGACTTGGATCTCGGGTTGGGTGGGAACAAAGGTCCCTCGGGAATATCTTCGCCTTCGGAATCGGACCCAAATTTCACGTCGAGCGTGCCCTGCGCGAGGCTTTCTCGGGCACTGCGTGTCTCCTTGCGGCGCAGTAGCTGGCGAGGATCTTCGTTGCTGCCTTCCGGCATGGGATTCAAAACGGACTTGTTAATGGTGGCAATGATTTCGTTCAAATCAGTCGACGACATGGACGCCGGCACAACCCATTGAGCACCACGCACATCCTCCTGGCCCAGTCGTTCCAGCCCGATGGACTCCAAAAGAAGACGAAGCTTGGCATTGGAAAACATGGCATTTTCGATGAACTCGTCAGCTGGTTTGACATCTGCATGAGGTTAGCTCCAGGTTTTCTCCAAGCTGCTAGCTAGATCAACACGTACGAATCAAGGGGTTAGGTGTGCTGGTAGCCTCGGCATTCTCGGCACGACGAGCTTCATCTCCAGCTTCCCACGCCTCGCGTTCAGAGGCGGCCGATTTCAACACATCTACAAGCCACTTCACCAAATCCGCCCGCCCATCAAGGACCAGGGCGCCCACCACAACTCCCTGCTTGCCCTCCTTGGTGAGAGTCTCCTTCGAAATGAATTGAAGCTCTACCGGTGGTCGCTTGGCAGTAGACATGGTTTGCCGTTCATGTCCAAACTCAAGATAGTAGACTGTAGAGTTCATCTTGCTGAACAGCAACTCCGTGATCAAGGCTGGCCGCTGATCAATTCTCTTCGTTAGACGACGAAGGATCTGCCGCACAAACTCTTCCCATTCCTTGAAAATGGGTTTGCTAGAGTCCATAGCGCCGGGGCCCTTGATCATTCGGTGGAAGAGGTGGATGATGTCCAACCGGAAGAGGAGGGTAGTCATCTCCTGTTTGAACGCGACACGGTAGAAGTAGCGGTGGGCTCGCTTCAATTGCTCCGAATTCAACTCGCGATAGAATGCAGTGAAAGCAACAAACGTGTCCACGCAGCTTTGGTTGCAGAACTTGGCAGCAAATCGCTTAAAATCGAAAGCACGCTCCTTGGTAACCTGCGCAGAATCAACCAAGTCCTCGTCTTCAGAGTTGTCATCTTCCTCGTCTTCTGCGCCTTCTTGCGGTTTGGCCTGGGCTGCGTCCTTCTTGCGTTTCCTAGCTTGCCGCTTAGATCGGATCTGCAAGTCAACGTTGATCTTGGAGTAACGCTCCAGCATGCGTAAGAAGACGTGCGCAAGCTCGGTCGCAGCATCCAGATAACCGAATCCCTGCTCCTTGTACCCTCGCACAATAGAAATGATTCGGTCGTGGGTGGTTTCTTCGTAGAAAATTCGGTTCTGAATATTATCCGCGATTTCTTGATCCTCCTCGATCGGGGAGAAGGCCATCTCCTGCACGGTCAACAGGATTTGCGTAAAGCAGCGCATCTGCGCAGTCAAATCGTCCCATTCCTTATTGTCGAGACTGTTTTGCATGCCCCTGTTCAGGGAGATGAATGTTTCCTGATTCAACACGCCAGCAACCAGACCATAACTGTTCGGCTCCACGTCCTTTGCAGATTTTCCGTTTTGCACATGCTGGATAACCTGTCGGGCACGTCGCGCACGCTCTGCTTCGAGGAACCAGCCCACTGCGTAGAAGAACTGCCGAGCATTGATACTTGTGACCCGTTCCGCCTCTCGCTCGATCGCCTTTCGCACATGGGTGAAGAGAGGATTGAATCCAGAGTCCAAGAACTCTTCCACGAACGTCCTGAAATTCTTGGTTGCGAGTAAGGAGAGATGGGCAGGGACGTTAAAGTCATTATATTGGACGATATCCTCCTTCCTTCGGCGAGGTCGGGGCTTTTTCCACTTCTTGGTCTCGTCCATCTTTTGTAGACTGGCTTGGTCGTCTCGCAAGATATTTTGTCCGGAGACTGTAGACACCTTGTGCTCGTCGCGTTTGACCCAGATCATGGTGCCGAATCTACCATGTCGGGTAGGTGCATTTCTCGCGTACTCTCGCTTGACCTGACTCTCTTTGCGAAGAAGATCGCCAAGCTCATCGGATCGCTTTGCCTTTCGTTCCTCGTCGTTTAAAAACAGCTTGTCAACACTGACACCTTTGACAAGATGGAAGAGAATTTCCAGCAACACTACATCCTGCTGGTTGAAGTCATCCGCAACATTCGAGCACATGGTTAGGATGAGCGCGAACGCATCTTGATCTTGGAACGCATTGATCGTAGCTGATCGGGATGTCTCCTCCTCGTCACCTTCGGCCGCAAGTCGATCGTTGGTGGTGATAATCGCCATGTTCCGTAAGAAATAGAGCATCAACTTGAGGATGCCCTCGTCTCGGGACTCGCGCTCAGATCGGGGGATAGCCATGCTCGGGAGGGCAATGCGGATGACGGCGCGCAAGAGATTGGATCCGCCGTACTTGAGAATACTGCGCTTGTACTGGACTTGAATTTGCTGGATGTACGGCGTGTGGCGATGGTGATTAGCAGTCATCTGGCTGTGATACTCGGCAGGCCAAGTCAAAGGTACAAGCAGCTCCACTGCTCCGGGTCAGCCTTTCGATTTCCTGCAATCTCCCACAAGTTCAAGGTCCATCGCTTACGGCATGCTAAAGCAACTCGAGTCAAATGTTTGCTGTTCTGTCCATTGGCCCACCAGATCGAGAGAATCGGCAGTATATCGCCAATAACCAAATTGGCTTCTCCGAGACATCGCACCACATCCATACGATTATTCCTTTGGTCGTAAAGCTTCAGCCATCTTCTGATATCGCGGAGACAGGAGAGAGCGTCATCTCCAAGCATGTAGCGGTCTGCATCTTCGCCATTGAAACCTCCCAACTAGCCACGAGTCGCGTCAGCACTTTGACGAGTCCATAATCAGGGGGGAAAAGGTCACATACCGCAGTCACCAAGCTGTAAACATGCATACGCACATCCGGGTCGATGACCTGGACATCATGGCCGACGGAGGTCACCTCCTGCTCCATGGTGGGATGCTTTTGTTGAATATGGAACCACTTGAAGCGCACTGTAACTCGAATAGGATAACGCGTCTCGGACGCGTTTGCCTCGGCGATTCGGAGAAACTGACAATGCCGCCCGCTGCCGAAGATAGCCGATGACGTTGAACCGTCGGTCGGGCCCAACATGTGAAGATCTATACGACTGGCCGTAATCTTCCTCCTTCTCTAATTACTCCGCAACCTAAGTGATTTTCTGCGATTGCAAATATGTTCGCTGCTTCTCTTCGTTCTGTCACTCGCAATGGCCCTTCGGCGGCCCGCAGCTTCAGCTCGACCGCTGCTACGAGCGCTGCCGAGGTTAAATCGCTGGGTGTGATCGGTGCTGGCCAGATGGTCAGTGAGCATACTTTGGACAAGAGGTTTTTTTTTCCCGTCGCTAATGGGCTATGTAGGGTCTGGGAATTGCTCTCGTTGCCGCACAGAAGGCTGGAGTTCCAGTTACTCTCGTCGATACGTCACAAGCCTCGTTGGACAAGGGCCTCAAGTTCGCTGGTAAATACACCCATCCATTCCTTCTGCCCTTCCAATAATTGCCCTTCATAAAGATTGCAAACGCCATTGCAAGAAAGCTTTGCTAAATTGTATACCCTCCTCTAGACAAGCTTCTCGAGAAGGATGTCGCCAAGCAGCGCATCACCCGAGAAGCTGCCGATGCAGCTCGTGCCTTGCTTACCCCCACCGTGAAGATGGAGGACCTTTCCTCGGTAGACTTTGTCATTGAGGCCGTCCCCGAGATTCCCGATCTCAAGCAATCCATCTTCAAGAACCTCGCCCAGATTGCGCCCAAGCACGCTATCTTGGCCACTAACACCTCGTCTATCCCTATCACCAAGATTGCCGCGGCCACCACCTCAGACCCAACGGACCTGCAGGCTCCATCTCGGGTGATCTCGACCCACTTCATGAACCCTGTCCCCATTCAAAAGGGTGTGGAGATTATCCGGGGCCTGCAGACCTCTCAAGAGACTATGGACACTGCCATTGCTTTTGTCGAGCGCATGGGCAAGGTGGCCTCGGTGTCCGCCGACTCTCCTGGCTTCCTGGCCAACCGCATTCTCATGCCGTACATCAACGAGGCTGTCATCTGCCTCGAGACCGGCGTCGGTGGCCGTGATGATATTGACAACATCATGAAGAATGGTACCAACGTTCCTATGGGTCCCCTGACCTTGGCGGACTTCATTGGCCTCGACACCTGTCTGGCTATCATGAATGTTCTCCACCAGGAGACTGGTGACAGCAAGTACAGACCCGCTGGCCTCCTCCGTCGCATGGTGGATGCCGGCTGGATGGGCAAGAAGACCGGCAAGGGCTTCTACGATTATTGAGTCTCGCTCTGTGTCCGCCTCCTTCCACGGTATGGTTTCTTAACGACGTAAAATCAATCTTTTTTTTGTTCCTCTACGAGATACCTTCTGTATGCTACTATTCTTAGGTTCGTATTTAGAACGTGATCACTACATGAAATACAAGAGGACATATTCTTCCAATTACGCTCCAGAATGCAAATCAAACTGAGATTGCTATTAGATCTAATGTGCACACCCTTCACTAGGGTGATGCAATCTCAGAGCTCAGTCACGGTAATCACCGCCCGGGGCTCCCTCCAAATCACCTCGCACCCGCCCTCCCTCCGCCCTTTCCCTCGAGTCAGTCCTCGACCTACACAGTGGCGTGGACGGCTTCCGCGGCAATCTCTTCATCGGCCTGCTGCATCGCTGCCACGACCACTGCACGGCCGAGGCCGCCCTGTTCTTCCCACGCCGGGTCGTTCAGGAAATCGTCCTCTATTGGCTGGCATCTGCACGTTGCCCATATTCGGCCACACATGTAGCTATTTTCGCACAAGTCAGCATTAACACTAATCAAGTCTGATAGGATGTGGACCTGAGTTTCACATCAGCAACGTACCAGAACTCTGCTCCACATTTGCACCTGATGTGCGAGCACCCCCGATTCCTCTCCACCAAGCTATGGCAGTTGTAACAGCGCTGCCAGTGCCGATGGCGGGCCATTTCCAGGATCTCTCCCAGGTCAGGGTCATGCGTGCATTGCCGCTGACCATGTGCCAGATCCCGGCAGAGCGGGCAGATCGCCGTGCGGCAGTATGGGCACTTTTGTGACTTGGCCCCTGACCTGAGATACCGGGGTGAGATCCAGGCCCTGCAGTTGGCTGATGGGCAGTACCATCGCTCGGCCGGAGGAGTGGCGGCCTCGAACGCCCACGCAATGTAAACTCGTCGCCCTCGGGGTTTCAGTGCCGAGGCTACCTGCTTGGCGGGGATCTCTTGGTCACAGCAGCGAAGGGGAAACATGCTTTTGTCCTTGAAGGCGAGGTTGGCCATTTCCCGGGTGCAGGGGCGACAGTACTGGTGCCCACACGGGGCGTCAACCAGCTTGGATGGCTTGACTGGATCATCGCAAGCAATACATCGACTATAAAGTGCAGTGTTGGTAAGTTTCCATTCTCTATGATAAAGAACATCTGATACTAACGGTTTGTTGGCTCCTCCTTTCTTCAAGACAAGTTTCAGTCTGTCTTTAAGCCGCGCGAGCTTCTTGTCTTGAACTGCTTCTGGAGGTTTTCCACCTGACGTGGTTGCTGGCTGGCCAGGTGCCGATGCACCCTGGGTGCTTCCTCCTGTTGCTGCTCCAGCTTGAGGTATACCACGAGGTCTGGCAGGCTGCGAAGTATGGTTTGATGTGCCACCTCGGCGTGCAACGTCCTCGGCCCATGGAGAGCGGCGAGACCGGAGAGCCTCCGAAAGCCGCACAAAACGCCTGCCCGTTCCGGTTGTGAATGCCCCCAATCGATCAAGATCGATGGCAGGGATGTGGAACTGGAACTGAAACAGACCAAAGGACATTTTCAAAGTCAAAGATGAATGATGTGATGATGTGACAATCGGAAGGGATGTATGATATGGATAGGTGTGTGTTGTTGCGTGAGAGTCGGTCTGTCGTGTGGTGAAAGCGTGGATGAAGGTGAGGATGCTTGTCAACGTTCGCCACGACGAGATAGGTGTCAGAAAGAGGGATTGGGCAGGGGTGTTTAGTTGTTTCCTCTTTGAGGCCGCGACTTCGACGACTAAGCGATGGTGACTCGCCTTAGATATAGGATGCAGCATCGCCCATAGTAAGGGCAATGAGGCATCGACGATGTCCAAACCTTCCAAAATCTATGCAAGGCAACGGAGGGTGACTATGGCATGACCATTCTTGAGAGGTTTGATACTAGGTAGCTTATTGTGAATGAAGAGGCATCATAGATTGTAGTATGGCGGCATGATTATTGGTACACTTTGACTCACTGCTATCCGTACTTGCACTTGTCAGGGGTATTACACACAGAGCATCAAGAATAGTGCGTGTAAAATGAGCGTAATGCTATACTCAAAGTGATTCACCAATGAGATTGAGAGAAGAGACTTTCAGAGTATCTCTATTTACGTTGTGGAGGCTTACTATGACCAAGGATAGATCCGTGGGAAACCATGGAATAACACAGGAGGAGCCGCCAGGACGTTCAACAAGAGTAAAAACCATCAATAAGACAAATACATGGGTATCTTAATGCATAGCTAAAGCCTAGCGCTTATACAGCTCCCAGAACTCCTAAAATGACGACCAGTCGGATGATTTACCCCTCCTAGCCCGCAATCATATCATGCCGGCGAAACGGCGGCTGGCCCATCCTGACCCATATTCTTGGTATTCCTGGCGGGTAATGGCCAACTTGCCAACTTCTTCGCGGTTACTTGCGAAACGAGAGCCTCCGAGCCAGGTAGAGCGGAAAGGGCTAGAATGTAATGGTCAGCGATGCTGGAGAACGGGGACGCATCCGTGGAAATAACTTACTCCTCAGCACGTCGTACACGAACAACACATTCCGAAGAGGCAATCCCGCGTAGATCATTCTCCCTGATATCAAGTTAGCACATGCCTATCTCAATCACAGATTAGATCTTAGAGATAAAGACTTACAGTCGTTCCATGAAGCCCGGAATCTGCGAATTACCACCAACGACCAACACATTCGCCAAGAAAGCAGCGTGCAATCCAGGCGGCAGTACTGACAAGCTCTGCATAATCATGTCGGGAATACCGGCTTGTTGCATGCCAATATCACTGGGCGTAAACAGAAGCTCCGGAACCGCGAACCGTTCATTGCCTAGAACCAACACATCCTCGGACAGAATCTCTGCACTGAGGCCGGACAGCGCACCCTTCTTTTTCTTCGCATGTAAAAGTGGATCATGCGGGCGCATGAAGCCTGTCTTGTGTGCATTTGGATCTGGAAGTACGTAGTCCACTACGACGCTTTGAGCTTCTTCACGCTTGCGATTGGCCTTCCAGGTCCTTTCCATATCGGCCTTGAAATCATTGCTGACGAAGCAAACTGCCTCCTTGACTTCGTTCATGATGTAAGTCTCATCCACCATGTTGTATTGCCGCATGGAGACGATCTCTTTCAAGTAGTTTGTGAGAAACTTGCCACCGACATCAAGCCGCCGGATAGCACGTTGGAGAGGTTGGCCTTTGTATACGGGTGTCACTGTTGTATGCGAGTATCCCGAATCAACAACCAGCAGGCAGTCCTTTGGCAAGACATCAGAGTCGGACTTGGTGAGAGGGTCACCGAATAGCGAATTGACCTCGTTCCAGGCATTGAGAGTTGGTCCTTTGGAAAGAAAATAAATATTAGAATCAGTATGGTTAGGTGGAGTTGGCGTGTGTATTTTCCTTACCTAGACACCTAACATAACCTCCGAATCCCCACTCCTCCATAACCATCTCGTCCGTATTCCGCTGCAAGACCGGCATGTTATTCGGAGCTTCGGTGAGTATCAAAGTCGTTTCCTCTGGATGAGCAATACGAAGCAGCTTATTCCGCGCCGTTGCCTTCTCCTCAAAGAACGTCTGGTCCCAAATCTCCCTCTCCGCTTCCCAGTTCACGATATATCCCTTCTCCACCGGACGGCGAAAGACCGCCTCGTTCCAGTCCGTCACATGGGTTGTAAGCTGTGCACCAGTCAAGATCCGGTTTTCTCGCGTCTTTACAATTGCATTCGGTATTGAAACGCAGTTGGATAGGGCTTCTTCGGAAGAGGACGAGGGATCGCAAGCATAACCCGCTTTCATGGTATAGGCGCCATTATCGAGGACGAAGGTTTTGGCGGGCAGATAACGCGTTGGTACATCTGGAGAGTTCTTTGCAGCCTTCACAGAGGTGCGCGATTTCGTTGTCACCATTTTGGTTGATGTCGAATGCCTTGAAAGACGGCGAGAAACGAAGCTCGAATGCTCCGTCGGTGTTTGTCGTGTTTGATTGGTAACTTTTGGTGGTGCCTGAGGATTCAGGTTCAATATTGCTCCGCGTACAGTTGGGCAAGTAATACTCATCGCAGTGCTTTGAAGTAGAGTATTTCCAGATAATAATAAGTGGTTATTTCATTCTATAGCCATAAACAGAGTAAATTAAGCGTTTGTCAATACTTACACAATCAAGGACAAGCTGCATTGCCGCATAGCCCAAGATGTATATATCCGTGACATGGCAGACAAGTGTGATCGGTATGGTCGACATGACCACGCAAAAATAAGGAAAAAAAGGAAATTCAATGTTTTAGGTATTAGCAAGTTTTAAGTATATATAGATTAATTGACAATATGACTGCAAACATGAATAAACCCTCAAACAAGATCCCGAATAGAAATATCCCACCCCTCATACAAGAAACAGCCCTGCAAGTAGCCCCGCCGAGAGGCCCCGCGGCCAATCTTTCAAACAAAATCTCCGCCCAAAATTTCTCTCCAGCTTCAGTCACCAACCTAAACCTACCACGCAGTGGGTTCGACCACACCCCTCAAAATGGCCCAACAATTCTCAATCATTACTTCAACTACGCTTTCCCTCCTCGACCAATTTCAAGCCACCCTCGCCTCTCCCACAACCGCAACGGCCGAGGCTATTCAACCACAAACGCCAGCCAAAGATGCCGACGCAGACGCAGCCGCAAACGCTCTGCCCCTCCTCTCAAACTCCGCTGCAGCACTCAAAGCCCAAGTAACCAAGCTCTCGCTGCTGGCTATTACCGCGCCCTTTACGCATTCTGCCGTTAACACGGTGCTGCGCGCTTGCAATGAATCGGTCCTCCCGTCGCTGGTTACGGCTGCGCTGCTGGTGACGCCCGCTGGGTATACGAAGGCTTTTCATTCAGAGGTTCTTGTGTTGGTCAAGACGGTTCTGGTGGAATTTGCTACAATGGTGAAGGATGTAAAGGGGATTGCTGAGAAGAAGGATTCGGCGAAGAAGGACGATCCTAAGAAGAAAGAGGAGGAGATTTCCAAGACGGAGAAAGATGCTATCACCGTTGCTGTGGGTCGGGTGTGGGATGCTTGTGATATGGTTTCCGAGGTTGCGAATAAGGGTGTTGTGGGATTTGTTATGCGTCGTGTTGAGCAGTGGCGTGACCTTGTTAAGGATGCTGTTCAGGAACTAGAGGACTGGGATCCCGAGGAGGATGATGACTTCTTTGATGAGTTGATGGGTGAGGAGAAAGGTGCCGGCTCGGATGATGTTTCTGATGAGGATGATGAGGACGAGGAGGATATTGCTGCGCTGCAGGAGCAGAAGAAGTCGACGCTGCGCTTCATCAAGCCTATTGCGCAGGTCTATCCCGCTATTCTCACCTACCGACTGAAGAATGCCGGTAGCAAGCCACTGGCCTCAACGGCTGGCATTTCAAAGCTCGAGTCTTTGATGCTCAACCTGCAGAATGTGCCTGATCAGGTCGATGAAGTTGCTGGGGCGTTGTACGAGAGCAACTGGGCCAAGGCGGCAGTTCACCTCAAAAAGGCAAAAAAGAATGCTGCGCAGGCTGTGAACTCGGTTACTTCTCCGTGGGATGCCACTCAGAGTGCAGACGGCGAGGAACAACCCGGTGACAAGTTCACTACTTGGTCTAAGACGTGGCTCAAGGTCATGGACGAAGTCAGCAAGCCGATTGATGCCGCTGCGAACGAATAGAGGTTTAACTACAAGCTTGGTGCTGTACATAGCAGGCACAGAAATCCGCTAGCGTGAGGAATCACCGCTAGTCATGTCCAGACAGTATTCATGAATATAAAACAAGTAGGATACACAGCCACTAAAATGGTATATGTACATTGGAGGAATGGAAGGGAAGATATAATACAAATGGTAGATGAACATGATGAATATGAACTGGCAAAGTCTCATCAGTATATTCAAATATTCAAACACACACACAGAGAGAGAGAGAGAGAGGCCACGGCAGCCATCTGCTTAGAAAGTGTCAACGGGAGCCGCCGCATCCTCATGCTCCCACTCGGGCAAATCATGTGTTGGAATATGATCCTTGAGGAACTCCAGAACAGCGTCAGTACCCTTGGCGACAACTTGCCACCTGGGAACCCGGAATCGATTGCCAGCAACCTCGAACCTTCGCAGAGCTGACCCCGTGCCCCAGTTCTTGGGGGAGCGTTCTGCGGCGAGAAGACCAATCTTTGGTGGTAGATAATCTATATCGTTATTGCTGATGTCCAGAACTTGCAGACCTTGGACCGCCTCGAATTCCACGCGGGAAAACTGATTGTCCGAAGCAAGGAAAGTCTTGACTTCTAAGTATGTCTGTCGAATGTGCGGAAGGGGTCCGGTGAGACGGTTGTGAGACACATCGAGGAAGTTCAGCAACGGGGCTTGAAGATGTATCAGCAAAGGCTGTAGGGTTGTGAGACCAGCGGCGCTCAAATTGAGACTTTGCAGCTTTGGCAGGTCAAGAGAAACCGACATGAGATCTGCACTGTTGAGCGGGTTGTGCGAGAGATCAAGCTCAACCAGTCCCTGTGCAAGCATCGTCAAAGCCGGAACGGGGAAGAAGCGCAGTTCATTATGCTGCAAATAAACGCAGCGAATGTCATCCGACTTGATTAGCTCGATCTTGTCTGATTCCAAATCTGTCAGGTCGGAGTATGATCGGTCGAGAACACCACCAGGCTTAATTCGCCAGCCATCCTCCAGTGCTGGGGTCTCCGGCGCCAGTGTGAACTGAGTCGCGACCGATCCCTCGTCATCCGTATCTTGAGGGTTGGGTTCGCATCGGTTCCGCAAATCTTGAATGATTTCATCCGAGCTCATACTGAGCAGTTTTCGCTCACGAAGTGGGTTGTTGGCAATCTTAAATGTCGATAGGCTTTCAATCAACCCAATCTTCTCATCCACCCGAGTGATGTAATTTCCAGTAAAGTCAACCGTCTTGACGTTCTTGAGGTCCACGAAACCGGCCGGAATCTCCACAAGACGATTCTCCTCGGCGGCGAGAACTGATAGAGACTGCCATGTAGACACACAAGGAAGGGTCTTGATGCGATTTACATTGACAATGAGGCTGTGAAGACTGGGTAAGGAGATCATATCGTTGGCAGCGAGAATCTCCAATCCATTGTTTGCAACATTGAGAAACTGCAGATGTTCAAGCCGGTCCACGCTCTCTGGAATCAAAGTCCCCGCCAGATCGTTCTTCGGGGCATTCAAGGTCCTGAGAGGAAGCTTACTCAACGCTTCGAATGGCAAAGCGGTCAACTCATTCTCACCAACATCCAGGAATTTCAGATTGGTCAGTTCTGAAATCTGATTTGGGAGTCTCGTGACAGCATTATTCCGCAGATCCAGACTCTCCAATTGACGGAGACGAGCGACTTCCGAAGGGAAAGTTCCCTCCAATTTATTTGATGCCAATTTCAAGTCCACCAATGATGGAATTTCCATGATGATTGCTAGCTTATCCATGGTTAAATCATTATTCGATAAATTGAGGACACGGAGCTGGTGAAGTCGCCGAATACCCATCGGAAGAGAGAGGAGCTTGTTTCCATGGAGGTCCAACGTCTCCAATCCACCAAATTGAGGGCCTCGCTCATCACTGTCAGGGTCAAAGTCCGCTGGGTCGATATCAGGGAAAGTGGCATCCGCGATCTCGGTCAATTCGTTGTCTGCCACATTGAACTTGACCAAGTCAACATTCTCAAACCAGTTGGATGAGTTCTCAGAGTCGAACTCGTACATGTTGAGCACCTCTTTGGGAATCTCCGTCAATGACATTGCTGCAATGTTCAATATACCTGACATACGAGCACCCTCCACGCGTTTCTTAAGGACAGCAGTGTTGGACCCTTTAGGAAGCTGATTGAAGGGATCCTCAAAATCGATACTTTCCCACGTATTGATAGACGGATTGACAACTTCCGGCTTCGGCGCGTCTCTACTTGCCGCCGTTGCTGCCGCTTTCTTGGCGGCCTTGGCCTTTGCGATACTTTCTCGCAATGCACTGGATGACTTGGACGCTTTCCTTGCCTCGTTTTGCGCCTGCTGCTCCGGCGTAAGTTCATCCTGAAGGGTTGATGCAGCAGATACATATCGTGAAGTAGTTGAGGGCGACCTCATAGAAGATGGAGAATCCGTCTGAGGTTTCCTCGTCTTGCGTACTTGAAGTGGCCGTTCGGGAGGACCCATGTCTGAGAGCACAGGCTTTGAAGGCTTCTTCGCTAGGGAAGGGCGAGCAGGCGACGCTTCGGCAGGCAACCCTCCCAAGCCGCTGGATCTTCCAGGCACCGTCTTCTTGGGTTCGGCAATGTTACTTCCAGGCCCAAGGCTTTGTCTCGCAGAGGGCAGTCGCATTTTCGATGGGCTATCGCGGGCCTCTGAAACGTTGCCCGATGCCATAGAAGAGGTCAAAGGCACGGAGGTGCGAGGACGGGAAGGCAATCGAAGCTTGGAGACGGGCTGGGACAGGAGGTCACTGCCGTTTGCTTGGCCCGAAGAGGATCGTGACGGTGACCTGGAATAGGTGGACACGTTGGATGGCGTCCGAGATGGAGACCGTATCGGGCTGGCTCCGTTGAAAAAGCTCGATTGTCTTTTCACAGAAGCTGGCGAAGGTGGGATATGCGCAATTGTCTCTATCGTCCGTTCTGAGAGGGATGGTCGCTCCTCCCGTAGACGACCGCGAGGCTCATGCACAAGTCCATCCTCGTCGTCTCCGCCTAATAAACTCGCACCCTCTGATGTTTGTGCTGCGTTTGTTTCCGTTTGAGGCTCATCGCGTTTGGGAGAACGTCGGACGATCGGCTTTGCTGACAAAGAATATCGTGGGGTTGTTGGTGGCTTCCGCAAAGATTCATGAGACGGTCTTCGAAGACGACTATGGTCCAGCCCAGGGTCGGCTTGCAACCGATCGCGGGAGGGGGAGGGGTGTATGGTTTTCGATGCTGTGGACGTTGGTAGGGGCAATCTGGACGCCGCTAGGCGTGGAATACCACTTGCTGGGCGGGCAGTGGCTCTCGGTTGGTTCTCCATCTTTGACGTGATGGGAGACTTGAGGCTCGGGGTTCAAGGTGATGAAGCTGTTAGAAAAGAAACAGGGACGCTCAAGGCCTCAGCCAAGCCAGGAATGTGACAGGTGTGGGGGAAGTCAAGGGCGGGGGATGATGGAACGGCTTTTCGTTAGCTTCCCCTCATGGCAACACACAAAGAAAGAGATGAGGAACCCCTGGGGCGCCGTCAATTTGCGAGGGGAGATCGATCGAAGCCAAAAAAAAAGTTGATTTGTTTACATTTACATCTCATCCGAGATCTCAGGCGATAGCGGCCTGAGGCAGCGAACTATCACAGAACTATGGGGTGGATCAGACAAGACCTACTTAGCAGGTTTCAGGACATTCATTATTTTTATTTTTGGAAACGTTGAGTGTTCTCATGTAGTACTTGCGGCCCCTGACAGGTGTCATGTCTCTACTTTAGCAAACAAATTTGACTTTCTCCCCTTCTTGAATGTCGGCATGGAATAGACGGGTAGCTGCCCTACAAGGGACCCATCTAGCCGCGTGGCACACATGGCAAAAGTGATGCCTCTTGATTCCAAGAGCTACTCATTGAGGGCCAACTCCGGTAGTAGAGCTTTCTCCCTTGGAAAGTAGGGAGGGGCCCCTTGAAGCTATATGATACCGATGAGACCACCACTATAGTCAACACTGCTTCCTCCAGCTACGGACTCACACAGCATACTTACTGTAGGAGTCGAGTATGGATTTTTTCTGGGCCAAAAGAGCCACTGGCCTTCTTGTCTGTCAGCTCAAGGCCAATATTGCAGCTCAATTGCTTTTTTCCACGCAGTACGTCTGTAGACAACAGAGCCGGTCAATTACTGACACAAGCACTTGTGGACCGAATAGTAAACTAGGAAAATAGCAAACAAGCAAAATTGCTTGTCACCGGGCTCCCCTCGCTTTGCTTCTACTAGATTAGAAGTCACCTTTAACAATTACACTTGGTTCGATTGCCCCGTAGCTACCCATTTTGTCAGGTACGGTGACACTATCTTTGTACTACGTCATAGAGGGAGGCATTGGGAGGATGGAGTCCAATTGCTACGGTAACGAAGAATAGAGTCATTTTTATCTTCTCCCTGCACCCAGATCGATTCATTCTATTGGGTTTGAACAATTTGTCTGTAATCTCTTCCCACGTTAACATAGCCCTAGCGGTCCTATATATCTAGATAGGGTGCCTAAAGAAATTGAAGAGGCTGAATCAAGCTAGGGATGTGCACGATGATGATATACAGATATAGTGAAACGATAAAAAGCCGAGCTGAAACCAAGCTCCAGCTCCAGCTAGTCTATCCAGATCATCGGTTGCCAGCCCAACCCCTGGCTGGATCCCGCCGTTCGCGGGTGTTTACTTGCCCTGAGCGTCCCGTGATCCACACGCTAATCTTCATTGAGCCCGGTGGGGTCACATGTGGGTCACATGATTGGCCCAGATTCCTAGCGGAGGCTGGTGGAAAGCCCCCAAGTTCCCAACTGATGCCCCCAGCCGCACTTCGTAATGGCCGTTCCCAGCCTCCCAGCCCCCCTCCTCCACGATATCAATCCAAAACCGTCCCACTACCACTTCCGATTTCCCACAACCCTGTTATCCTCCCATCCCTCCCTTTATCCGCCCTCCCCTCCCCCTGCGATCCCCCCTCCATTCTGAATCCATTCTTGACATCTTGTCGACCTTTCATCCCAGTGCTTTCTGACGGCGCTTCGTATTCTCGAATCCTTCCTATCTCCGGTATGTGATCGGCCATTGTCCATATCGCTATCGATAGCGATCTGATAAACTGACCGTATCTCCAGTGTGAGGTTCACTTTTGCTGCGGTTGGACTATTGACCCCAAGTCGTCATCCCACTTCTATATTGGCGACATACCCATCGGTCATGTCTCAAACCACCTTTCGATCTCAAAGTCCCCTCGCAGCACCGGCGGAGATTCTTGCGCCGGCAACCCCAGTCCGCCGCAACACTCTGTCTCCGTCGCCAGACCTTAGTGCCGCCATCAAAGATCGCTCTTCTCAGTCAGACAAGAAGATTGCATCCCCGCCCACTCTCTCATCATCCGATATGACTCCACCTCCTTCGACCCAGATCCCCGGAGCGCCTTTGCGCCGGTCTCACTCGCGCTCTCTAAGCCCTGCCATTGTCACATCCGCCAACTTGGACAAGTCACTGTGTGACGCCTACGGGGCGTCGGAGAACCTCCCAACGACGGAGGAGATTGACAATGCCAGCGAGACCCGCTTGCGACAAATCGCCAAGGATCTTCTCGCCGTGGCCCAAGAGGCTCGCATGTCTGCGTTGCACTTCAAGCTCCAAAACAGTTTGGTTTCATTTGCCAGCAACGAGGCAGTCAAGCGTGCCGAAGTCGAGCAGCAGCTCGCAAAGCGAGAGGTTGAGATCCTTCAGAGCGCCGAGTATCGTAGTCGCTCGCGCCCTGCCGAGCCCTTGACTCCCAAACAATCTTTCTCCATCCCCACCGACGATTACTTGGCTGTCCTCCACCGCTCGCAAGAACTCGAGAATGCCAATCTTGTTTTGGATCGCCGTCTTCGCAATGCGAAACGTGCAATTGATGATGCGACTGCCCGCTCCGTAGAGCTGACTGAACAAAATGAGATGCTCAAGCGCCGCATCCAGGACAACCGTCATCACTTTTCCCAAATCTACAACTACGGGGGCATGTCTCCCGGTATGCAGAATGAGCTCCACACCATATGTCGCGGCGAACATACCGACGGCCTGGCAGCACTTCTGTTTGCCGACAAATTTACCAACCGTCTCCACGAACCTCAAGGCTCTTATGGGGCCCACTCTTCCGTCCCCGTTACTCCCAACCAGCCGCGCTCCGCTCGCCAGGATCGTCATTACCTGACGCCCGGCCGAAATGCTCGCGACCAGTACGACAGCGACAGCACTGTTTCCCTGACCGCCCCCGAGTCCGAAGACGAGGTTGTGGAGGCGAAGCATCAGCACGTGCGGACCACCGCCCCAAAGACTAGCTCTCTTCTTCAGACAAAGCTCTTTGGTCAAGTGAAGAAGCCTGGCGTGGAACGTATCCAATCTTCTAAGCGCAAGGCTGGCTCCGGCGAGAGCAGCCCAGCCACGAAGAGATCCAGGACCAATGCTGGAGTGGGTCTGGGCATCGAGACCTAAGTGCCTAAAAATCCCCCCCACTCCTCGGTAGTACGAGTGTCCGCACTGACGCTCGTGCCTGCCCACTCTGGATACGATTCATGAACTAGCGCTGCTTCTTGGCCTTTGGCATTCACTTGTGACGACTTACTTTTCCTTCCGGGAAAAATGAATGATGACAAACACTCGCCGGTTTTACGGCATGCAACACTTGGGTAGCGATTGGTTTTTTTTGACTTTTATGGGTTTTGTTGACTGGTCTTCCTTCATCTGTAAGGTCTGAGTGGCCTACCGCAAACAACGGCGTTTAATTAGGGGCATCATGGTTTTTGTTTCTGCTTTTGACCTCATTGGGAATTTTATCTTGGTGAGAGATGGCCACACTGGACCTGTCCATCCCTCTGGGTTGGATCGGTCGGATTCCGTAGATTGGGAATTTATTTCAGACTGCATTACTTTGCATGGCTGTACTATAGGAATAGAATTGAAGTGAATCATTGAAAAAGTGTTTCAGCATCTAGTGATCCTCAAGCATGAATATCTTCATTCATCTGGGATGGCATAAAAGACACGACAGAAAAGTTTATGGCACAACAAGGCTAGTCCAAATGAGGAATGCCCCCCCTTCAATACAGAATACTACATTCGAAATACACGAGTTACCTACCAAGTCCATATGGATGCATACCCCTATCTTTAGAAAAGACCATTGGAAAGACCATTAAAAAGACTATTGAAATGACCGTAAAAGAGGGCAAGGTAGTCGGAGTGGGAGTAGAATATTAATTTAGTCGAGTATAGGGATAAATAGATATGTAGAGGTCACATTCACAGTCGCTAACGTTATTAGCGAGAAGTATTGATGTGATTATACAGAAGGACTTGGTAGTTAGGTAACTTGTGTGTTCGAATGTAGCATTTTGCATTGAAAGGGGGGGGGTTCCTCGTTCGGACTAGCCTTGTCGTGCCATGAACTTTTCTGTCGTGTCGTTAATACCATCCTTCATCTGTGTACAATTCCCTTGTAAAGCCGACTTCATCAAGCTCCGAGCGGGAAGCATCCTGTACTAGCTTCTCCATCCAGTAGCAAGTTCTCGGTCATGGGATATTCGCTATTGATACACGAAGAGAGGTAATACGACGGAATATCTCCACTTCTGAAGATCATCTTTCGCCATCCGTAGCCTTGGAGTGGTTATTGTGGGCAGGCCTATGGGATTGTCCACTGCGGTAGATTCTATTCAGAATCCCTAAATGATTATCAAGCACCATGCCTAAAGGCTAACAACAGTGTACTACCAATGACATGAGCAAAATCAATCTTCCAGTGATAGGATGCTATACCCGAGAATTCGAGAATTTGGTTTTATACTTCGAAGACCATAGGACATGCCCTTCTCGCCAATACTGGATCTATTTATAACCTTTATGCTTCGATTGACTTCAACCTGACTTTAGGGAACATTATGCGAGTGACTTATTAAAGGATTTTTGTTTGCAATTAGGTCCCATATATTGTCGATGTCTCGATCCATTGTACTTTGAATATGTCTTTTGACTTTCCTCGTCACCCGCTGAATCTCTTGGCGGAAATGCGGGACGAACAAACTGCTGAGTCAGCCAGTTCTGGCAAATTACCCGAACGGGCTTAGTTAGGGCTCGCTAAGCGAAGCGGTGAGAGGTGAAAGCGGCCACACGAAAAATGGCAACTTCAGTTTCTGCCGTGAAGGGAGATTTGACCAGCAACCCTCCGACGACCACCACCCGGCTCGATCCCCATCCGTCACCATGGTGCGTTCCCTTCGAATCCTTTGCGAAAGATGAATATATGAATGGAAGAATTGCTCTGCGATCACTTTGCTCGATTTTCCGGCTTAGTGATGGGGCAGTTGGAATGTTGAAGGTTCATGGGCTGATCCAATTGTGTGGGATTTATAGGCGATCAAGCACAACAACCAAATCCAGAAGAACCGTGAGTGGCCTCGACACAATCTTGCAATTTGGCGCTCGCTTTTCATCGAAATTCCAAGCGCCGGATTGATTCAAGGTCTCAATTTCAATATCAAAGACTCGGGTGAGCTAACAGATTTTCAATAGACTTCCGCAAGGATTGGCAGCGTCGTGTGCGTGTGCACTTCGACCAGGTACGACTTCCGATCCCATTTCCCCGAAAAACGTTTTCTTTTTCTCGCCGAACGATTCTTCCTCGACCGACCGGCATTGAATGGAAAAACTTTTTGCTCGACAGAACTTGGTCGACTAACATGCGCTTTCCTCGAATTTTAGCCCGGCCGCAAGCACCGCAGACGTGAGGCCCGTATCGCCAAGGCCGCTGCCGTTGCTCCTCGCCCCGTCGACAAGCTGCGTCCCGTTGTCCGGTGCCCTACCGTCAAGTACAACCGCCGTGTCCGTGCCGGCCGTGGTTTCACCCTCGCTGAGCTGAAGGTAAATCGAACCTCTATCATTGGGACTAGCGATCTTCCCAACTCGCAAATGAATCGCAGGAAAGAACACCTGGCTCACCACTTTCTTTTCAACTCAATTTAGGAGGCCGGTATTCCCAAGAAGCTTGCTTCCACCGTCGGTATCTCGGTCGACCACCGCCGCACCAACTACTCCAAGGAGTCCCTGGTTGACAACGTCGCCCGCCTGAAGGACTACAAGGCTCGCCTGATCCTCTTCCCCCGCAAGAGCGGTCAGTTCAAGAAGCTCGACTCTTCCGCCGAGGAGGTCAAGGCCGCCAAGGCCGGTGAGGGTATCGCCAAGTCCGTCGGCGCTTCCTTCCCCATCGTCAACGCTGCTCTTGAGGCCGCCGTCTCCGAGGTCAGCCGTGACTCCCTCCCCAAGGGTGAGGAGGCTGCTTACCGCCGTCTCCGTGACGCCCGCGCCGAGGCCCGCCACCGCGGCAAGCGCGAGAAGCGTGCCCGCGTCGCTGCTGAGGAGGAGCAGGCTGCCAAGAAATAAATGTGTTAATTTTCTGCTCGTGCTGATGATGATGATCGGGTCGGTTTTCGGATCTGGGATGAGTGTACTGTGGCATGGCGTGGCGCCTCTTCCTTTTCTCCTTTCAAACTGAATCCCTCTCTTAACCCTCTTCCTCCTCCAACCCCCCCCCCCTTCTTACCCCCCATCCTTTTTTTGTCTCTAAAAAGAAAGAACTCGGAAGATCCTCTCGAAATGCAAAACCGCCCAATTTTCTTCAAATTATTTTTCTGCTTCTCTCGATCGGCTGTCTGGTTGTCTGGTGTTGATGTTTGGGCTGGGCACTGGTTCGCATCAACTCAGAAAGTACGGTCGTTCCCTTTTTGTATATGGGGCTGTTTCTTCCGACAAGGCTTAAGGGGCGACTAGGCGAGGTACGAAAACACTATATGAGGTGGAAGGGAACATGAATGACGAGGTGGAGGGCCATGCCATGGGCTCATTAGAGCATTTCAGATAGTCCTCGCAATGACAAGAGGCTTCAAAAGTTCCAAAGTGGTTCTTTTATACATTCGTAGATTAAGTCAGCTGTGTAGTAGAGCTTTCCCCTTTTCTGGGACATGTATTCGAGTCTACAGAGTGTTCTAAGGACAATGCTTAGGTCTTCGAGTTAGGATGGGTTGCCAAGTACCAGAAATCTGACGATGAGTAAGAACTATGTTGTCAATTCAATGTATCACAATATATATCGAGACAAGCCTCGCGGCATGTACAAAGCGGATGGACGTCCCAGTACCTGAAAATATATCTACGGTGACAAAGGTGAACAATTTGGAACAGTGCATTTGGTTTCATCTTCCAATATAGTTCGTATCCCATCCAAGTAAGTCATGGTATCTTAATCACATTCCCAATCCATTCCTTCCAAACGCCGACGCTTCCTATAACAAAGTAGAACAAAACAAAAAACCATACATGTCAAGCACTTCGTAGCAAAGCGCCAAGGGCACCCTCGGTTGCCCTTAATATAGCGTCTGCATGCACGCCCCTTGTCAAATTTCCTCCAGTAGCAGAGATCCCTTCTTCTCGTAGCAGAGCATGGAACAATCTCCTGGTTTCTTGATCGATTTTCTTGCTCGATCCACTTCCGCCACCGGAGACTGACACGCTAAGCTCAGGCTGGAGCTGCGCTTCTCCAGTCCATTCGTCCATAACCAGAGCATTCGAGAGTAGCACGCGGGGGGTGTGGCTGCTAGAAGAGCCAGCCTTGACAACCATAGTGCTACGCTCAAGGTGAGGAACTAGACGTCGAAGCTCAGAGACCGTGATGATGCCGTCTTGAGATTCCGGGAAAGCCTCTTTGGCGCGTTTAGCAGAGCCGTTGCCGTGGTTATTGTCGATTCGCGCCCATAGCTGTGCCCGCGCTACTGAGGCTTCCCAATACCGATTGATGCCCCAACACAGAGTTGCCACGTCAAGCGCGAGAAGTGGGTTGTTGAGCCGGGAGTCGATCCATTGCCGAAGTGCCTCTGGAACTCTTCGTTTTTTGCTGTCATTGCCCGTTGGCACCGAGACAGAAGTCACGGTCTGCGTTTCCGGATTTGTTTCGTATACAACGGAGACATTGTATAATGATGCTGGGAAGGGGGATGGCGCAGAGAATGTCAAGGTGTGCGTCTCCAGGAAAGAGGCCGATTTGGAAGCCGTGCGGCTTGTAACTGTTCGGAGTGTCAAGGGAGCAAACACGGTTAGATATGATGGTGCCTTTGACGTCTCCTTCAAAGCGAACGGGTTTGTGGGCATCGGAGATGCTTGAGGGGCTGGGCGAGGCAGGTTTGCCGAGAATGGGAGGAGGGTGGATAGCAGCGCTGACATGGACACGGGTGCTCGTGGTGGAACCGGTTCATTGATGTGCGCCGACTCTTCAACAAGAAGACTCAAGAACCTATTGAACTCTTTCGTGTCGCTCGACAGATCCACGCCCGAGTCGACCTTCTCGGCCCATTTGCTGAGATCGGCCACGTCGTTTTTTAATCGGCGTAACTCTGCTTCTAAACTCTTGCGAGAGTTCACTTTCTCGACTACAGCTGCAGAGACATTCTCTCCCGTAAAAGCCGTATCGTCGTATGGAGAATCTTCCACTGGTGATTGAAACTTCAATGTTTTCAACGGGCTTCCTTGAAGCACATCTGTCGCTGGCCGTTTCATTCGCTTCTCATGTCTTGCGCTTGGGCTGCTGCTAAGAAGTCCTCTCGGTCGATCGGGTGCTTTGACCAAACCTAACTGTGTTGGCGTTGGGGGCAGATCTGGCTCCAGAGAATCATCGTCATCATCATCCCCCAGCCCGCCACCAGGCTCATTGGTATCCATATCAACATCAAGTTCCGGTTCGTGTGTAGCAGTTCCCAGCTCTAAAGCTAGTTGGCCCTCGGGGGTATTGGAGAGGTGGTCCTGTTTCGGTGGTGGTTGTTTGCGGATGGGCGAGCCAAAGATAAAGTCCGTCGCCGAGATTCTCTTGGAAAGTCGGCGCGGTGGTTTTGAAAATGCTTGAATGCCACTGGGACGTCTGCTGGGCGAAAATAGCGTTGGCGACCCGGACGCTCTGAGTGCTTTCAGAGGACTCGAAGGATTTAGTGAGGGCCGAAGAGCTTTACGATCACGGAGACCAACACTTCTGGCGTCATCTTTGTGAGGACTTTTAGTTGGACTGTCTCGACTCGGTGATTGTCTGCTGGGTGACCTGCTGAGTGCGCGTTCGAGAACTTCTGGATGCGACCTGGCCAGGCTTGCCCTCGTGGGTGATTGAAAGGATGCGCGACTCGGTGAACGCGAGTCCCTACGAGGTGCAGGGGGCTGTGACGCGCCAATTGTGACACCCACACCCTCGCCGGTCCTCCGGCGCTTTGGAGGTGAATTCATCGTGGGGTTATATAATTGTCTCAATGTTTAATTGTTCCGAACTGCGCGCCCACCTTGCGGAGCGCATAAACAACGATGTTTGCAGTGTTTGCACCTATGACTTAATCTCGCAGTAGCCCGAGGATCTTCTTCCTTCTCCCCGCCGCACACGATGAAGTGTCTTGTCATGAGCAGACAGTCTCTCCGAAGGACGAGCATCTGTACCCGATCATTATCTGCTCCTCTCATCTCTTTATATCGTCAATATGCCTTGATTCCGACGCCCCGGCGCATGCGCGCACACGACCAGTCCAACCCTGCACGTGATAGCGATGGTTCCTTGCTCGAAACTGCATCATCATCACAGGCACAGCCATTATCAGGCTTCTATTCGTTGCTTTTGGCATCTCCTTTGCCGCACAGTGGTATTACAGCGACAAAGCAATCGAGGCCTGCTGCAACCAATGACCAACCAACCTCGGCGCAAAAAGCCGCATCTACGCCGAAAACCCCTCAAGAAAAGATGGCCATTGTCTTTGGCAGTCGCCTTGCAGGACCAGGCCGCCAATCTCGATACAATCCCGGTGAGGCGCCACCCGAATCAATGTGGAGAACGATCAATGGTGTACCTATCCCGCCTCGCCCCGAGGAACCAGACAACTGCTGCATGAGCGGCTGTGTGCATTGCGTCTGGGATGACTTCCGCGACGAAATGGAAGAGTGGGCAGGTAGAATTGCTAAGGCCAGGGCTAAAGGGCGACCCGAGAGAGGCACCGCAGATATGCGTACTGAGCCCCGAGCCGAGGTCAACTCGGCCAGTCAGAGTATGGACGATGATGGCGGCGGCAGTGAGACCAATTGGGCCATACCGAATCAAGAAGATGACCTCTTTGCCAGTATTCCAGTTGGCATTCGAGAGTTTATGAAGACGGAGAAAAAGTTACGGGTGAAGCACCAGAAGGAAGCTTCGGCGTGACGACTTATATGTGGATGTTGCTTTGTATTAGTGCACTTTTTATACCCTGCTGTACATATACTGGGGGATGTGATCAAAGAAAGCGAGTGGGTAGACCATCAGAGTGAGATGGAATCTAGACTGTACATAGAATCATTGTTTTCACGACACGAAAAATTATAGCGCTTTCTCTTATCTTTGAAATACATTTGTAATTCATCAAGGAATGAATCTAAGAATCCCAAATCTACTGAAAACTGCCGGTATTCTTCAGATGCCTGCCCCGGACTTTGCACGCCGCCGAGTCCGTGCGCCGTGCCGCTGCCGCTTTCCCTTTCGCTTTCCTTTTTTTCAAGAGGCAAATTACTTGAACTTGCCTGCCAGTCTTCTCGAGAGCAATGGGCTGATTTGTACTGATTGAGACCCTGTTATTATTTCAGCCAATCGCCAAACGAGCGCAGATGGACCGGTTCTCCCTCCTCGAATTGCCCGCGCGTTGGTTCGTTTGCGCACCGTGAAGCTTCCTTTCTCTCCGCAAGATGACGCCGCGAACGAAAGCATGCAATTGCATTACACATCTCAAGCGAGCAACCTCTCATCGTCAATATGGTCTGCACATATACACTCCCTGCTGGGACTTCGGTCGCCACAACGCGACCCCGCGCCTTTGTCGAGGCCCACACTCGACAACCCGAACCTTGTCTTCAACGCGAATCTTGGTCACAACAACAGCACAGTGTAGGGGGCAATGGGAGTCAGATCGGCATAAAAGATATGCATTCTGGGTCCGAAAATCACCTTTGCTCCCACGCGGCGCTCGGGGCATCGTCAACACGCATGCAATGACATCCAACGTCACTGAACCTTCGGTGGAGAACTTGCACGTCGAGGCTGGAGAGGCAGATATTTCACATGGAGATAGCACAGCTTCTGTACGTGAGAATCATACCGACAAATTTGAAACGGATTTGTCCCCGTCAGCGCGAAATGATATCAAGATCTTCAAAAATCTATGGAATCGAAGAATCGTCAACGTTTCCAGGGACTTCCAAGTATTCGAGGACGAAGGCCGCTCGAAATTCAATATAAATCTGCGCATCCGGAAAGGGACGCATGACAATGGAGAACAAGAAAGGAAACTGCGTGTTCGGGGCGAATTGGAGTCCACTAATCGAGTTCGTATTATTGCCCGCGCGAGTTGCGCATATCTTTCTTCTGACCACATAAAAAGCAGGATGAATTGAAAACAACGGCAGTTTTACGCATGATATCGGAATTAAGGGAAGAGGGATTATGGGATTCTTTGGTCTCCCAAGCAGAGCTGGTCTCAGACTCCTCTACCGTTGAACAGCCCTCGTCTGCGACTATAGAGCCTTCACATTCTACCGAGGAGCATGCTGTCACTGAAGACTCTTCTCCAACCGAAAAGACCATTACTGAAGAGCTTGCCTCCCTTGCGCTCGAGCCGGGCAAGGATGATTTTCAAACCATCAACACTCTGGAGCAGAAAAAGTACATCCAGCTGGACATTGAATTCTCGAGCAATCAAAATGAGGGCATGACCTGTTGTGTGGTGTGCTCGATACGTAATTCAGAGCAGGAATTGCAGGTTCTTGGCCACGGTGTTTCAAAGGTACAGTCTGATATTGTCCAGCAGTCTATCTTTGCATATACTGACGAGCAACCGGAAACAGCGAGACGCGAAAGAGGAAGCTTTCAGCCGGTTAGCTTCCAAGCTACAAGAGATCGGAATGTGGGAAGATTTTTTACAACAGAACCATACCAGACTTACCGTGAATGACGATCTGCTTTACATGATGCGCTTTGGGACGCAAAGCCTGATTGAAGCGAATGATAATCTTCGGTCGTTCATGACAATCAAGGAAAAGCGAATAAGCCAATCACAGAGAGATACAGACGCTCAAAATGTGTATAGGCAAAAGCGATCCGAGCAACTAGCCCAAGCGCTTCGCAAGTTTCGCGAGTCCAAAGATCCCAAGGTAGTGGCTATTCGATCTGCAACGGACAGTCTTCCCGTGAACGAACACAAGGAAACGGTCCTAGATCTTATCAAGAACAACACCTACAGCATCATTGTTGCGGAGACCGGGTCTGGAAAATCGACGCAAATTCCTCAAATGATTTTGAACGATGCAATCGAGCAGAGCTCTGGCGGCTTCTGCAACGTGCTTTGCATTCAGCCACGACGTATCGCAGCCCGTATGCTGGCTCAGCGGGTTGCTCACGAACGACTTGAACAGATTGGCAATACTGTGGGCTATATGATTCGATTTGGGATTAAGCGCCCAGCCAAAGGTGGTAGTATCACCTACTGTACCACTGGTCTTGCTTTGAACCTGTTACAAGATAATCCTGGTTTACTCAACTCATTCTCTCACATTCTCCTTGATGAAGTTCATGTTCGCGACATTGACATTGATTTTGTGATGCTGCTCTTGAAGAATCACATCAGCCAATGTCGAACAGCAGGTCACCCAACGCCTAAGATTGTGGTTATGAGTGCGACAGTCGATGTTGATCTATTTGCTTCGTACTTCCAAAATACGGGACTCGACGGGGAGCTGTTGCCTGCTCCCCATGTTTCCATCCCAGGGCGCCAATTCCACGTGAAACCACATTACCTGGACGAGATTCTCGTGGACATTACCACCAAACTCAAGGATGACGTTCTTAAGTGGTGTTTGAAAGAACCGTCGACTCTTAAGTTCCTGCAAAACCATTACCGGAACTACTCCACAGAAGATACAGCCGAGGAAGTCAATGATGATTTGGATACACCTTCACCTGAAGAAGAATCGGACTCGGCAATCTCTTTGTCAAGCACCAAGAGCGTCAAAGTGGACGATGCCCATTTCGTTCCATCCGGGCTGATTGCCGCCGTCACCCACCACTTGCTTCACACGATGGAGACAGGGTCTGTCTTGGTCTTTCTGCCTGGCCTCAGCCAAATCATTGCCGCTGAATCCCAGATCTTACAAGTCGCGGAAATGCTTAAAATGGACTTTTCGGATGAAGACAAGTTTAGAATTCTGAAGCTGCACAGCAGTCTCCCCGAAGAGCTTGCTGAACTGGACCAGGAAGTTCCCGAAGGTTGCCGGAGGATTTTGCTCGCAACAGATATTGCAGAGGCGTCCCTCACAATCCCAGATGTGAGATATGTGATTGACTCGGGAAAGGTAAATCAACTGATGTACGACCCTTGGACCCGATCTCACCAGATGACTTGCTGCTGGGCGAGCCGATCAAGTACCGTCCAACGGGCTGGGCGGGCAGGCAGAGTGCAGGATGGGGAGTACTTCTTCCTTGGAAGAAAGGAGTGCTTCGACTCACTCCGTATCACCAAGTCTCCCGAAATCCTTCGAAGCGACCTACAGTCGGTCTGTCTACGAGCCAAATTGTCCAATCCTTCTACACCTATCGCCGAATTCCTCAAACAGGCCATCGAGTCCCCAGAAGCGACCGACATTGATATGGCCATTGATTCTTTGAAACAATTACAAGCACTGGATGAGAAGGAGAGTCTCACCAACCTGGGGTCTTTAGTCGGTCATATGCCTATACTACCTCCACACCTCGCCAAGTTGGTCGCCCTAGGCGCCATTTTCCGGTGCCTGGATCCTCTTTTGATTTTGGCAACATTGGGCCAGGAATCAAACTTCTTCTACCGAGGCAGCGACGAAAAGCAGCGTCAAAAGGCCTGGAATGACCAAGCTGCATTTGCAGGGCAGAGTTCCAGTGATCATTTTAGCATCATCAATGCTTTCAAGGCTGTCCGCTCCGTATGGAACGAGCAAGGGTCGCGAGCTGCTCAAAGGTTCGCCTTCTCGAAGAATGTCTACGTCCCCGTCTATCGGGAGGCCTTTCTCACGGCCAACCAGATCCTGCATCAGCTAGAACAAGCAAGGATCACCAACAAATGGCTGTCGTTCGACAAAGATGCCGAAGGTCAGTTTGGCGGGCCGGACCTGAATGTCAATTCGAATCATGTCCCTCTCATCAAAGCATTGTTGCTTCACTGTCTATACCCCCGACTCGCTGCACCGAAACCAGACTCGAACACTCTATTTACAACTCAGACTGAGAGACAGGCAGTTCTGCACTCGGGAAGCATGACTAAAAATGGCAAAAAGCCGCCACGAGCTCTGCTCATTTTCAATCGCAAAATCTTGTGGGGAACGCCGCCGACTATCACCGCGTTGAAAGAGGCCTCGATCGTGACCCCACTGGCAGCGTGCCTTTTCGGAGGTAAACTGGCGGTGCAACGATCTTCTATCATTATGGACTCGTGGATGCGAACGGGCATTCAAGTGATTGACAGTCCAGCCACGCCAAATGAAGTGATCAAGGATGTGGTCGAGTTGAACCACGTCCTCAACAAGGTAAGCATCAACTTCTATAGTTTCTTGATCGACTCGATTTGACAAGATCCATCGTTCTAACTGTCTCGATTGAACTAGGCTTTGACCACGACATTCGATTCCTACCCCAGCGATTTCCAAACGCTGCAAATAAAGAAGAAAAGGGGAAACTTCTTCAAGGCTCGTCAACAATTCGTTGCAACTTTGCAACAAACCATCAAAGACATCCTGGACCGCGACTGCAACCCAGCTCGAGTATCCGCGCCTGCTGCATGGAATGCGCACGACGTTAGTAAATACTCGGATGGAGCATAGCTCTTTTACCATGTACAATAGACTCGCTACTTGCTGTATATAAATTTCAAGATGAAATATAGACTAAAATGTCAATTCATACAAAAGTAAAGCCCCATTCCGCTTTTATACGCATGTTATCCACTCACCGCCTAGATATCCTTATCGCTCCCAAAAAAAGTTCAAGCTACACATCCAACTCTAAACCCCCGACAACAAGAAGGGAAACCACCACAAAAAGCAACAGGATGGCACTCTCCAAGAGTGAATCCGACGTCATCCTAAACCGGGCAAACGTCGCCCTCGCCCGAAGCCAACGCCTCGTCGCATCATGGCTCCCCGAGAAAACCGGCGACGAACTCACAAGCGCCAAATCAGAAGAGGAACTACAACGCGAGGAAGACGAAATCTTCACAGCTGTCCCAGAGACGTAAGACCCATCCCTCCATTTTCTCTCTCTTACTTTTCATTGAAAAATATACGCAATGTCTGCATGAATGCTAACTCGCGTTACGTTGCGTTACATAGTCTCGGTGTCGGCGCCCCGCTCCCCGAAAAAGCAGCTGACGGAAGCTGGAACCGCACGGAATTAAGCTCGAACGATCAATTACGGAAACAACTCCTCGGAAGGAATTATGATAAATTTATGAAGGCCAGTGCTGCAGCGAAACAAGCTTCGGCTGCGGCTAAGAGCACCGCGTCGGCGGTAGCTTCCGGAGCTTCATCCGCGGTGCAGGAGGAGGATGATCAGGATGATGATGAGGATGGGAGGGTTTCTATGGTTGGGAAGAAGAAGAGGAGGGTTGGGCAGGGTCGTGCTGCACAGACTGGATCTGGGTCTGGTGTTACCCCTGTCTCTACGCCTGGCGATGTTGAGGATGCAGGTGCGAAAGAGGAAAATGGAGTGGTTCAGACCGATGCGCCTGTTAAACAGGCTCCCTCGAAGGGGAGGAAGAAGGCTACCAGCTATTTGGATGAATTGTTGGCTGAGAGGTCGAAGAAGAGGAAGAAGCGGTGAATGTTGGTTGCACTGCATACGATTTCTCCCCCTTTTCTTGCCTCTCGTCGATTTATCCGAGCGGGTCGCTTGGGATCTTGATCAGAGTCCAGACTGGAGTCTGTCGGTCTAGACTGGCTGTACGTCCGCTGTTGCCAGGGCCAGCTTGAGCATCAATCCGGTAACACGGTATAGCCGTGTTTGATGGGTTGGCCAGAGTTGAACTATAGACCTGTTGGTCGCTTTTGCACTGCTGCGGGCACTGAATTGCACAACGGTCATCCTCGCCGAGAAGGCTTTACTTGAAGAGGCTTTCATTTGCAGAGCCTCCCCCTCCTTACCCCAACTAATAAAGGGTTCCACAAACTTGCTCGATTCAGAATGAGAAGTGGGCACATGTATAGAATACAAAATTCCATTCCAGACAGTTCTAGATGCCACCATGATGTTTTTCTTTGCTCCGTCCGACACCAGGGTATATAAAATATGCTGCGAGAATGAAGTATAAAACCCAGAAGCCAATTTCGTCACTTGAAACCGACAGCATGAAGATTTCCAAAGCAAAAGATACACAAAAAGAGGTGATTATGGGAGAGAGAGGAAGGGTCAGATGGAGAGAAGTACAACAGTTAAATGAAAATAGAGAGAAAAGAGGGAAATGGTAATGGGAGAATGTGACACATCTACAGACGCAGGATAGCGGAAATCGAATGGATAAGCGAGGAGAAAATAAGATGCTGTCGAGCTTTTGGAATCCAAGGAGCTGGAGATGAGGTGGCTGTGATGGTGTTTGCAGGTATACAGATGCTGTCCAAGAAAAAAGAGGCGGATTGCCGGGGAGTATGGTTGGGTATATGGAGAATTGATTTGACAAGAAACTGGTTTCGGGAATAGTCCAAATCGTATCATTTGGTGTATGAGTTGGCCTCAGCCCGAGGGTGAGGAGAAGAAGATGATGATGATAAGTATTTGCAATGATTCCGCTGATTGTGCATTTCATGCTGCTGGAATCTATTCCAACCGTTTGCGTTTCCGGTCCTCTTGTTGGTCTTCGTCCGGCCGTTCAGCAGTATCGGCGGGATTCAGTAGAGAATGGACATTGCTGGCCATGCTCGAGCGGCGAGTGGCAGGTAGAGAAGACTCCTGACGGGGGAACCTCGAGCCTCCCAGAGTCCAGCCATTGTCCACACTTAACATGGACGGGGATGGCTCGGCCCCAGTCGGAGGTGTCGCATGACGGGATTGATCCTGGAGGCGCCGGGGTGCACCCATCTCATACTGAGCGAGTACATCCCGGACTTGTTGCTCGCTACTTGTAGGTACACGATGAGGCGACGAGGGCCAAGGCCCACTGCTTCCACCAGCCCCAGGGGGATTTCCAGGAGGGAAAGGAGAAGTACCTGCGGGAGGCCAGTCGGCTTGCCGAATATCCGCGAACGTGTGACGGCGGCCCAAATTCGGGGCTCCGGGAGGAGTCGATATGGAAAGAGGATGAGGCGTCGGTTGTTGTGGTTGTTGCTGCGGTGGTGGCGGAGCAGTAGCACCACTAGGGGGAGGAGGCTGGAGTCGGTTATAATTAGGAATCGGCGCATTGGCACCTCCAATAGAGCCGTAGCGACGAGGGGACACCGCAAGATGAGGCGGGACGGGTGGTCGAATCATAGATGGGCGCCGGCTGTCGTCCTGGGGTAGTTGGCGAGGGGACAAGGGAGGACCGGATTCCACTGGCAAGTTTCCGAAGAAAGGTTGGCGTGGTGGCATGAGAGTATCATGGGAAGCCTCCATGGCACGAACTGATTCGAGATGCTTCTCCACCTCCCTTTGCATGTTCAAAACTGGGAGGGTCGTTAGTCAAGCCGAGGTATCGGAGACATAGATAGGAATGCTCGTACTGTCGCGATATAAAGGACTATCCTGATTGGGCACAACACCTTGAAGAAAACGGGAGATTGAATGCGTCCACTGAGGAGATGGAGGTTAGTAAGAGCGAAACTCTGGCAATCAAGGTAAATATACTTGGTAGCATTTGGCGAGACCTTCAGCCATGTTCTGGCATTTCGAACTCAGTGCCACGTTCCCTTCCTCGGCACGAGCTAGGCGCGCATGCATGTCATGAAGACTGTATTCAAGGCTCATCAGCCTGGCCTCCGTCGCATCGGGAACAGGCTCGGCGGGGGTGCCCGGTTGCGACGCAGTAGCCTTGTGGCCTGGAAACGAGTCGCGATGGATCAGAGCATGGCGAGATGCGCGGCGCTTGATCTCGCGAAGCCCGATCAGGTCACCCCGTTTGAAGTTGCCATTTCCATGTTTGAATTCCCAGAGCGCAGAGTCCGGGGAGCCCGTATGAAAGACGTCGCTCACTGCCAAATTGAATTAGTGAAGGGTCCCATTTGTCTCTGGTTGATTTGCCGGGTCAACGAACCTTTGTGAAACCCGTACATATTCAACTGACGGACAAAGGATGAAATGTTGGTATGTTTGAAATACTGGCTGGAGGGATGTTAGCAACCAGAACCACCCGGGACATTGCCGGGAAACGATCGAGACTGACGCTAGGACTTTGGAGAATTCAGAAGTCGGTGACATGACAAAACTGTCGTTGGTATTGGACCACGATATCAGATGCTGGATGCTAGAATCCTCAAGCATGCTGTTGAAAGCCAAGTAATGTTAGTAACCCCCGAGGCAAATTTTGCAATCGCGACCAAACCCTCGTCGAACGTACTTGTAAAGCTTGTGGATAAATGCGGTTTGTACCACTTTGGGTTGCTGGGCTGCTGCAGCAGCCCCCACGGTCGAGTTTTGGGGATTACTCGTGATGCCGACTTCCGCGCCATTGGTGTTAATTGCGCCAGTGCGGTCGCTATCGGGACTGCTACGGACAGGGATACCACCCGCGGCGACTGATGCTGGCGGAGTGATGTCCATGGCCGCCGGGGAGTGTTGAGCGGATTGCGAAAGAACGGGGAGGTTTCGCGTTTTGCCGGGACCATCTGCAGGTCCGGCGAAGGTGGCCCTCGAGGACGGGGGATCGGCAAGACCACTCATGTCGGGCGAAAAGGGGAGACCAGGAAGGAGACTGAGAAAGGTGGCGGAGGCGGCGGAGGCGGCGAAGGCGACGGCTGACAAGCCCACGATCGTCGCCGGTATGTAGAGTTTCCGTGGAGAGGGTGACGAGGAAACCGAGCTGAAGGTGTTGGTGAGAAGGTTAATCGGACGCGATCGGTTCGACCGTTGGAAACCCGCTCGTGGCGGGAGAACGTGCGATAGGGAAGACGGGTCTCGTGAAGGCCAGCCAGGCGCAGATCAACGAAGTCGTGAGAACTGGTATATCATTGCGTCCGAGAATTGGAGTCCAGAGAATATGGCCGAGGACGAGGAGATTCGGGACTGGGAGAGGTTTGCGCTGAGGATTCTGGAAAGCTGCGGGGAAGGGGGAAGAGGGGAGCAACCGGGAGGAGCGCGTCGGTCGGGATCTGCAGCGCTGAAGCTCAGGGATCGGAGGCTGCGGCTGCGAGGGCACGATCTAAGAGCGAGTACTCGAGCGACGAGGTCGAGGTGGAGGTCGAAGGTTGGGGAGAACAGATGCGATGGAAGGTGGAGAGAATGAAAAGGAGAGAGAGGAATGAGACTGAGACTTGATGCTCCACCCGCAGGTATACTGACTGGCCTGGCCTTCTCTCTCACCTGCTTTGGCCCGCTTCTGTGCCTTGGCTGGGAAACTTAAGATCTTTCACCACAACCAACACGACCACGTTCTCTCCTGGTTCACTCAGATGTACCCTTTCCTTTCAACATCCATGAAGGCATATTCTTCTCAGTCATGGATTCCTTTTCCCAGGATCGAGCCTTTTTGAGGCATTACTAGAACTTGCCCAAGTCAAGTCGCCCAGCGATGTATGTATCCAGCCATTGTTTTACCCTGTCACGCAGACAAGGTATACAAGCTGAAACAAATATATAGCTTGCGTGGCATCTTGAACCAGCAAGCCCATATGAGCTGCGCGAGTTCAGGCACGAGTTGATGTTCCTACGTTCATGGGTTCCAGTATGATATCCTGGGGAATCTGCCCCTAGAGGGCACCCGTTTTGTCGCGGACAATTTACCTCTGTCTGATATCATTCGCCTTCGAAAAGGACCCTGGAATGATCTTTAATCCAAAGGAAAGAAACTATCATGCTCATCGAAGGACTAAGGTCCTACTCAAAAGGTCTCACGGTGATGGCCAAAAGTCCTTTCATCACCACCGCCGTGTCGTGCTGTGGATAGAGAGCAACTTCGGTCAGAGATCCCTGGGCACCAGTTTCATCTTCGGCAGTCACTTTTCAGGGCTCGTCCTCTGAATCTCCTGCTTATACGCTCGGCTCGGTCCATAGCTTCAGTTCTTCTCTGCTGCTTCATTTGCGAATGTTGTTAAAAGAAAACACCGCCTGGAAGAAGGACCTGCTTACAGAGAGAAGACAATTCCATCTCCAGGACGAGTCGCTTTCCACACATTGCCGCAAGACTGCTCTGAGATCGTCGATATTGTCATGCCCGAGCAAGGTATAGTCTATGACTGTGGGTTCAAAGACTCCCTCAAACAGTTTGCCATTCTCAAGTCCAGAACCATCATGGACCCTTCCAACTCATTTGTGTGGTATGACTACTATGTCTATCGCACGCATCTACTTGATGAAACCGTGTGACTGGCGAGAAATGGCTGAATGGGACAGTTTGCCCAACATTCTAGAAAGCGAGCTGAAAAGAACGGCAACACGCCGAAACCTTGGATCTAGAGACCAGAAAGTTACACATACAATGCCTCCCTACAAGATAGGGCTAGCTGCTCGCTTGCGGACTTTCCTCCCTTTCGTGTAAATTTCTACGTTAGTCTAATATTATTTCAAGGATAGTGAGTACTACGTAAGAACGGTTTCAGAAGAGGGCGGCTCTGCGAAGTGGTCACCTATGAACCAGACGTCCTGTGGCTCAGATGGTATCAACGTTGTTTCCCGCCGCGCTCCCTCCGCAACCCTTCACAACCCACCCACCATCTCACATTTGAGCCAACTCACTTGACACTTCCTCACAATCCAAACTCTCACCTTTTCAACGCTTCACTCTGCAACACGAATAAGCAGGAGGTACATACCTCCCCAGCACACGCATTATGAATATTCACCCGGACGACGAAGCCTTTTTGGCGCGGTTTCAGACCCTACCCAAGCCTCGTCGCCAAGCCATGTCTGTTGTCTCTCTATCATCAAAGCAAAGTATACAAGCTAACAAACATACAGTTATCGCGGCCTTCTGGAGCGACTACGGTCAGATGAGTGGCGTGAAGTCAGGGAACACGCTGAGGTTCACACCCTTCAGTGTGATATCTTCGGCAAGCTGCCTCTTGAAATCACTTCTCTTGTGGCAGGGTTTTTACCGCTGGTTGACATAATTCGCCTTCGAAGAGTATGCCGAACCCATCTATATGATCCTTATTGTCAACATGTGGTTAACTTACTAGCAAAGGTCTCCAGGCGTTGGCAGTCCATCCTCTCGTACCACTCGCTGTGCCGGGCTGCGTTGTGGAAAGCCTTAGGGAGGAATCCTTTGGTAAACTCTACAGCTCCAGTTTCGAATACTCTGACCGCTACGAGTAAAACTGAATCGAGCCATGACTTTGAAACCTCCTTCGCCAGCTTCGTCGAAAGACGATACCGCCTAGAGCGGGGAAAACCACACAGTGTCATCTCGATGGGCAGCCCAGCAGTGTCTCAAAATGATCATGATTATAGTCTCAATTCTGTGGACTTCAGGTATTCCACCGGCATATGTACCTGGATTGATCAATTGGAAGATGGAACCTCTGTGATCGCCCTGAATCTATCAATGGGCGAAAGGAAGAAATTCACTACTGCCAACAGGGAAACGCTCCTGTGTGTCCGAATTTCAGGTTCTACAATCGCTGCGCTCTCACTCTCGGGCTATTGCCATGTCTGGAACTATGATGACACATCCCAATGCTCCTCTTTCAGAGTTCCCTCGTTGGAGGTCAACCAGATCATGATTAGAGGGAAAAGTGTTGTCCTAGAGTATCCCGGTTCTCTCGTCCACTGGAGCTGTGACACCAGAATCGCCCGGACTATCGACGTCGAACAAACGGTCGTGACTGTAGCTCTCCATCCCTCGGAGGACGAAATTACCACAATCCATTATTGTGAGCAGCTCCGCTCTGAGCCGGAGAGAACTCTCGACGGAGATGGAGATGATGTTCTGACGTCCCATGAACCGCCGATGCCCCATTTCTATACGACGAAATACGCACTAAACAGTGAGGGTGACTGGTACGCATCCCCTTCGCGCTCTGTCCCGATTCCAATACCCCGTGGGCCCATGGACTGGCCTGGGCACTACGTCTTTGGGACAAGGAAGGAGATACAACCGGGGCAGTATGGCATAGATGGCTACATGGAATATACGGAAGAGGAAGATGAAAACGGCCACAAACGTCCACTGTTCGTCTACCTCTCGATCGAACCAAACGGCTTGGTCGCCATGCACACACTTCCCTACAACCCTGTGTATGGGCCTCAGTTCTACTCCGAGGAAGGAATTATCTATTTCTCCATTGCACCCCGGGATGGGAAATGCCAGCAGTATGGGATTGCGAAATCCAAAGCCATGACGGGCCCTTCGGATGCATACGTCTGGCTGGACTACTCGATCCAGCATTTGCAAGATGTGGAGGAGCGTGTGCACATTTTCGGGGATGAGAAGTTTCTCGTGTTTCTAGGGAAGAGCAAGATGGATATCTGGGTCATGGACGAGAATGCCATGGATGAGATGACGAGTGCGAGATTGCCCGGTTTGGTCGCACTCGAGACGGTTTGAATGAGATCTCTTACAAATCAGACAATGTGAAAGCCCCGTGAGTTTCAGCGTAGCGAGAAAATATTGAATCTCCTGAAACATTTACCTCAAGACGTAGAGGATTGACTTGTAGTTCGGTCCACCTCCAAAGTCCATAATCGAATATCATCAACACAAAGGAAAACTACACACTTATCTCTTTGTACGGGAACCAGAAGATCCATCATCTCACTTCTTCCAATTAGGAAATGATATAAAAATCATAGAAACACTCAAGAATACAGTGACAAAAAGAAATGTAAATGACACAGGAACAGGGCGCCGCAGCCAAGCACAGGGTGTTGTTCTCTAGAATTCAAACCCAAAAACAAAAGACGTTAGTAATGTCCCCTATGAAGCCGGCTCGCAGGCCCCCAATGCATGGCCCTCTCCTCCCCCGGCATATTCGGCAAAAAAAAAAACTCAGACTCAAGTATTGCAGGGTCTGACATGTTTAGATGCCGAGGGAGAACTCGACGCCAACGTCGATCTCGCGGGCCATCTTGACGACCTTGGAGAACTGGACGGACTTCTCGGCGGCGTTCTGGAGGTCCTCAATGGAGAAGATCTTCAGGCCGGACTCGTTGATCTGGAGGGAGGATGTTAGTAAAGGCGTGAGAGAGAGAGGGGGGGGCGGAGGGTTCAGGGTGAAACAAAATAAGGGGTGGGAACATACCAGCTTGTGAGCCTGCTCCATGTTGGTACCCTGGAGACGGGCAACGATGGGAGTGCGGAGACCCATCTCCTGAACAACGTTGATCAGACCCTGGGCGATGGCGTCACAGCGGACGATACCGCCGAAGATGTTGACGAAGATGGCAGAGACCTTAGGGTCGCTGGTGATGAGCTCGAAAGCGCTCTTGATGGCAGCGGGAGTAGCACCACCACCGACGTCAAGGAAGTTGGCGGGGGTACCGCCGTTCAACTTGATGATATCCATGGTGGCCATGGCAAGACCAGCACCGTTGACCAGGCAGCCAATGTCACCGTCCAGCTTGATGAAGTTCAGGCCGAACTCAGCAGCCTTGACCTCATCGGCATCCTCCTGGGTGACGTCGCGCCACGAGAAGACCTCCTTCTGGCGGAACTCAGCGTTGTCATCGAAGCCGAGCTTGGCGTCCATGGCGAGGACCTGGTGGTCGGAGGTCTCGGACAGGGGGTTGATCTCGATCTGAGTGGCGTCCTTGTCCATGAAGACCTTGTACAGGTTCTGGATGGTGGTCTTGGCGTCCTCGATGCACTGCTCGGAGAAGCCAAGGTCGGTCGCGATGGTGCGGGCAATCTCGTCGGTGACACCGGTGTGGATGTCAATGGGGGTGGTGATGATGGCATCGGGGCTCTCCTTGGCGACGGTCTCAATGTCCATACCACCTTGGGAAGAGGCGACGATGACGGGGCTCTGGGTGCCACGGTCCATGAGGATGGCGAGGTAGAACTCGCGGCGGGCGAACTTGCGCTCGCAAATGTAGACGGAGTTGCAGAGACGGCCAGCGGCACCGGTCTGCTTGGTGACGAGCTTGTGGCCGATCATCTCTTTGGCAAAGATCTTGGCCTCGGCAGGGCTGTTCAGAACAATATAGATTAGCTTACTAGTCCGCTTATCCCAGTATCTTGACAGAACGGGATGTACAGAGGCATATCGCGTCCTGCGACAGGCCGGAGAAAAAAAAACTCACGAGTAGATCACCCGAACACCACCCTTGAGACCGTTGTCGAAAGTACCCTTACCACGGCCACCAGCGAGGACCTGGGCCTTGATAACCATGTCATCGTTACCTAGTTGCAGAGTGTTAGGCAAGACAGCGTAAAGAAGGGGGCTAGGAAAGCCTGGAAGAGAATGATATACCGATAGACTTGGCGACCTTCTCAGCCTCCTCGGCGGTAGTAGCAACCTCGCCCTTGGGAACACCAACACCGTACTATTCTCGGTGATCAGCAAAGAATCCCCCCCAAACATTATCAATAAGAAGCGATCTCTTTCGTGACCGCAGGATCTGAATGCGCGGGACGTACCTGCTTCAGGAGACGGGCGGACAGGTACTCGTGGATGGACAGGTTACGCTTCTGCTGCTGAGCGAGACGGGAAGAGACGGACGACTCCTAGAGCGAGGGGAAAACATCATGAATTAGTTTGCAGTTCGAGAATAGAAATCGGGCGGCCCGATAGCACCGCATTCGAGGCAGATCTCACCGTCGCAGCCCTGAAGGCCGCGGCAATTGGGCGACCGCGGGCGAGCTTGAACATTGTGGATAAGAAGGATCGGGAAGGAAGAGAGGAGAGGGGAGAGGGGGAGAAAGGGGAGAGTATAGGAATAAAAGAAGATGTTTAGAGACCCGTCAGGGAGAATTGGAGGTGAGCCGGACCGGGAGAACAGCTTTCTTTTTCTCGGGATGGCATTGCGTCGCGGTAAAATCGGGTGCCGCAGCCAACCAGCGCCCGGTCCCTTGCTGACTCAGTCGAACCTCGGGCGCGGACGCGAATATCACGGAACAGGGTTCGGTTCGTAGTTGAGCAAGTGTATATCATGGACAATATCACGAAGATGTCTAGCAAAATGTGATTGTTGTGTTACATAGTGAACTATTATTTCGGTTTTTTGTATACAAGGAATATTTCAAAGTATAAAGAGTACCCATCTCAACTATCAGAACTACTATTATCTTCCACCATACACGATCCTTCTACTTCTTCAAAGCCGCCTTGATCTTCCACAACTTGAACATATTGGTCATCATTCGGCCAAAGAGCCCATTCCAGGCAAATCCACCCACCAGAAGCCAAATCACCCAGCTACGGTGACCCTCCCAGATCGTGGTCTTGCGACCCTGTGCCCAGGGCCAGAGCCAGCGCCATGGTGCTGATCCATACAGCACCTGGTTCACCACGCTGCGGGCATACTTCTCATTGGGCATGGCATTATGTTGGCTATGCACCACGCGGCGGTTGTACTCCTCTTCGATCGGCATGTACAGAGAGTTTGGCTTCAAGGTGCGCTCCGTACGAGCAACGCGAGACTGTACGCCGCCGGTAACGACGGTGATCACATTGACACTGTTGGAGTTAGTTGAAAATGACTTCTAGAAGATTGGACGTGTATTTTTGGGGACACATACCCATATGGAGCTAACTCGACTCGAAGGGTATCACTGAAGGAGTGCAGAGCAGCCTTGGAGGCATTGTAGACTGAGCCGAAGACGTAGGGGATGATCTATGTAGTGTTAGAATTTAGACTACTCTGGTATCGGTATAGGGATTGGGGAGATTGTTGAGACATACTCCAGCAATAGAACCAATCTGTACGATAGTGCCCTTGGCTTTAATCAGCAGCGGCAAGAAAGTCTGGCACATGCTGATGACGGAGAAGAGGTTAGTCTCAAATGTGAGACGGGCCTCATCCAGCTCCACCTCCATGGCAGGGACCGTATAGTCTAATATCAGTAAGCCAGCTAGATCAATAAGCTTTGAACCGTAGCGATACACATACTTCGGCCGCTATATTCATATTGATTAGTTCAAGCCTCTCGTTACAAAACAAATCCTACTTTCAGGCTTGGTCCACTCACGCATTGTTCACGAGATAGTCAAGACCCTTATCCCCCAGTCTAGTCTCGACATCGGCAAAGCATGCCTTGACACTCTTCTCGTCATCGACGACCAGGCTCAGTGTCTCGATGCCGAGCTCGGCCAAGTCGGCGATGGTAGCGGCCTGTCGAGCCGTGGCAAATACGCGCAATCCATTGCGGTGGAACTCGCGTGCAAGAGAGTTTCCAATACCACCGGGAGAGCACCTATTGATATTGTCAGTCGTACGTCTTGCGCGATGGGATCTTAAAGCGCGTCTTGCGCTGCTTACCCTGTGATCAGCACGGACTTGCGGGTATCCGTGGCTCCTGGCATGGTCGCGTGTCGATCGAGGACAATGTGTAATTAAGGATTTGATTGTGGCCTCAAACAATCCGCTCTGATACTCTTATTCCACGAGGAGAAGTGAATGAGTGTCAGGGTCTCGTTAGCTTATCACTAAGGGTGAGCTCCCATGGACCTCGGCTTGTCACAGGGAGTTTCATTGGACAGAGCCCTAAGCCCTATTGCTGGTTTGAGACACTATTGTACCTGATTGTCTAGAACGGGGATGACAGCGCTAAACAATTAAGCAATCGCTTTTTTATCTTATCTATATATTCACAAGTTGAGTGATTGTCAAAATAGAACGGTACTTGGATGTCCATCACTGGAATATGCCAAGCTTGAGGGGGTTCCTGTGGCCGGTGGATCCGGTCCATTCTTATGCGATATATAACTGTACACCAACACATAGTTCCAGCTCTGATACTGATTAAATTAGTTTCTATAGTACGCTCCCCTCGTGGGTCTGCAATATATTTACCTTTCTGGTAAATCCCTCCGAAAATGACGGAAATCCCCGCCCCAAAACTTGCGGTGGGACACTTTTCATCAACCCGGTCTAAGTGCCGATTCCCGAGGAGAACCCAACCTCATCCGCAAAGACTAACGACCAATGAACCAGTCGGGAAAAGTCTCTAAAGTTCAATCAACAGCGATGGCGGCCCATCACGGCGATCTTCAAGTCTTCGACTTTGGCTACCTCCACCCGTCGATAAAGACGCTAAAGATTTAAGATGCCGTCCATTTCCCATGATTGTCCATTTCTCAACTTCGTTCCCTGCGCCCGATCCCGGCTCACTCGCTCCACGTCATCGCCCACTCGTTATTAGTCGACGCCAACCAGGGTTGAAGGATCGTGGTGTCCGAGTTCCGAGTTCTCCACTTTAAATGGCCCTACGCCTTGACGCACGAGGTCTGCGTTTTTGGTTGGTTGTTGTCGCGGTATCAGTCGTCGTCGCCAGTGAGACGTCATATTAGCCTTATTAGTGGCTTCTGCGAGTTGCTTTTGCATCTCTTTCGAATTTTTTTTTCGCCGTGATCGGACGAAAAAGTAGTACGTCCACTGACTTGATCCATGGTCCTATTTCTATCAGGACGGCGGTTCATATGCGAAATTTGTGTTGGTAGGAACGGAAACGGGTTATCGCCGCTTCAATTCGGCTTGGTATCCGAGCGCTGCGCACGCTAGCCATACATAGTCATGTCCTCAGACCTACTTCGGTTTCCTAGGTACTTGAGGAGTCCTGGTGACGATGGCTATCGAACGCCAACTATCGAAGATGCGGAGCGGACTCTCGCCGTCCTAGGAGTTGATGCTCCTCGTCAGGGTAACAATGCCCGTGAAGTTCATACTTCTGCCTTGGAAGCGGCCTTACAAAAGGTCACTTCTCGAGCGACTGACCAGGCAGCTGGTAACAAAGAACTGAGTCATTGCGAGGATCGTGATCGTGTAGAGCTTACCCGAAAAGTGACGGATGCATCGGCGTCTAAGCTCAGTTGGAAGAAGCGCATTCGCCATGTTACTTGGGCGTATTTCACCTTGACTATGGCTACTGGGGGGTTGGCAAATGTCCTGTATGAAGGTAAACTTACTTATCCTCTCTGTTTCAACCAGCTGTGCTAATGTGAGCAAGTTCCCTACCGTTTCCGCGGGTTGGATACCATTGGAACGGTCATCTTTTTGATCAACATTGCCCTGTATCTGTTCATATGGGGACTGTTACTGGCCAGATTCTACTATTACCCGTATACCTTCAAAGCGTCATTTCTGCATCCCACCGAGTCCTTGTTCGTTCCTGCCTGTGTCGTCTCCTTTGGTACCATTCTCATCAACATCTCCCAATATGGGCCCGGGAATACAGGTCCATGGCTGATGGAAGCTGTCGGGATTCTATTCTGGATTGATGCCGGTCTTGCTGTGATATTTTCTGCGGGCATCTATCTCGTCCTGTAAGTCACGATTCTTTGCTCTAGCTTTGCAGTACTGATCCGCCCCTGCAGGTGGTCCACCCAGACTTTCACCATAGCCCAAATGACCCCAATCTGGATCTTTCCTGCATATCCTATGCTTATCATCGGTCCCCACGCTGGCATTCTCAGTGCAAAGTTGGAACAAGCTCGCTGCCTGCGCATTATCATCGGAGGAACGACGATCCAAGGTGTTGGATTTCTGGTCTCGCTGATGGTCTACTCGGCTTTTATCTATCGACTCATGACCCAGAAGCTACCCAAGGAAAACATCCGACCGGGAATGTTTGTCTCGGTGGGACCGAGTGGTTTCACTGTCGCAGGCATCGTCAACATGGCGGCCTCCGCAAAGCGTTCATTCCCGTCGGATTTCATGGGAAATGGAGAACTGGCTGCTGACGTTTTGAGAGTGGTGGTTGATTTTGCCGCATTATGGCTCTGGGGGTAAATGCACTTTATACCCTGATTTCTTTCTCTTTGTGGTGACAAAAACTAATCGTTCGTTAGTTTAGCAATCTTCTTTTTCATAATTGCCAGTGCAGCCCACTGGTCTGCGATTGGACCGGGCCGAATGGTCTTTTCAATGACGTGGTTCTCATTTGTGTTTCCAAATACCGCCCTAATTACTGCGACGTTCGCCATCGGAAAGGCCTTCTCTTGCAAGGCGATCAATATTGTTGGCTGCGTGGCAATCCTCCCTCTGATACTCATGTACTTCTTTGTTTGTTTTATGATGATTCGAGCGATCCTCACACATCAGATTTTATGGCCGCAGAAGGGCGAAGATAGGGACGAGGGTGGGTTTGAGATCCATCGGGTTAAGGCTGATGCAGAGTTGTCCGATGAGATTAATGGAACGGCTGTCTGAGGAATATTTCCCGACTTCGAGGCTAGTATATAGGAAAAGTGCTTTTGCGTTTGCATTGTCATGTCCCAATACCCATACTCGGTTTTACATTGCCCTAAAATATCGATTTTTAACCATATCATGTGCAGTTGACTTTCAATTCGGTTACAAGATAAGCTGTTAATGCACGTGCTTTTCGGCGAAATTCAGAAATGATAATAACATTGTTTGTACAGGCTTGACTCCGCCACATCAGGCATTGGATGTCAATTTGAACTAGTCAAACACTTTAAAAAGGCAACAATGAAAAAGACAAAAAGAAAACCATCGATCCAGGTATCCCAAGTTCTCACACACTCCTCACATCTGATAGTGACATCCACTTTAATCCTGTAGAAGCGTTGCCAAGATCTTCGAGACGCTTCACTTTGTCGTCGTCCGAGTTGATTTCGACATCATCTATGTTGATGATAACATTTTGTCGCACAAAATTTGGGGCATTTTACTACTGGACTAAGGATGCGCCATGGGCAACATTCTTGGTCTGTACGGGCTTCTGTGATTCGTCCCGAGTGCTCGGTATATCTGCCTAAGTTGCTGTTGCGGTACTGGGCGGCAGTGAAGGTGGCCTTCGCTTTGCCTATGCAATCGGCTAGATTACAAATGATAAGAAGCACACGTCTACTTTGAATCTCCGTCTGCATTTCGGGGCTACCTGGGTCACCATCTGTTGCCCTTTACAGGTCAAATGAAAATGATTGGGCTTTTTCGTCACGTGTGGCTGCGCGTGGCGTCGACTTGATCATTGATAGTCTTGAACGGAGCGGGGTGAGGCTGAGGACGCTCGCTCTGTTCAGTCTCGCCAACCCTCGGATATATCCATCATACCCAAAACGTTGGGGCCCTGCTTGAGTGATGCAGGGTACAGACACAAAATGGCCGCCGTACCGACACCGTTGCTCAAGGCGCACGATTATACAGTGGCATGGATCTGCGCCCTAGCCATAGAAATGGCAGCCGCCGAGGCAATGCTGGATGAGCGACATCCTGCCTTACCCACCATCCCCGGCGACGACAATACCTACGTCGCAGGGAGAGTGGGCTTCCATAATGTCATTATCGCATGCCTTCCAGCTGGGGTTTATGGGACGACCTCTGCGGCCAACGTGGCGTCTCAAATGCGGCTCACCCACAAGGGCATTCGGTTTGGGCTGATGGTGGGAATTGCAGGGGGAGTCCCTACTGCAGACCATGATATTCGGCTCGGTGATGTGGTAGTCGGCAAACCAACGCGGGATTTCGGGGGAGTTATCCAATACGACTATGGCAAGGCCGTGAGCGGCGGCCACTTAGAACGGACGGGTGTCTTGAACAAGCCTCCAACCATGCTTCTGACAGCCGTGACGGCGCTACAATCAGCACACATTGCAAATAAAAGTCGCATATCTGATCTAATTGCGGATTTGGCGGAGCGACATCCGCCAATGAGGGGGAAGTTCACGTATGACAGCAACAGAGAAGATTTGTTGTTTGAGGCCCAGTACGACCATATTGACCGTGCGACAACCTGCGATGGCTGTGACAGACACCGGTTAGTTACCCGAGGACCAAGGGATGGAAAGGGCCCTTTTATCCACTACGGTCTGATTGCGTCCGGAAACCAGGTCATGAAGGATGGTCGGACCAGGGATCAGCTAGCCGGGGAACTAGGGATCCTGTGCTTTGAGATGGAGGCGGCCGGCTTAGTGGACACGTTCCCATGCCTAGTAATTCGAGGCATCTGTGACTATGCTGATTCTCACAAGAATAAACAATGGCAAGAATATGCAGCTGCGACGGCGGCAGGATATGCGAAGGAGCTACTCTCGATGGTCCACGCTGTTCAAGTTGCTGATACACCCTCGGCCCTGCAGGTCTACGACGGTATGTAGGCCATGCGCAACAGAACGTGAACTTTTCGGTCCTGACTAAAATGATGCCAGTCGTTCATAGCAGCAAGGTTCCAGCCAAACCGCGACGCTCATCAACTTGGTTGACCAAGCCAAATGGTGAGTAAGCATGAGCCGGTAACTACTTTCTGCATATCACAGGCACTCATTTGTTGCAGATGATCCCGACGAAATGATATTCAGGCGGATTTCAACCTACGAGCATGTAAAGGTTCACCAGCGACTTGCTCACAAGCGAGTCATGGGGACAGCGCAGTGGTTCTTGGATCATCCTGATTTCAAGGAATGGCTAGAGGAGAAGGCATTCTCGAGACTGTGGTGCTCAGGGAAGAGTAAGTGTGTCGCCTGGACTTCCTTGACGGGCGATCAACACTAATAATTCCTCTTGGGTAGTTGGTTCGGGCAAAACGACGATAGCGTTAGCACCTCATGACTCTTTCTCTTTGTAGTTAATAGGCTAATGATGCGATAGGACGGCGGCCATCGATGCAGCCAAATATCGATCGTCGGGACACTCTGCTTCAACGGTCTTTTTCTACTGTGAGAGCGACCGGCCGGACGAGCTCAATGGGCTCTACATCATTTCCAGTCTGATCAAACAACTCTGCGAGTATCTCCGTACGAAATACAGACGCTGCCCGGAAAATGTGGTAGATGCACTTAATCGCTATTTTGGGAAGAAGCGAATTGTTCCCGACTTTGATGATCTAAAGGACGTTTTCATCCAATTGTTCCACCTCATCCCAGACACGGTGTATATAATTGACGGAATTGACGCATTGAGCCCAGACCAGAGTAAAGACTTGTTTGATCTCTTCAGATCCCTGTTCTGCGGTTCTTCCCCACCGGAGTCGCGGATACTCGTATTCAGCCGAGAACAACTGCCTGGCTACACAGGCATTCCCCTGTTCATGGCTGGCGTGCGTCAAATTTCGACTACGTCCAACGTGATGCCGGATCTTCAGACTTACATTGACACGAGTGTCACCGATAAGTTGATGAGCCGGAAGCTCACGGACGATTTAGCCTTGTTGGATGAAGTCAAGCGGGTACTCCTAGAAGAATCATCTGGAATGTAAAAAGCAAACCTTCCTCTGCATCCTTAATATCAACTGAAGGCTAATGAATCAGGTTCCTTTGGGTCTACCTACAGCTGGAGATTTTGTGGCAAGACTGTTTCACGGACAATCGTATTCGATCAGCGTTGCGAGATCTTCCGACAGATCTGGAGGAGACATACCGTCGCTGTATCCAAAGAATGGCCTTTACCAGTCCTTATACATTGCGCGTCCTCCAATGGGTGAGTTTTGCTGCGAGGCCACTCCATATCGACGAATTACAAGAGGCCGTCGCCTTTGATCTAGATGACACGGAATGGGACGCCGGAAAGATCCCCCAAGCGGATGTGGTGATTAGGAGCAGTGCAAATCTCGTCGCCGTCGATCCTTCCGATCAATGTGTTCGCTTTGCGCATCCTTCGGTCAAGACATATCTACAGAAGGATTCAGCAAGATTGATTCCAGGGTACCCAAAATCCGACAAGCAGGGCGAGCTCCAGTGTGGAGAATTCTGTGTTGCGTATTTGTCATTCTCCAACTTCAACCTCGAACTGGTGAAGCCAGCCAACGAGACGGAAATGGTAAAAATGCCGGACCCCACGCTGCTCGCCGGCGATGCATTGGCATCTCCCTTGCTTAGATTTTTCTGGAAGCGAGGGCCAACCCTCAAACAACCTGGCCCAGTACTTTTTCGACGGATTCGATCAGCCACTATTCCTGATCGTTCACAGTACAAATTCCTGGACTACGCAGTCACTCATTGGGCCTTGCAAACCAAGAAAATAACTTCTTCATCTCCAGCTTGGGAAAAATTCAAGCAACTCTCGTTGAGTTTCAACGAAACCTGGAATTTCCACCCTTGGGTGGTCGGGGGTCGCTCACAAACCTCACGCCTACATGGCCTCTTTGGATGGGCCGTTAAGGAAGGGCACATTCCGCTGTTGGAGTTAGCACTCTCCTCCGGCCGAGACATGCGGGAAATTTGTAACCTCCCGTTGGTCGATGAGCGGCTTCCTGCACTTCATGTCGCATCAAAAATGGGACTTGCGGACGTCGTCATTCTCCTTCTATCTATGTGTGAATTGAATTCTCCAGATGAAGAAGGATATACCGCCTTACACCATGCAGCAAGTAAAGGCCATGGAGATGTTCTAGCCCTGCTTCTACTGTCAGGAATCACGAAAGTAGATATCCCGTCAAAGACCCAAGTTACACCACTTTGGCTGGCTGCCAGTTATGGCCACTGCGAAACCGTGCGGGCTCTGACTGAGAGAAAAGCGAATCTTGAGGCCAGAGAGATTTTCACAAAACGGACACCTCTTTTACAAGCTGCCAATCATGGCCATCAAGCTGTTGTCGACTTTCTTGTGCACAGTGGAGCGAACCTGGAAGCAAAGGACGCCCTTGGTCGGACACCGTTATCCTGGGCTATTATGAATAGGCATCTGGAGACGGCCCAGCTGTTACTCGAGAGAGGCGCCAATCCTGCTTGTAACTTTCCGAGCAGTGATACACTGCTGTTATGGGCAGTGCAGACTGGAAATGCCACGATCACGGGCTTGCTAGCTGCAAATCCCGGTACTGACCTAAATGCTATCGATGACAAAGGGTTAACAGGATTATGGTGGGCTATTCAGAATCAGCACTTGGAGATCGCGAAGACTCTTCTTGACCATGGGGCAAAATGGGAGGTACGAGATGCTGACGGCCAAACGCCTTTGCTGTGGGCAGCGAAACATGGGCATGAGGCACTGGCTAAGTTACTGCTCCAAAAAGGTGCGGTTATCCATGATCTAGATAAGCAGAAGAGAACAGTCTTTTTCTGGGCTGTCGAGAATAGCCACGAGGGAATAGTCAAGTTACTCTTGGACAGTATCGGAGACGACCCGGCAAAGAACCAGTCACGGTTACTCAACTTTATTGCCTCGGGGCCTGTACGAACGCGAGCTGATGACACATTGGACTTGAATCTCAGCGAGAATGGGGATTCCGAAGATAGGACGCCGTTACTGTCGGCTGTAAGAAAAAGCTTCGAGTTGCTGGCTCAGCGGTATATGGAGCGTGACAACACCATCGTGGAACGAGAAGAACTTGTCAGACGGGCAACATCCATGTGGTCTACAAGGTACGGGCAAGGGGTCCTACTCGAGGTGCTCCTTGGAAAGAGTAAAGATGACGTCGAGAAGTTGAACCAGTCCCTCCTAGAGGCTGCGAAGGAGGGAAATGCGCTCTTGGCGACGCTGTCGGTTGAGGAGGGCGCTGATATTGACACGAGAACTTTGTATGGGGAGACACCACTTTGGTGGGCTGCAAGAAACGGACATGCGGCGCTTGTAGAATTTCTTTACGACAGGGGTGGATATATCGACTCTAAAGATAAGTTTGGCCTCACGCCATTAGCTTGGGCGGTTGAGAATGGACACTGACCAGTTGTCAAGCTATTGCTTAACTGGGGCGCTGACATTCGGGCTTCGGACAAGTCCGGCCAGACACCCCTCTCCAGGGCTGATGCCAAGGGAACACGAAGTCTACTTGTTCATAAATGAAGGCACAAGTGATGGAGGACATTCTCCTCGCGCTTTACTTTTGTTTGCTTACCTTCTTTGACGCGAAAGAAGAAAAGATTCCTCGCTGCATACTGAATATTACGATCTCGACCAAGGAAAATGTTGACTTTCCTGTTGATTCCTATCCTAAAGCTGGTCTTTGAAAACCATTTTGGGCAAGTCTCAATTGAAGTTGAAACTTGAATGAACCGTGGACCTTTTTTGGCTCATGTCAAACTCTCCATGATCGCCTCAACGTTTAAGAGGAAGCTACAACAGCAACGGAGAATGCAGCATGTACGCCTTTATGGAGATGGGGGGGCATATAAAGGAAGAGTCATCCGTGGAGGTCGCAAATGCTGTAAAGAGACCTGGCTGAATATTAGTCAAACCACAATGCCAGATATCTAGAGAGCCCTGACTGATGTAGTAGCACGCTAGAAAGAAGTTTTTATATCGTATCATTAGGATTTTGCTCTGCTACGACAAGGCTTAAGATCCTAGCAGGATAGAGAAGACCTTGATTGAAATAGACGTCTTTTATGATATAGTCTCACCTTCTTACCGCTCACTCTCATCCGCTTCGTAAGATATGCCATTTGGAAGGACTAGCACCTTAGTATCAGACTAATAAAAATGCAAGATCAGAAGAATAATCCTATTTCTTTTTTCCACAATAGTCTCTTTCTCGGGCCATAAACTATTTGAGAGATAAACCAGGTGTTGGAACCATAAAGCCTCTCAGAAATATTGCATACACTCCTTTTTCAAAAGCCGCCCTAGTATAAACTCCACTCAACCCAAGCCTAATTCAAACCTTATTACCCTTGTGGATTAATGGGGTAACTAGGCTCCTGCATCAATCGGCCGAGAGAACCTGCATGATTTCGCCTTAATGCACGATATGAGAGTGATTGCGTAGGGCAACAGTTGAACCCGCGCGTGGGATTGGCCCGATGGGTCCTATTTCGGGAGTGGATAAGCACATCATATGGGGCCCGATTGTGCGATGCGGGTTCTCAACTCACCTGGCCGCAAAAAGATATACACAGGTAGTACGAATGGAGGATGTCTGAGATTGATCCTGCTTTCAATTTTGAGTCCATATGGAACAGGATGAATTCAGTAATTGATTATGTAGATCATGTAGAGAATCGTGCTACAGGACGTTGGGAAATTTCCTCGCCATCTAAACTGCTAATGATGTGACGGTATTCTCGCAACTTATATGATGAGCAGTCTTTGTTTGGGATTAGTATATCGCGTGGTGCCACTTACACCTGTGCTTTGCGACGTCGAGCAAGTCTAGCCCTAGAACTGAATAATGGCAACCACTCACTACCAAGATGCTGCAAATGGCAGCAAGAACGTCGAGAGTCTCACAGATGTCGAAAGACAGGAAACGCCCATCCAACAGGAAACAGTAAAGCCAAAAAGTCTTGGTGCAGGAGTATGTCGCCCTTTCCTATCGAAGACAAGCTATCGCTGATATCGAATATAGTCTGCACTCGCTCTGGGCGCATTCGGAACGACCTTGACAACGCTCTCGTTGAGTCTCATGGAATGGCGTGGCGTTACAACCAATAATGTCTTCGTCGCCAATTTCTTTTTCATCGCAGCCTTTGGCTTGGTTATCACTGCGCAGTGGGAGCTTTCAATCGGCAATGGCTTTGCTTATACAGTCTTCAGTGCTTTCGGTGAGATTTCCTATCTTCTTATTGCATTCCGGGGAGGATTGTCTAGCTAACTATTACTTTCAATATGAACAGGTCTTTTCTACGCAGGTTACGGTGCTTTATTGACACCATCATTTGGGATTGCTGCTGCTTATGGCGATGACACGGCGCAGTACAACAATGCGGTGGGATTCTTCATGATGTTGTGGACAGTCTTTGTGTTCACTTTTCTCGTCGCTTCACTCCCGAGTAACATCGCCTACATTCTTGTCTTCTTTTTGGTGGATCTCGGATTTCTCACTGTCGCGGCAAGTTACTTTGCTAAAGCGGATGGCCACGCTGCATCTGCCGTGGCGCTGCAGAAATCGGGTGGCGTGTTTTGTTTCCTTGCTGGATTGATTGGGTGGTATATCGTTTTCCATCTTTTGTTGCAGGACTCGCTTTTGGATTTGCCATTGGGTGATACTTCGAGGTATTTTGGGAAGAAAAAGAAGGCGCAGTAGAATTATACGGACATGGGACGGGATATAAAGATAGCGAGGACGATAATGCGACGAAGGGACATGGCTTGTTGCGCGGCAATAATGTTATTTGTAATTATCGCTTAAGTTTTCCTCTTGTACCTCTGCCAAGTCACACTCTTCGTAAAAAGTCCCTCCATACTTCTCTCCAGCTTCGTCAAAAACGAGAGTAATCGGGTTAAGGTTCCCACCCGGCCGTAACGGTGGGGCGACATGAGAGGTGTAGGTGATCTTCTTTCCCCTCCACCAGATCCCGATAACGACATAATCCACCGCATTGACGAAGTGAACCCAAATTCCTTATTTTTGGGTTGATGATGGAGAGCACCATATCGCACCATTTGATGCATGCAGCATGTCATATCTGCGAGACGTGTGCGGAGTGACAACTAGATATACCGGCATCGCCCCTGCATTGAATCGATACCACACCCATCTTCCACAAAGCTGATTCACTTTTTTTTTGAGCTATCACTGTGGTACTTGACAATGACCCAGAACAAGATCCCCGCGACAGACCCGGTTGTCTATGCCGAGTACCAAGCCAAGTGGTCCACTCTGCCTGATAGTGCGGACGCATGGCTAGCGAGAGCACGTGAAGTCGCCGAGGTTTTGGCCCTAGATGCTGCGCAAAGAGACCAAGAGAACAAGTCTCCTCGTGCTGAAGTGGTGCTACTCAAGCACTCGGGCTTGCTGAAGCTGCTTGGACCTAAGAAGTATGGCGGTGGAGAGCAGCCATGGAGTGTTGGGTATAAGGCTATTCGTGAGGTTGCGAAAGCGGATGGGTAAGTGAAAATCATAGCGTGAACATGCTGCGACTTTACAATTGAAACAGACGTTAACGTCATCATAATCTACAGATCTATTGGTATGCTGCTGGGTTACCATCTCCTTTGGTCGACCACTGCAAATGTCGTCGGAACTCCCGAACAAGTAGAGCGAACCCATGAGTTGATAATCTCGAACAACTACTTTGTCGGTGGTGCTGTGAACCCTCGCGACAATGATCTCAAGATTACATCCGACGGTGACCATCTCGTATTCAATGGTTCCAAGCACTTCAATACCGGCGGCGTGGTATCCGATCTCACCGTCCTGGAGGGTGTTCTCGAAGGGACCGAGGGTCACATCTTTGCGCTGGTTCCTACTGAGCAGCCCGGTATTCAGTTTGCCTACAATTGGCACAATATTGGACTGCGCTTGACGGAGTCTGGTGGTGTCAAGATTGACAATGTTCGCGTGCCATGGTCTGACGCGTTGGGTTGGGATGAGTCTAGCAAGAACCCTCGTGAGGATATTCTGCTCATTCCTTTTGCAAGCTTGCTGCTGCCAACGTAAGTCGATATTCCTCCCTCTACTTGATCGTGTGACAAGGCTAACGAGTCTCCTCTTCATCTCCATTTAGAATCCAACTCGTCTTCAGCAATTTCTACCTGGGCATTGCTATCGGCGCATTGGAGTTTGCTGCAAAGTATACTACAAGCTCAACTCGAGCTTGGCCCTTCGGAGGTGACAACAAGGACACACCCACGGAAGAGTTCTACATCCTCGAGCGCTACGGAAACTTCTTCGCGCATCTCCGAGCCGCCGAGGCTCTGGCTGATCGTGCTGGTGACCAACTCGCCGCACTCTATGAACGATACTCGACCGATCGATCGGGCCTCACTGCAGACGAGCGAGGTGAAGTTGCGGAATGGGTTGCTAGCGTCAAGGTGGTCACCACGGACGTGGGGCTTCGAGTTACCTCGGGGATCTTCGAGGTGACCGGCGCGCGGGCTACTGCATTGAAGGTCGGCTTGGATCGATTCTGGCGCGACATCCGCACTCATACTCTCCATGATCCGGTGGCGTATAAGAACCGAGAACTCGGGCGGTTCGTGCTCCTGCAGGAATACCCCGCCCCGACGTGGTATACTTAGAAAGTGGGAGGGCAAACCAGAGGGGATTGATAAGAGTCACGGTGATGAAGACATGAGATCGGTTCACATAATGAGAATGGTACATACATTATTGATTTGGTGGTACATGATGTCAAGTAGACCCTGGAAAGCAAAGAAGGTTAAGATGTCAGAAATCACCCCGCCGGAGATAAGCGCCTCCCCGCGATAGAAAAAAAAAAGATGCCGATCCGAAAATTTTCTGCCGTCTGTGGGCCTCGACTTTCCTCGGCTTCTGAGTGACCTTCTTTTCTTCTCGGACTTCTCTTTTGTACCCGACCCTCTTCGGCTGGCCTTTGCTGTACTAGTGAATTTATCGCCTATAAACCGACAAATTTTTAAATTTCTTCTCGAGAGTTCCTCGTTTCATCTGCCAAAATGGTCCAGAAGTTCTATGTCACCTATAACCAGGTGCACAAGCTGTGCCAGAAGTCCGCCGATGCCATCCTCAAGGAATTCCACCCTAACCTGATGATCGCCATTGGTGGTGGTGGCTACGTTCCTGCTCGCATTCTGCGGTATGTCTCGATCTGCGACCTGCCTCGACTTGCGACATGCGCGCATGTGGTCGATGCGCGAAGCAAGGTTTTAGCACAGTCCCAGTGCTAATCTCAACCTTTCTCCTTCTATAGATCCTTCCTCAAGGGCCCCGGTGACCCCAACATCCCCATCCAGGCCATCGGTCTGTCCCTCTATGAGGATCTCGGCCGTGGTGATCCCGAGGAGGTCCCCGGTACCAAGGTGACCCGCACTCAGTGGCTCGACCTGAGCTCCCTCGAGATGGCCAACCTGATTGGCAAGAACATCCTGATCGTCGATGAGGTCGATGACACCCGGACAACCCTCGAGTATGCTGTGCGCGAGCTGGAGAAGGATGTGCAGGAGGCTCAGAAGCAGCTCGGCCGTGAGGGCGAGAAGACTAACTTCTTCGTCTATGTTCTCCACGTACGTTCTTTCAGCTACTACCCCACTATCATGGAGTCTTGGAATTTGCTTGCTAAGTCATGATTTTTTTATCCAACAGAATAAGAACAAGCCCAAGAAGGGTGTTTTGCCTGCCGATATGATGGAGAGTGGCCGGTACCACGCCTCCGTCACTACCGACGATGTCTGGATCTGCTACCCCTGGGAGGCTAAGTATGTTCCCCCTTCATGCTCATCTATGATCTATCGCGGAATTCTGTGGATGCTAACCATCTACCACTCTAGGGATATTGATGAGCACGATGCTCTGGCCAAGGAGAACCCGATTATTTAAGCAGCTTACTATTGCATTGGCGAACTGCATTTCATTCTGCGAGGCGCTCTGATACTGTCGGTGGCTATTCGGTCCCTCAGTTTGACTGCGAATGGCCCCCCTCCTTCCCGGCGTGGAAGTTGATCCCGGGCATGTCCATTTTACGATATCCTTATGAATTTAGAAAAAGCTATCCATCCCCCCTAACTCCTACATACCGATCACCATATTCAAACGGGGACTACTAGGTCCGGGGGACGTCAGGTCTGCAATGACTGACCCCTCGAGCGCGAAAGATATTCGGGAATCCAAGGTTGAAGGGTATCAAACGGGATGTTCATTGTTGGCAAAAAGAGGAACGACCATTAAGAAAGAACCGTGTTTTATAATGCCCCGGTGCAGGCCCTCGCCCCCTTCCTGGGTCTAGGTCGGAGTCAAGCTCCTGCATCCAAGCTCGAGGCGAGACCAGCCCCGGTAGCCGGCCATGCCTGATAATCCCAACTCCACGGAAAATGAATTTGAATTTCAAAATTTAGTCCACCTCGACATTGCCCTTGCGCAGCTCAACCTTGGCCAATTCGATCTCGCGCTGCAACTCGGCGTGGGCCTCGGGGACATCGTTGAAAGTGAAGATTGCGACACCGAGGCGACCGAGGAGGTAGCAGCCGAAAACAATGACCGCGTAGAAAGGCAACTATACAATTAGAAGAGAGAAAAAAGGGTCAGTCTCAATTGTTTGCGCGGTTGGTAATGAGGGTAGATGGCGTTGTCGCGACTTACCACGGGGATGACCTCGGTCTGGACGGTCTCGTTCAAGGGGACCAGGCCGAGGTAGAGGGAGAGGTAGAGCTAAGAAGTATGTTAGCGGCGCATTCGGGTGCACTTCCGTATGGGGTTGGGGGGTGAATATGTTGAGCTTTCGACATACGGAGGAGACGAGGAGGAGGACGGAGAGAGTCTGCTGAGCGCGTGTCATGATGAAGGTAGGGAGGAAGAGGAGTTGATAGAATTGGATGTTGAAAGATAGCAAGGAAAGAGGCGACCGGATTGATGAGTGACTCAATACCAGATCCAATTGACCGCAGATAATGAAGGAGAGACGGGGTCGGGTAGTTGAGGTGTTCGAGGTGTCTCGAGTTGACGGGGGAAGGCCAGCTTGAGATGATGCTTGGCAAGGCGGAAGTCCCGCCAAGGTGTCAATGTTGATGGCCTGGGGCTATGGAGGGGTCCATATGACAGCTATACCTTGACAGCTCATATCTGATTTTAATTAAGATAAAATATCTGGATTATGCTACTCAACGCTTCTTCTACACATCTTCCACCCAATATTAATCCCCCAAATTAACAATCTGTCCTTGTTCCCCCCGGACTTGGACTTGTCCACCCCTTACCTAAACGGGGTGGGTGCCTGAATCCACCTCAGGCAGCATCCGCGCGATTGGATCGCTTTCCGTCCAAAAGGTTTAGTGTCTCTTACCTCGAAAGCCCTTCAGTTACTCAAGTCCCTCGTGAACATATTCCGGCTCCACCAGCAGCTGCGTATGACTCAATCGTCACATTAGTGTATTCACTTTGGCCCCTAGTCCTCTCATCTAGGCTCCTCTTGGTCATCTCGGGGGTATATACCCGTCTGGGAAAGGAGCCTCAACACTCCACAACGATTCAAAGCACTCGAAGGCAGCCATCACCACTCGCAGCTCGGATTCTAACCTAGACCAAGCACAGGATGGCTTCTACGAACAGTATATCTAGGGCCATTGGATCCGGGACAGAGGCTGCTCGCCAGCCCTCTGTCCCAGCTCCCAGCTTTGATTTACCATCTGTGCAACAAGTCTTCTCGGAATTGCCCGAACAGTCTTCGTTTTTGCCAGACAGAAGTTTGGAGACGCTGACCTTGGAAGATCAAGAAAAGATGTTTCGTGCCTTGAGTGCGGTCATTGAAAACGCCGAGGCTGCTGCAGAGGCTGGAAATGCCTTCGACCTTAAGGAATTGCATGCTTCTTTGGAACAGGCTGATGCAGATGCACGACGTGGTCGAAGGGATTCGGAGTCTTTGCAGAGTGTGCTGAAAATTCTTAACCAACTATGGGCTAGTAATTCCGATTTTCTAGCGCAAGCCGCCGAGATTTTGGCTAACGGGAGTCGTGAACGTGAGCTTGTCTTGTTTGCCTCTTTTCAACTGGAATGCAAGCTGACAGACCTTTAGTATCATGGCGTGGCCCAATTGGACAATCTGGGATTTTGAAATTCTTCTTGGAGGTCATCTCAGCAAAGAAGGATGTGGACGTCAACTTGCTGCTCCATTCATTGCGTTTGGTTGGCAATTCTTGCGCTGATACCAGTATGTTGATGTGAGATGCATCTCTCTCTCATTGGGGCTGTATTGATGAAGTTGTGGCGATGTAGATGATAACAGGCAGATTGTTGTCGAGGGTTCCTACACTATCGCTATTATCAGGCATTTCCTCAACCCCGAGTTGGTTCATGTCGCGATTCCAGTCATTTACAATATTTGCATGGACTATGGTCAGAGCTTATCTCCAATTCCATCATGATGTATCAATACTGACAGGTAAACAGAGCCCGCCCATGCCCAAATGGCTGAGAACCGAACGGCATACATCATCTTGAAACTTCTCAAAGATGGTGCCATCAAGGACAACAGTGCCCTTCTCAGCTTTTCTTATGATCTAGTCGAGCTAGCCTCGGAGCAAGGTAAGACATGACTAGAGATATGGTTGGTCTACGTACGCTTACGCATATCTTGAACAGCGCAAGGCATTGAAAATTCCCCCGATGGAACAATCTGGCTTTTGACACAGCTCGCCCTGGAAGAGACCGAGTTTGAGCATTTCTCATCGCTTGTGAACAGTCTTTCCGCTTACTTGGAGAAAGAGCGGTTCCAAAACGCCTGCATTTCAAACGGAATGGTTGAGGCCGTGCTGTCGGTTCTTCGCCGGTCTTTTTCCATCGAGATCGATGAGTCCTCAAAAGACGAGGTTTCAGGTCTTGCCCAAATCAAACTTAAGATCAACCAAGCCCTGGCCGAGGTTTCAGCTTCTTCACTGTTCGCTGAACACTATCCGCTTGATTCGGCCCTAGCCCAGACACTAAAGTCATGGATCGTTGCAGACGAAGACCAGCTTCAAATCTGCGCGTGTGTCATGCTCGGAAACTTGGCTCGATCTGATGAGGTCTGCCAAGTGATGGTGCGGGACTTGAAAATCCACGAAGAATTGATCTCCGTCCTTGAGAGCGGCTCTCGCGGTGCAGTCCTTCACTCTGCACTTGGTTTCCTAAAGAACCTCGCAATCGCGGGCGACAACCGGGTCAGCCTCGCTGAAGCTGGCATCATCCCGGCTGTATCCCACCTGTGGGCATACGAGTCTGTTCCACAGGTTCAATTCTCTGCCGCGACTATCGCACGCCAGGTGACCATCGCCTCTATGGACAATATCTCGCGGCTACTGGCTCCACTGTCAGACGATCCAGATTCTCCGGCTCACAAGCGGACCTATCTTTCCTTGCTCTTGTCTCTCTTCGAGAAGACTGACTCTGCCCCTATCAAGACGGAAATCGGCCGCACCGTGGCCTCTATCTGCCGTACGGTTTCTCCCAAGGCCCGCGATGGAGACGAGGCAGCTAAATCGCTGTTGGATAACCTGTACACCCTGCACGAGGGTGTCGCTCGACCTATTGGTGCGATGATTACTCAAACTCAATGGCCCGTTGTTCGAAGTGAGGGCTGGTTCGCTTTGGCGTTGATGGCAAACAGCCAATCGGGCTGTTTGGCTGTGATAGACTGCTTGCACAATGAAGACGTTGCGATGCTGCTCAAGAAGACTCTGAGCGGAGACGCTTCTACTTCGGATGCTGCAGATGCGCCAGATGACTCCAGCGCACCGAATGTCACCCAAGTGACTAAAGATCGTGATAACGCTTTTGTTCTTGTGCAGGAACTTTTGAAGAACGAGGTCAGTCTCTCATATACTTCGACCCTTCTTTCTGTCTATGCTAATCACGTGGCAGGCTGGTGCACTTCCAAAGAGCTATCGGGAGGCTATCGAAGACCTAGCAAAGAACAGCGCATTACGACAGCTGCAAGGTACACAGGAAGCTTGAAGCGAGGACTCGGCTCGATTGAGTACATAATGACTATGACATGATGTGATTTGCACCTCAAATCTCCTGGAATACTTTCGAAAGAATCATCGAGAGTGGTTTATAGAATGCTACAAGCAGCAATTGCAATGTCACCAAGAACAACAAGTGCAAACTCTCAAAAGCAAGCGAGGGGATGTCCTCCGTTTGTTTAGGGTGTCAGCCATGTATCACCGTGGGCTTGAAGGCTCATAATTCAAGATAGATATAGAAGCCAAGTCAAGTGTCTTTGCGAAAGAATTTTCTCCGGCCTGCAACAGGCTCTCCTCGAGCTACATCATTGACAGTATCCATGGGTGTTGAATATGGTGGAGGAGAGTCTTTTGGTTCGCCCTCCTTGGGTTTGGCCTCCTTGCACTTCAAAAAATACCCTGCCGTCATGCTCAAGGCATACAGTGGGTTTCTGTCCCAGAGCAGGTCCTCGAAAGCCTGCCAATGTTGCTCCTTTTCTTTCTCTGTCAGCTCAAATCCTCGATTTTGAATGCAACATTCGCATCCAACTGTACAGTGCCCGGCACCCCTTCTTCTTTGTGAAGACGCATAACGTTTTCTGCATTAACCGCATTCACGGCTACAGCAACCTCCTCGATCCGTGCAGTCTTCTATCGAGAGAGAGTTCATATACCACATTGGATCTTGTTGAACAGAGCGATATTGTTCTCTTAGCGGCTTGGGTATCGATCGTTCAGCTAGAAAGAGCTCCTGTTCTTGATGCCACCATTTCCTCTGCAGATCTTTCGTTTCTTTTTTCTAATTCTTGAATTTGTGCTTTGGCTTTTCCATTCTTGGAATCAGCAGTTATCTGCTCTCTTTGGAACTGTAATTTGTTTTTCACTCCGTGTTCTCGTTGAGTAATCTTCTGAAGCCGGGTGTGGGCGATGATAACGTCAATCAACCTTGACGTCTCATAGCTCCCAAGTAATTTGTCGTTCGTATCGTAATGGATGAAGCGCCTGTGAACTTTGGCTTCCTCAATTTGGTGTCTCTCGACTTTCTCGAACTTCGAAACTTCGACCCAGAAGGACATTCTGGACTGCTATGATGAACAGGCTGAGGAAAGCAGAAGATGTTGTAAAGTGAGAAAGACGAGAATATCTGGACGACCCCAAACAATTACATCTTGATTTACCAAACTCCGTGTTGCCGCCCACCATCGCGCCTCCGATGCTCGAACTGGTCAACCGCCATCATAGAGAGCGGCCGCCCACTCGGTTTTTGGGCCGACTTTCTTTCCTTTGCTTTGATTGGTCCCGTTTTTGGTGGCCGCTACTATTTTGGGTTGGATCTTTCCCCTTTCCATACATCTTCATCAACAATTGTGTCAATTTGCTCTGCCAGCCACTTATTCAGCGAAGTTGAAATCAAGCCTCTGGCCTGAATTCACACATGAACATTACATATTCATCTCGTCTAGTCTTCTGATATAGGCCCATGGGAAAATAAAGTGAATATTACGTTCCCGTGTGTCCAAAATGTCTATATGTGCATATAATCGTCAAATAATCTCCGCAGCCAAACTCCCTTTCCAACATGCTTTCTCAAGTCACATCACATGTCGACAAACGTTCTCCTCCGCATAGGCACGATAACGCTCCAGAAGATCCGTTGCATCCAAACCATCAGCACCCAATTGAGCCGAGTAATGCGATACTAGACCCTTGCCGTCGATTGTCACCTTCGGACGCGAGCCATCTGCCGCAGTCCATGACTTCGATAATTCTTCATTGGATTTGTGTCCGAAGATCTGCCCCAAAGCCTCGGCATCCTTGCCCCAGAAACACCCAAAGGTGCTACTAACAGGCTCGGTCGGGTTCACCCACATTGGGAATTTGTATCGGCTCAGAGTATCCGATTCCAGGTGATCAAGGAACGAGTAGTGCTGCTGAGCACTCACTGTCCAATCCTGCAGAGTCGGGCCCGTTTCCGTATACACGGAAGAGGCAATGGGATCTCGGTCAGAGCCTGCGCCAGCTGGTCGTAGCCATCGATGACCCTGGAACGGTGGTTGGAACCCTTTTTGAACTCTGAAGCTGGCGGGTCCTTCCCATTGGGGAAGGCTCGATGCCCTCCAGTCGCTGCCGAGTTGGGACTTTGACCGAGACGGCTGCTCAACGTGGTGCAGTTCTGGAAGATACGGTAGAGCAACACCTGGATGGCTGTGGAGAGATGCGAGTGCGCCTTCATTGACGACATTGGCAGATACCATCATCGCATCCGGGTTGTCCAATTTCGTTTTGACGATCGTGGGGATGGTGTGGTCTTCTAAGAAGACGACATCTCCGTCAATGCGAATATACAGGACATTTTCCTGCTTGAACTTCCAGTCCATATCTTGGCCGGATAGAGAAATTGCGTATTCCGGGGTTTGCCGCACTAAAGCATTGAGCCATTGTCGGCTGACCGCGTCTTGGGTCTGAGGGATGAAGATAACCTGATCCAGGAAACCATGATTGTGGACCAAATTTTGCTATGGATCTGGTTAGAATTGAGGGTCGCTCATCCAATCAGCAAGGAGAAATCTCACCTGTAAGTAACAGTGAAGAATGGCAGTGCGCTCATGGTAGTTAAATGGAACCAGAGCGACTACCTTGAATCCGTGTGGCTTCGGAAAATAGCCCGAGCCATGCGAAAATGCAAAGAACGGCGAAATGTCCTTATTGAAAAACAAGGACGCCGGGTCGAATGGTAGTAGAGACGGATTGTAGTAGCCGATAACCGTCAATATAATGCATATATAGCCCAGTAGACTCCATGATAACACGACCATCCAGTCACGCCACGTACGAAGCTCCTCTTCGTCGTGATTAGCCTCAACGTCGTCCAAATTCTGTGGGCGGCCCATAATGGAGGATCCGGACACAGGCCGACTAGCTGGTAGTCTTGAGATATATTGAGAAGTAGAACACCATTGTGAAGTGCAGGGTCACCTTCGTGCATTTAATTGCTACGCAAGATTATTTTCCGCCTCATCGTACTATAGCTTCTTTGTCCCGTTTTCGGGTTGCAGGGCACTCGATGGGACATGGAATCGCTGCAAAGAACTCATGATCGACGGATAAACACTGGCTTTCCCTTTTGCCGAATAATAGGGTGTTTAAATCCGGAAAAGGAAAGGATTCGATAGGGGAAAACGGACAAAGGGACCGTCGAAGAATGTGCCCTGGAATGTGGAGACCCTGGGGTTTGCGACCGCTGGTCCCTGCAGCAGGACCCTCGGAAATCTAATTGTGCGTTCAAGGCTGTGTAATTTCAGAGCTATATTGATTCTGTTGGGTATGTCTACATTGATTCGTCTAGTCTGGCAGGCTCGAGAATTGTATAGTTCACGACAAAGGCTGAGGTGGCATTTGTCTAGTTCAAGACAGCTAGAGAAAAATATTATCCAACTTTGATGACTATCACCCTCTGATGTCCGAGATCATTGAGTCACTATGACCTTATCTTCACAAGCCTTTCTTGTTTATTACTTTAGACTAGATTATTTTGATCTCCAAATGGCCATTGTAAAGAATACACAATAAGATTTATGGATCCTCGGCCCACGGAACCTATTTCGATGACGTCGCAACACGTGCCAGTTATCGGACCTGTTATCGCGCGCCGCTCACCTTCTTCCTCCATGAACCACGATTGACCATGAGGGCCGTCCTTCTAGGCCGGCTCTGTCTAAGGCGCGGCTTTACACACCTACCGCGACATACATTTACACAATCATGGCGTGCACCCGCCAAGCGCCTTCCCAAAAGGGCACCGGTCGTCGGCGGGCTGGTCATGGCTGCGCTTGCGCCCAGCGCATTTCTCAAGCTTGCGGAGGACTCGGATGGTGATGAGATGACGGGCGAGATGCAGATGCTGGAGGCTTCTCGTCAGGAGATTCGAAAGACTGTTTCGGAAGATGCAAGGGGCCTGGCGCGGCTTTGCCAATCAATACGTGTGTTCTGGTATTACTATGTCTATGATCCTATTGCAACTGGGTTCCGGTTCCTCCACCTTGCGGTCATTTTCATACCAGTGGTCATTACAGTGCCGGTGATTTGGATTGGAGGGAGAGTCGAGGGAAGTAATAGTGCGCAGACTGGCACGATATGGTGGTATCGATTCTTGGTGAAAGCCATGGAGCGCGCAGGGCCGGCGTTTATCAAGGTACGTTATTCGACATGAGTTCATGCCCGACACATTTCAATCAGCATCCTCTAACTCCATATTCCTTCCTCAACAGCTCGGACAATGGGCCGCTTCCCGCACCGATATCTTCCCACCCGAGATGTGTAATATCATGTCGTCACTCCACTCCAATGCCCCAGCCCATTCACTGGAAGCTACGAAACGCATCATTCGAAAAGCTTTCAACGGCATGCCATTTGAAGACATCTTTGAAGAGTTTCAGGAAGAACCTCTCGGGGTTGGCGCCATTGCCCAAGTGTACAAGGCCAAGCTCAAGCCAAGCTTGGCTACAAGTGCTCAGGAACTGGGACAAGAGCCTATCACATTAGGAGAGAAAGTGCGGAAGAACATGGACGTGTTGGTGAAGAGCTCGCCACACCGAGTACCGTCATCGTACGTCGCTATTAAAGTCCTGCACCCAAAGGTCGAGAAAATGATTCATCGTGACTTACGAATCATGGGCTTCTTCGCCTCTTTGATCAATGCCATTCCCACTATGCATTGGCTGTCTTTCCCCGACGAGGTCCAACAATTTGGCGAAATGATGAAGCTCCAGCTGGACATGCGCATTGAAGCAACCAACCTAGTCATTTTCCGCGATAAATTCAAGACTCGCACAACGGCCTGGTTCCCGTATCCGTACATGGAGTACACGACCCGGGAGGTACTTATCGAGGAATTCGCACAAGGTATCCCACTGGCAACTTTCTTGGATATTGGCGGAGGTATATTCCAACATGAAATTGCCAACGAAGGACTTGATGCATTTTTGCACATGCTTTTGATCGACAACTTTGTGCACGCCGATCTACATCCAGGCAATATCATGGTTCGCTTCTACAAGCCTAGTGAGCTTGACCTGTCTCTTCGAAAGCATTCTCGCGCCACCGAAGCTCCTACCCGCGCAGAGGTAGACGTGACTGATGCAGTCTTGGCGCGCTTACGTCCGCATGTGGGCAACAAGGCTGCCTGGGAGTCTGCGCTCGCCAAGCTCAACGACGAAGGATATCGTCCTCAACTGATCTTTATCGATACGGGCCTCGTTACTCAGCTCAACGATCTTAATCGACGGAACTTCCTGGATCTCTTCCGGGCTATTGCTGAGTTCGATGGCTACCAGGCTGGGCATCTGATGGTTGAACGGTGTCGTACACCAGAGGAAGTTATCGAACCGGAGATCTTCGCATTAAAGATGCAGCATTTGGTTCTGAGCATCAAATCTCGCACATTTGCCCTTGGCAACATCAAGATTGGCGACGTGCTGAGTGAAGTCCTCACGATGGTCCGTGGCCACCACGTTCGATTCGAAGGTGACTTTGTCAACGTCGTCATTTCCTGCCTCCTTCTTGAAGGAATCGGACGAAGCCTTAATCCTAATCTAGATCTTTTCCAGAGGTGAGCCCCTTCTCCATTGCCCAAAGAGCTTCTTGTCTGGTTCAGAACTAACGGTCCACTCTAGTGCCCTTCCTATTCTCCGACAACTTGGTACTGGCCAAACCTTCTTGCAGACAGTGCGCTCCGGCGACACATCGATGCTTCGTGTCTGGGTTGGCTTGGAAGCTCGTGGGTTGCTGCAGGCCAGCATTGAAAGCGTAGAGCGGTGTGTCAAGTATGATTTGTTGTCTCCGAACATCTGAGAATAGACCATTTCCGTCTTGCATTATAGAAATTTTATGCACACGAGGATCCAATGACATGATACGTTTCTTAGAATCCATGATAGATGGGCTGGTTATATCGTAATATCATCTTGGAGATTTGGAGATTGAAATAGATTCATTCAAAGCTAAAATAAATCCAAGGAAAGCAGAAGCCAACTCCCAATCCATCAATGCATCCCTGCAACATCACTTTTCTTCCATTATCGTCTGCTGGTGTACATAAGTTGTTGGTAGTAAGATAGTAAGACACGGAAATGATATAAGACAGGGGAAGAAAAGAAAGAAAATATCGAAGGTCATCAAAACAACCCCCAGAACGCCTGTGCCATGTCTATAGAATTTACAAAGGGTGAGTGGAGAAGCATCGAACTTCAAGATCGACTTGAGAGACTTTTAGTGGTGGCCGTGACTCTGGCCAGGTTCACGGACAGCACCGCCACTGGCTCTCCACCAGACATCACCACCCCATCGCATCAGACGCTCAACGGCAGCGGTGGGGGAGTCAAGAGCGGGACGAATGTCAAGGTAGAAGACGGGCTCGCCGTTGGGTTCGGGGTCTCCGGAGTAGTAGTCGATCACGTAGCGGACCTCCTTAGAACCCGAGGGAGTCTGACGCTGAACGAACCAGTCGTGGCGGTCGAAAGGCGGAGGGGATCTGAAAATGGAATTAGCGAACCTTTCCAAAAAGACCTGCGTAGTCAATACATACTCGAATTTGGAAGGGTATACCCATCCAAGGGCCTGGAAGATGCGAGCCTTAGGAGTCAACTCCTTGGGCCGGCCTTGGAATCTGATCAGACGAGGCTCGGTCGCCTGGTCGATATTGCCCGTCATCTCGTCCCTCATCAGCTGGAAGTTCAAGTTCTCCTCGCCGCGGCGGCACCGCTCCCAACCAGCCCCGAGACCCTTGGCGAACGTGCGCTCCCATCCAATGATCTCGTTCCACGCGCCTTCGTTCAGGAAGTTGTGAACGGCAACCATAGACTCCACCGCATCCTGAGGAGTGTCCGTGTATCCTTTGCGCAGCATCGCGTTGTACATCTGCTGCGCAGAAGGGTATTCCCAGTTACCCTCGGAGTCACCCCGGGGGATTGAGGACGTCTCGCGGTCAACGGAGAGGTCGACGGTCTGCTGGGGTGCGCGCTCCTGGGAGATCGAGGAGAACATATAGTTCAAAGGGTTCAACTTGGACAGCGTGGACTGCTGGGGAGCCGGAGCCGGAGCGGAAGCAGCGGGCGCTGGAGGAGCTTGCGAATCCGAGGATTTCGGGGCTGCGAAGAAGGGCGAGTCCTTGGCCTTGGACATTGGGCAGTTACTAGGAGGCTCGGCAGCCTTGGGGGCTGCGGCGGGTGCAGCAGCTGGCGCTGATGCCGACTCGTGCATCGGGCATCCCGGCTGTCGATAAGGGTCAGTCGCGAAACAATCATTCTCTTTGTAGAGGTTCATACAGGAATAGCAGCGCCAGGTGTTGTTGGGTGTGGCGCAACAGGCACCTTTGACTGCGTATCGGCCCAGAACCAACCCATTTTGGAATAGAATTAGAAAGTTGTAAAACGTCAGACGTGTACAGGATAAAATCGCAATTCGCGATAAAAGATCGGGGAGAAAATCACGGAGATGACATAATGTGCACGTGATCCCCATCGGCTTCCCGATGCCGAAGTATAGTCTACAGTTAATCTTTGCGATGCTAGTTTCACATAACTCTTCGCTGTTGTTTACTTGCTATTTTGCCAACTCTTGCTCTTAGACAGACAGCCTTGCAAGCTGATCCATATTTACAGGCTCAAGCCAGACCTTGCACGTCGAAATGCACCGACGACTAAAGGGCCAAATGTTTGACTCAGTCCGCCCAATATCAATACAATTACATTAACCGTTCGAGTTGCATATAGTATGACAAGAGATTTGGTATAGCACAAGTGGCATAACGACAAACTTTCACGATTCATCCGCCGAGACCACATATCCTGCCATCGCCTCATCCCAGATAAACCTCCATTCCAAGCCATGGAGAGCGGGGACATAAAAGTAATCAGACATGACCCTCGAGACTTGGTCCCAGGTCTGCCATTTGCAAATCATTGCAACGCGGGCCAGCCGCTCCACGAACCAGGGTCTATCGGCCCGGCCGGCTGATCCCTGTGCCCCCATGAATAATGCCCACGCAAATAGTCCAAAGTTTTCCTTTGGCATGGTGAGAAGAAGGGAGAGTTTGCAGTTCTCTACAGCAGAGACGATGTGGCTTGTGAGTGCCCGTCCAAGACCGGATGAGGGGGGTGAGACGATCAAAAAGTTGTTGAGGAAGCCGATGGCAGCCACACGTGTGACCGCCTCGAGGGGGTGGATGTCTATAGTGAGTTGGGAAGTGCTGGTAGTCTCCTGGTCTTCAGGGTAGATATAACTCAGCAGCTGATGCTCTGCTTCGCAGTTGAGCACTCGGAAGAAATGGTTATCAGCTGGCTGAAGTGTTGCGGGATTCGTTTGCACGGTGATGCTGTAATAAATGATATCCCGTACCACGTGTAGAATGCGAATCAGTTGAGAGCTTAGCAGCATGTTCGAAAAGAATCCAGAACCAAGTTGGTGGGCTGGCGAGGAATCTGGAGGTTGTATTCGCTGCTGAATATCCTGGGGTACGGGCTGCGCGTCCCAAGTGAGGGGAAAGACTGGCTTGACTAGTAAGCCAGACGCGGCTTTCACATCGGTACTGGAGATCGGTGTGAGCTTATTTTCGTCAAACGAGCAGTGATTTGAGGACATACGTGATGATTGCAGACAACATCGAAGCGGAACGTATGCTTTCATCTGTAATACCGCCACGCAGGTCTACCATCCGCTTGAGACCAGTCAAGTGGATTCGAGCTTCGTCAAATAGACCAGCAATTAACTGTGCAGTATCAGCAGCAGTCCGATATCAATCCAAATCTTGCAGTCAAAAACGTACCGAGCCTGTGAGCAAATTTACAATCGTGTCGAATGCCTCATCACTTAGTGCCCGTTTAGGATCTCGCATCTTGGCGTTCATTTCTCGAATTGATTTCGCTTTCATGATACAAAAATCAGGATCGTCCACAATCGAATTTGAGCGAGAAGATCTTGATGCGTCAAGTCGATCAACTGAAAGGATGGCGCGATGTGCCGCACACATGGTCATCAAGCCGAAGAAGCTCCCGGGATCTGAAAACGAGGATCGAACCATCAATTCCACCTCGCGAGACTCTTGACCATTAAGCTCACTAGGAAAGGTCATCGGTACGAAGACAGATTTCCCTTGGGTTATCGTCAGCTCTTATTCGATTTAAATCTGACGCACCGAGTAACCTGGGACGAGCGACTACTTACAGTAGTAAACCAGATGCGCAACCATAGAAGGTAGCTCACTGGTTCCCGGGAGTGAGCAAAAAGGATCAAAAAACCACGAGTTTGGTAATAACCGCGGATTGGGGTTCCATTGTGGCGACATTGGGTAGCCAGCACTCCATCTTAAAGGTCGACCTCGTCGAGGCTTGGAAGAGACATAGCTGCTGTCGTTCTCGGTATCGATTAAGGATGAGGCAGCTGACGAGGGCGATGCTGATCCTAGGACGAGTCTTTGCTCCTTGGGCTTATCACTTGTCTTGCCCTGCGATTTCGCCGCAGCTTGCTGGGTCCGGTCGTCGCGTTTGGAGGTTCGTTTCAGCCCAGCTAGTCTCTCACGACGGCGCACGTCACGCATGACATGGGAGCGGATGGCCTTGCGGGCATTGACATCTTTAATTCTCTTTGATGTCAAGTCATCGTCGTGATCAATAAAAGTAAAAGATGGCCGATCCAGCGGCGCAGCGGGGTTCGAGGATTTATCTGGACTCGAGGCTTAGTATAAAATAGAGGACGAATAGAACCACATGGTAAATTGTTCTTGTTGAATCATCCGGGGCACTTGGGGGACTAGACATCTACATAATGTGTAGAATAAAGATGTCCTCGCAAGGTATTTCGGAGGATGAACGAGATTTGCCACCGTACGGCAGCCGAGGGCTCGTCCAAGCTCCAAGCCACCGGAGGATTGACCCCCCATACGAGCATCACCGACAACCGGGGGCATCGAGCACAGGTCTTTAATCGAGGCTCCAAGCCTCCAAAGCAATAGTGGTGGGTCTTAGCCCGAACAATGCATGAGAGAAGTACGAGGAGTAGTGAGCACCAACCTGAATGGGAAGGCCGAGAACCCGCCGCGAAGCTGTAAGGCTGCGGCTGATCCATCGTGGGCCCGAAGGCCAGGGGTTTAATATTCGGAGCTGAAGATAGATCAAGCAGACTAGCAAACCGACAAGACCGTCAACAAACCAATAAAGAAGAGAAGTGTGGGGGAAGGCGGATTTAGAAGGGGGAAAAAGGAGTAGTTACGATGACAATAATTGCGGGGGGTGGAACGAGCGCCAGCCCGATTGAGCCCTTCTCCCAGTGGGCCAGATCCGGTGATGTCCGGTGTAACGGCCACGGTCTTTGACTGAAGTACGGAGTACTCGTAGACGAACAGTCATTCAAGTCACTCATATATTACATAGCTCAGGAATAACTACAATGTAGAATGGCTAAGGACGAATGCCCGTTTCATTGCAAGCCAGAATAGAGCAAGCCGTTACCCAAAGATCTCTAATGCGCCGCAGGATGCCCCCGAATAAAAACCAAAGATATAACCGCTAATGACAGGGCCGAAGAAAAAGAAAAAGCGAGAAAAATAGATACAATGAAAGATGTCTAGTGACCAGCCCAGCATCCTCGGCTTATCTCTCTCATCCTTGTATATCACTGACCAGTCGTGACAGGAGCGCATAGCCAAATAGTACGGCTAATCCGATCCACATTCGGTTGCGGCGAGCCCAGCTTTGCCCGGCTTCCCGAGCCACATGTCCCCCTTCCATGACGGCACCGATCCCGGGCGCACTGCCGTTAGGTCGCCGACGGAGGGCGCTGGTCTCTGGAGAGCACTTGGTAGGGGCGTTGGGGTCCGGGAGGATCTGACCGGACGTAGGGTCAATGCGATGCTCTCTCATCCAAGCCCAGTTCTCTTGATCCAACTCTGGCCATTCGGTGCGGAACTTGAAGCCACCATCCCCAGCCTTGACATTATTAATCCCTTTAGTTGTCTTCGTCACACCGGGGGTGGCGCTGGAATGCGAGCCGCCACCGGTCGAGTTCCACCACCGTGATCGCGCGGCCAGTACTCGGCGCTCACTCTCGGAAGCGCTGACACTACCCGTGGTCATCTCTTCACTGGTCATGAATGAAAGTAGTCCGATCAGGATTGTTGACACCTCCCATGCGGGGTTGAAGGACTTTGGGTGAAAGTCGCTAATGCTGAGGCAGAGTCGCGTCGACGGCTGGAATCGACCACTCGGAGTGTGCATTCGAATGGCGGGAGGCGCAAACGGATACTCGGGAGGGAACATCAGGGTTCCCCAGTACTGCCCATTCTCATACGGGGTGCCAGGGGGACCGGTCAGGATATAGTGCCATCTAGGCAGAAGTCAGGTCAAGAAACTTGGGAGGAAATTAGACCAAGGGGAGTGGACTGACTCTAGAATATTTGTCTCCGATGGATGAGCAATAATGAAAGGTGGTGGGTTCTTTTGAATGTTTTGGTACTCGCGAGTGAGCTGTATAAACCGTTAGAAGGGGGTTGACAATTTGCATGCGCATGAGATCATGTCCGGCGACTTACCCGCTTGAAAGCTGCCTTTGTCGCCATTTTCTAGTTCGTTGATTATGGGTGTATATTCGTGAGAACAATGAAATCAACTCGAATGAGAGGCGTCGCAGAGAAACAGCAACCACACGTAGAACCGGCCGTTGAGTGGGTGGGTGATGGAGTGACGAAAGTCGAATGGAGCAAGTTGTCGCCGTTGCGCCGCACTTGCCCCGGAAGTCACGTGCTGTTCCGGTTTCCCACGCGATCAAATGCTCTCAGAAAACAAAGGTTCTGGCCATTGCAGTCGTCACGATGTCCTCCTCCCTCTCTGCTGATGATGAAGACGTATGCAATACTCCAGTACAGCTTATGGTTCTCCCTATCTCGTGGTACTAACTATTGCGGCAGATCTTCGAGCGCCTTCAACAGCGCAAGGACCCGAAGGTGTTGGAAGAGCAGCAGCAGGCTGTGAACGAGCGTACGCAAGCTATTCTCCAGAAGGCTCAGACTCGTCTTGCAGAACTGGTACGGACATCGCTACTTCTACTCTTGGTCCAATGGCAAAACTGAATTGCCGGCGCGAACAGAAGTTCGGAGCTTTCGGCTAACCGTGACTTTGTTATCAGCTTGACCAAAACTCGACCTTGCCATGCGCAATCTCGTCCGTTCAGGTGCTGAGTGCTCCTCACACCCGCCGTGGCTTTCTTGAAAAGGTTCTCAGCCCCCTGCTCAGCGAGAACAAGGACCGACCCTATACCCTGTCCGAGGCATTGCGGGAGATTTCGGCAACGGCAGACAAGCTGGGACGTTTTGGTTCGTGAAGGCACGATACGGAGGGATATTATTGTCTTGATATTCTAACCTGGGATACAGACCTGTTCCAACAGCCAATTGCAGTTCACCTTGATGAGTCGAACAAGAATGCCTCCGGACTGCGGACGATCGACGTTCTTCTAGCAACCCGGGAGAAGTCCCGAGTGCTCTTAAAGACCGGTACCGATCTTGGAAACGCCGAGGGTTCGGCCTACGGTAACCTTTTGTGGCGCAATGTGTTTGGTGGTGCCGAGACTCTCAACTTGAACGCGTCGTTGGGCACACGCACGCGGTCTGCCTACCAGGCGGCCTTCGAGACCCCGATCCTGTGTGACCCCGACTTCCGCCTAGAGGTGGGCGGTATCGCCAGTTCCACCCAGAAGACCTGGTCAAGCCACGAGGAGGCGCTCAAAGGTGGTTGGACTAAGCTCCGCTGGCTGTCGCAGTCAGGACACCGCCATGAACTGGGCTACAATGGTTTCTGGAGGCAAGTTACCAGTCTGGCAGAGAATGCCTCTCCGACTGTTCGCGCGGATGCCGGCGATAGTGTGAAGAGCAGCATCTTCCACAGCTGGGTCAATGACCAGCGTGATAATGCTATGCTGCCTTCTCGCGGCTACTATGCCAAGATCTTCAACGAGGTGGCTGGCTGGGGCCCGTTGAAGGGTGACGTTTCTTTCTGGAAGTCCGAGATTGAGACACAGGGTGCCCTCCCCATCCCCATTCCCGGAATCAAGGGCGACAGCGGCATTAGCCTCACCACCGGCTTCCGTGCCGGTCTTTTGTTCCCTCTGAGCTTGGATTCTGACCCCCGTCCCCAGCTTTCCCGCATCAACGACCGCTTTTTCCTCGGCGGTCCTACCGACGTCCGTGGATTCCGTCTGTGCGGCCTCGGCCCTCGTGAGGGCGTCGATGCTCTCGGCGGCGACATCTACGCCGCTGGTAGCGCCAATCTTCTCCTCCCCCTCCCCCGCGTGGGTGCTGACAAGCCCCTGCGGTTGCAACTCTTCCTAAACGGTGGTCGCCTGTTGCCTCTTCACACATCGCAGAAGGCCGCCCCTACCACCAGCGGCGAGGTTCAGGACGCCGTGATCTCGACCATCAAGGACCTGCAAACCGGCCTTCCCAGCATCGCTGCTGGTGTGGGCATTGTTTATGCCCACCCTGTGGCGCGCTTCGAGCTGAACTTCTCCCTGCCGCTGGTGCTGCGGAAGGGCGAGGAGGGCCGCAAGGGTCTGCAGTTGGGAATTGGCATCAACTTCCTGTAGAAATACATTCCTTTTATTAGAGTTTAGCGGCGTTGAATTATACCTCACTTCTCTTTGTGTCAAAACCTATATACTCTTGTGACAATATTCTAGCTCTGTATTCGTTTCTTCAATGTTTAGCCCCGTATAGTTAGTTCAGTCTCCGCGGTGTCGTCCCCACCCCCGACAGGCGCGGGGCTGAGTCAGCAGACATCAGGGCAACCGCCAGCTGGCTGGAGCATCTTAAGCTCTCCCAGCTATCCTATTCTCAACTTCAATCCCCCCGCCAGTCTTTCGCGTCTCTCGCAGCAAGAAAAAAACGAATACATCGACTTTAAACCCTCGCTCTCATAGCCGCAATGGCTCAGTACTACCCCAATCAGCAACAGCAGCAGGGCTACGCGCCCCAAGGCAACGCACAGAATCTCCAGTTCTTTCCCTCGTCCTACTCAGTATCTGGCCACACAACTCCCTCACAAGCCTCCTACGGTGCCGGCTTTGGTGGGGCACCGAACCCCTCTGCGCAAGCTTATCCCGTCAGTGGTGGGTATGGGGGCTTCGGGTCTCCCGCGGCGGGTGTGAGTGGGAGGATGGGGGAACAGGGTGGCTTGCGGACGGGTTGGCTGGCTGCGTTTGGTACGGAGGGTTACGATGGGGAACCGCCTTTGTTGGAGGAGCTGGGTGTGAACTTTTCGCATATTCGGACGAAGGTTAGTTGAATGGCGAATGTGGTCTCGGTTTCAGGGAGAAGTGTGCAATGCGCCGGGGACCTGGTGGAAGTACATACCTCGAATGTCTTCGTACCAGGGCTCCCTATGCAACGTAAACACTCCTCCTCAACCCGAGATCTACTCCATCATTTCAGATAAGAAAATTGACAAAACTAACTCGAATCCAGACCCTAAGCGTCCTCAACCCCTTCGCCTCAATCGACAACCACCTCATGGACGATAGCGACCTCTACGGCGCCCTCCTTTACATCGTCCTCTACGGCACATTCCTCCTTCTCTCCGGCAAAGTCTTTTACGGCTACATCTACGGCGTCGCCGTCTTCGGCACCGTCGCCCTCCACCTCATCCTAAGCCTGATGTCCCCCGCCCTAGACACGGTACCACCCGCCAACGCCGCCGATCCCGCAAACTACAACCCCCACCACAAGCCCTCGCTGTCCAGCGCTTCAGCTGCTGGTCATTTCTCTGCTACCTTGACCTTCCCCCGCTCTGCCAGTGTCTTGGGCTATTGCTTCTTGCCGCTCGTCTTGACTGCGCTGATCGGTATCTTAATTCCTATGGATACGTTGTTCGGTTACCTTTTGACTACTGCGGCGGTCGGGTGGTGCACGTATAGCTCTTCGGGGATGTTCTGTGCCGTAGCGCGCATGAGTGGTATGCGCGGTCTGGTAGCGTATCCACTGGCGCTGTTCTACGTTGTGTTTGGTATCATGGGCATTTTCTCGTCTCGGGGGACGGGCTCGCTCGCTGCGAAGACGGGTGCTGCTTGAAGGCAGCAACCTTGAACTATCAATGTCTTGCAAAAACGTGTTTCCTTTCTTAGTGTATGGCGAAAATACCTGGATGGGTTGGGCTAGACTGGACTTCCGCGGGGTTGGGGATGGATTTCATTCCTACGGCTGGCTTTTGTACTTGGATTCCTACGATGGTTGGCCACGCCAAGTCACCCTGTGCTCTTGCATTTAATCATGAATATTACGAGACTCGCATCCCTGTGTTATATGTATATCATCATATTCATTTCATTTTTTTCATTAGACACTCGTGAGCGCTTCTTATATCTAGTCATCCCAACTCAACTCCGATGATGTGACCATTCCTGTATAATGCAACGCAATCATGATCTATCATATCAAATTAAATCCAAAGTCTAGTCCGAGCTTGGCTGGTCTCACCAAGTCGGGCGATATAACAGTAGATCGTGTCCCCCAACGACTGCATCATCCTCACGACGCAGTCTCCCCCTTCGCAGGCGCCCATTTCGCCAACCACTCCCTCGTCTTCTCCAAATCACCACCCGCAGCCTCAGCACCGGCCACACACCATGCCAAATCGTACGCCTTCCCTACACCAGCAGCACCTTCCGCGGCGATCATCTCCGCCAGATTCCGACGATGCTGACCCGTCTCGTCCGTGCAGAAATAGAACGGCGCGGTATTTTCCACGTCGGGATTGACGTTCACGGGCTCGACGAGCGGACGGATAACTTTGGTTATTTCAGCCACGCTCATCGCTACCACGGGATCGGTTTGCGTCTTCTGTTTGCCGGTCTTGCAGTATCCGTTCTGACACCAGGGCTTTCCACAACCGGTCATTAATTGTGAGAGGTATCGTCTTTCGATTCTGCGGCGGAGCGCTTTGCCTTCTGGATCGTATGTGTCCACGTATAAAGGTCCGAAGCAGATGTTGCATAGACCGAGGGATTTGTTGCCTGCGCCGGTGAGTGTGCGGCCGCAGTTCTGGTTCAGACAGATGCGCGGTGGAGGTCTGGATACGCGTTCTAGATCGTGGTGGCGGAGGTGAGTGTTCATGTCACGCAAGCGAACGATTTTGCTGCAGAGATGGCATTCTGTCGTTCGTCCGCCGTCGACGAGTTCATGGGGTGTCAGGCCGGAGAGCATTACTTCGGGATCGTGTAGGTCTGGATCGGATTCTCCCTTCTGGGGGACTAAGAGGTGGCAGAACTGGCAGAGGATTAGTTTGCCTGGGCATTCGGTGGTTCGGTGTCGTGCGAGGCTGGGGAGACCCTCGAACTGAGCTGGACAATCGGGACAGTCGTATGTTTTGTGGTATATTGAGTCGTGTCTTTGTTTGCTTGCGGTATCGTTGCCGTAAGAGGAGTCGTGTGGACAGTGCCAGTGGTTCTCCCATTCGGTAGACCGTTTTTGGAAGACGTTGCCACATTGTTGGCAGAGGGTGTTATTTCGGAGACAAAAGTTTTCGTGGAGGACGAGAGTTCGCTCTGGAACCCACTGTTGACAGTTCTTGCATTGTACATCGCCGGGGGCATGGGATTCCTCGGCGTGCTCATCCGTATCTGCCGTCTCGTCTACTCTATCGGCGGCATTCGTCGTTATGCGCAAGTTGTATTTGAGAGGCACCGGCCGTTGTGCCGATGTCGAAGACTCGACATCAGGCTCCGGAGCATCGGCATACACAGAGACATAGATGGCTTCCGCCCCCTCAAGAGCCACATTCGTAGGCCGGATCTTGAATCTCTTAGACGACTGCGTTGAAAAGTCTCCCCAAACATGCATATCCGTCCGAGGCCGCCCTTGTTGACGCGAACCAAGCGGACTGGCAAACAGAAAGACATTCGGTTCATCCGTCGTGAGCTCAATCTCAAGCTCATCCTCACGATTCCACTCACGAAGCTCGTAATCCACATATTCACCCGTCAACACTTGAGCAGCCACCTTCTCCCCAATACTAAGCACCCCTCCTACCGAACTACCACTTGTGGTGCCGGGAGCGCGCGCTGCCCGCTCCAATCGTTTTTGCAGCGTCTCGCGGGCTTGTTCCTCCGACAGCGCCACGATATCCACCTCCAGATCGGTGTCCACGACGCAAATGCCGTCCCCCTCGGGAAACACCTTATCCAGCAAGAACCGAAAAGACTCATTACGTGTCCCGGGCACGGTCAAGATTTCACCGGTCGTCAACGTCGTAAAGTTATCCCGCAAGTGTCGCTCCAACAGCGCTTTCCAATCCTCGGGATCATATCCGGCTTCAAGCGGGCGAAGTCGTACATACGTGCCCTTTGGCAACTGCTTCGCATGTACAGTGACGACCGCGGGTTGAGCTTGCACTCGTGCCGGTTGTCCCTCCACCTCGCCTCCTTCCATAGACACATCCTCCTGCGCAGGATCACCATCGACGCCGGTATCTGCTTGAACCGCACCCTCGATCTGTTCGTCCGATATCCCAAGCGACTCGCGCAGTACGGCGCTTAGCGCAACTTCATTCTCCGCAGCGGAGAATTCACGGATCCCCGCGTACACGGACCGATTATTCTGCGGGTTCACGATTCGGAATGTCAACGGGTGGGGGAGCTGTTGCTGGCGCTCTTCGATTTGCTGACGCGCTCGCGATTCAGCGGCGAAGGTGTGTGGGTTGAAGGGGTCGAAGGTAGACGTGTGTACGCGAGCCTTGTTCGGCGCGGACGAGACGGGTTGGAGAGGTGCGGCGGCGAGGAGCTGTTCCAGTGCGGACTGCGGGAGTGTGATCTTGTCGCCTGGTAAGCGGGGCGCGTGCTGGGGGGCAGTCACGGCTAGCTGGGCGGACCAGTTTAGTGTCGGGATATTGTCCGCCATAATGGAGGGGGCTAAGTATGAGAGGGGGGTGGCATGGAGGAGCTCTTGAAGTGGTTAGAGATTATAAACGTGGAGTCGGAGGGGGAAGCTCGAGGGACGTTCTGGAAGACTCTCCCCGCGCCCCCACTATAGTTAATTAGTGATCGAAGAGGATCTAACTAACTAATCTTAACAAACCTAATTTCAGGTTGAATTCAATGATTACGCTAAGAACTCCCGGCTTATAAATCCATGTCAATTATTTGATAAGTTACTCAGAAGAAAAAAAATTAATATCCACCCGTCTGATTTAACGGAAACTCCGCATGCGGTGGCGAGAGCTGGTGTTGCACCAGTCGCACTAGATTCATGTTAGGTCTTGCCTCGAATGTATAGGTTGAATACAAGGTGCTTTCATCCCAAACTTACCATCGTCGCCGAGCATCCCTCGTTATGCTCGATACAATAATCACCTCCACAGCTTCGGCAGGTGTGCTGGGTGTTCCGCTTGCAGGGACCGCACTGGATACCATGTTAGAATCCACCGTTATATCTCATACTTTGTTGAAAGAAAATTACTTACAGTCGGACCGCACTCCCAGCAATCTTTGCTCACACCGCGCTCGAGTCTCTGTTGGACAAGTTAGAAAGAGCTCAATTTGACACATAAGATCTTCGTCACATACCTCTCGCTCAGCATGGGGTGGTCCAGCTCCGTGGGGATGATGACCCGGTGGTCGAATCGCAGTCTGGTGCGGTGTGAGGCTAGCCTGGACGTGCCGCGGGTGCGGCAGACAGTTTGAGCAGAACCACTTGTTGCACCGGTGACACCAGCGGTCGGTCAAACAGTCTGTACATCGCGCAATCAAGACGGGGTGCTCCCCAGGGATCAACTCCGGCCGCTTGGCTGCAGCAACACTCGATACATGCAATGGTACGGGGCTCAGCAGTGGAAACTGGGTATCCGGGGACTGGCCCCAGATTGACGGGCCCTCGGGCGAACTATGACATCCATCGCATCCGCGTGGACCCAGGGCCACGGTGGCAATAGCTGGGCCGAGTAAGCGGCCCTCGGGGGCGGGGTTCTCCTCATCTGCGTTGGTGTAGAGATTGACATCATGGCGTGGCCCACGGCACAGAACCGCGTCGAAAGCGATGAGACCCTCGCATTTCTGGAGAGTCTGCGCCCAGCCTTCGTCTAGACTGTGCTTGAACACTTTTCCCGAAGGGCTATACCATTCGTTTCGTTGGTATTGTCGAGATACGACTTCCGTCTCTTCTTCTTCGTTGTCTGACGAGCTGTTTGATGGGCTTTGACTGGAGCTTCGTGAGCTACCCACGCGAGATCCCCACCAGTCCCGGTATCGACGCCGCACCTCGGCGCGCGGCGGAGTGTGCATTGGGGAGAAATGATAGATTCCCTTCACTTTGGGGGTTCCCTTGGGACGAGTGGGCCGCACGGCATGTTGGATGACTTGAATCAGCTTGCGCTCGTTGAGATGTTGGCATTCGCGAATGGAAAGAATGTTGACATTAAATCGATCACTCAAGATGATGTCTGCGATCAGGTCGGCTGGCACGGAAAGGCCGTCCAGGACCAGTGTGCGCACATCTTGTAGGATAGACCGCTTTTCAAGGCTGCCAAAGATGCGTCGCAATGGAGCCGAGTAGACTTCATCCTCCGTCTTCATTTCATCTTCTTTAGCTGATTGAGTGGGTAGCTGCGCGCCTCGGCAGCGGGTCAGGTCCAGATGCCTAAACACATAAGGAGTACCCGTAATCATATTGTAGAGAAGTCGCGATGTCGACGCCAGGGCCATCAACGATGGTGCGGCGAGATATGGTGACATATGGTCAAGGATCAGGCTATTGGAGAGCATCTCCTCCAACGGGGCTCGTCGTTTGGGTGCAGGCTTGCGTTGCGGAATGGGCTCGGCAGGAGTAATCTTCTCTGCCGGGATCTCTCGTATGACCGGCTCCAGACCCAATTCTTTCATAGTTAATCGACGAGTGCCGTAGAAATCCGGAGCACGGCTGATTAAATTCTGGCGATAGGCGGCCATGGCGCCGACGGCGACCTCGTCGCCAATGCGCAAGAGTGGCGCATGGGGATGAATTTCCTGGAGTGCCGCGCGAGCCTTGACTAGCTCGGACTCGAGGAGATGGATTGTAGATTGAAGAACGGCGGGCATCGTGTCGGAGTTGGGAGTGGGATGAATTGCAGAGACCAAATAAACCCAAAGATCGTCGGACATAGTCCGGTCCTTTATAGATCCGAGTTCAAAAAGGTGGGAGCACGAACAAAGGGTGGATCCACAAGAACCATAGAGTGGGGGGGGGAGAAGGGGGTATAATGGAGAAAAGGTCGAGTGTCAAGAGTCAGGACGGATAAAATGATAAATAGCAGCGGTTGAAATCGAACGGATCGGGGTCACCGGTTTGAGTCAGAACGACGAATGCGCGGAGACGTTCAGACCGGACCGAATGAATGGGAATGGGAATGGGGGTCTGTATTGTATGGAGTGGGCCAGGACCAATAAAGCTCCGGTGGAGACGGAAACTGAGATCCGGGGTGGAGTCCAAGAGGGGGGAGAAGAAAGGGTTTAAGAATTGGATTATTCGATTGAGTAATGATAAGAGCGCCCGAATAGGAACGGAGGGTTGCAAGATTAATCTGGCTTGGGTAATCTGGCAAGGTAACCGGATCTGATGCGAAAGTCGGTCAGTGGGAAGTGGGAAGTTTAAAAAGGTCGGGAGGCCCGAATGCAGCAAGTCCGGGGATATCGGATGGGTTCTTATACTTGGTCTTGGAGCTGATAGACGACATACACATCTTGACAATTTATACCAGACGGCCCGATGGTAAGACAGCAGAGATGAGAAAAAGGAAAAGAAAAAAAGAAATAGGATCCAATGAGAAAGGGAGTGGGCCCATCAAGATCGTGGTTCAAGAGAATCTCCTATCTCCCGCGCTCACGGAGATACAATAGTATAGGGTAATATCTAAATCCATGATGCCACGGTGGAAACGTCGCAAGGGGAAGATGTACTCGGTACGCAAGATTACTTGGCAGCGGGTCTAAGGGGTACTTTGCTTAATGCTATCGTCTCCTTTCTACAAAAAGTACCCAAGCCGTACTACCTACAAATGGAATTGACTCTACGAGTCTATACTCTGGATACGGGGGAATAACCTTAGCTTCGATATCGTTTCACCATTTGTTCCTTTAGTCAACTTGTAGAAGCCTAGCTGGAGATATGTACCACTCGGTCACCGAGGTACATATTGTATCAAGCTTATATCATTAACGAAATACCGCCAGTACTTTTCTTCTTTTCTTTTTTTGCGCCTGTCAATCGGTCTCCACTGATCCGCCAGTCACGCGGACGTCCTTCTCGGCCGCGTCAGTGCAGCCGATCCACTTGCTTCGTTTCCTTCTCGAAATTCTGATTTGGTGCCTCTCATCATTAATACAGCAAGGCGGACACTGTGGCAATGACCAGGGGCCCGCTGTCGTGGTCCAATGGCTTTAGCGCGTGGGGGGGAGAACCCTTTTCTACCCACTCGGTCATCTGTATTGGAGACCTTGTCGACACACGTATTGTTATGTAGTGTATACTCTGACCGATCGAAGTATTGGTACTGTCTATTCATCCCCGGAATCTCTACCGTCCTCAGTAGTGACCTATCTATGAAATCATGCGAACGTACGGAGTACTCTGGCTATATGGAGCTTTCAGCCCCTACACCGTCCACCTTCACTATCCTCAATTGTGCGACCGATTTACCCCCTAGATTCACCTACAGCCCCAAGAATCTTGGATACTTGGCATTGGATGCTCACCATGTTGTGAAGGACTGCAGTCATCTCGCCAAGACAATAGCTGGGCAGCATGCACTGCCGCCGACACTGGGGAGATCTTCGCCAAGCAAATGAAGGCATTTTTTACGCCGTCGATCATCTCTCAAGATGATCGGTTCTCTTTGATTGAATGTTCTTATCGTGGCAGTGTAGATATGTGCCTGATTGATGAGTATATGTTGAGTACTATTGCCTAGCATTGTTATACTCTTGACGGAGGCCTAGTCAACCGTATAGTTTGCTTATAGTTCCACGCCAAGGAGTTCGGAGGATGTGTCCTCCGTGCTCAGCTACTCCGTACACTTGCAGTATACTCCTATCCTGTAGTAGAACGAGTCTAGAGATCTAATCTAGTCTCTCCAATTTCCTAAACAATCAATATGAACAACCAACACGGAACATACGCTATCCCCGTGCTGACCCATCCCATAATTGCACCATCGCTGGTTAACCGATCCAACTTAGCCGACTGGCCAAGACGGAAGGGATGAGGAGCCAAGCCAATTGGGCCCAGGCATGTACCCTGCTGGGCGTTGCCTTCGCCCCTAACTGAACTCGGAGGGTGCACAGGGTTGCCGATGGCTTAACTTTTGCGCCATCGAATGCCCCGTTCGACAGGATCTCCCGCCCCTAGTCCCACTTCAGCCGCCCGGTGAGCGTTTGTTCCTTCCGGGCTTGATAGGCAAGAGTGTGGAGAGGTTGTAACGGGCCTCCATCCTCCGGGGAAACTATGCAGTCTATAAGCTATGGACGGAAAAATTGTCGGTCATGACTACAATCTGTGAGTAATGATATTATTCCAGTATGAGTGAATGGACCAACTTACGGAGTATGTATATGACATGATAATAAGTGATCATAGTTACTGTAGAAGTGCTTACTGTAGCTATTCCCTCCCCTAGTCCAGGTTGAGTAGTTCCGCCCCAACGGTCAAGGTCAACATCTCTGATTCCATCATACTCCAATTAGAAACACCGCACGATGTGTCCCATCACATCCTCCGTGCCAAGTTATGCAGTAACACTCCGCACACCATATCCCTAGTCCATACCCTCTCTCTATCCCCATTACTTAGTACTACATCCTGGCCGTTGCATGCCAACACACGCCGTAACACCACTATGCAATGCATTTCAGATTCGGAGGAAATGGTAGGATTAAAACTAGTGGTACAGGTCCGTCGATCGTCCCTCCCCAGACTCTAGGTCTTCCCCAGGATGACCGCTGCACGCCCTTCGCTTGGCGCCTCGAGATGTTGCAATTTCTCGGCCTCTTCAAGATGGTCCGGTTTTACTTCCACAACTTCGACACCGCAACCTCCTTATCGTCGTGCTTGTTGAGAATCTTGGCGGTCGCCAAGTCAAAGTCCTCCTGCGTAACGTGCACTCTCCGCTCGCGCAGTGCGTACATGCCAGCCTCCGTGCAGACACCCTTCAGCTCCGCACCGGAGCACCCGTTCATCTTCTCCGCAATCTTGGTCAAGTTGATTCCGCGCGTCAAGTTCATCGACCGAGAGTGGATTCGTAGAATATCGGCACGGGCCTCGACGCTGCAAGTAGAGAAAAGAATTACGTCAGTATATATATCACACGGCACATGGGAAAACCAAGCGTTGAAATCGGAATGAAATGGAAGGTCACACTCACGATGGAGGAGGGAACTCGATCTTTCGGTCAATACGCCCTGGTCGCAGCAAGGCCGGGTCCAGAATGTCCAGTCGATTCGTGGCCATAATGATCTTGATGTTCTTGGTAGGCTCGAAACCATCCAGCTGGTTGAGCAGTTCCAGCATGGTCCGTTGCACCTCCGAGTCACCACCGCCTGCCGAATCTATCCGGCTAGAGCCAATGCTATCAATCTCATCCATGAAGATGATACTGGGCGCGTGCTCTCGGGCCATGACGAACAACTCTCGCACCATGCGGCTACCTTCACCAATATACTTCTGCACCAGCTCCGAACCACTGACACGGATGAAGCGGCAGTCTGTGTGATGGGCCACGGCTCGGGCCAGAAGCGTCTTGCCGGTACCTGGAGGACCGTACAGCAAAACACCCTTCGGTTGTGCGATACCCAGGGACTCGAACAGCTCCGGGTGCTTCAGACCCAGCTCGATCACTTCCTTGATCTCCTTGATCTGCTGGTCCAATCCACCGATCATGTCATATGTACTGTCCGGAACCTTCTCCACCATCATCAGTGATACGAGCGGGTCGACCGAAGATGGCAGCATCTTCTCCAATTTGTAGGAATCTGAAAGCAGAGCCACCCGCTTGCCGACAGTGAGCTTGGAAATGTCCACGCCATCTGCGATATCAACCACTGTAGATCAAAGAACCTTCATTAGAAACTCGTCCAAAAGGAAACTAGTCCATTATCATCGAGTCTCGTACCGTATTTGCCTTCCGGGTGTACCTTCACCAGCACCTTCTTCGTGCTCATCACTTTCACCACCTCGCCGACATACGAGCCGGGTTGTTGGAGCAGGCCGAGCTCCTCCCGAAGCAGGCGCACTCGCGAGTTGTAGTCATTGCGCTGTGCCTCTAAGCGTCGAAGAACTGCCTGGCCCTGGATGATCTCGAGCTTCATGCCCTCAATCTTGTTCCGATAGTAGTTGTCCAGCGCCATGGCGGATAGAGGGATGACGCTATCGGGCGAACGTAGTCAAAAAGGGAATGCCGTGGGCGAGTCGAAAGGATAGATCTGTTGTACAGAGCCTCCACAGTTTGGCCCAGACAGGAGTATAGAAGGCGGAGGATACGTAAGCGGAGACAGGTGGTGAAAAGGCGATGATGGTGTTTGGAATAAGATCCGGAGCTGGACCAGCTTGAAGCTGCGGGCAGCGTGGACACAGATGACTAATGCTGATGCCTGACAAAATAGGATTAAAAAGACAAACAGTCCAAATCAAGCAGCTTGTCAGCTCCCCACTGTGGATGAGTCATCATTTACCTGATTGGCCCAACCATCCAATGGTCATCTGGAAGCTCTCCACGCGGCCGTGTGCTACCCTGGTGCATCTTCCTTTTGTACGAATCTCAGCTGATGAGAAAGCAGATGATCCAAGGATCCGGGGATGGTCATATATCTTTCTCCTCGTTGAACCCCGCAATGTGAAGTGGGAGTTGCCGAGCATCCCCCTACCTTGTACTCCAAAACCCCCTCTTTGCGAGCTTGGACGTTTTGCCGTTTTTTGTGTTTTAGACCCGACGCGGATCATCGAAGAAATATGGCGGGCGATAAGAAAGACCCCGACCAAGCCGAGCCCTCTCGAGTATCGGATACACCAGGCAGCGACTATGCCTCCGCATCATCTTTACCTCCCATGCGATCAACGCTTTCGGTTCGGAGAGGTTACGGTAAGCTTGACGATTTCGTGTAACCCCAAAGCCCAAAAGGAACGTTTCGTGCTGACATGGGGAAACCCAGGAACCCTAGATGCGCAGTCCCTCGATTCGTCGTCCGAGGTACGTCAGGACGAAACCACCCAGGACGATCACTTGAGCCGCGCCTTTACCTCCTCGTCTGCCGTACCTGATCGGCCTCGAAAGCCTTCGGTCACCCGTCGCATGTCTTCGAAACGACAAGTGCCCCACAAGGGCCAGGAATTCTCCACTGACGATGATGTCAAAGAAGTTGAGCAGGACTTTGCCCTACATAAGGCTTCGTCCATGCAGCAGCTGTCTCCTAGGATTCGTCCTATTCGGGGTCAGAGCTCCTCGTTGCGTCGCCATGTCAGTGCTCGTGCCATCCCATTGCTGAGGGACGAATCGGACAACCTGAGTGTGGATAATACCATCTTGCCAAAGCCCAACTTGGACCTAGTCGAAGACGACTCATCAATCGGACAGTCTGATGGCGCTAGTGACATTGGGGTCGAGGATGAATCCCCTGTGTCCGAGGAGGATGAAGGGGTGACCAGTGATGCCGAGAGCTTTACGCTAAAGGATCGCCAGCAAGCGATCAACGAGACTCATCCTTTTGGTATCAGAATCTGGAAGCCCGCTCTTTACAAGAAGAGTCGCTCGGTAGAGAAAACTGCCGAGGGCGATATTCACTCGTCTCCTGGGGGTCGTGTGAGCCCCATACTCTTTTTGACAAACCTGCTGTGGTCAGTTCTCTTTGGCTGGTGGTTGGCTTTGGCTGCCTTGCTGGCTGCGATCGCATGCTTCTTCTGTGCTTTCTCTTCCAGCGCCGTCGCGTATGGAAGGGTGTTCGCAGGACTCTCGCGCTACTTGCTCTATCCGTTCGGCTCCTTTGTTCTTCTAAGAACGGATGATAATTATGCGGAAGAAGATGAGGGTGAAGGCCGCAGCATCAGCGAGTATGAACAATGGCAGAACGGTGACTTGGAACATGGCCGGCTCTTCTTCGGACCTCGCAGAGACCGATCTCTCGTGGGACGGCGCCGCAACAGCGTTGACTCTGCTGGCGAGCAGGACAGTCTCCTCGGCCGGCCCCAACGTGGACAAGGCGAGGATTCGCAGTTCAGCCCTTCCAAACGTCGACTATTCGGTCGTGGGGAATGGACCCTCGGCCGAGTCGTGTTCTTTGTATTTTTCTATTTCCTGGTGGGACCTTTGATGCTCATAGTCTCCTTGATCTGCTGGCTACTCGTCTTCTGGATCCCAATGGGACGAGTAACCACCATTTTGGTGAGCCATCTGCGACGCCATCCCTTAGCCTTGTCATTCCACTCCGATACCTCCTATTCCCGACTTGCCACGGGTTCTTCATCCTCGTCCATCCTTTTGTGCACCTATCGCGCGGCTGGAACGAGATACTGGAAGTACACCATCGACGGCACCAACATCTTCTTCATCAACTTGCTAGCTCTCGTCGCCTTCGTCATTTTCGACTACTTCGTGCTGGACACGTTCCTGGGCATCGAGTCCTGGCTGACTCACCCCGGGCTGATTTTCACTCTCTCCTTATTCTCCATCATTCCTCTAGCCTACTTCATCGGCCAAGCTGTGGCATCCATCTCAGCCCAGTCGTCAATGGGCTTGGGTGCCGCAATCAATGCCTTCTTCTCCACTATCGTAGAAGTCTATCTCTATTGTGTTGCCCTGACCGAAGGCAAGTCCCAGCTTGTGGAAGGAAGTATCATCGGTAGTATCTTCGCCGGTATCCTCTTCTTGCCCGGTTTGTCCATGTGCTTCGGTGCTATCAAGCGCAAGACGCAGCGATTCAATGTGAAGTCCGCCGGTGTGACCTCGACCATGCTGTTGTTTGCCGTCATCGCAGCCTTCGGTCCTACCCTTTTCTATCAGGTCTACGGAAGTGTAAGTACCTTGTTCAGTGGAACTCCCTTCCTATTGGGATTGGAAAAATAATCAATGGCTAACCCATCTCTTAGCACGAGCTCAACTGTCATGCATGCGTTCGAGAGTACGACCCAGAAAGCAGAGACTGCCGCCGATGCTACTTCTCCCAGAGCGCCGCTGTTCATGATGCATTCTTTGAAAAGGCAGTCCAGCCATACGCATGGTTCTGTGCCGTTTTCCTATTCCTGTCATACATCATTGGTCTCTGGTTCACCCTACGCACTCACGCCGCCTTGATCTGGGCCACTGAGAACGAGGAAAAGGAGAAGAAGGCGGCCCATCAGCAAATCTCTGATTCGTTTACTTTCGAGCCACGGCATCTGCTTCTCCCGCCTGGTGCTGCGGAGGCATCGGGTGCAATCACTAGCCACAAAGACTCCATTCGCGAGTCTCAGCTTTACAAGCGTATCCTTGGTCAATCGTTGAGACAGGTTGGCTTGGAAGATACCAGTGGCGCCAACTGGGATCAGGTGGAAAGCGGCTCTACGTCGGACAAAAAGGCTAACATCCCTCACCTGGTGCCTCCACGTTCTAGCGGGGATAAGAATTGCAACGTGTCAAAGGCTATCCATGGTCTCTCTGGAGAGGATAATGAGCGACTTGTGCGTCAAGTCACTGAAGTGGCGGCCACGGCTGCTGCAGTAGCTGCTCGTGACGCGGCGCGTAGTCGCAAATACTCAACCCAGCAGGGCTCTTCCTCCACCCGCCAAGCTGGTCGCACTCCGGCAGATCAGGCAAAGACTCAACCTTCGGCTGAGGACAACGAGGATATTGGTATTGTCGCGGAGCCGGCGCACAATGGCGGTGGCCATGATGCTCCGAACTGGAGCAAGGCAAAGAGTTCCATCATTTTGCTGGGTGCTACAGTTCTCTATGCCATTATTGCAGAGATCTTGGTCAACACAGTGGATGTGGTATTGGAAAGTGTGGATATCGATGAAAAGTTCCTCGGTATCACGCTGTTTGCCCTGGTGCCGAATACAACTGAGTTCCTGGTATGAGAGATTCCTACTCACCCTTTCCCGACACTCCCAGGCATATTGGATGGATAGGCCACTAACATGCTAATAGAACGCCATTTCATTCGCCATGAACGGCAATATCGCCCTGTCTATGGAGATTGGTTCCGCTTATGCGCTTCAGGTCTGCCTGTTGCAGGTGCCAGCCGTGGTCCTCTTCAGCGCCCTCTACACCCGATCCATGGACCCCGCCGAGCTCGTCAGCCACTCTTTCAAGTAAGTTGCTCTCAGAACCACCCCTCCTGCGAATACTGATCCCTAACTCGCTCCATAGTCTAATTTTCCCTCAGTGGGATATGATCACCGTCATTCTTTGCGTTTTCTTGCTCTCTTACGTCTACGGCGAAGGCAAGAGCAACTACTTTAAAGGATCCGTTCTCGTCCTGACCTATCTGGTCGTGGTGATTGGTTTCTACCTCTCGGGCTACAGCAACATGGACACTCTGGGCGTGGACCGCTTCGACACCCTCGCCCTGGGCGTAAGCCAATCCGAAAAATTCTACACCGTCGGTCGCTCGCGCTCCGGTGCAGCATTCTAACTTACACATAATCGCCCGATCCTCACCCCTCGCACTAATGGCTATGGCAATGTCTCGTGTTCTTCAGAAAAGTTCAGCACAGGACAGCAGGGGCTGAGCTTTTTCTTGCGTATCATAATCTTCTTTGCATAGCGGATTTGAAGTTTGCATTCATGACCCCTCGATGGCTTTTTTTACCCCGACTCGTCTTGATTTTGTTGCGCTTTGGAATTTCTTGTGATTATCGTGTCCTCCCTTTTTGGCTTTACTCCTTGCTGGACGGGAGAGATGTTATGGAATTTTTCGCATCGTTTCTATTACTGCTGATATCGAATGGTTGCCCGTTTTATGATTTTCTTGTTACTTGCTGCTTTGAAACGAACATATACATCTGCTAGACCTGACACTACGGTTTTTCCATTCTTGGTCGTAATGGAGGTCAATGTGCGGTAATGACCGTAATATTTGGAAAAAAAAAAAATCATTATATAGTTCACGTACTTTTTTCCAACTCTCTGGATGATCGTCGTGAAGCGTTATAGTCGTAAATCCGAACGCAATGTAGCCTTCTCTCGTTTAGGCAGATCCCCAGTCACCGACAGCGTCATCGACCATCTGTCGGTACTTCTGCTGCCCGAAGCACTGCTCTAGGAACACCTTATACTTGGCTTCCAGCAGCGCCTTCTCCTTGGGTTCGGCCGTAGGCATCACCTTCTTACCAGGCTTGCTCATACGGTCCATAATATCCCAAAGATTCTCCGTGCGACCCTCCGAGTCCGAGCTCGCAGCTTTGGCGCCGAGCATGGCAGCACCATGACACACTGCTGCATGGATGTATCTCGGGATGACCACGGGCATGTCGCATGCCGACGCAATCAGCCGTACCAGGATGTCATTCTGACACTGCGAGCCGGACATGAAGATCGAGGTGATATTGTGTCCGGCCTTGTTCATCGTTTCCACAATCTGCTTCGTTTGCAGTGCGATGAACTCCAGTGTGCCGTAGTAGTACGTTGCCAGTCCGTCGACGCTCTTGTCGCTGGTTAACCCGAAGATGGAGCCCGTCATGTTCGGGTCTGCAATGGGTGATCTGTTGCCCCAGAGATCACCGTAGAAGAAAAAGTGGCGGCCGAGATAGGACACGCACGGTGCTTGTTGGTCTTGCGCCATCTCCTTGAGGTGCTCGTTTAAGTATTCGTAGATGTTGGCGTGGTAGGACTCTGCGATCGAGTGGGCCTGGTTGAATGCTGGGTGTGTTTCAATTACGTGCTTGAGTAGTTCGCCCGTGGCCGACTGCCCACCCTCTGCCATCCAGAAGCCAGGTAGGATAGTGTCCTTGTATGGACCCCAGACACCGTTCACAAAAACCGGGTCCGGCGACATTGCCAAGTGGCACGTTGAAGTTCCAGCTACCGCCGCTAGCCGAGAGAATGCTTGTGCCTTGTCGTTCTTGGCCACTTCATCACTGAGCTGGGCCGCGCCTAGATTGACCTTGGCTCCGACGGTGCCAATCCAGCCGGCATATGCGTCGATCACACCACTGCCAATGGCGATACCGGCTGGCAGGCCCAACTCTGCAGCGGCCTTTTCACAAAGAGTACCGACCAGTTCTCCAGCACTCAGATAATCACCGTTCTAGAAAAATGAACAGTCAGCGAATGGGTGCACATTTTGTTTTCCGGAATAAGGCTCACCACCCCGTTGACACCGCCCATGCGCTTAAAGTTATCCTCGGTCAAATCACTCAACCCAATCTCGTTCAAGAAATCTTCCTGCCATCCCTTGACGCTGCCGTCTACGCCGACGGGAACGTAGCCCTGCTTGCAGACGACACTACAGAAGCTCCGCTTCTCATTGCCCGTGGCAATGTGTGTCAGGGCGTCGCTCAAGTCGTAGAATTTACATTTGTCGAAGAGCTCCTTTGGCATGTTGTTCTTCAACCAAAGTACTTTGGGGATTTCCATCTCAATGGACATCTTCCCACCGACGTAACGGAGTAGGTTATGGTTAGTTGCGTTGATCTTAGCCGCCTCCTCGACGGGTCGGTGGTCTAACCACAGAATCACATTGCGGTCCGAGTCAAAGTTTGGCCCGGTCACCGAGACGGGCTCGTCGGTTTCATGGTCGAAGACTGACAGCGAGCAGGTAGCATCGAAGCCAATACCGCGGACGGTCTCGGGACTGATGTTATGCTGGCTGATGGCGCGTTGCACGGAAATGCAAATGCAGCGCCAGATGTCGGAGGTGGATTGTTCCTGAGCTCGCGAGTCAGTCGACCGTTGTTTGGGCAGGGCCGGCGAAAAGTCTAGTGATCTCATACGTAGTAACCATGCTCCGGCTGCCAGAGCCCAATATTTTCAGAGGCCAGGCCCACGATGTCGCCCTTGGCATCGATGATACAGGCCCGGGCACTGCCAGTTCCGACGTCGATGCCAATGAAATGGTCCAAATGCACCTGGAGGTCCTCGCGGGGGTCGCTCGAGGCCTGACGGGAGCTCTGACGAGAGGGACGACGATAGGGCAGCGATGCCATGGTGTCGTCAAAGGTGGGTCAGGTTATAGTTCGGATGATGAAGGGCGGTGGAGTTTAGAAATATGCTGCTCTATAGAGTATGCGGTCAGGAATCAGATTGACACCTGATTTGCTTGGTGGGGTGGGAAGAGACCTATAGCACTGATGGAGCGAGAAGAGACGAAGCAAAGAGAATTGAGGAGAAAGGAAACGGGCAGCAGTGTTGGGGGGTTTTGTTTCTTTTTGTTGTAATGAGGGGAATCATCAGTTGGATTTGTTAGTCACTGCGTCAGTCCACAGCTTGGCCCTCTATTCTGCACTCGCCCTCTAAACTGTCCCTCGGCCACCTTCTATTATCCGAAACTCTATTGTTTCTGTATTAACGAGAATGATGATACTCCTCTATATTATTTAATAGATACATAGGCTATACACAGTTCCCATATCTAGGTACTCCGAAGCATTCTCGAAATATAATTTCAGGGTATTTCAAGCTGGGCCCAAGCTCATAATACATATCCCTGCCCGCGCGGTAACTTTCGCCGTACAGTGACACTGAGCAACGCTAGGTAATGACGGCAGAGGCTAGGCAGTGAAAGAGCAAGTATTTATGATAAAACCCGTCTGCAACTACATACTGTAAATACCGTAAAAATAACCTCGAAGCCCAGCCTATAGGATAATAAGATCGAATCAAAACAGGCGGAGCAGAGCTGGCCGAGGAAGGTTTACGCATGACAAGAGGCGAAAACAGATAGAGAGGTGCATAAAAGTGGCAAAGTACTATGCAAGGATGAGAGCTACATGTCAGATTCAGCAAATTAATCTACTGAAAACATCCTGGAGCTATCAATCAAGCCTCTGGTTTGGATAATAGCAAGGATCAGACGCTGTCACATCTTTCAGCATAGTTCAGATAGCTCTTTATCTGTATTTAACCGGCGATGGAGCCGATCTCGACTTGCGTTCTATCTAATTACTTGTATGCCTAGGATATGGCACTTTATTGAAAGTTGTAAATGTATTGCAGCACTTACTATCTGCATAGGCATAGATTATATGTGCAAGTAGATAATCAATAGTCGGTTAGTTCAAGATAATTCGTTGTTCTCCGCACGTAGTTCATCTACAATGACGGAGCGAAGCACGGGCCGAGAGCGAACCTCCCAAAAAACACGGAGATCACCTTCCCAAATCCATCTCCATCTCCACCTCCACTCCTCCTCCGCCGCCACCTCAACCACCCTCCCAAACAATGCATCTCCCCTCCTTCCTCGGGGCATTCACGCTCCTACTCGCCTCCGCCTGGGCCGACGCCCTCCCCTCCTCAACAGATATCTTCTACTGGCCCGTCGGAGCCTCCCAACCCTCCGTCCTCGCCCGCGTCGCCTACGATCCGACCTCCCTAAAGTCCAACGTCCTAGCCTACAACCCACCCAACCCTAATCAAGCCGATGACCTCGTCCGCCTAGGACTCTATACTGCAACTTCGACGAACCCGAAACAATGGACTGGAAGTCTAGTCTCGCTTTCGTCGCTGGCGGGCGCGGAGCATCCGCCCACGTTGCGCCTTCATTTGGGCCCTGCGAGTGAGGTGTATCATGTGTCGCTGGCGGCATTCGAGCCTGCCTCGGCAAAGACGGGGGAACCTCGTGTGGAGCTTGTTGCCAGTGAAACTGGGACGCAGCCGCATTTGAACCGGCCAGTGGTCGTGGGTCCCGACGGAGGGAATGCGGAGGAGGTGCCGGAAAAGACTCTGTTTCAAAAGTAAGTGATACAGTGGTCAATTGCAGGGTCTATGGTATGGTGGTGAGGTGAGACTCAAATGGCTAACTTTTTGCTTTCTTTATCAGGTACTGGTGGGTGGGTCTGATCCTGGTATTCTTGACGATGTCGGGTGGTGGTGGAGAGGGGCAATAGACGCGATTAATAGTCTACGAGTAATCAATGACCCATTTCGATTTCGATCTCAATTTCTTCATTGCAAATTTCCTGGGGGGAAATGACCCTTTTCATCCCCTTCAATGAGCTAACTATGGCTGAGGAGGCGGGAGTCAAGCTAAATGAAAACGCTATGCATGTGGTATCAGGCAGACCAGGGTGCGCTCCCTAAATTCAGCCCGCAAATCCAGGCTCAAATGCAAAGAAAAGAAAAAATCAAAATGACGCCCTGATTCCATGCACTGCATATAAGCACAATGTCGATTCGTTCCCTGGTTGTAAGCGCATGCTCAGAAAATATCTCGGAGCTCGACGGTCTGTACACCGCGGCCGGAGGGCCGGATGTCCAGCAACATCAGCCCGCGATCGGTAATTGCAACGAGCTCGTTCTCATTATCTGTGAACTTCAATTGCAAGCAAACCGCATCCAGCTGGATCGCCGCAGGTCGCAGCTCTGTCAATCCGGCGGAATTGATCCACGACTCTGGGTAATGACCCGCTTCCTCGTCAACCAACACTCGCGGTTCTAGCGCCCAAACGGTCACCGTGTTCCAATTGGCAATTGCAATTCGAGTGCCCAGCGGAGAGGCCGCGATCAGAGAGCCCTCGCTGGTGTTTGACTCCTGATATCCGCCCAGCTGGGCCACCGTAGTCCAGTGGTCAAAGCGTCTTCCCCGGTCAAGGTTCATAACATGACCGCAACGGAAAGCCTGGGGGTTGGATTCGGACTTCAAGAGACAGGCCACCGTCCAATGCTCAACCCGGTGCGTTGCAATACCCACTGTCAGGTACTGCCAGTGGCAAGTACCGGGTACGGGGCTTTCGATGCCATTTCGGTGAGTTGCGAAGAACGGAATGCCTATCGCGAATTGCAGCATCAGTGAGGGAGAGTATTCTACCACACAGGCATTATTTCGCACGGTGGGCTCTGGGGTTCCGGGAATAGAATGTAGTTTTTGGAACGAGCTGAACAAAGTGTGCGCTCTGTAGTGGTGAAGCAGTTGGAATCCCCGGTCATTAAAGACCAATTTGGTGGTTGGTCCCTTTCCTGTCAGGGCAGCATCGCTGGATCTGCCGTCGTTCATCTCAGTGAGCGCGTAGCAGTCGTATGAAGAGCCTGGTGTGTGTTAGCAAAGATCGCTTTCCGTCAAGATCAAGGGATTGAACTATACAGATGATGTTTGACACCGTCTTTGACCGTTGACTCGAAGCCTTAGGCTCACCATCATTCTCTTCCTGCTCATTTCCTTCATTCTCGTCGTCCACCTCGTCGCCTTCGTCCTCGTCTTCATCAGGATCCTCAGCTAGGTAGATAGACACATGATGATCTTGAGCACGTTGACGATGCTGCCAAGAAATTGCAAATTTCTCGTCGCCATGAGCAGCAAGAGCAATTGGATCATAGTCTTGTTCGTCGTGGAAGTCATAGAGTCTCACGGCGTCCGTAAGAGAGTCAAAGCTATAGTATGCCAAGAAGATACTGCCCTGCGAATATGACTGCATCGCTTGCTGGACAAATGGATGCGTGATGTCCAGCTGCTCATCTGGGAATGGCTGGAAACGATGTAATACGTACGCTCCACGGCTGTTGAAGGCAGTGCGAAGCACTTGGATGGTTCCGAACCGTTTTGCCGGGGACTCCAGGCGGCGTCGAAGACTGACGGTCCCAGCTCGGATATCCACAAAGTAGACAGTCTCGTCTCCCTGGAAAGCAAGAAGAGCTCTGTTTCGCAGCACCGGATCGTCCAGAGAGGAAGCTCTGGCGTCGAGCTTTTTCCCTTGGAAATCGATAAGCTTCCGGTCTGTGAAATGCTCCGAACCAAAGAGCTCTTGGTGAGAGTGTTGCATCAGTCGCTTGATGAGATCTTCGGTTGGCAGCGTATCGATGTCATCTGTGCAGCCTGGTGTTTGGCATAATTGGTAAAGTACGAGCTCACGGCTCTTCGTGGCCATCTCGTAAAGACTGCGGCAGCAGAGCGCTAGCTGTAGGTACGTTGGGGTATCGCAGCTCTGGAGAATGAGCTGGACCAGCTCGGTCGGTAGATTGAGAACCATCTTGTTGGATGTCAGATGGTGCCCAAGTGATGGCGACTGGTGGAGGGGATTCTGAAGGTAAAAAACCAAATCGGTCAAGGATGGGTTGATGTGTGGAAGAGGTCTTATAGAGTCGGGAGGCCGCACGAGCCGCCTTGTTGTTGCCTGGTCCCGCTAGCTGAGAAGCTAAACTGAAAGAAAGCCTGGCCCGCGCCAGAGTTTAGGCAGAGAGAGCCGCAGTGGAAACGGATGCTCCCTCGTTAGAGAATCTCATTTGGGCAGTTTGAGCCTGTTGGGGTGAACTGGATTATAGAAAAAGATATTTTCGATTTTGGTGATCGTTGTTTATTTCGCATGCACTCCAATGTGGTTGTTTGTCGAAGCCCCGCTTCAATACGTTTTCCGCAGATAGAAAAGAACCTTAAATACAGCCTTCGTAGGATACAGTATTGAAGTGCAGCCTCATTGTCTTCTACACTCTACTATTGGCAGGGAGACGCCGAAATACCCTTGACAATATGATTCACTACGAGAGCATCCAGTATCAAGATCATCCTTGAAAAATAAAAAAAAGTTCAAACTTCGTTGCTTTGATGCATACAGCTAGCGAATCCTCTTTTCCAGGCCAAACGCCCGCAATGCAAATACACAAAAAAATCAATCGAGCATCATAAACTAGAAGAATGGGTATCCGCTATCATCAAGGGCAAAGAGGAGGAGAAGAGAAGGGGTCTTTCATCACCGCTTGCATTCAATCGTCCTCGTCGTCCATCCGGGAGACGAGCCACTCGAGCACACTTTCATAGCAAAGTACGAACTGACTCAGGTTTTGGACCATGCTGGGCCTCTGGGTTCGGAAGTCTTCCACAGTCTTAACAATGAGGTCGAGGCTCGAGTTTTGAAGAGCCCCGATGTCAGAACCTGGATTCTTCATGCGCTGTCGCTTCAGCATATCGAGCACGCTGTCCACGGTGCAAAAGGTTCCCGTGCGCCCACAACCTGCGCTGCAGTGAACCAAGATCGGCCGCTGGCCCTCCGGCTCGGCATCTTGGTTTCCAAACTTGGAGGGGCTAGTGGCCCGGATGACCTTGTTACATTGCTCGATCAGATTCAATAAATGGGCCGGTTGGGATGTGGTTCCGAAGTCTGGCCAGTAGGGATATTGGAGTTGAGTGATATCCCGCAGAGGTTGGAAGGGGAATGCGGTATGATAGAGACTGAAGTGTCGCACAATGATGACCGGGTTGTCGTTCGATTCGTCCGGTTTCTGTGCTTGCTGGCCAGACCCGATAGGGTATTTCACCGTAGGGTCAATGGCCTTGGCATCAACGTTGATGAATCTCTCTGAGTAGGCCTTGACCTTAAAAGGGCCATAGTCTCCCGACTTCCAATAGGGATGGCACTTGACCTGGCCTCGCTCGACTTCGGCAGTCAAAGAAACGAGCAGCCGGACGTCTTGTTCCCATACTACGCGCCAAAAGTCCTGTATTCCGAGTGTCAGTATTCATCAGAGAGTGACCAAATGAAGAGCGAAACAATTACTCACATTGAACGTATCAGGCACTGGAGCCTGCGTGGCGATGTACCGTCGATTACTGAGCTCGGCCTGGATGTGATTCGCATTCACATAATCACAGCCCCCCGATGGAATGCCCTCAAGACGGACCCGAGAATGATCGAATGGATAGATATCGTTATAGCGATTCTTCGTGCCTTTCTCAATCCCTGCAACGCGATATTTCTTGGTAGCACCCCCCGTGGACGCCGAGTTGCCGTCGTACGTCAAGGCCTGCTTCATCCGTTCTAGTTCTTTCTTCTCTAGCCCCAAGAACTTCTCGGAGACAAGGTGCCCTTGATCCTTGACGTCCGAGGTATCTCGTAGCCACAAGGGGAGTTCCCGTCGTTGCGTTTCCGTCATACCGTCTGGTAGCTTCAATGGTATTTGTCCGACTCCTCCCATGAGATCCATATTCTGTCGAATATTGCCAAAGAAAGGATTGACGGCGGATGAGGAATCGGGCAGTGCACAACCCCCGACAACCGGAGCAATGGACTGTAGATCGATGCTCATCGGTGAGCGCTTCTTCTTCGGCGACGGTCCCGCCGTCTGTGCCTGTGGTCGGTGAACATATTGCGGAAACTGCCTCGAGAATGCCGTGAACCCTCCTTGTAGGATCAGCCCCTCCCCTTTCCAGTTCTCTGCCTGGAATTTGGTGATGACATGCATTAATGGAGCGGCGTCCTTGACCTCTGACGTAGCGGAGTCATAGACGATAATCATGGTGCACTCTCGCCATCGAGCAAAGTTGCTTTTATCATTATCACTAGTGAAGGTGTTCTCGAGTTTCTGGGTGTCGAACGAGCGACGTTTGAGAAGAGTGGTCGGGATGCATAGGTTTAAAGAGCCAGTGATGTTGGACTGCGAAAAATGGGCATATGGTCGAACGTCTAAAAGTAGTACTTTCGGTAACTTGGACTTGATTATCTCAGCACAACGCTCAGCCGTGATCCATCGAGATGATATGGATGTTCCGTCATCTAAGGGTGTGAAAGTTAGCACGTCTGGGTCTGTTGCAAGAATATGAAAGCGGATTGTCGAATGAGAACTTGCCTCGTGAAGGAGCTCCTGAGTTCTGTCCAGGCTTGAGGCAATAGCTATTCGGAGGTTCCTGCATCCGGTTGTTTGAATGCCCACTGGTTGTTGGGGAATGTGGCGCTCTCGTCCATGTTCGGGTGACTGAGTCTCCATTTGTAGAGAGACTCTGCAAAGCCGACTCGCGTCGACCTTTATCAGCTTCCGACTCGGTTCTCAAGAGGGTTGACAGACCCTCCGATACCGACTCCTGCGAGAACAGTTGAAGTGTGGGGCTTGGTAAAGATGATTGAAATGATCCCCAGTTCTTTTGCGTGTGCGATCCAGGATTCGAGGTAGGGGGATTACCGGAGCTTTCCAACATGATCCCAAAGTAGTTGGGGCTAGTTCGTTCAGAGCTCATGTGCATGCTCGCCTGTGACGGTGACATGCTAGGATGAAAAGGTTGGTTGGCTCTACCTTGAGCATTCTGCACCCAGGGGGAGGAGGGCGATCGCCCTGGACCAGTCATTATGATGACGGTCTGTTTGACTCCCGCCGAGTCTGATGAGGCTGGTGGTATCGGAAAGAGCAACGATCTTTTCACAACACCATGGACCTCGACCCTGATGCGATTGTGTTGAATAGATAGCCAGGAATTCCAGAGATCTTTGACTTGAGACCTGTCGCCAAGATCTGGCAATCCTGGGGTCTAGAGTGACAAGAGACAGCACAACATCGACTGCAGAGTCTTAATAGTGACTGACGTAAGGGCGCAGAAGAAGGAATCCGACGGTTTGAGGGGCAGAGAAGGGGGATGGTCCAGCCCAAGGGTACTGTGAGGGTAATGGACAAACCAATGAAAAGGTGGAGCTTCACCTGGAGGGGGGGGGGATGCCTCAGAAGGATCGGTGTTATTCCATGATTAATAAGATTATTAAGGCACCGGGGGGCTTCCAGCCTTCCAGAAGAAAAAAAAGGCGATGACGTTGTTGTGTGGGGATCACGGGTTTGGTCAGCCCTCGGTTCGGCCTAGACCCATCTCGATCAACTACGTAGTGCTACAGTCCGGTCCAGTGTCTCCTTCATGATCTACCTTCGGTTTAATGTGCTCTATTGATTGAATACAATATGGCACTATCAAACAAGACATAAAACATACTCAAGAGTCCCTGCTTCCAACTCGGATCATCAAAAAGGAAAGTCGCGCAGCGTATGGTCTGCCGAATCCGGCAACGGCTATGAACGCCTCCTTGTCATAGCAATGCCCATCGAACCCTCTAGACCCGTCGGGTGCAGGCCATAAACGATGTACCCGACAGGATGGGCATTTCACAATATCTGCTATGGAGGGTGTCCGATACTCGCCATGACCCTTTACCAGCCTCAGCAACCGGAGAGGCAGGTGGTCTCCGCAAAATGCTCAATATCCACTGGGGGACCTCCACATGATCTCATCTTGAGGGAATCACCGAACATCTAACCAGGCTAGGTTCCCAGAACCTAAAGCATCGGCCTTGCATCATCCGTTAAAACACGTCAATAAATACATCACATCTGCGAGAAACAGGAACGGACAGGATCATGGTAAACCCCCCTTTTTGCCTTCCGGTCGGGTATTGGCCACAATTTCCCGAGATGCAGACGCAGGTCTTCTTGTCGATGATGCCAAGTGGAGCGTTCATTGTCAAGTGCAATTTGAACAAGGAACAGCTGGGCAACACTCGTAGCATTTCAAGATTCCATGCTGAAGATGAGAGGAAATCCTGAACCATGTGCTCTACAGACTGTACCTATATAGGTAGGTCGTCTTCTTGCTTGAGAGCGGAAGGGGGACGAACACTCCTTCATCGGACAGTGCGACGAGAAAAGCGGGTGCCAAGTGACACCAGCCTATCAAGCACTTTTCTAGAATTCGGGTTCTTGGTCCAGATCATAGCCTTCCGTCGGGCTCGCCATCGAATCGTTTCACTCGTTTCTGTTCCCAGTTGTCCAAGTCCTTCGCCATAAGTCTCTGTGAATTCGATCAGCATGCCGTTCAATCGTTTGGCAATTGAACGGATTCGGGTGATCGGAGCTCGTACATAGTATTCCTCACGTTCGTCGCCAATGACTCTGCGACGAGGGTTTCGCTTGATACCCTCTTCTCCGTCGGGTCCTTTGAGTCCTAATTCAAAAGCTTCTTCTTTGCTGAGTTGCTGAACTTTGCGATCGTAACGTTCGTACCGAAGGGCTGCAGCTGGAGTCAGAGCAAAAGACCCGGCTACAATGACGGCCATGAAAGGAAGGCCGAAGAGAAGAAAAGGGTGTCGAGTAAGCCGAGCCCGATAGAATGCACCCAGACGCTCTCCGAACGAGGAGGATGCAGTGGTCGCGCGACGAAACGTTTTGGATTGAAAAGTAGGCATGTTGTAAAAGTAACTTCTGTACAAATAGAGTAGCAAAGCAAAAAGAGGTGCAGTCAAGTAATAAAGAAAAGGTCCAAACAAAAAAAAATGGTGCCCGTCCAAGCCGGGGAAAGATGAAGACTACCTTGTACGGAAAATCAATTGTCCGATATACCGGGATTGAATTGTTTGGGCCGCTCATCGCAGAAGAGCATGAGCTTCTTCAAAGCTGACCCTCTGTTCATTCATACTGGGGTATAGTGGCGCAGAATCAGAAGCGATTTTAGGTCTGCCTAAAGTAGACTCTGAGGGCTGCAGTCTGTCCACATTGGACCTGTTTGATCTTTTTGTCTAGCTCCCAAGGCGTTCGCGACTTGGGTTTTTCTCTTCCCCTCAGCAAACGCCAGCCAGAAAATCACCCGTCATCGAATTCAATCCAGAGCTTGCCGGTGACCACACTCAGCTTACGACTAGACGATGACTTCAAACACGGGCTCTTTGTTCGGAGGAGCCGGTGGTTTCGGGTCTACAGCAAATAAACCTTCAAGCATGTTCGGCTCAACCACCAACGCGACCAGTGCCTTTGGAAACACCTCAACTGCACCGGCGCAGAGCGCCCAGACATCTTCCTTGTTCGGTCAAAGCCAGGCCCAGCCCCAGCAGCCAGCGCAAACCTCTCTACTCGGCCAGCCCCAGCCGCAACAACCCAGCAACGGACAAGCCGCAGGACAACCTTCGACTCAAGGAACCCAGCCTGCCTTCTTCAACAGTCTCCTGGAACGTGGCAAAAAGCGACCACTCTCTGCGACTGTGCAGAGCGGCAACTTTGAAGACGTCCCCAGTCTGCAATTGGGCCTGGATGACATCCGGAGAAAGGCTAGGGAACTGGGTACACCTGGAACCAAGGATTCCCTGCAGAATGGCACCACTACCAAGGCGTAAGTTGACGAATTCTTTCATTTTCTCTATATTTTGCTAGACATTACGGTCTGACTTGGATACATACCCAATAGTCATTATCTGCTCGCCTCTTCTGGCGTTTCCCCGGGGCGGGCGTTACGCGACCTAAGGTCTCTAGACCCTCAAGCTTCTATGGCCCCGGTTCGAGACCCTGACAGCTTCGATCCCGACAACCAGCGGTTCTTGAGAAATATCCAGCAGCGTGGCCGTCAAGTTATGATTCAAGAGAGCCTTTCTCGCGCGCAGAGAGACTTTGATACATTCTTGGAAGAGAAGGTGGACATGGACTGGGAAGAACAGCGCCAGAAGATTTTCCAACACTTTGGACTGTCTCAGAAAGATGCATCCAGTGCTGATGATCTCAAGTCGACGATGCGTGGTGCCTTTGGCCGATCTGCCCGACAAACCAAGCAAACCGGAGGCCCTGCGGCTGGATCTCGCCGAAGTGTCTTTGGCCGTTCTGGTCTGGACAAGTCTGTTATCGGAACGCCTGGGACCGGCCTTGCCAGTCGCCAGCTTTTCGAAGATCCCGCCGAACGAAGCGAAGGACCTGCTACTTCCTCACCCGATCTCCGTTTCTTGCGGGAGAAGATGGGTCACTACGCCGAAAAGGTTCAAGATTTGAATCTTGCTCGGCTCCAGGGCAGGACATATCCCATTCTCCATCACTTTTCGGAAGTCGAAATGCATGCCGGCGGCGACGTAAGACTACCACTATTGACCTATGGCTTTTCCCTTTTAAGATCGCTAAACAAGATTTAGGTTCCCCAGCAACTTTTGGCTGCATATCGGGCGTTGACGACCATTATCAAGGAGAACCCCAGCATCACTGATAGGACCGACCCTGGTGCGGTGAGAGAGCGACAGTTTGCGGCTGACTATCTAGAAGAGTCCGCCAAGTCCCGCAACTCGGCCAATCTGAAGAACAAGATCCTTGAAGGCTCAAGGACTTTCCTAGAGAAGTCATTTTACAGCGAAGTGGAAAACGCAATTGCTAAAAACCCACGCGAAGCTCAATTGGGCGGTATCCCGAGTACTATCAACAAGATTCGAGCATACATTCGCCTCCGCGCCGCGAGGAAAGACTTGGCTCCCGATGGAACCGAACTTCAGATGGTTGGAGATGACTATTGCTGGATCCTAATCTTCTATCTGCTTCGTTGTGGATTTGTTGAGGAGGCAGCAGCTTATGCAACCACCGATCATGGGTTCCGGTCTTTGGATCACAAGTTCGTGACATATCTGACGACTTACGTGCAAGATAGACGACTGCAGCGGGATATGCAGCAGAGAATCAATGGCGAGTACCAGCAACGACTACGGAATGCACCAGAGGGCACAATCGATCCTTATCGAATGGCTTGCTACAAGATTATTGGCCGCTGTGACCTGTCCCGCCGTCGCCTGGAAGGTATCAACCAGAGCGTCGAAGACTGGATGTGGCTTCAGTTCAGTCTCGCTCGGGAAGATGACCGTGCCGAGGAGGTAGCAGGCGACGTCTTTGGTTTGGAGGACATACAGACGGATATCGCTGAGATTGGACAAAGGGTCTTCACTAAGGGCCAAGGCCAGGATGCCCCCGGCGGCTATGGAACGTTCTTCCTCCTCCAGATACTAGGCGGCATGTTCGAACAGGCCGTAGCTTATCTCGGCACCTACGCTCCAGTGACTGCCGTTCACTTTGCTATCGCCCTTGCTTACTATGGTCTGCTGCGTGTGTCTGACTTTTACACTTCAGGGGAAGAGATCCGTAAGTGTTCACTTTCCTCGTCGATGAGAAGTTTATGACAACTGTTCTGCTTTGACTTTTGCAGCTATTTGTGTCTCGACTAACTTAAACTCCTCAATCTATAGTGTCGTTTACGGTGAAGCAATATCCTCAGATCAATTTCGGATACCTCATCACCCAGTACACTCGGGAATTCCGGACTGGATACGTTGAAGCTGCCATTGATTACTTCACTCTTATCTGCCTCAATGCAGACCTGGGAGGCGCTCTCGGCAAGTCTCAGTCGTCAGTATGCCATGAAGCTCTTCGTGAGTTCATCTTGGAGACCAGAGACTTTGCCAAGTTGCTGGGTGATATTCGTGACGATGGCACCCGAATCAAGGGTATCATTGAGCAGCGCCTAGGTTTGATCAACCTAGCTGATCAGGAGGACTTCTTGAAGAACATCACGATCCAAGCTGCTGGCGTAGCAGATGACAAGGGCCTGATCACCGATGCGGTGCTCTTGTATCACTTGGCAGAAAACTACGATCGTGTCATTGACATCATCAACCGTGCCCTGTCAGACGCGATCGCGATTGAGTTGGGCGGAACCATGCCCAAGTTGCAGCCCCTCCGCCCACGGCTTCAAGAGGGCCAGCCGGGCCCTATCGACCCGGCCAGCAGCCTCAGCTTGACATCTGTTGATGACCCGGTCGAGCTTGGCAAGACCATGATCACCCTCTACGACGGGAAGCCAATGTACTATGAACAGATCCGTCCCATCAACCGCGATTCTTGTGGCCTTCTTCTCCGCATGTTGACAGCCAAGCATGAAGTTGAGGCTGGCCGATGGGCACCCGCGCTCGATGTAAGTGTATCCCACTCCAATATCTCACACAGCGTGTCTACCTTCTTTACTAATCTCGTCACATAGTGCATCAATGCATTGGGCATTTTACCTTTGCAGGCCCAGGGCGTCATGCAAAAGGTCCGCAGCGCGGCTCAGGCTTTCTCGTCCTTGCCGGAGATTATTTCGCGCAACATTGGACATGTCATCATGTGGAGCATTGCGTGTATCGGGAATGAGCGACGCCGTCAGACGAGCGGTCCGTACGAAACGGAGATGCACCAAGGCTTTGCTGACCAACTGCTGGTCATGGCAAAGGACCTGATGATCTTTTCTGGTATGGTGAAGTACAAGCTGCCCCCCAAGGTTTACGAGGCTCTTGCTCGTGCCGGAGCAGACATTGGCGCGTACTAGACAATTAGCGAGCTTGCTTCGTGTACTCTTCCGTTTATCAAGTAATACAGGTGCCAGTTCGGTGATAAACAGTACTTCATCTTCTTTGAGACTTCTTCTCGTGTATCTGTGGTCTGATGTCGGTAGGGACGGACCTATAGAATCAGCATTTGGTGGATTAAAGGATGTACACCAAGTTCCCCACGGCTGGAGCAGATATGTATCTGCGCGGATGCGAGGGTCGGCAACTACTGTCAAGCCGAATATTAGAGTAGAGATTTTACCCATACATTGTCCGCCGTTATATTCAGGTAATCTTCAAACCAATAGTGATTTGAAGGTATAATGAGAGTCAAATTGCTGTGGTTTCCACGGATCATTTCCGATAAGAACGCCAAGCCTCTGGGCGGTTCTGCAACAAAGACCTCCGCTTCGCGCTGCAAAAGTCGCCGTTGACCGCTGCTGGAGCCGACTTTTCGATCACGACTAAACATGCCCCAACTGCACTCGACCTCAAGCGGCCACTGATTGACCTCGATCTCCGTCGCTGTCGGGCCCCAGCCCACCATGAACGATGTTCCTCCCCGCGCATCGGACTCGAGCGCGTCGGCGGACACAGTGAGAAGCGGCTCGGTCTCCCCGCACGAGGATGGACGCGCCGATGATGTCGTGGAAACTCTCGACCAAGAGTCCCAACCACTGCCGGAGATCATGCGAGATGATGTAATGGACGAAGACGCTCCAGCCGAGCCTGTTACGGCACCGATAAACCTGTCCAGCGCGTTGGCGAGACAAGCACAACAAGGAAACGCTCATGATTCCCAGTCGCAAAATCTTACGATTGAGCCTAGTGGAGCTCAACCCAGGGATTCGGGTATGCAAACAGCTCAGAGCATGTTCGAAAACCCGCCTAACCTTGCACGGATTCGCCGGGTTTTGTTCGAGTGCAAGGACCCAATCGAGATCAGCTTGGAGGAATTCGAGACGTATTGGCCATTCATCGATAATGTATGGGTCAAGCAGAGAACCAATGCTAGCAAAGAGGGTCATTGTACTACGGACTACTATATGTGTCGCCTACGACGCCCAACTCATCGCACATCCGAGACTCGCCCGCTGCCGCAAGGGAAACGTCCCCGCAAGAAGCGCGTGCGCGAAGGGGGCCTCTGCAACTTCCAGATCAAAGTGGTCCGGTTTGACGGCGCATATACCACGGTGACCATTGCGAGAACCCCCGGAAGTGGCAGCGTTCATTCCCATGACTTGGACTACATCGACCGCGTCAAGCGCAACTCCGGCCTGATGGAATTCGCGCGAAGGGAATCTGCAAAAGGATATCTGCCTTCTTCTATCTACACCAAATTCCAAGAGGAACCGGAGAAGCTGAATGAAGCTGGAGGACGGTTCCTCACCGTGACGGACGTGCGCAATGTCTCCGCCAAGTGGCGCATCCAAAACCCCGAAGTCAAGCTTATTCCTCATGATGGGTATCAGCTGGTCAAGGGCCACGGCATTGTAAAATCCGTGAGCGCCGTCAGTTCCGGCGAATCTGCTCAGACCCAGCCTATTCTGTCCACCTCATCACCACATCTGCCGCCTGACACATTATCCTTCCCCAACTTTTCCCTGGACTTTTTACAGCCCTATTTACCCAATCACTCCGATAAACGCGAGCTGCCCCACGTCACCCTGTCCTATGCATCATCCATGGACTCCAAAATCTCCCTTCTACCGGGAATGCAGACGGTTCTATCGGGGCCTGAGGCCAAGCTCATGACCCATTATCTTCGCTCCCGCCACGATGCCATCCTAATTGGCGTTGGCACTGTCCTTGCGGATAACCCAGGATTGAACTGCCGCCTCGAAGGGGCCGGTGGCTTCGGTGGACTGGGGCGGATGTGGCAGCCTCGTCCCGTGGTGATTGACCCCATGGGACGCTGGCCCATTCACCCAAATTGTCGTATGCTCCGAACGGCCGTGGAGGGCAAAGGCAAAGCGCCGTGGGTAGTCGTCTCGCCGGGAGCGCAGATCAACCCCCAAAGGCTGATGATGCTCAAAGGTTACGGCGGTGACTTCCTTCGAATCGTGGAGTACAATCAGAACTGGCGATTACGATGGGAAGCTGTCCTCCGGGCCCTGGCGTCCGAAGGGATCAAGAGTGTCATGATCGAAGGCGGTGCGACGGTCTTGAGTGAGCTCCTGAACCCGGAGTATACCAACTTCATTGACTCGATTATCGTGACGGTGGCGCCCACCTATCTCGGTCGTGGTGGTGTGAGTGTCAGTCCAGATTCGAAGCTGGATCAAGAGGGCAAGCCTAATGCGGCGTTGAACCCTCGAGACGTCAAATGGACACCGCTAGGTCAGAATGTTATCATGTGTGGCAACATTCGACAGCGTGAGCCTGAGCGACCAGATGATTCTGCTCTATGAAAGTGTGAGGCCTGGGCTTTTCCTCGGCGAGCACGAAGGCTCGTGACTGAGTTGGGACGATAGTTTGATAGTACGATAATTTCCTGTAATTACGATAGCCATGACAATGACGATGAGATAATGAAATACGACGACAAACCAGAGTCAACCACAATCAGGCTATGAACGAGGTAATGATAGTATAGTAGGCCCGGAAAGTAGTCAACAAGTCAACACGAGGCGGTACACAACAACGTGATCAAAGAGAAGGGAAAGAGAATAATGGGCCTGGTGCCTGAATTATCTGGTGTCCGGCGGTTGTGATCGAGACAAAGGTAAACATTGCATGATTTTCAGGCAATTGAATGGCAATTTACGTAGAGGCTAACCTACCTGGAGGCTAAGATAGCTTTGACTTGAGCTACCTCCGTTCGGGTAACGATTGTAGAATTTTGCTGGGACAATAGTAGGCTGGAGTAGAATAATTACCTTTCGAATCAATAGAGATCTTTGGCCTGGTAAACAATCGGCGGCTTAGTGCCTAAACTTTTTTTTTCTGCCACAGCCTGCGGGAAGCCGGGGGGGGAATGCCGCATATTTATTGACTCCCACGTTCCCCAGCATCGCTTTTCTACCTTTTCTTTGTCGCGTCTTTTCTTTCTCTCTCCCCCTCCTCATTTCTCGACTCCTACTCTCCCACTTTCATATCAATATACCTACATTCCACAACCACAATGCCTCCCAAGAAGAAGAATGTGGAGACCACCCCGGCTAAGCCTGCAAAGGCTTCGGCCAAAACCTCGACCAAACCTGCGGCCAAAGCCGCATCCAAGCCTATCGCAGTAGGCCGTGGTCGCCCAAAGAAGACCGACGCCGCTCCAGCCCCTAAGCCAACTACCACCAAGACCACCAAGGCCTCGGCGAAGAAGGTCACCAAGACGGTGACGAAGAAGGAGCCCGCCGCTGCCGCCGCCGACGCGTCAAAGAAGACGACGCAGTCCGCCGAGAAGGCCACCAAGGCGAAGGCCTCGACCATGTCGACCGCCGGGTCAAAGAAGCGCAAAGCCGAGGAGGCCGAGGAGGCCGAGGAGGCTGAGGAGGAGAAGCCCCGCGTGCCCAAGAAGCCTCGCGTCATCCGCGAGGCCAAGCCCAAGGTCGTGAAGCCAAAGGCCGTTGCCCCCAAGGTTGTCATCAACGAGGTCCCCAAAACTCGTCTGAACGTGTTTGTGTGTGGTGAGGGAAGCTCCGGTGAGCTGGGACTGGGTGCAGCCAAGGCTGCCATCGACGTGAAGCGACCCCGGCTCAACAAGTTCCTGGACGCTCAGGAAGTTGGTGTTGTGCAAGTCGCAGTTGGAGGCATGCATTGCCTGGCCCTAACCCACGACAACAAGATTTTCACCTGGGGTGTGAACGACCAAGGCGCGCTCGGACGCGACACGACCTGGGACGGTGGCTACAAGGAGATCAAGGAGGACGCCGGTAGTGACTCGGATTCGGAAGATGAGGACGACAGCGGTCTGAACCCGCGTGAGTCGACTCCTACCGCCATCCCTTCTAGTGCATTCCCCGATGGAACCGTCTTTGTTGCCGTTGCTGCCGCCGATAGCGCGAGTTTTGCTCTGACCGACGATGGTCAGGTTTACGGTTGGGGAACCTTCCGAGTAAGTTGACCAAATTCTTCTAGCTCGGTCCCATCATGCTAACCATCGATATTTCGGGAATCATTAGAGCAACGACGGAGTCTTGGGCTTTGATCCTGAGCACCACATTCAGACCACCCCCCTTCTTATCCCCTCCCTCAAGAAGATTAAACAGCTCGCCTGTGGTGCCAATCATGTCCTCGCCCTCAATGACCGCGGAAGCGTCTTCTCCTGGGGTTCTGGCCAGCAGAACCAGCTCGGTCGCCGCATCGTCGAGCGTAACAAGCTCCATGGTCTGCAGCCTCGTGAGTTTGGCCTGCGTAAGAACATTGTTCACGTCGGCTCCGGTTCCTACCACTCCTTCGCTGTGCACGCCAACGGCACGGTTTACGCCTGGGGTCTGAACAGTTTCGGTGCCACCGGTATCCGTGACAACGCCGGCGACGATGAGGCCGCTATCTCTCACCCTTCCCCTGTCGAGTCGCTCTCCAACCAGAACATCACCCAGCTCTGTGGCGGCGCTCACCACTCAATTGCCCGCACTGCCGATGGCAAGTGCCTGGTTTGGGGTCGTGTCGATGGTCACCAGTGCGGCATCAAGGTCGACTCCCTTCCAGACGATTCGGTCATCAAGGACGCGCGCGGACGTCCCCGTATTCTGATCGAACCCACTGAAGTTCCCGGTATCAACGCCGTGGCCGTTGCCGCGGCTTCGGATCACTCGCTTGCTATTGACGCTGACGGTCGTGCTTGGTCTTGGGGCTTCTCCGCCACCTACCAGACTGGACAGGGCACCCAGGATGACATTGAGGTAGCCACCAAGATCGACAACACTGCTACTCGTGACCGCAAGCTGAACTGGGCCGGTGCCGGTGGGCAGTTCTCCGTCTTCACCGACGCCGCGTGAAAATCATCATTTCCTCCTCTCCCTTACTCCTGTATCCCGCCGACCTCCTTCGGCGCCTTGTGATACGGTCTGGGATATATGTTTCATCAGTTTCCATTTCGTTCCTTTCTCTGATGCCCCATGACTTTGTTTTTTCCCCTGAATTCTATCTCCTGGTTTCGCTTTTCCGTTGTTTCTTATTCTTTTTCTTTCTGTTTTGCTGGTTGTTTCTGGTTTCCCTGATTATTTATTTACTTCGGCGCAACCATGGGAACGCGAATCCACTCCTGAGGAATTGGTCAGGCATGCTAGAGTAATATTCCAGGATCCGTTTTCTGTTGCACTCAATGATTCAATGTTCTGCACGATATTCGTGTGACTGTACCATAATTTTCTTTTCTGCATGGAATGTCGAGTACAACATGGAATTCATTCTCATTATTAATAGAAGTACAGTGGCTCTATGGTAATAATTACAAGCCCAAGTCATTCATAGCTTCGTATTCGGCGTCAAAGTCGTCCATGGCTTCATTGGGAGCTTTCGAGGCTGGCTCCGGCATTCCGGACATGACCTCGTCTTGCTCCCGCAGAAGATCTTCGAGATCATCATCATCGGGCTCGGGATGACTGATTAGAGCTCTCGTCTCTGCCTCGGGATCCGGCATGAACAAGTCTTGATCGGCCGTGTCTGATCCCACTTGGTGGGACCCGGAGGGATTGAAAGCTCGCGTTTCTGAAGACTCGAAACCATTTGGATCAGTGGCAATTGCCGTGGAAACATCCCGCGTGTCGGGCTGGTCGATCGTATCATCGAACAATTTTGGCTTCTCCTCATCGATCCACTCTCGTCTCATAGTCTGAATCCGCTTGGTGTGGCCCAGTTTCTCGATAATGGTCAGACCGTCTGCGAACTTGGCGCGAGGATAGAGGTCATCGAGCCACAGTTGATAGAAGTTTAATAGTCGCTCGGCGTCTGGGAACTATAGAAAGAGTTGAGTGAGTCTTCAATTGCGTCGTTATTGGATACCTGGCAAGCTGACTTACCTCGTAGCCTTTGCCCTTGAATTTAAGCTTCCGCCTAGCTGTGCGGCGTAACTTGGGGATTCCTGGCTGTGATAGTAGGCTGTGAAAGACTTGTTAGTCCCAAATCCTAATCCATGCTGGGCGCATAAGTGCCTGGATGGCGTACCGGGCTTCGTCGAGCTTTGGTGCAGGCTGTCTTTTCTTGGTAATCTTAACTTCCTCGTCAAGTCCAAGACCTAATGAAGTGGGATCGCCTGCGGCCGGTTTGGAGGCATCGGCGTTAGACGCAGTAGTTGGCTTGTCTTGGAAGATCTCATCGAGGCCAGCGTCGTAGTCGAACAGATCATCCACATTGCCGGGAGATGGAGCGCGGTCCAGAGTCTCATCCATTGCAATGGGTAGCAAGTCTTTCTGTACTTCAATACTCTCAATGCTTCAATGCTCGGCTGGTTGTTCACGACCGCCAGAGATCGCGTCCGAGGACTATTGGACGCGACGAGTAATCGGTCAAGACGATTGGCTGCGGCGGTGCTGCCCGCCCGGAGCGCGCTAAGCCCAAAGCGGGCTAGTAGACTCCTCCCTCCAACTTCCGAACTTCGAACTTCGACTCTGCACAACAATCCCCACCAACAGCATCATGGCTTCCGACCACAGCACGGCCATTGTGCCCCCTAAGCGGGCTGTCACTGACTACCCAGTATGAATTGATCCCTTAGGATTCGCCGAGATCCTCTAGCTAATGACCTTCTCTCTCTGCAGCTGATTGACTCCGACCCGTACGATATCCGATACCCTCCCCGGGCTTTCCCTTGAATCAAGACTCACCAACTTTATCTAGGCATTTGCGCCGGGTTTTCGGATATGCCCGCTCCTCTGACTATGCTGTTGCCGGGGCGGCTGCTTCTGTCTCCCCCATTGCCTTCTGGGTTATGGAGCGAGTGAGCCCGTCGCATGTTGGCCGTGGTGGCTTTTCCCCGGTGATGCGCCTGGCCACTGCTGTCGGTCTCCTTGGTGGTCTTCACGTCCTGTACCAGCGCTCTTGCCGTATGTTGACTTTGCTATCTCTTTCGATTGTTGAATCGCTGACTAACGCTCGCTACAGAGCGTTTCTACGGATTCACCGAGAACACCAGGGAAGTCGAGATGGATATGCGGGAGATGGTTGACAAGGTGAAGAAGGGCGAGCCCCTGTACGGCAAATCCCAGGTGTCTTCCTATCTCCAGGGTGTGGCTGCTCGGAACTCGCGGTACTCTGAGCTGTTCATCCACGTCCTGCCATGGATCAACGTCGTCAACCACGATCAGGTTAGTTTTATGCTTCCCTACCCCGCCCTGTCCCTCGATATCTTCCTGGGATCTAAACCGGTAGTTATACTGACCGCTAAAATTAGCACGGCGTGGACACTGCCAAATACTACCAGCAAGCAGAGCGTGAATTGGAAGCAGAGCGTTTGAGCAAGGCCTGATTGTTTTTTTTTTCGCCTACGAGATCTCTACAGTACCACTCGTCAAGGTGGACTTGGAGTTGCACAAGTTTTGTACACATATCCTTTTGTGTTTTTTTTTTCATTTCCCTTCCAGGCGCAATTTCAATTAAAACAAATATTTGTTCGTGTCCGACATTCCTAGCGGTACGAAGTCTTGTAGGCCTGGGCCATTTCCTATTTCCTCACGATGCGGACTCCAGATTATCGACATCAAAGCACGCATAAGCTTTCTAAGAGCTTTGCTCAATATTGCCCCCGTCACCCCCGATCTCCGGCACTCTGTCGAATGCAGTGTTGAGCTCGCGGTTCCTCTTGGGTCGGGGTTTCGGTGCTGGTGAGGGACGTTAGCACTGCAAAAGATGTTGAGGCTCAGAGTCTGAGTGCAACTGACCTTTGTCATTCTCTTGGATGTAGAAGCGGCGCAGCAGCATGATGGCTTCCTTCTGGAACAGGCCTCCATACACTGGATAGGGCGGGTCGATGGAGCGACTGTTGAAATAGTCAGCAAGCATTTTTAAGCTTCAGGATAAGAGATGTATCATCACTGACTCGGAATGAATGTTCAGAACACCACCAGTTCCTCCAAAGCGGTCATTGGCACAGCCAAAGTACACACTGCGAATCCCGTACTGCCTGAGAGCCGAGGCACACATGATGCAAGGCTCGACAGTCACATAGAGATCGGTGGACTGGAGGGCAGACTTGGGGTAGCTCTGGAGCATTTCTGCAATTGCCAGGAACTCGGCATGGCGGGTTCCCTTTTAGGCTGTCAGCATTTGAGCTCCTCTTTTTTTTTTTTTTTTTTTTTATCAAGTTGCGTTATAGGGAGGTCGAGGGGGGTTTGGGGTTCTAGAGGGAGGCGATCACTTACATTCATCGAGCGGTTGGTGTCGTTCATACCCCGTCCCACGATCTTGTTGTCGTAGACCAGGACGCATCCCACTGGAGTCTCTCCATGCTCCAAGGCTTGTTCGCCCTGATAGTGATTCGTCAGCCCTCCGCGACCTGGTCAGGAAGAGGGACAGTAGATATCTTACCATCATCAGGGCCTGCTTCATCCAGGAGGCATGCTTGGAGTTCTCGGAAACGGCAGGAGTGATCTCATGTTCCGTGATAGGCTCGTCCATGGTGGTGGTGGTTGCTTGTCTGGAGGGACGATGAGTATGTTGAGAGAAGAGAGAAAAACAAGATGTGAAGAGCGACCACGTGCACCCCATCTTGGTTAAGTGGTCAGGCGGAGGTACGTGTCAGAAATCCGATGATGGTGGGGGCAAGAAGTCGGGGTGAAGGGAAATATCCATAGAAGAAGCTCGCATGCAAAAGCACAAAAGGTAGGTAGAATGTGAACAATCTTTCACTTACTTCGATTTGAATTCAATTGGGTGGTGCCTCTTCTCTAGACCTTCTCTCAGAAAGATAGTAATGATTCATGTCACCATGAATGGTCACTTCTCCTGGTTGTGACCATCTATCAGCACTTTGTACGTTTTTCTACTGACGATTTCGACCGAAGAGGCAAAAGTGGTGGGGTCTGGTGGCCTGAGGTGTCCGCGACCTCTTATCGTCGTTATCGGCGGCGCGTATTGCTCTTCTCCAATTCGCGTCCATCTTGACTTAGTCTGATCCTGGGAAAATCAGCACCTTCCTATAGCTATGTACGCTGGTGATGGCAGCTGAAGGGGATTGTTCTCAAGGCTCTGCCTTTCAAGATGAGAGACCCGCTGAGCCAGCCTCGTCCATCCTGGCCACGCATTTCGCTCCCCGTCTGGCAACCCAAAGGCATGAGCCTCAGCAACTGTCTCGGGAGGCATTTTCACAGCTCCGGCAGGAGCTACTGGGTGAAAAAAATACTCAATTTCGCATGGAAGAGGGTATAACTGATATCAATAAGCTAATATGCATCATTCTTAAGGCCGGGTTGGAAGTTAGCCCCACTAGCAGCGGCCCAGAGGAGGACTTGGAAGGCCAAGTCTTAGACTGTTTGGAAATCATCCAGCTCAGCATCGGCAAAGCTCCCCAAGCTCTATGGGATATCTCAGATCCCCTCATTCTGGGTGAGGATGTCCAAGCACCCTTGTTCTCGTGGCTGATCCTGCGCTTGATCAGACTGGCGTGTATGTGGCACGTTGAGACTGTCCAGGACAGGGTTCACTCGATTCTCAGTAGCATGGCTTGTCTGCAGTACAAGCAAGTCCGTTCGTCACCGTCATGTTATGGGATATCAACCTTTCTTCGGGCTTGCGCAATGGGTATGTCATTGTTCCCTCTTTCCGAATCGTGCCTCTCTTGAGTAATTAACATGTTATAGACACCTTGAGCTCACTGGAAGGTTTCTTGGATATGGACTTGCGAAGTTTCCGGCCTGTCAAGCTTTCTATGCCATCCAAAAGTGGATCAATAATGGGAGATCTGGACAACCTGGGCCTTCCTCGTGGTCTGCTGAAGCGAAGTCTGACTCTGGGGACATTTACCCAGACTGCTGCACTTGCCACTGCATTGTTGGACGCTCTTAGCCCCGAGGCATCAGCTCAAGGTGTTTCCAAGCGCCGAAATTGCACACTCCGACCGAATCTTCCATGGGCAATGAATGGGTACCATCGCCTTCGAAAAGTGCTCGTCAGATGGCTACAAACTCCGGGTTTAAAGGTCACGCCGGCCGACGAACAGATCCTCTCGCAGTTCCTGGTATACACCCGCCGTGTCTGTGTGTCCGAGTCTTCTATGGCTACCCTCTTGTCCGACATGAGCCTGGCTTCCATCTGGACTCAATGTCTCGCCGAGTTTCTTACTCTCAGCACTGGTCTCCCAATGCCTGCATTTCAACTCGACTTAAGCCGTTTCGTGGACGAAGTGGCCGTAGCTATTAAACAATCAAGACTCACTGTGCCACAACTAAGAGATATCCTCCTGCCCGTTCTGACGGACATCCGAGCCCAGGACTCAAATCCTCAAATAGTCGAACAGTGTCTCAGGGTACTTACTGACTCATGTCCAGCTCGATGATCACATTCGCTAATAAATTTCTTAGACTTCCATTTCTAGCCTGTACACCCAATTGCTCGATAATACCACGCTTACAATGCTCTCCGCTGGTGCGTCGTCGACCTCTCCTGATGCTGATTCATCTGTCGTAAACCAAAAGCCACGAAATGTGGACCACGAGACAGAGCAAGGCGAGGACGGAAAGCGGGCACCAAAGCGACTATGCCTGTCTGCAGAGTCGTCTGATGCGGACCTGGTCCAAATGCTTTTAGAAGAACTTTCAACGTCGTTGGGCTGTGGATGTGCGACAAGTTTAACAGATCTGTGTGCTGCCGTGCAGTGAGTCCCGTATGCCCCGTGCTTGACATGAAATCCAATACTCAGCATATTTCAACATAGGAATCTTTACGAAGGAGCTTCCGATCCTCAAAGGACTCAATTTCTACAAGTCCTCGGCAAACTTTCATGTGCAGTGGTGGGAACCTTGGAGCGGAAGTCATCAGACCTTATCACGAGCGACACACTTTTCTGTACAAGATGTGATAGTGACCAGCGTGAAATTGACACCATTCCGGAGAAAGAAATCGCTGGCTACGAGGACCTATGGAAAATCTTGAATTTTGTCCTGCCTCGACTCTCACGTACACCTGGTCCGCGAATCGCCGCCATGGTCGCTTTAAGGCGCATCCTGATGCATTCTCCAAATCTAACCCATATGCACCTCTCCTCGTCCGCATCAGGAGAGTTCTGCCTACACTCTCTTCGGAGTTCCATTCGCGAGCTTCGAGTGGCAACCGGGTATGTTTTTTAGGAGGGCATTATAGCAATGACAAATGCTAACCCGTCTCCTTAGACACTCGGTTGTGGCATTTGTGCGGCCAACCCTCCAACCGGATGTTCGTCGAGCCAACTTTGTGATCGTTCTAGAATGGCTCAGAAATCTATCCGAAAAGAACGACATGCCTTTACAAGAGGCATGCATTTTGACGTTGTGTCGTCTTGCAAGGTTTGTTTTAGCAGCGCCATCTTCTATCGTCTATTCATTGAGCTCATCATGTGCCCTGTTCACCTATAGGGTCTCGGAAGACGACGAGAAGAATATCATTCTCTTACGTCTAGTGGAGTACCTCGGTCATACCAACCCCTACGTCTGCTCCGTGGCCTACAATGAAGTAAGTAAGACAGTAGATTTGATAATGGATTGTGGCCTGTAGAACCTGTTTCTATCTGCTTATGCAATCTCCCCTGGAGAAAATCATCAAAACTAACCCGCTTGCTATATTAGCTATCCAAACTCGCACAGGAATTTTCCCTCACACCCGCCGGCTTGTTTCGACCGTACTGGCGAACACTCTCGGTAGCAGTTGTCAAAAACCTTCAGACTCGCCCATACATGGCTGAACAACTCTGTGAACTACTAGGTATGAAAGTCGACGGCTTTCTTCGACTAACAGAGGTCCACGTGCTTCCCTATCTGGTTTTGACCCGAAAACGAGATATTATTTGCAGAATTGGAGCAAGCCGCAATGAAGGGGAATCGCCTTTCGACGTCTGTTCTGAAAAGAACAACCTTGCTGCAATTCTGGCCTTTCTTCTGGCCCAGCAATCAGACAACCCAGAAGCCATGATTATGTCGCTTCTTGCGGAAATAGATCCTGCGTTCAAGGGTCGATCATTAGCTGAATTGGTGCGAATCGAGCCCATTCTCACCGCCTGTGACTTACTGAAGAGCCTTGGAGATGCCGGAGAGCAAAACAAAGAAAGGGTGAGTATGATATTGTGAATTCCTCAAGTCTCATAATTGCTGTCGTAAGAGGATCATCCAACGGCAGACACAACTAACAAGACAACGATAGTTCCTTCAAGCCCTTCGTCGCCTTGCCACCTTCGTCCCTCGAAAATTTCTACACGCGAGTTCTTCCAAAAAGGCGGACCTCTTAAGCCACTTCATCGAGGAGCATGTTCTCGGGATCATCACTCAATTTGCAAACGCAATCAACGATTTCCAAGTGAGGCAAACCTTGGCTGAGAAACGGCGGAATCTCAAGGCCATCGAGGAGATGATCAATATTGCCCAAGGACACGTTAGCAATGCACTACCTCAAGTCTGCGCTTGTCTTCGATCCGCGCTTGAGATCGACGAGTTGTGCGATCATGCGTTTTCAGCTTGGAGGACATTGATTCGTTCCTTGGGTGAAGAGGACATTGAACCTCTGATTGACCAGACCTGGGCAATCGTGATAAGATATTGGGAGAGGCTCACTGATGACAGCAGAAAGCAAGCCCATCAGCTCATTGACCATATCTTGACGAACCAGCCCAATCTCGTGCGGGATACTTTCAACACCATGCCCTCGCTTGCCTCTATCCCCGAATTGGCCGCTTTCGAGACCAATATCAATGAGCTGCGAGCGGAAATGGATGTGAGAAGCAAATTCCTAGCCCTCATCCGCCGGTGTCAGAGTGAAAATTCAACTGTTGTTGAGCAAGCTCTAAGGGAATTGATGCCTTTTGTCTCCGACAATGAGGAATTTCTACACGTGTCTGTTCTCAGCGAGCAGCCCGACCCCGTTGTTGCACAGTTAACGCGAGCATTGCTCGATTGTTGTGTCAAATTCAACACTAGCTCCGACTCCATCACTTTGCTGTCGTCGCAATGCCTAGGCCTCATCGGTTGCCTGGATCCAAATCGGGTGGAGACAATCAAGGAGAAAAAGGACATTCTTGTGCTGTCAAATTTTGACAGAATGGAAGAGACTGTGGAATTCATACTGTTTTTTCTTCAGCATGTCTTAGTCGAGGCTTTCTTATCCGCGTCCAATACGCGAGCGCAGGGTTTCCTAGCCTATGCCATGCAAGGTCTCCTCAAGATCTGCAATCTGAATGCGGCTGTCACCCAAAGATCTCGCGACCTTCAAGGAGATGAAAAGTATCAAAGGTGGATGGAGCTTCCAGAAAGTGTTCGAAATACGCTTACTCCGTTCCTTACGTCCACCTACACCGTCACTGTTGTTGCAACAAATTCAAGGGCCGCATACCCCTTGCTGTCGCCTAAAATAACACACAGTGAATGGCTTCGGGCTCTGGTGCAAGATTTGCTTCAAACGGGAAATGGAGACAACGCCAAGCTCATATTTGCAGTATGCAGCCGTGTTGTCAAGGGTCAAGACATCTCTATCTCATCTTTCCTCTTTCCCTTCGCCGCCCTAAATCGCATTGTTGGGGGGACTGAGCAGGAGCAGCAAGATCTTCAGCTCGAACTCTTGAACGTCCTATCCCATCCTCTTCCAGAGGCGAACAACAATTTCCGCGAAACAATTATCAGCAGCAGCCAGGTAAGTTTTATTGCATTAGTGTTGCGGTATCTTGTACTGATATGCATGACTCGCAGAGTGTCTTTGAAGTTCTGGATTACTTGTCAAGATGGCTTCAGGGCAAGAAAAAACAGCTGAATGCTCTGAATGTTCAGTCGTATCAATCGAGTCGATCCCACAGAGACGTCAGTCGGGATGCGCTGCTCGACAAATATGCTTCACAGATCAAATCTGTGGAGGCTCTACTTGCTTCAATCCCACCAGAGATCATCTCGAAGAGAGCTGTCGAATGCAAATCGTTCTCTAGAGCTCTTTTCCACTGGGAACAGTACATCCGCAAGTGCAAATCACAATCGGAACCGCCAGAAATGGCAAGCTCTGAACAGCTGTATGAGAGGCTACAAGATATTTACAGCCAGATTGACGAGCCCGATGGGATAGAAGGCATATCGAGCCATTTATCAGCCCTTAGTATTGATCAACAGGTCTTGGAGCATCGGAAGGCAGGTAGATGGGCTACTGCACAGAGCTGGTACGAACTGGAACTAGAGAAGGAGCCCGAAAATGTTGATGCTCAGTGGAACCTCGTCACCTGTCTTAAAGAATCTGGCCAGCAAGGTAATATCCGAAATCTTACGCCCCCTTTATCATTATTCTACACTTTTACTTGGGTCGGTATTTTCATAATCTTACTGACTTTCTCAGACGCAATTCTCACCCGTTTTGAGGTTCTCAAACAATACGAATCTGCTGCTGCTCGACTTCTACCTTTTGCAGTTGAAGCCTCATGGATCACCGGCAGGTGGGACAAACTACAGGGCTATCTGGAATTGTGTGCCAGCAAGGAAACCGGGGAATTCAATGTTCGAATTGGGGCAGCTCTCGATGCTCTTCGCCAGAAGGGGACCTCCGCTTTCATGGAAATCGTCAACGAACTCAGACTCAGTGTGGCAAAGTCGTTATCCGCTAATTCTGTGGCTTCGTTGCAGTCCTGCCATGACGACATGCTTCGATTACACGCCTTAGCTGATATGGAAGCAATAGTCCAGGCAGGGCCTGAGGATTCGAATCCTTCCAAGGACTTCCTGCTTCGCACCCTGAATCGGCGGTTAAATGTGCTTGGGGGTTATCTCGCTGACAAGCAGTATCTTTTAGGCTTAAGGCGAGCGGCAATGGAGCTAGCGTACGTTTGTATCAACGCTGTGGAGATTGTGTTTATTGACATATTCTTCTAGGGGCGGCTTTGGCAATTCCGACATATCGGCTGCCTGGCTCACCAGTGCCCATCTTTCAAGGAAAGGTAATTTCACTGGGCAAGCATATCACTCAATGCTGCATGCCGCGCGCCTCAAGGACCGATCAGCCACAATTGAGCACGCCAGGCTACTTTGGAAAGATGGACACCACCGAAAAGCAATCCAGACATTGGAAGGTGCTATAGCATCGAATGAATCAAACACGACAACCTCATCTGTTGATTCGCAGACTGCCTCTTTCCTTTCAGGTCGTGGGAAGAATCAGAATGAGACTGCTGCTGTGGTATGTTCCGTTGTGCCTGTGATTCAGTGTTGACCGGCCACTAACCGGAAATGATTAGGCACACCTTATGTTGGCGAAGTGGACAGACAGAGCCGGGCAAACACATTCGCAAGCCATCGTTCAGCGGTATCGGACAGCCATCAGGTTATATCCCAAGTATGTTTGAGACTGGTCTCGGTTGTCGGAATGATTTTAACAGTGAAAACTAGATGGGAAAAGGCGCATTATTACTTGGGGAAGCATTACAACAAAATCCTCGACCTGGAAAAGGTCAAGCCTATGGGGAAGGAGGCTCAAATATAGTATGTGCTTGTCTTGATTGATGCATGGTATATGACTGACGCAAATTCAATCAGCCTGAGTGGCGAAGCCACAAAATTGGTGATTGACAATTACCTTCGCTCACTGACCTATGGATGCAAATACGTATTCCAAACACTACCAAAGATCTTAACACTATGGCTAGAACATGCCTCTGTCGTCGATCAGCCAATAGATCCGAAAAGAGGCGATAATGAGTAAGTAACCACCGATTTCAATAGTGTTGTTGCGCGTACTAACCTCTGGGGTGAAACCAACTAGGTCCTTCCGGCAACATACACATACCCAGCGGCTTAAGAGTCTGGATGAGATTCATAGCCAGCTGAAAAAGTACATCTTGACTCGTCTTCAGGCCTTCTTGGTAAGCTACCTACTTTCGTCGGGATTGCCGCTGCCCCTGGGATCTTTGACTGATAATTGCAGCTATTCACGATTCTTCACCAAATGGTAGCTCGTATCTGTCATCGCAACAACACTGTCTATGACCTTCTCGCGCGAATGGTGACAAAGGCTGTTCAAAGCTACCCACAGCAAGGCTTGTGGACTGTTTTGGCGGTAGTCAAATCCTCCAATAAAGACCGGGCTCTCAAAGGGCAAGCTTGCCTCGCCAAGATTCAAGACCATAGCAGCAAGGCGAGGAAAGATTCTTCTGAAATCCGCCGCATGATACAGCAAGGCCAAAGGTTCTCTGACGAGTTGCTTCAACTCTGTCTCGCTCGTGTGGAAGAAAGAGCCACAAAGGTCACTCTTGCCCGAAACCTCGGATTTAACCACAAAGTCGCACCTTGTCGGCTGGTGGTGCCTTTTCAGGCGATGTTGATTCCCAGTCTCCCTGTCATTCAAGATTCTGAGCACTTGAAAGGATTCCGGCCCTTCCCTCGAGATCCAACAACGATAGAGGGTATGTCAAAGCGCACAACCTGGGTTTTCTTCTCAAATATGTACTGACTAGCCTTAGCCGTTCTCGACGAGGCTCAAATTTTGAACTCCCTTCAAAAACCGCGCAAGATCAGCATACGAGGCTCCGACGGGAAAATTTACAATGCACTTTGCAAACCTAAAGATGATTTGCGCAAGGACCAACGCCTCATGGAATTCAACAATATGATCAATCGCTTCTTGAAACGAGACGTCGAGTCAAGCAAGCGACGAATGTGTATGTGACGCTTGGTCTGACATTGGCCTTGCTTTAAAAGCTAACTGATAGTCAGACATCAAAACATACGCTGTGACACCGTTGAATGAGGAATGCGGTATCATCGAATGGGTCGACAACCTTCGGACTTTGAGAGACATTATCGTCAAGCTTCTACGCGAACGAAGAGTCCAGCCGAATGCAAGTCTACCATACCCCATTTGGGCCCTGTATGTCTCACTTGTTTAGCTAACTTTTGCGTTGCAACAAATAGTACACCGAGATCAGGCATTACCTAGATGAAATCTGCGCAGACCGCACGTTTTCGAAACTCTCTATCTTCAACACGAAGATTCTGGCCAAGTATGATCACCTCTTATGTATGGCTCAGATGCAATCCGTACTGACCTGCATAGGCTTCCTTGTGTGCTTCACGAATGGTTCATAGAAATGTTCCCTGAAACCGAGTCGTGGTTCACGGCAAGAATGAGGTATACTCGGTCCGCAGCTGTAATGTCAATGGTTGGATACGTTCTAGGGTATGTCACGCTTGGCCTAGGAGGTCACTGAAAATGACCTCATGTCTCGGACTCGAGGCATATCGACTTTATCATACTCATCAGTTCTCTCACAGACTCGGCGACCGACATGGTGAGAATTTGCTGTTTGAAGAAGGAACAGGCGGAATTCTTCATGTGGACTTCAATTGTCTCTTCGACAAGGTAGGAGGACCCTAATTCCTACCATTCTGCTCCCTGCTTACCCATTTCAACAGGGCCAAACGTTCGAAAAACCCGAGGTGGTTCCATTCCGCCTCACTCATAATATGATAGATGCCTTTGGTGCTTACGGATACAACGGTGGGTAGTTCAAAAGTGCTGTTCAATTGTCTGTATGCTGACATCGTATCATCAGGACCCTTCCGTAGAACCTGCGAGATCACCCTCGGTCTCCTACGGCAAAATGAGGATGCACTGATGACTATTCTTGAGACTTTTCTGCATGACCCAACAACAGATTTCATTGGGAAAAGAGTGAGTCTTGTCCACTTGACACAGCGAGAGAGTTTGCCTGTTAACCTTTTCCCTATCGCCATAGCGCCGCACTCATGCCAACGTACCCGATACGCCGGCTGGCGTCTTGGACGACGTTCGCAACAAACTTCGGGGCTTCATGTCTAAACAGCCCATTCCCCTCTCTGTCGATGGGCAAGTGGATGAGCTGATCATGCAAGCAACTGACAAGAAGAACCTCGCATCGATGTATGTCGGATGGTGTGCGTTTTTCTAAGCTTCCTTGGCCTGGCCCGGTCACTTTGCTGTCTGAGATGATACTGTTTAAAGGAATTTCCATCAATAGGCCAGTTTCCTGTAACGGTAATATTCCCAGGTTCCAAATACAGCCACAATACGAAGCTCAATATATTCCCCAGTAATCGGTACTTGTTTGTTTTCTGCGTATATACTGGCACATCGAGGACTGTGCGCGACAAGGTAATCTACTTGTTTAAGGTACTCGGTGAATATTCTCAAAGGGCGTCTCTTGAAATTGCTTTTGGTCATTTTACGATTGTCATCAAATAGTTTGCGCGAGGATTCTGAGATGTGAACCAAGGCTCAAAGGTTGTTCCGAGAATTCATTCGCCCAGATTTGTAGCCCAGCGCGTGGACTAGTGCCGGTTCCGGCTCCGACTCCTCACTGGACTCCGACTTTTGTCACTACGACTGCTGTAACCATAGCTGCTGTAACTAGGGCTCCGCCGGTGGCGCTGTCGGGGACTTTCGGGACGACGGCTACCTCGTCGAGGGGGCGAGCGAGATCGAGAATAAGACCGCGATCGCACTGGGGATCGTGACCGTGACAGAGACTGGGGTCGATATGTGTCGCGCCTTTCTCCTGCCCGTTGACGTCCCTGTCTCCTCGGAGGTGACTCTCCGTATGACCTTTTGCCAAAGCGAGAGCGCCCACCACCTCCTCTGTTAGATACTGGTGGCGGTGATCGTGAAAATTTTCGGCGAGGAAGTACAATTGAAACGTTCAGAATAGCGCCATCAAGTTGAGCTTCATGCATATGGGCAATGGCAGCTTCTGCGTCGGCGGGGTCGTAGTAGAGGATGTAGGCGGTGCCACGGTTGGTCATAACTAGATGAAATCAGAGGGAGATCAGTGAACATGCACGGTACCAACGACGTTAAGCCAGATTGTTCGTACAGGATCTGTTCATGGGTAGGTCGAGGTATTCGATATCTCCAAAGCTGCCGAATATTTCGCGAAGGTGTTTCTCCGTGACATTCTTGGTCAGTTTCTCAACCACAATCTATCAGGGCAAGTACCATTAGCGAACTCCTTCACTTCGTGTTCCAACGCTAGCATGATGCTACCGTACCTTTGCGCTTTGTGGAGGACTCCGATTTGGGCTGGGAGAGCGACTGTAACTCGCACTCCTGTAACGTCTACCACCTCTACCGGGACTTCGAGAACGCGAGGGAGATCGGCCTCGCGATACAGATCGACTTCTGCTCTTGGTGCGGCGTTGGCGGCCAGGCGATGGGCTTCGTGTGACACTTCGTGGACGGTGATCTCCCCGAGGTGATTCTGCTGGGTTGCGATCTGGGGAATGCATGGGCGATTGGCCCCGGAGGGATCGCGGGGACATGACTGTGTCTCTAAGGGTGATTTCCCGACGGGGTATGGATAGAGTGAGAGAGGGACAAAAGAGAGTGAAGTTGAAAGAAAGGTAGATGGGGGGAACGAAGCTGTACCTGCATGCTGCACGTCAAGTCACGAGTTCGCGAGGTTAAATCAAGGGAGACTACGCTAGCCGCATCGGGTAATCACCTTGAACATAAGGGAATTACGGGTAACGACGTGCTAAACACCTCGCAACGAAACGTCAAGAGGGCATATCAGACACAGAAACAACGAATGCAGCGATGACAATGCAGAATTTTTCTTGTAAGGATCATCTCACATCACCATCTATTGAGAAGCTATAGCGATGGAGGGTATCAGCAATCAAAGTGATCTCTTATATCTATTTTTGTGCATCTCGCCACTGTTCATACTCCTGGATGACAGCATCGGTAATTTGACGCCGCACCTGGCTCAAGGCATATTCGAAATGCTTCAACTTTACATCCTGTTCTTGTTGCGTCTCTTCCTCTTCGTCCAGTGCCGCGTCACCTGCGGTCTCGCAGATACTGACCATTTCGGCGCCCGAGTAGCCCTCAGTGCAAGATGCCAATTCATCCAGATCAACTTCCGGACTAACAACGGATTTACTAGCCCAGATCCGTAAAATTTCTCGTCGAGCCTCAATGTCAGGAGGGCCAATATAAAGGATATTATCCAGACGGCCAGGTCGCATAAGGGCAGGATCAAGAACATCGGGTTTGTTCGTAGCAGCAATGACCAGCACATTGCGCAATTCCTCAATGCCATCCATCTCGTTCAGCAGAGTGGTTAGAACATTGACGCCTCCCTGGGAGCTGCTGCTGCGACGAGCAGCAATGGCATCAATCTCATCAAAGAAGATGATGCTTGGCCGTGCCGCGCGGGCCTTGCGGAAAATCTCTCGTAGGGAGCGCTCAGATTCGCCAACATACATACTCAAGATTTCTGCTCCCTTGACAGCCAGGAAGTTCAAACCAGCTTCCGTGGCAAGTGCCTTGACGGTAAGGGTTTTTGAACAACCTGGAGGCCCGTACAGAAGGATTCCCTTCTTACTCTTCACGTTGAGCCGGCGCATTCGTTCCGGGTGCTACGATGTATAATTAGTCTAGGTGGAAGAAAAAGAGGTGGGAAAGCTGTAGAATAACAGCGCTTACCTTGAGGGGTCTTTCCACAGCTTGCTGAAGGCGTTTCTTGATCTCATGCTGCCCTCCAATGTCAGACCACCGGACCTTTGGCGTCTCTAGGAAGACCTCCCGCATGGCCGTTGGCCGGACCTCTTGTAGGGACGCAAGAATGTCTGTCTCCCTAATATCCAAATCGATGCGAACCTCTCCATTGCTGGCATCATCGAGATCATTCAGGGACGAGTCCACTTCTTGAGGGGGTAGCTTAGCCGGTAGGATGGTTGAGCCTTGCTCAATCAACTGTCGCTGCCGGGCTTTCCGACAAATGAGGAGAAGAAGAGCGTAGAGATCTGCGCCGACGTATCCATGAGTCTTCTCGGCGATGAAATCAATGAGGTCATCGCTAAGTCCTGCAAATTCAGGACCGCGGATGGCGCGAAGAATCTCAGCCCGATCCTGGGCTGTAGGAACTTGTAGTTCGATCTCGGTTCCAAGTCGATGAGGAGTTCGAAGAGCATCATCGACGTTATTGGGATGCCGTGTGGCCGCCACGACAAGAACCGATCCACTTTGGATTGCATCGAGATTTTCACACAGAACGGACACTAGGGATGATGAATCAAGGGAGGTTCGCTTTGGTGCAATGAAGTCCAACTGATCAATAAGGATCACACTTGGCTTAGCACGGGCAGCTTCTTGGAATATATTGCGAAGCTTCGTCTCGCTTTCGCTGGTACTGCGGCCAAGGGAAGATGTGCCAATTCTGAATACTTGCTTCCATCCAGCCGACTCGATCTGCCGCAGAAGAGCTGTTTTACCCGTTCCCTTGGGACCGTATAGAAGAATTCCTCGGTTATGCTCGTAGAATGACGGCATAGCTGGGCTCCGTGGGTCAAGGTTGAAGTCAGACAGACTCTCGTTGATATCCTCGATTTGACGCGAGAGACCACCCAAGCCTACGGGCTGAACCGCGATACTAGATCGCGAGTCATCCCGTGTTGGTACTTCTGTCCCAATCGAGATCTTGGAATTCTTCGTGAATCGGAAAATAGTACGGTTTGGGCTCGCGCCAGGGGCGTGTATGTTGACCACCCGGAAGCTGCGGCGCTGGCCCTTGAGCTCCTGCTCGAAGACCAAGCCAGTTGTCAGAACCTCCCCTCTAAGAAGTGGGAATTCTATGGCCCATTCCCAGTGACACCTTTCGTCGTCGGCAATCTGGCCATGTCTTTCAATTCTCTCGGGGTCGGAGCAGTCCACCAAAATGATCGATTCGATCTCGTCAAGGGTCCCGTCAATTTTGGTGATGGCCACTTTCTCACCAATCTTGATCCCGTAGCAATCCTGAAGGGTTCTTGACGTTTGCACCACCGTACTCTGTATATTCTCCACGGCCGTCCAAGCAATTGCAGTCTTCGGGGAACCCTCGGCCGACGACAGGGTACATAGGTCATCGGCGCGAAGCCTCAGAGCAGCCAGGGAGGACGAAGATAGATAAACACGGAATGCATCCTTGAGGTCACTTCGGGCCTGCTTCGACAGCGGTCGGGCAGTAAAACTGCGGACGTCGGCCATGTGTTGGGGCACTCAAGGGACCATGAAGCGAGTAAACTGGGAGATCAAAGTGGGAAATGAGCGACTCTGGGCCACCGTTATATCTCAATCGCAGGATCGTAGGAAAGGAGCGAAGCGAAGCACGGGCAATGCTGTTAGTTTTTGAACTCGGGGCCTGAGCTACCAAGTTAGCAGGTGTATTCACGAAATCGCTTTGAGATTGACAAGCGCACCCGTTTGCTTGTATGAATTGGTATCTTGATTCCGTCAGCTGTCCCGGATATAGTGAGTAGCGATCCCTCAAGGTGTTGTGACCTCTTCAGTATCATCAGCTTCACGAGTCGCAGACCGTAGAAATTTAAAGTGGGGGGTGAAGCTGGAGGGGATCTTATCGGGCGACCGATAGGAACGAAGAAAAGTGGGTCGGCCAGTATACAGAGTTAAGCAGTTTGGAGTAAACTCTCCGGATAATAGGGAGATACAACAGAAATCATCTCATCATGAATCACATGTTACTGCATTGGTAGAGCCTTCAATCATTCGGTTTCACGAATGATAGAGTGTGGGTTCTCTCAAGAGGAAGGCTTCCCTTTTCTACGAGACTCATCCTATATGTATACCCCACATGAGAAAAGGGGCTTCCAAACGAAAAAGCTTTCTCACTTGAAAGGAGGTATAAGAGATGACTAGAGACTCATCCTCCGCAGACATGGTAAGGGACACGAACGATTTACCAGCTACTCGGCAAATGCTACTCGGCCTATACTACTTGGGCCTCAACAAGCATCAACGGATAAAAAACGAGTTGCCACGGGCTATGGACAGATATGTATGATACTCGAGTGTAACAAGCGCCAGGTCTCAATAGAAGGACAGGTATTTCAAATCTTAGCACATGAAATTGCAGGCAAAAGGATATGGGGGACGGCTGCGCAGGAAATCACACCGATTGCGGCACGAGAAACACATCAAAAACGCGCGCACGTAGGGCAAAGATAAAACGAAACCGGTAAAAGAATTAGGAAAAAGGAGAAGTAGCGGTAGTGGTCATGGCGGTGGTGGTGATACAGGGGGTTCTAGCAGCACTTTCCTCCAGTGCTACCACTCTGACCCGAACCCTGATCTATATGGAGCCCGGGTGCAGCATGGTCGCTCTTGGAGGTATCCATACCCTTCTTGATGTCCGATGCAAGGCTGTAGAAGGCCTTCTCGATGTTGATGTTATTCTTTGCGGACACCTCCAAAAAGGGGATGCCAAGCTCATCAGCCAGCTGCTGGCCTTGCTCGGTGGAGACAGCCCTCTTCTCCTCCCAGTCACACTTGTTTCCAATCAAGATCTTGTGAACCCCCTCGCTGGCGTGTTGCTCGACGTTTGAGAACCAAGTTCGGATGTCTATTGAGGAGGGTTAGAACGGTTGGCTTCGGGTCCGGTTGTTTTTGGTGGGGAGAGAACAGCAACGCGAGAGCGCAGGAAGGGAAACGATAGATGAGGAGGGGACAAACTGCGGTACTTACTCTGGAAAGACCGCTCATCGGTCACATCGTAGACCAGAAGAATGCCCATCGCGCCTCGGTAGTAGGCGGTGGTGATGGTTCGAAAACGTTCCTGGCCAGCTGTGTCCCAAATCTGCAGTTTCACTCGCTTTCCGTCCAACTCGATCGTACGGATCTTGAAGTCAATTCCGATGGTTGTAATGAAGGAAGGAGTGAACGAGTCCTCGCTAAAGCGCAACAGACAGCACGACTTGCCCACACCGGAATCCCCGATCAACAGCAACTTGATCTATGAGGCAGGTCTAGTTAGAAGTGATGATTGAAGAAACCCAACAGCTCCTTGAAGAAAAGAAACTCACCAGGAAATCATAATTCCGTGTGCCAGCCATGATGGAGTGGTTTGTATGTGGGTTGGCGTTCCGGGGTCGTCGTTCTCAGATAGGAGGCAGTCGACACTGTGTGCACGATCCACGGGCAGACGAGGGAGCGTGGGGGGGGTTGTTTGGCAGATCCTGGAAGGATGCTGAGAGGAGGTGTCGTTAAAGAGCAATCGCAAAGTGAATCGCAGATCTCCAAGATTAGGGTGGCCAGGTCCTGGTGCCTCCAGGGACTTTATCAGGAGCGCCGGGTCAACGGTTTCAAAATCACCCGCTGGGGCAGAAAAAGCAGGAGACCAAGGGGAGACTTGAGAGACTTGAGAGACTTGAGAGACTTGAGAGACTTGAGACCAGCCCCAAAATATTCAAAATAGAAGTAAGTAGGAAGAAGGTGAGGAGGGGATGGAAGGGCAACAGTGGTCAACACCAAGCGGAGTGATGACGGTACTGCAGGTGTTGCTGTGATCGATGACCAGGTTATGTAAGCAGACCTGATTTCAGGTCCAGCATCCGACGTTGAACAACCCAGCCTGGCCTTCAAAAAACCGCTCTAGATTGAACTTTGTGATTGGCAACAATTTGCAACTTCGGCGCTTGGGTAGACTCAAGCGAAGGAGACATTATGACACCGGTTCGGTAGCCAACGCTACCTGGATGTACTGCCGCCTAATTTCTCCATAGGTGGTCACTCGCAGGCGCTATCTCCACTTCACCAATCGAATAGACTACACATATAATACAAGACGACGGACATGTGCGTAAACTAGGGCATTTATAATACCTCACAGTACCCACGAATACTGACTATAGACTTATTGCCATATCTCACGGGGAATCTCATGATGCTGAACCTATTGTAGTTTCCCTTTACTGGAAGTACACCCAACGCATCCTATCTACGACCCGTAGCTGCTTGTCGACACCACTCTGGACGTCAAGCAGGTCTTGAATGTCCTCTCGGAATTCTTGGTATCGAACACCTCCCAGGACCAGTTTGATCTTCTGGAGAAGAGCCTCGGCTTCACAAATAAGTCGACCCGACTCCTTATAGGACACTCTTCCGTCGGATGGCTGGGCAGATGTGAGAATACGAGTGACGGTCCTAATTCGTCAGTTGACTGCAAGACTCGCAATTTCTAAGATTCGACATGTGCTTACCGTAGCCCCCGACGGAGCTCATGTTGTTTCTTCCCCCTCTGCAAACCTCGACGGTTGCCGAAGAGCCCAATCAGCCAGCGTAAAGTGGCATAGGAGACCAAAATTCCAGGTGTGAGACCAACGAAGCTAAAGGAAGCAAGTCAGATCATCTGCGCTGAGGCACTCTGTAAAGGCACGAAAAAGAAAAAGAGGCTGGAGAAGAGGGGAGGGAAGGGGGGGAGGGTTATGTACCCAAAGACAAGTTCTTGGCTCTTCAGAAGAGCATCAATACCGCTGATGGCGATTTCAACATCGACTTTGGTCTTCTGAATTTGGATCAAAAGAGCGCGCACTAGATCTCCACGAACAGTACCAACGAAGGGGGTTCGGAGATCTCGCTCATACGCCTTGAGAACCGGAGTCAAATCGCCTTCTTTTACCGCATTGGCAATGGCCGTCGTGTCTTCGATAGGCAGTCGTCCCTGACTGGTGTCGGGACGATCACGGACAAAATCAATGACCATTCGTTCCAGACTCGCCCGGTCGGCCACTAAGCTGTTTTTGCTCATGATGGCAATCTCACTCTTCTCGTCATGTCGAATAGTTCCAATTAGTTTGCGAATGGGGTCCACCACCCAATTGCCGCCAAAGTCAATGAGAGTAGCACCGAAATCCATGATCCATTGTAGGATCTGGTCCTGCCGACGAGCTAGAAATTTCAGGGAGGCACTGCTCGACAGAACTGCTAGCGACACTGGGATCCAATACCGAGTCACTCTCGAGGGGCGCCCGTGCAAAGCGACAAATGTTGACATCGAAGATCTGTGAGCCGGTAATTGGTCACGAAGGACGGTGACCAGGCGCTGAATCAGATTCGCAGGGGTTTGCGTGAAAAATCGACCACTGTCCAGCATGTGTATACCGGCCTGGTCCTCCTCGAGGGTGGTGAACACCCGCTCTTCAAAGCCCGCCACATTTGACTGATTGACTGCCTGGCGAAGGATAGCTTCTGTGAGAATGACCACCCGGGCTACGTTCTCTTGCCACTGGGTCTGAGGCAATTGAGCACCACCCACAGTTGAATCGTCGGTTTGGAAGGCATGCCAACTTTCCATTAGCAGACCCAAGCTACTAGTATGAATGTCCGTCATAGCCAACAGTCGGTCTCTTTTTTGGCGGATCTCCGAGCGACAAGATCGGATGGGAGAGGCCCAATTGAAACGGAGAGGGTACTCGGACATACTCTCCCGAGCGATCTGGTAGAATCGCGCCCATCGGGCTGCCAAGGACCTCGAGAGCGACGTAGAGGAGACGTTACGAAAAGACGAGAGACCCTTGGACCAATGCCAGAGACGTGCAGGTGCTGTCTGGGCCGTATAGAGACCGCTATTCCAGACCGATCCGAGCACATCATTCCAGTAGTACGTCTCTTCCTGAAGGTGAAGCGTGTGGTCCAAAAGGGAGTGCATCACCAAACCTGATGCCTGGACCGCGGCTTTAGCTGCCACCAGCCACAGATAGTCCGATACATCATGCTCTTCGGTCTGTGAGTCCGTCTCGATTTGGACCTCTGCGGAGATGGGTAATTGACGCGTCAGGGTAGGGTCTGCAAGCAAATCCGCAAGACGGGTAGCAGGAAGGAAGGGCTGGGTCTTGGAAGTCACCGAGATGGAACCGATTACATTTTGGAGACGGCGAACGTGCAGCGAGGGGGTATCTTCGGTGTATAGGAGCTTCTCCGGACGGGTAATCTGCTGTTGCAGTTGGTCGAGTTGGTTGTTGACGCCACAGGCCGTTCTATGCATAGGACGAATCAAATCAGTCGGAACAGCAATGGGAAGGATTAGATCGTTCTCGGAAGGATGTCAGGATAGGGGAGAAGGGAAGGGGGGGGCGTGGAATCAGGCGACATACTCCTGGACAATTGACATGGCGCCTGGCAGAGCGTCGATAGTACAGGTTCGACTAGTACATCGAGGTCGGCATTGGTATTGGCTATTGACAATATTGTGACCGTCTCGGGCGTATAATCGTATGGCGTCATGGTGCAAACCAGGCAAACAGGACGAGGTGTGTGTATCCTCATGCAACTCACTCCAGGAAACCGAATTTCTAGATTATGTAAGTTGAAGGTGATCCCACTTTTCCTGATGGGTACAAACAGTGCAAATAAATAGTCATATTTTTGGTCGTACTCGAAAATACACGGTACTCTGCGGTCCAATCCGAGATCTGCAAATCCCGGTGGGATGATCGTATTTGGAACATTACGAGTACGTACAGTACAAAGTACAATGGTACAGTAGTTACTTGAGGGTGAAGTCTCATGATGGACGGAACACGTCTAACCGGCATTGAATGATGTTCGGTCATGACTTTTACATGATCCTCTATTTCCAGCTGGGAGCTGACTAGCATGGATATCCGGAGGACCGCGCAGGGTAGATTACAGCATGTAAATTCCTTCGTGGTTCCAACTAAGAATGCTCAGTCATTGCCAAAGACATAGAGACACCACTGTACGTAGCTATGATTGGCTTCTACAGTGGTGGTCTATACTTTACAGACTACCTAATATACAGTATTCATTGTGAGAGGCACCGGAGCCGTGGACGCTCCGCATGGGCTGAGCAGGCGATCTCAGCCGGGGGGGGGGGGGGGTGTTGCTACACGCGCAATCCTACGTACATGGCCTGACCCAGTCACCCAGTCCTTGGAGAACCAGGGCAGAGACCAACCAAAGTCCCGGAATTTACGCATGATTTTCATTCTTCGCTCCGGTGGAGTCTCGGATCGTGATCGGCTCGCCAGTGGCCTTACCCTGTCATGCTCAGTTGGCCGCCCGGTGATTGGTCGAACGAACAACTATGTAATCGGTTATCGCCATTGCAAACCAGGCAAACCCGCCCATTTTCCCCCTGATTTCTCCAAACGGGTCTCGCCACTTCGGGAATGGCCCGTCCTGTTCGCCGAACGAATAATTAATTATCTGCACCTTTCCCTCAAAACTCCCCTTTCCTCTTCTCCATTCTCGACAAAACAAGTCTACCACTTTTCCTTTCGCCTTACGTCAAGGCCACTCAATCCCTTTTTTCCTCCTTCATTTTCTTTCTTCTCTCTCTTCCCAGCTCCGCCTGGTGAACAAACACTATGTATGTGAAATCCATGCCCATCCTTCACAAAGCCTCCATTGAACCTGATCTACTTCCTGGGCCATTGTGCTAATCTTCTCTACTCGCGGAACATTTACAGGAACTCGACCGTGCTATCGTCGGCCACCTACTGGGGTCAATTCGAGGAGATCGGCAAATACAATGCCAACCTAAACGTTGCCGAGCGGCTCTGGGCCGCCTGGTACGCGTGGATGCAGAACGATGTCCTGGCCACCGGTATCATGTCCTTCATGATGCACGAGCTGGTTTACTTTGGCCGCTCGTTGCCATGGATCTTTATCGATAGTCTGGGCCTCTTCAAGGGCTACAAGATTCAGAGCGTGAGTGAAAAATCGGCATTCCAGCATCCTGTCAGGTCATGTGCAAACCGAGGGACTCCTTTGGCTAATCCCTGGATAGAGCAAGATCCCCTCCTTGCGCGAACAGTGGGATTGCGCCAAGTTTGTGCTTCTAAGTCACTTCACTGTGGAACTACCTCAGATCTGGTAAGTAGACCCCTCATCCCTTCGGTCAATCTGTGGCGACCCTCGTGAGAAGCTCATGACCCGTGTTTCGACAGGCTCTTCCATCCTATGGCTCAATTTTTCGGCCTCTCGACTTCGGTTCCTTTCCCTTCCCTGTGGACCATGGCGTATCAGATCGCGATCTTCTTTGTGATGGAAGACACCTGGCACTACTTTTCCCACCGTGCCCTACATTGGGGTCCTCTTTACAAGGCCATCCACAAGATTCATCATCAATACTCGGCACCTTTCGGTCTGGCCGCGGAATACGCATCCCCAATCGAAGTCATGATCCTTGGTTTCGGCAGCGTCGGCTGCCCAATTGCCTGGTGTGCTTTCACCGGCGACTTACATATTCTCACTATGTATATCTGGATTGTCTTGCGTTTGTTCCAGGCCATAGACGCGCACAGTGGCTACGAATTTCCCTGGAGCCTCCACCACTTCCTGCCTTTCTGGGCCGGTGCTGACCACCATGACCTCCATCACGAGAAGTTCATTGGCAACTACTCCAGCAGCTTCCGCTGGTGGGACTACGTTCTGGACACTGAGTACACCCCTGATGCTCTCAAGCGACGGAGGGAGACCCAGGCGTCGTCAAAGAAGGCTCAATGAGCCGGCTTGGACACCCCTTCATCTCGGAGAAAGTCGACCTGTCAGATGAATTGCCAGTAGTTCGCTGAGGAGGGTACCTTTTCTATTTTTTTTTCTCCCTCTTCCCTCTGGTCTGCCTTTTTCGTACCATGAGAGTTTTGGGGGTGCGATATGAGATCTCGCCTGGTAACAACCTGTCCACTTGTTGGACGTATCCGGCGATGGTATGACGCGATACTACTCGCGCATCGTCGGGCAGCCCCTAGTTACCAAAGCGTATTCGTATAGCATGACTTCGTGCGATGCGGCTCCGCAACCCCCTGTAATGTTCTAATGTATCTACTTAATTTTGTGATGAATTCCTGGTGTCCGAATCTGGAACCATATGTCTAGATCCTAGAAATTCTGACGTGCATAATCTCAAGTCTCAATTCCGTACCTTTTATAGGGAACACTTTGTATAGCTAATAGCATTTGCGAATGTAATTCAAGACAGATTAATAAAACAACCTTAGTCTCGTCGAATTTAGTCTCAGCTGTGGAAATGTTCAATGTTGAACCACAAGGGAACCAATTACAGTAGAAAGGGACAGTTCCCCCGAATATCGGAGCTCATGTGCCATTCCACAGGCACAGGCCAGTCTAGCTGCAGGATTAGTTACTTAGCAATAGAAAGACCGTATTGGTACATCTCCTGCTGCATCCTTATCATGCACATTAGTCTACTCACTGACTAAATCGGTAGAATTCTGTTAATCATAACCTAAAAGATAGCTCGAGAAGTAATTCGAGAGCTGCAGAGGATGATCGCTAAAAAGACCCTTTGAAAGACAATCCAGAAGAGCGGCAATCTATAGCGTATGCTACATTTTCTTCTGGTCACTATGTAAATAGACAGGTAGAATACCAACTGTATTAGGCTTAGTTTATCGTGCCAGTGACCGGATTTTATGACTACGTTCTCTAAGTTACCTATAGAGATAATGCTGAATATACGTGAAGTCATCATGAAGTGGGGGGTCCTGCCTACCAAGTAGTCTTGCTAAATGAAATCCTGTGAGCTCCGGTTGGGTAATCGCTTCTGCAACTTCTGAGGTTGGAGTTCCTCATTCTTAATCCAGAAATATGAAATATAAATTAAACGATCCAACCCTTGGAGAAGAAACATATGCAAAGAGAGGAAAGAAGAACGGGGATGGAAAAAGAAAAAGTGAGCAATGTTCCCTCGAACCGGAATCGAGCCGGTGACCTTTCGGTTATATGATGATCCATTACAGCCGAACGTGATATCCAACTACACCATCGAGGGTTTGATTGCGGAGACGTGGACAATTAAAGGTTATATGACCTGCCTATTGCCGTGCCCCGAAAAATCCTTCCCAATAGTTCAGTTCAATTACGCAAGAACATACGGATAGTGTTAACTAACTAGTTAACTAGTTATACAGTGGTGTTTCATAAGTCTTCGTCCACCTAGTGATGACTAATATTCTGCCGCTTAAGTAATTTCTCTATCTTCTGAACCAAACACCCAAAATTCATGCTCTGAAGCTAGGACACGATATTTCAGGAAATATCCTGGCCTCTCAAATCAGAAAATGACATTAAATCCATCTTAATGATTAATACAGTATTAAAGCTCGCGCTGGAAGCGGAAGACTAGGCGGTAGAGTGAAGGTGGACGAGGACTTATGAAACACCACATCGTTAATAAAGATCTCCATTTAATCTTAGCAGTACCTAATCGGGGTATGTTAAAAAAACAATCGCTCCCTCGAACCGGAATCGAGCCGGTGACCTTTCGGTTATATGATGATCCATTACAGCCGAACGTGATATCCAACTACACCATCGAGGGTTTTATTGTGGGTGGGGCGCCAAATTTTTGCAATATGTACATCATTAATCTATCCACATAAAAATTTTCATGTGCTTTCTCCCAGAGGCACTTTACTATATACACGGATCGTAGTTTCCATATGACCAGCAATATGACGTCTTTCGGCAACAGGCTGCATCAATCGAAATCTTTAGGAGCGTATATCCCTGCCTCGTGTGTTTTGGTATCCGTATGTAAACTTTAATTCCCCTCACCCCGCGGCGCTACTATCATACAATAAGTACAAAATGTCGAAGAGCGTAGCAAAGTCTTTATTTATCAAAGTGTGCACATTTTTTAGAATCTTAAGACAAGACTTAAAGTAAATCCAAGAGTTTGACATCATGATTTCAAATAAGAGGCTTGCCAAATGGACTCTCAAATTTCAGCCAGGAGCTCAGCTCGACACTCGGCTTCTAGCTGAGCTTGAAGGGCCGTTGTATCTTGATTGCCAATGCGCAGGATGATTTTAATCACCTCGGGATGCCCATCTATGCTGCTGGTATTGGTGTAAAGTGAAAGAGCCTCCGCATATACCTCAGGGTCGCCGAGCTTGTACCCTAGTGCATCCTCTTCAATCATCTCGAGTACTGTCTTATCTGAACCTTCGATACGCCACCACAAACATCTCCAGCAATATAATAGCGAGCCCATACAGCATCACCGTATCTTCCTTCACGTATGGTGCTCACATACTGACTGGCCCAAGGATGAACAAAAGGGAATCCATTTGTATCATTTTCAAGCACTTGCTGCACGGTGAATTCTAGGAATAATTGTTCCACAACTTTTATATCGTTCGAGATCATGGCTAACGTATCGGATCTAGTATATCATTCGACATGTCAGCACAACGCGAAATATAATACGACGTTTAACGATGGTGTACATTTGTGGATCACGAATTACCGATTTTGGTAAGAAGTGCCAGTACTGAAGGTAGCGAAATGACAGTGGGAGGTTAGGAGGACCAAAAATCTATCTTGGAGCGTCTTTACAGAAGAGAGGCGGGATTAGGGCGAGAATCGATTATAGTCATATATGAAATTAAACAAAATGACTCATTGTGACAATCAAGGATAAGTAGGCGTTTAGTGGAAGATTCCATTTAGCCTTTGACAAAAAGGCTTCTACGTATTAAATAGAACTTCTTCCTCTTTTCTCCCCTAGATTTAGTTGCTTCGTTAAATAGCACCGAATTAATTCATCCTTTTGCTTAGCCTATAACATATAACTAAATCTCCTTTTTCTCTCTCTCTTTTAGTTACTAGTAGAGCGAGGAGACGCGTGCGTATATATTCCCTTACTACCTAGTGGCTAACCCCCCCTTTAAAAACGACCGATTTACGCCCCGAAAATATTATAGTAAGATACCTAATAGCGTAACCGACCGTCCCCGCCGGGGAAGTAGAAGATCCCTAACCCTTAATAAACGGCCGGATACCGAGAAAGTCGAGGTAACCGATATAGACGAACTAATTAACTAGATTAAGAATAGCCCTAAGACTACCTAGAAGATCCTATATAATCGTATAAAGGATATCGAGTGTTAAGGAAGTATCTACTTTACAGGGTAGATGGCCTATTAACTAGGTAGGAGAGGAAAGCACTAAGTTAGATTGAGACAAAGACTGTTTCTTGAGGAAGATGAATCCCACTTCCTTAAGTATCTGTTTAAATACATCATCTTTTGTGCAAATAGGAATCAAACACGAAGTAAGGGGGAAACCATGGCGAAAGGCCACCGTATGGCTAACGTATAGCATATACTATGGGTGCGGCCTATATATAGCGTGGCTGTCGCGTATCGCGGCCGAGGGGCCACCGACTGACCGCCGGATGGCTACCGCCTTAGCAAAACCCTCGGTCTACGCATACCTAAGGCCCTAATATTAGTGTGTGAATAGTCTTATCGAAATATCATAATAATTATCCCCCCTCTAAGGACTCTCTCGCCCTCGAGAGAAATCGATATATAGAAAATAAACAAACGCCTAAAAGGGGATGTATTAGTCAAAATAGAAACTAAACGTGGTAAACGTAGTAAACGTATAGGTAAGTAAATAAAGATAGTGCGTTTCCTTTATTAACGTTAGTAACGCTTCTTCTCCTCCTTACTTCTTATCCTCTCCTTCCTCTATCTCTCTCGCTCGTTAGCTTCCTTTATATTAACGCGTCTCTTCGCCCTCGAATCCCTACCTATATCTTACCGAAAACCTTATAATACCGCCGCGAATCCGGCCTCTCCTAGAGAATCCTATTATTATAGGGATTCTCTAGTATATATACTATCTTCGGACCGCGCTCGCTAAGTAGGACCCTACCTATAACGACTAGCCTATCTAGATCGAATACGTCCGCGACGCTAAAGCCTTAGTAATATATCGGTAGTGTTCCGCTCGTAATACTTTATACTTTCCGGTAGGTTTCGCTAAATCTTCTTAAGAGGATAAGACTAACGGCTATAGGTTATAACTACTATAATAGGAGATAGCCACGACCTAGCTATTATTCTTTCGTAGGCGTGTGAAATATTTTAGGTGGGATAGATAGACCTAAGCGACCCCGGAAGCTTTATAGACTAGCTATTTCCTACGGAAGCCCGTCTAATTATCGCCGGATTAATATAGGACCTATATTAAGCTTTTAATATTTCAGAGTAGGCTTACCGTAAGGAGCACTCGCTAACTAGGAGTAAGACCTAAATTAAGGTATACTTCCTCTACTTCTATTTATACGTATACTAACTAGCGTTTCGGTAGTTAACCTAAGCTAACTACGACGCGCTTCTTTTCGGCCGCCGTACTACCCTTCCTACTATCCCTACCCCCGGTCCTCTTAATACTCCGGAGTAGAAAGCGGACCGTTTTAATAAACGGCTTCTTCGTCTTTACCCTAGAGATAAGGGATATATTACTTAGACTCTAGCGAAATAGGTCTTTTTCGATAAGGTTTCGAGAGTAATTCGCGAGGCTTAGGATAACCTAGACTCCGATAATAATAATAATACCTCTATAGGTAGAGATAAGGTAGTCACCCTTATAGTAGAGGACTTCCCCGTCTTTATAGAGACTAAGATCTAGGTACTATTACCCTTCTACTACGGATTCTACTAGATTTCTTTATTATTTCCTTATTCTTTCGGGGGCCTATCTATACTAGGGTGCTTTCTTTAGCGGGACTTAGCTAGGGCCTACCCTTAAGTTATCTTTCTATAGGGGATCGCCTTTCGTTTCGCCGCCGCTTCGGCGGGTTTTTAGTAGTAGTCCTTTAAATTAAATAAATTTCTCCCTTTCTTTCTTTCTTTCTTTCTTTCCTTATCTCCTCCTTCTCGCCCGGTCCTTCTCGCCCGGTCCTTCTCGCCCGGTCCTCCGACTAAGAACTACTAGCGTATCTTAGCGGAGAAAGTTATTACGCTAGGTATAAAGTTCCGGAGAGTGTTTAATAGCGGTTCCCGCTTATAGCGTATTATGAGTAAGTAGTTAGCGTATAGGAAGCTAGGTGATTAGACAGACCTAATATATAGCTATATAGTATAGCTATATAGTGTAATGAAGTTTGGATGGTGAATAGTAGTAAGAGGGTAGTCAAGAATAAATTCAGAACT